ATATATATAATTAGTAATTTATAAGCCTAATATTTATAATATAAATAGTAGTTAGTTATAAAGTCGGAGGGCCTCTAATTTCTCTAATTAATACCTGTAATATCCGAGGTTTATTATATGCCCTTAAGTTATATATAATTCTATATATATTACATATAAGTATCTGGTATTAAGGCATTAATTACTATTATAACTACCTAAATTAGATATTTATATATACTATTAATAATAGAGGGAAGTTTATTATAAATAGTAATAATATTTATCTTAAGCTTTTTAAGGCTAGTCTTAAGAATATTAATAAGAATAGCCTAATTTATTTTAGTTTATATCTTTCTAGCTTATTTATTAGTAACTAGAGGGTCTTTATTAAGTAGATTCTCAAATAGAAAGTAGGTAATAATAGGGAAATAATCCGAGAAGTAATCTTATATATTATATGTCTTAATACTTATTAGGTTATATTTTAGGCTATAATTATTCCAGATAAGATTAAGAATAAAGTCTTATTCTTTCCTTATTATATTTCTTATACGAGTAATTATATCTATTATAAAGTAAAAAACAAGATTAAGGTTTTTTATAGACTAGATAAGGGCTATATCTTTACTATTATTAGAGAGTTAGTAGCCTGCCTAGTTATAATAGTAAGTATTAAAGTTATTAAATATAAGATAATTATAGGTTTTATTATTATTATAAAAGCTCTAGTATACTTTAATACTACTTATAATAGACTTAAGCTAGTCTCTCTCAGGGCTATTTATTATTCTTATTATTACTTAATATATTATCTTAGCTATTTACTATTAGATTAATATAGTTTTCTTAAAGCTATAGGCTTTATAAATATTAATTATATTAATATTATTTCCTTCTATATTAATCTGGATTTATAGGATATAAGTAATAGTATATATAGTTCTTTATATAAACTAGTTATAAATATATCTATTAATATAGGTTATTATATTAATTATATTATTTCCAAAAATATCTAGAAAGTTTAGCTTAGCTATAATATATTAGAACTAGTTAGTATAGCTACCTTAATATATTAAGATAAAGCCTGCCTTAACCTGAATTATATTAAGCTATAGCTCTTAGATATTAATTATATTAATATTAAGGATATTATTATTATTAAAAAGAGAAATAGTAATATTATAGTTCCTGTCTATATTATATATTATAACCTGAAACTAGTAAATAATAGAATTAAAATATAATTTTTTTTTTCCGGGATAATAAATTATATACCCTTAAACTTTAAGTCTAATAAGTTCCTTAATAGGGTTAGGGAACTCGATCTACTACTAATAGGGGTTAGGCTACTTGCTTAGACTAGATTAGGAATTAGTAATAGGGCTATTCTTATTATTAGATATAGGGAAAGCTCTAGTCTATTTCTAGTTAAGCTTCTAGCTACCTTAGTATAGGTAGTCTGGGTATTATAGAAAAGAAATAGGGGCTAGCTAGAAAATAATAAGGAGGTTCTATTTAAGTTCGGGATATGATTATTATAACGGGAGAAGCCTGGGTAAAAGAGGTTTGCTCTAAGGATATATTAGGAGGCTATTATTAGTAGTTATATTTATAACTCGTAATTACTTGTTTTCTAATATAAGAAATCTGGATATTATTAGAGAGTTTAAATAAGTTCTTAGAGTTATTAGCTAGATATAAAGTATATAAGCTAAGTTTATTCTCAGATTCATCTATTATACTAACTTGGGTAGAGTTAGTTAATAATAAAGTTTCACTAGAGCTAGATAAGTCTTACTAGTAGAAGTTATAAGGCATATAATAATATAGATAGCTTCTTAAGCCTAGAGAATCTAGGGTTTTATAGATATTAACCTTAGTTCATAATCTGGCTTACTTATATTTATTTTTCTTTTCTTCCTAATACTTAGTATATAGGTCTATTACCTTAATAAGTTATCCGGATAATCTAATTATTATTTTCCTTAATAACTCGGAACTACTTTCTGTATTACTAGTTATATTATTATTACTTATTCCTGTATCTATACTATAGTTTTAACTATTTCCTTCCTAATTTATTATATTATTAATTTTTACCTATTTCCTTTTCTTATTAGTTCTAAATAAGAGAGTTAATATTTCTATTTATATGGCTCTAATAATATTTCTTTTATAAGCCTCTAGCTCCTTAATTCTCGCTCTTATCTTAGTAAGTTCCATATCTAGGTTAGTTATTAGTTTGGCTAGAGATATTTTAGGTTTGTTTTTAAGAGTAAATACTTTATCTAGTTCCCCTAAAAAAGATATAGTACTACTAGTTTATTAGGCTAGTACCGCTTCTCCCGGATATAATTAAATATTCCCTAGAGAGCCTTATATTCTTGGGAGGAGTTTAGTTATTTAGTTAATAATTACTTAGTAATTTGCTTTACTTACCTTATTACTACTTTCTTACCTTATTTCCTGGCTCCCGTTTATATCCAGGTCCCGGATAATATTAAAGTTCCTTAGTAGAAATATTAGTAGTATTATTTCCCTGGTTTAGTAGTATTATCTTAGTATTACTAGCGTATTTTCTCTTATAGGTAAGGCATGGCTTATTTATTAGCTATTTATTATTATTAATATTATTTTATTTAGAAATATAATTTCTTTAAATATATTACTAATAGTTTTCCGGATCTAGCTAATTCCCATATCTTATATCTGTCTTATAATTAGTTTATATAGCTTAGGGATATTATATCTTTCTCTTATAAGTTTCTTTAATTAGAGAATATCTTATATATACTTTTTCTCGGGATATACTATACTATTTATACTATATACAGCTTTATAGTTTATATACTAGTAAATCTTTAGGTCTGAATAGTCCGATTTCTTATATAGCCTAATATAAAACATATACTTAGTAAAATTCCTATATTGGGTTTTATTATAACTAAATATAAAGTAATTAAAGTATTATAGCAGGATAAGTTATTTATTATATACCTTATATAAGAGGCTATCTCTGGCCCGGATAAGGTTATTATTAATAGTAATATTAGTATCTTTGGAATATAAGAAAAATATTATAATAAAAGTATATTTCTATTTCTTTTTCTTATTAGCTTTAGATCTCTTATTAATCTAGCTAATAAAGTTAATATAATAATTTTTATAGAGAATATGCGAGTTCCAGAATCTAATATTCTTTATTACCTTAAGTTTGCCTTCTATAATTATACTAATTAACTTAATAGGGATATTATATATAGTAATTTAGTATATATTATAAAGAACTACTCGAGTATTCTTATTATAAATTTGGAGCTATATAAATATAGAGTTAATAAGGGCCTATTTATTAGTAGCTAATTATAGAAAAATATTAATATTACCTAATATAAGTTATCTTACGGCTACTATAGTAATATATAACCTTTATTTAGTAAGATATTAGTTAATTAATTCGTGAATATAAGCTTTCTTCTTTATATATATTCTCAGGCTAGTTACTATATTATTATTAGAGATTATAATATATAGCTTGAGTTTCTTTAGGTCTGGGGTAGTAGTATTATTATTATTGAGGTCGGGGCTATTAATACTTACTATAAGGAGGATATTCCGAGTTATATTTCTGGCTACTTTTGTAATTATTTGCTTGATCTCTACTAGAGTTATTAATACTAAACGTATCTATAAACCCTGGCTAAGATTATTGCATTATTAATTAATTCTCCTTAGTATAGTAAACGTGTCTTTTATATAGTTATTAATTATACGAAGGGCATATTTCTGCTCGCGCTTAGTAGTATTCTTTATATGCTCAGCGAGCTTTGCTATGTATATAATAACTTTAATAAGTGTCTTTAGGTATTTACTATTTCCGATTCTATCCCTGGTATTAGCTAATAATGCTTCGTGAAATTCTTGAAGTCGGATTATGTAGTCGAGAATGTTCTCGGGAATGAGATTTCCTAATTTTGGCATTAATACTCTGCTTCTCGCTATTTCGAATGCTTGACGCGTCTCAAAAGATAGCTCTGGATCGCAGGTATTGTATAATACTAGTTAATTGGGATTTGGGGTTAAACTAATATATGTATTTCAAAAATTTGGGTTGCGCAAAAGTTTTGTGTTTCCGCCAGAGGAGTGAGTAATGATGTAGAAACAGTTGCGAGAGGCTTTTTGTCTCAATAATACAGTGGCCGTTTATGAGTCTTTGTCTAATAATATAGACGGTGTAGTAATCCTGAAATGATTTATGTGGTTACCAGTTTTCTATTTCCCTTACATCCCGGCCAGCCTCGCTCTCCGGCTCCTCTCGCCTCCCAGCTCACGGACATTTGTGTGGCCGGTGCGATCCGAGACAATCGCAGTGCGCTGCTGGCCGCCTTTCTGGCTGGCGAGGTTTACATTTGCATTTGCATTTGCATTTACATTTGCATTCGCGTTCGCGTTCGCGTTTGCACGCCTCTTGCATTTTCCTGGCGGGCGGTTCTGGGCGGTGGCGGGCGACTGCCTGCCTGCCTGCTTGCCTGCCTGCCTGCCCTGCGTCCGCCTCGACGTCGTCGTGCACGACATGCAGGCTCCTTCGGCCTTCTAGATGGCTTCTCGAAGGCTTCGATTACGAACTTCCATCGCATATCAATGCACGGTTCGCAAATTGGCCTTCGCTCCTGCCCCCAAAGCCAAAGACGAGCAAGCGATCGTCCTGCTTCCCCTCCCCTCCTTAAAATTAGCCCAGCCCAAATCAACTCAGCTCAACTCAGCTCAACTCAACTCATTCTCTTGACTCATCTACTCACCACTCACCACTCACTTCTCACCTCGCACCACTCACCCCTCGCCCCTCACCCAGCCCAGCCCAGCCCAGCCCAGCCCAGCCCTGCTCTGCCCTGCTCAACTCATGCCGCCCTGCTGTGAACAGCAGACTTGAATTCTCGAAAGACATCTGCCCCCGTATCGTCCCCTTCCAATTCGCAATCAAACCTACATCTACAACCAGTCTGGTCCAGTACAAACACTGCAGTGCAGCCCCACGGTTCACACTCCTTGCTTGCTTGCTTTGTTCTGCTGGGACGAAACGAGCTGTGCTGATCTTCTTGCAGAGCTTCCCGGCTCTCAGTCCAACAACACCGTAGGTACTCTCTCCTTCCCCGCCATCCCTTCCGAGCAATTAACGGTTCGTAATTGTGCTGTTACACTTCATCGTTGTTGACTAACTCGGCAACCTCAGACGACGACAAGAGCTTCCTCCAACCCTCGCTGTCGACCATCTACGTGCACCTTGAGGCAAACACAGACGCATCGAGCACGGTAAAAAGAAGAATTGAATTTTCTCGTCCTACCCTAGGCCTGACGGATGTCATTACCATCTGCATACCTCGAAGAGATCGAATCCCTCAACCGAGAGGTCCTGAAGACTGATCCCGCCGATATCCTTCAGTTCTGCGCCAACTATTTCAGCCGTCGACTCGAATCCGAGCGCGCTCAATTCCTTTTGTCTACCGACCGACATCCCAAGATGTCCGGAAGTACGTTCCCGGGTCGACTCGGCACCAATGCCAACCCCTTCGGCGGTGACGGCACTGGTGTGGGGAAGGAGCAAATGAGCTCTGGTGCAATCTCAAAGGTGATGGAGGAAGAGGAGAACGATACCATCACATCTCCCACGACCTCAAGCTTTGCTTTCACCAAAGGAGGCAGTTCGACTTTCGGCGCCCCCTTCGGCGGGGATGCTTCTGGAGATGGCCCACCATCCTCCTTCAAGCCCACGAGCTCCGAAGGTTTCCCAGCACATTATGGTATGGGAAGACGCACTTCAGTCTCTGCGGAGTCTCTTAACCCCACGGCTTCTTCCAATGACAATTGGTCGCCACCCTTCCACCCCAAATCGGAAGATCAGATAGCAAGACTGAAGAAATCTATCTCCGGAAATTTCCTCTTTAGTCACCTTGACGATGAGCAAAGCTCTCAGGTCTTGGGTGCGCTAGTAGAGAAACCAATTCCTGCTAAAGGGATCAAGGTATGTCGAACTTCATTGACATCAGTCGCAGAGACTCCCGCCGAAAGCATCTCCGGGGGGGAGGGTGTTTTTTCCCTTTTCGCTAATTAGAACCCTTCTAGGTCATCACACAAGGCGATCAGGGTGACTTTTTCTATGTCGTTGAAAAAGGCTCTTTCGACGTCTACGTCAACCCTGCCGGCTCTTTGCAACCAGGTCTGGATGGTCTTGGTTCGAAGGTGGCAACGATAGAGCCTGGTGGATCTTTTGGTGAGCTTGCTCTCATGTATAACGCCCCAAGAGCAGCCACTGTTATGTCTGCTGAAGCTGGTTGTACCTTGTGGGCTCTTGATCGTATCACATTTCGCCGGATTCTCATGGACTCTACATTCCAGCGCCGTCGGCTGTACGAGAGTTTCCTTGAAGAGGTTCCACTTCTTTCGACTTTAACTCGCTACGAGCGATCCAAGATTGCGGATGCGCTGGAGACCCAAAAGTTCCCTGCTGGCACGGCAATCATTAAAGAAGGAGATGCAGGGGAAGCTTTCTACCTCTTGGAAAGTGGCGAAGCCGAGGCGTATAAAGCTGGTACGCAACAATCGGTGAAACAATACGCGAAGGGAGACTACTTTGGAGAACTGGCTTTATTGAACGACGCCCCACGAGCGGCGAGTGTGGTCAGTAAAACAGAGGTCAAAGTAGCTACACTAGGAAAGGACGGCTTCCAGAGACTGCTAGGTCCTGTTGAAAGCATTATGAGAAGAACGAAGTATGAAGGTGTGGAGGAGATTGATCCACTTCACAAGAAGTAACGATGAAATGACTTCGGGATAGGATCGATTTGACAGGCGTTAGACACGGGGTCACGTTTGTTCATGATACAATGGCTTCTGTGGCTCAGATACCTTTGATGCAAAGAGCTCAATGACACTTCAACTATGCTTAACATTCTATCTGAACTTTTTGGTAATTGGGCGAAGTGACCGCCACATTAGCACCAGTGTTCAATTCTCTAAAACGCCAAACCGCGCAAAAATTTATCCCGCGAATCCTTCCCATCATGAAGGATTCTCTGGGATCTTCATCGTGCACCCTCTCTTCTCTGCTCCAAAATCTCCCTCCTTACGCCCTCAGCCGCAACCTCGGTCTCCAGCACCCTACCCACGCCCCTCTTCCATGCCTCCTCCAAGCCCTTTACCTCACCACCCACAGCCTCCTGTGCATTCTTCCTCTCAATAACAACGCCATCGACCTCCGCTTTCCTCTCCCCCAACTCCATCTCTAGTCCTCTCAACACATCTTCCAGCTGTGCATTCCCAATCAGCCAGGCATTCTTCCCGTACTTCTCCAACAATGCTAAATTTGTTGTTCGTCCGACCAGGTAGGATTGTGACGTGTAGGCTTTCTGCAATGCTTCCCTCCAGGCCATCAAAGTTTCTGGAGGCCTTCCATCGCTGTGCGGGGACGTAGTAGGCGGCTCGATAGCTTCGTAACGGTTGCGGTCAATGGCCGCGAGGGGCTGTTTGTTCTCGATACGGAGGAGCTCTGATTCGATCAGAGGGGAAAAGTGCTGTGGTGCTAAGGGGGGTAGGGAGGGGTGGCTGTCTGTTTGTTCTGACCCGACTTCTTCGACGATGAGGGCCAATGCGGCGGCACGCTCTGAAGGCGTAGGCTCAGCGTCAATGTAGGGGAGGGAGTCGTGGATAGCATTTGTGAGTGACATGTTGTGCGCCGGTTTGTGTTTGGTGATCGAATTGTCTTGGTGTTGGGTTTGTGTAAAATTTGCAGCCTCGCGCATGAGGCTGCGACGGCAGGTCAAGTTGCGGGAGCTACCAAATCACTTGCGAGCTCATCGACACTGGACAATGACCTAGTTACGCAAACGCCCTGTGCGAGGGCTGACAGACTGCGAAGTACATAATTTTTTAAAAGTACCATGGATCAGCTCCATGATTCGAAGGCCGGCCCTTCCCAGCCTCAACCAAGATGGAGGCAACAAGCGTCCAGGTGGCGACGTCAGGCTATCAAGGCCACAGTACTTGTTGCGACCGTGGTATTAGGATATATGGCTTTCGTGCGCCTATCTCACGGCGGTCTCGAAGCAAACTGGCTCTGGAGGACGACCAACCAAGATGGAAATAGAAATGAGCATGAGAGCGCAAAGGGAAACAAATACTTGTTAGGAGTAGGGAAGGCGGACATCACAGGGTTGGAATCCAAAGCTCTTCCAGGTCTGATTGATCACTGACTCCTCTAGTCCCGTAGTGGAAATCAATATGATGGGTTACGCAGACACGAAGCAAGTGGGTAGCGGCCTCCGTCAAAGACTTTATTCGCGAGCTTTCATTGTAGGAGATGTTCGGCATCCGGAAGATAGATTTGTCTATCTTGTTCTGGACACGCAATCTGGTGATACAGCCGTTAGGTACGGGATTCTTAAAGGTTTGGCCAGCTTGGGTTCCGATTTTGCCGTCTATGGACAGCACAATGTTGCCGTAACTGGCACCCATTCCCACTCTGGACCAGGAGCTTGGCTAAATTATCTTCTCCCACAAATCACTAGTAAGGGATTCGATAAGCAAAGTTACCAGGCCATTGTTGATGGTGCGGTTCTGTCTATTCAAAGAGCCCACACAAGCCTGCAGCCTGGCTACCTGACGGTCGGGTCTACCAAGGTCTTGGACGCAAATATCAACCGCAGCTTGTATGCATATCTTGCAAACCCAGCTAAAGAAAGGAGCAAATACAATACAAGCACTGAAGATGATGGCTCAGTTGAGAAGACCTTGACTCTCCTCAAATTCCAGCGTGCCTCTGATCGCAAAAGTATTGGGGTTTTGACGTGGTTCCCTACCCACGGAACGTCGATGCTGGGCAATAACACACTCATCTCTGGGGATAATAAGGGGGTTGCAGCTGATATGTTTGAGAAAAGCTTCTCCAAGGAAGATAGTGTGGCTGACGGTTTTGTGGCCGGCTTTTCACAAGCCAGTGTTGGGGATACCAGTCCAAACGTGCTTGGGGCATGGTGCGAGGATGGATCAGGCAAGCAGTGTAGTTTGGAGAACAGCACATGCAGCGACGGCAAAAGCCAATACTGCCATGCTCGTGGCCCCTTCTTCCGAGTCCCTGACAATGGCGCCTCCTCCTGCTATGAGATTGGGAAAAGGCAATTCGAACCAGCCAGGAAGCTTTATGACTCTCTTGACTCGGTTGGCACTCCTATCGTGGGTCACACGGTGAAGTCATTCCATACCTTCCAGGATATGTCCAATTTCAGCTTCCCTCTGGCCAACGGAAGCTATGTGAATACTTGCCCGGCCGCTTTAGGTTACTCCTTTGCTGCTGGCACATCCGATGGGCCCGGGGCTTTTGATTTTACACAAAACAATCCCAACACCCCAAATGCTTCGCCCGTTTGGAGAGTGGTCTCTGGCTTCATCAAAGAGCCGAGTGAGCACCAGAAGCGATGCCACTTCCCTAAACCTATCCTACTTGACGTTGGAGAAATCACTACACCCTATCTATGGACTCCCAATGTTGTCGATGTGCAAGTCCTGCGAGCCGGACAACTGGTGATAATCGTCAGTCCTGGAGAAGCCACCACGATGGCAGGACGCCGGTGGAAAGAGGCGATTCACGACTCAGCTGCATCTTCGGCATTGTCTGGATCGTCCAAAGTCGATCCGATCGTCGTTCTAGGAGGGCCTGCCAACAGCTATACCCATTATATCGCTACACCAGAGGAGTATGGCATCCAGAGATACGAAGGGGCCTCTACACTTTACGGCCCATACACCTTGAACGCTTATATCAACTTGACGCTCACATATCTTCACCATCTCGGTGCATCCTCAACATCGAAACCTATTCCTGGGCCACTTCCCCCTGACAACGTAAATAAGTCACTTTCTTTCATCACAGGGGTGGTTTTTGATGGAACACCGATGTTTAAGCACTTCGGCGATGTGAAGGAAGATGTGAAGCCATCATATTCAATTGGTTCATTAGTCTCTGCTACCTTTGTCGGCGCAAATCCTCGCAACTCTCTTCGTCTCGAGCAGACTTACGCCGCAGTCGAGAAGCTGGATGCCGAGCACGGAAAGTGGTCGAGGGTCAGGGATGATGGTGATTGGAGCTTGATATTCAATTGGAAGAGAACCAGCGAGATTATAGGTACGAGTGAGGTGACTATAGTCTGGGAGACTGAAGACTGGGTCGAGCCTGGTCAGTATCGGGTGAAATACTACGGAGATTGGAAAGCTGTTGGTGGAGCAATCACGAGTTTCGAAGGGATAAGCGGGGAGTTCAGAGTAGCATGATTCACGAGATGTGTAACATATTCCAAGAGCGGAAAAATGTATCACTGTTCTTTATCTCGTCTCTTCTATACATTTGTCTAACCGTATTGGCGGCCAGGGGGTATCTTCTGGTGGCTGATTTCCTCCAAGGACAAAACTCCATCTAGCTCTGCAACGCTATGAAGACCAAACCACTTTGCCTAGAGTTCGACTCGACTTGACTTTTGCATCTTCCGCTCTGCCCGATCCCACGTCCACGCATCCTCAAAGGCAGTGGCCCTCTTTTTGGTATCCTCCGGATTGAGACCCAGTCGTCTAACGACTTTGAATGCTCCCGTGCCCACACTCATAGTCTGACCCATGATGATGCATTCGCTCACCCCCTCAATCATGTCGGACTTCATTCCTGCGGCGGCTTCAAAGAGATGATCCGGGGTCTTCTCAAAGGAAGCAAGCTGCAACACACTATCTCGCATCTTGGACAGACCAAACCGTGTGATACCGAGTACTTCTCCCTTGTATGTCATGACATCTGCGAGAAGCTGCATGTGGCGAGGATCTATACCCATCTCAATCATTACGAGGCCGATTTCCTTGGCAATAGTAGTACGTGCTGCCTCAATTCCAAGCACTTCGCGGCATTCCATAACACCGTTGGTTGTGCATTTGGTGCCAATGACGCCCTCCGTTGTCATGCAAGCACGCAGGCCATAGCCTTCCACAAGTACCGTATGCTCGCTCTGCTCAGATGTTTGGATGATAGCCCGAGTAGCGTCTGGATAGCCTGAGATTGCCAAAGAAGGCAAAGCGCGCTTCAAATGGTTGACACGAAGTAAAAGATCAGATCCACCTTCATCTAGGCTCGGCTTGCTTTTCGCACCAGCGCCACGTCCTCCCGTGTTTCCACCATTCTCGTGTGTGACATTGATGAATATACAATCGCTGACGACCGTCACATCGCTGTACCGAATCTTCAGCTTCCGGTTCTGGCATATCGTTCTGGCAATATCTTCCACAGTGATGCCGAGATGCATGTCGTTGAGTACGTCGGTATCGACAGAGAGGCAAAGCGTTGACTTCTTTGCCGACCACATATCCTCAATGAAGCGGACAACGTCGGAGATGTAAGTCTTCTCGATACGACCCTTCACCACGCGGGCAACTTCAATTTGCTTGTTGTTCTCCAAGGGGCAGGTGATGACGGGAGTGCTGATAGCTTTAGACGCGTTGATGATCTCCTTGATACGTGGGACACCCTGCGTGATACTCATGCCGGCAACACCAGCAAAATGGAAGGTCTTCAAGGTCATCTGAGTTCCTGGCTCACCAATGGATTGAGCACCGACGGCACCGACGGCATGACCAGGTTCAACGTGGGCTTTGGCATATTTGTCCAGGCAGAGCGAGATGAACACCTTCAAAGTCGACAGCGAAACCTTGGCAACACGTTCCACTTGGTCTCGCCTCCCTTGATCCTCTTTCCTTTCAAGAAAGTCTCTCGCTAACATTGGATCATCCTCGAAATCGTGTAGCCCTGCTTGTCGTCGTACTCTGGCCATGCGCGAAGCTAGACCGCCCACAAACTTGGTGATGGTGGCAAGAAAGCCTCGAGCGCTTTCAAACTCGTCAATCGCATAATCGCTTTGGTCATCGTACTCGAGAGACTCTTCGAGCAGGCCCTTTCGGGCATACTTAGACTTTTGGTTAGCCAACAGCCTGTTACATTCTGCTGTAATCTCGAACGGCAACATGCAACGCTCGTCGTTGTCCCAGGTAAGAGTCTCAGCATGGGTCCATGTCCGCTCAAAGTTGACAGGGACAGCACTGCCTTCCATGTCGACAGGATCAAGCTTGTCAGCTCCAAATTGGAACTGAACAATTATGCCCGAGGAGTTCCGCACTGTATCGTCGTACTGCGTAGACAGATCCTCGAGAGACTTCATGAGTCTTCGAGACATGTAACCAGTCTCAGCAGTCTTGACGGCAGTATCGACCAAGCCTTCACGTCCAGAAATGGCGTGGAACAGAAATTCTGTGGGTGTGAGGCCCGAGAAGAAACTGTTCTTGACAAAGCCTTTCGATGGGGGCTGACGAGCATTTTTTGGAAAATGAGGAAGACTTCGGTCTTGAAAGCCGTCGGGAACACGCTGTCCCCCAATAATCTGCTGGCCGACAACTGCCACCATTTGCGCGACGTTGATGTTTGATCCCTTGGATCCGGACTTGGCCATGATAAGTGGGGCGTTCCACTTGCTTAGGGTTTCGATACAGTATTCGCCGGCTTGCTGTCGAACTCTGCTGAGAATACCAGATATTGCGTTCTCCAGAGTCTCCTCCATGTTACACCCTGTAGCTTTCTCCAGTTTGCCTTCCTTGAAAGTCTGGATCAATTGCTCACACTCCAGATAGGCCTTATCAACTAGTGCCTGCTTCTTGTCCGTGAGCTTCTGTGATGGATAAACATCGCTGATACCGATGGAAAATCCCTGGTTTGTAAGATATCTCGCAGAGATCTTCGCAAGCCTATTCATCGCTAGAACGGCCTCATCCGGGCCGAAGTCTCGAAGGATAATGTAAAATATGGAGTCTTTCTTCCCAGAACCCACAGTTGTCTTGTCCATTCTACCACACATAACTTCTGAATTGCGTACTACCAGCCAGCCGTCATTAGGATCCATATCTGGGCATTTGCCGGAGCCGGATTTGTAATCTCGGCATTTTGCGTCGAGGTTGACTTTGACTGGGGATGACTTGTTTGGTCGCATGAGGACACTGAAAACTTGCTTTCCCGTCCACAAGGCCTGCGGCTTTACGATTGCAGGAGGTGGTAGATCAAGGTGGACATTTCCATCTACCATGTACATGCAGAGATTGGTGAAGGTCTTTCGATCGAAGAAGTTCTCCTTGCTGCTGAGAAGGTATGCCGCTGTGATGAAATCTTGGGTCGCCGAAATAATCGGTTCTCCGTTCTTCGGTGTTGAGAGATTGTTCTTGACCCCCATCAGATTGATTGCCTCTGTCCTTGCCTCTTCCGTTTGGGGGACATGCAAATTCATCTCGTCGCCATCGAAATCGGCGTTGTACGGATTGCACACACACTCGTTCAGACGGAAGGTCCTCCACGGTCTGACTTTGACGTAATGGCTCATAATACTGAGTTTGTGGAGCGACGGCTGCCTGTTGAAGAGAACGATGTCACCGTCTTCGAGATGTCTCTCCACCACATCTCCAATCCTCAGGTGCTTTGCCTCGATTTCCTTTCGAGCAAATTTCAGAGAGATCTTGTGGTCTGAGTCTTTCTTGAGAATCTGTTGAGCTCCAGGGTGGATATTTGGCCCGTTCAAAATACACCGTCTCAGCTTCTCGATATTATGCCGTTGGACCCGTTCCGGGTATGTGAGATTTTTAGCAACCAGTATTGGAATTGCAACCTGATCGATGCCCAGGTTTGGATCTGGCGAAATGACAGTTCGCCCTGAAAAGTCGACACGCTTCCCTGATAGATTGCCACGAAATCGACCCTGCTTTCCTTTTAACCGTTGGCAGAAACCTCGAATAGCCTTTCCGAAACCAGGTTGCTGAAGACCAGGGACGTCGCTGTTCACATACATGGCAATTTGCAACTGGAGGTAGTCCCATTGCTCCATGATGGTTTGCACTGGCTGTCCTTTTTGCAATGCCGCACGAATCAAGGAGCTGATATGGACAATATCAGCCAATTTGGTTGTGAGATCATCTTCGGTGCTTGCATTCTCCTGCGCGACTGAAGGGCGGATACAAATAGGAGGTGCCGGCACGAATTGCCATATAAACATTTCTGGTCTGCCTTCGGCAGGGTTCATGCCCAAAAGCTCGCAGTCATTTGGAGTAATCATCTTGAAAAGATTTAGGACCCTGAGCGGGTTCAAATCATCCATAGCCTTCTTCATATGCTTGTCAAGATCTGTATTGTTCTTTTTCGCCTCCTCGAAAGATTTCTGGAAAGTGACCAAACTCGCAGGAGCTACTTTCTTTGCAGCAGTTGATTTGTTGTAGGCCTGGTATTTATCGTGAGCCAACTTGAGCACGCCGATCTTTCGGATCTGGCCGTTGACTGCGTCGCAATGTGGACATATCTTTGCTTTGCGGCATTGCTCGTTAATCCTTTTGCAGATCTGCGTTCTCTTCAAATTGTCGATCCCAGGTCTTCGTAATTCCTTCAGGAAGCTTCGGCGATCGGTGTCTGTAAGCAGTACTCTTGCGCAGTCCTACGGCAAATATTAGACCCTAGGATGCCTCTGAATGTGTGAGGCGGCATACTTTGCAGATATTCTGTAAGATATTCATAACCAACTTCAGATATCCAATGTGAAATGCAGGAAGGGCCAGCCTGACATGGCCAAAATGCCCGTTGCAGTTCTGGAGTCCTTCACCGCAGGTTTCGCAGATGCCGGTCTTGCTCGAGGTGCCCTGATAGATTCGAGCATCAGCCAAAGAGAACACCAGCATACTAAGACTCGGTGAGTCCCACTAATCTAGAGTCCAATGCACCATGTTGAACGGGCCTTCGCATCTTTTCGACATCGTAGAGCATTCGGTCCGAGACTTCGAGGACGGCCTGGTTGACAATCCCTTGATTTGAGTTGATCCCGAACTTGAGGTTCTTGAACCGCTTCGGTACTGCAGAAGAACAATGTTAGCAAACTGTACACAGTGGGAACTTTGCATTGGTATATCTGCCTTTGTCCACGACCTGAGCCTTTACAGACTCGGTCCCGCCGGTCAACATGAGCTGCATTTTGAGAATGCGTTATCGGACGTCGAGTATGGGTAAGAGGAGATGTTTCACTCGGATGATGAGGGCGGAAATTTCCTTATGCAATCGAGTCATAGTTTGGAGGTGTTGGTCAATTTTCAGATCCCAGAAATTTTGGCGGGGTATTTGAAGCTACTGTAAAAGTTGCTCACTCATCAAAGGACTTGGGTGGGTGCCGAGACTACCTCGCTACCCCTGACTGTACACAAAAGCAGGAACTAACGCCTTCATAGAGCGTTCAATTAAACGTCAAGTGTGGACGACTCGGGTTGCTAATACCAGCGAACGTTAGGGAAATTTCAATTGATGATTATTAAACGACCCTAGGAACTGCAGTATCATCGACATTTTCATGCGTCTGTCCGCACAAATTCAACCCATAATAGAGAATAAAACATGGGGTAGATTTATTTTGACGAGCTCGTACATCGACTCTCACTCTGAACATCACGGCCATACGTACGTATGTACTCATCCTTCAGACCAGCAAAGTCGCTGGTTTTGCAGAGCACAAGGAAGTCTTTTCTGAAGCCCTGATGACTGCTTTGCCCGAGATTCTCCAATAAGCTATCCATGTCACCGGTCAATTCGAAAGTCATGTTGTTTCCTTACATTCCACGACTAAGATATCGTCGTCGATTCCAGGCTGTGGAAAGAGCAATCTCCCGCTCCTGCGCTTGCCACGCTGGGACGGCCAGCTTTCCATCCAAATATTTTGTTGCCCAGCTTGCCTGGCATCCTACGGCAGGGAAATAATTTCCAACTCCGATATGGCCAATGAACACAATTGAAGGATCCTGTGTGGCATCGGCGGATTTTGAAACGAGCGCTATGAGTTTATACAGGCTATAGGGGGGCCGATATGACTGGTTTCTGGTAGTGGTAGTGTGGGGGAGGATCTGCAAGCTGTGGGAAAGAAGAGACGACCTGTTGGTCTGCGGCATCGTTGAGGTATTTCCAGTGTGCTTTCTCTTCATCGGACTCGCTACAGAACGTGTGCGGCAAGCCAAGTTCCTTGCGGAGTTCTTGGGAAAAGAATTGCAAAGATGGTACCCTGCTCAGAGAATCAGCACCGTAATGCCGAGACATTCGAAGCAGTTGAGAGCCTCGGAGCTGTCTTAGTTCCTAAGATACCATAGCCATAGACTTATGATAGCTTCTCAAACAGGACCCCAGCTCTCCGCGCCCGCAGAAATTATCCTCCATCACCGTGACAATAATCTTACCGGCCTGTGCCGCAGAGAATAGCATCGGAAGAAATTTCTTCTCCGTTTGTGAGACAGGGCAAGCCCTGTTTGACGTAGAGGATATCTCCGCAATGGACACGCACTCCAGACGCAATAGTATCAAAGAAGTAGGCATGGTTGAGGAGACCTCCAGTAGCGTTTTCCAGAATATTCTATCCCACAGTTGATACTTCCGCAGGGAACTTTCAGTGCTCTCAACTCTTACGGCGAGTGCGGAGTCAACTTATTGAAACCTTGTAAGGATTTCCTTCTTTCGAAATCTGCCTCTTTACGGGTCTAGGCGTCCACAGTCTACCAAAAGGCACCCATCATTTGGCACCGTACTTAATAGAATGGAGCAGCTTCGTCCACCAACCATTCCCGTTCATGGGCGGTGGAGTAAACGTCGATGCTAATCTTGTCATAGCGGCCTCAAGCGCATTTTTGCAAGGTCCTATCCCTTTCGGGGGGAGAAAAAACCCTGGGCTAGATGTTTCGGTAGCTTTGAGAACCCAATTAACTTTCCTGCCTGCTTTCATGGCAGAGTAGACCATATCTACTCAAGATCTGCCCTCTCCAAGCACGGCAACCTTATCTAGCCCGGGTGTCAACAAAACTCCAGATGATCCGAAAATTTCCTGGAAGAGCTCGGCTCAGTCGGTAAAACTGGCTCGAGAATACACATAGTAGTGAATCATTGGGTCACCGAACTCTCCTGGTAGAGAGGGGATATTTGGAATGGATGTTATGCCTCTTGCGACTATTAGTTTCGAGGCGCGATACTTCTGCTTGACCCCAGTAGATTGTTCTTTAGCAGACAAGATCCACCCCCACCCATCTCTTTGGACGAATTCTACTTCAATTCCCAGTCTGAGTCTATCGCGTAAAGGCTGGCCACAAAGTTTTGAACATCCACGTAGCTTTCTAAGTATTGCGTAGTGTGCTTCGCCTTGAAGAACTCAAGGTAGGTTTCTGTCTTTGGTGGTCGTGCCATTTGGACATGTGAGAACTCGGCGGTTCCAACCAGCTATTGAGTCCAGAAAGAATCATATCCTCTTCCTACAAGTTGGACAAAGATTAACGGGTTTGCATTGTGAGATGACCGTTTTTGATAGAAGTTCGTGCTGGAGTTTCATGTTCCCTCTACGCAATTATTTTTGTCGAGGATGAGCAGTCGACAACTGAGATATGTTTATGCCTGAAATACCTGGGTGAGGACCAGACTATCAGCAAACATTGTTAGCAGATGCGTTTCTGCTCACCAGCTCCCATGACAATGACATCGAAGCGGCTTTTGCTAACCATTTGTGTATAAATTGTATGCAGTAAGGTCAAATACAAATAAATGTATTTTCGAGGGATTTCAAGGACATCGACTTGAAGAGAACTACAAAAGGAACTCGAAAGGAAGGTACTCCGGAACAAGCAAGCTCGGAATCTGTTCAGTTGAAGTCTATAATGGACCTTGGATAATAATGAGTGGGGCGGGATCTGAGATCTGAAATCTTTTAATTGGTGCCGAGTGTGAAATCCGATTTCGCTTGACATCGGCCCCTTTTCGACTTTTCCCTCACTGACGATTAGCCAGTTTCACTGCTGACCGGACAATTCGAGCGGATGCGCAAGGAAGAACCCACGAGATGAAGTACAACACCGTACGCCTCGCAGCTGTTCCTTGTATGCCCTTGACAAGTCCGACAAGCTCATCTCTGCTGCTCAATCTGTTTCCTGAACAAACCTTAAGTCGATTCTGCGAATGAAAACGACAGTGAGGTATCTCAAAATTAAAGCCTTCCACCATCAGAGCTACCTGATTATCGAAGAGGTGAATATCTACAGCTTCCACCTTGTGCTTGCTGTGGGGAGTGTGTTGGGATATTCGCCTTGGACAGAAAGTCGAGTTTTTGGGGTGGCCACGAGACTCAATGCTGTCATCAATGATCTAATGTTCTATTCTATCGTCGAGATCTGAAAGGGAGCTTCTGGGTATCCCTTGCACGTGTTGAACGCCGAAGACTATCCATCGCTAAATCCCAATTCTACTAGCCCAATTTTAAGCAGCGTTCACCTTTTCTTTTAAATGCTGTTCCTCTTCCATGGTCTCCCTTCTCCGCTGAGCCTCCTCGCCAATCCCCTTGACACCCTTCACTCGCTGTCTCTCCTCATACATGTCTCGGCTCTTCAAGATCCTCTGAACAATTTGCCCCGCGTTGACTCCGGAATATTCGTGCTCTCCTATTTCTCGGTAGATTCCCATTACCTTGGGTGCTGAATAGGGATCGTAGGTAAGCGGCATGAAGCTTGTGGGGCCATGGTAGACTGCCTGAGGCATTCCCCACGGAGTAGAAGTAAGGTATGCACGAGTTGGCATGAAAGGAGCCCCAAATATCACCGAATTTACAAACTAAGCATAATTAGCTTAAGGCGCAAGCCACAATCCGAAAAGCTCACCCTGCACTGTAGAACACAGAGTCCTCGCTCGTAAATATTCATGATGGGATAATTGACGCCTTTCCAGTGGTTGATAACTTCGTCATCATGAACACCAGCAACAACGAAGACCGGGCCATAGTCACCACCCTTGCCTACTCGCTCCTGAATAGCCTCAGTGCTATACCAACCCTCATCTTGGCCAATCTTTTCTTCGGCCTTGATCACCTGTCGGAGAAACTCGATGTGACCGGATGAGAAGAGATCAAAGCCGCCGTCAACATAAACAACACGCTGGCCAGGCTTTGGCTGAGAGCCTTGACAGAGACTGCTGAAGACTCCCTTTTCCTCCTCTATATGGTCCCCTCGGGCCTCGATCGACGCTGTCCAGAACCACACACTGGAGCCGGGACGCTTGCCGGTCTCATCCGAAGCATACAATCGCATTCTCTCGGTCAGTGCTGCACCTTCTGCTTTTCTCTCGCTTTCTGTTCGCGAGCCTTCTTCGCCATCTAAAAGTCGGCTCAACGATTTGATGAAATGCGTTTTCGTACAAAGAAGCATTCTTCCAACGAGGTCGGTTGTCGATATACTGGGGGTCCGTTTGACAACCTTGAATCGTCCTGCCGCCTTCACAAATCTGTAACAGTCCTCTCCACTACTATCGGAGGTGATATCGTCCCCATGGACGACATATTTGCACCCGTAGTGAGAGATCCACGGTAACGATGTTACATATGGAGCATACGGGACCGACTGGGTCACCCAGCGGCAGGCATCGACGGCCGCGATTCTTCAAAAACGCAATCAGCGAATGGTCTTGGAGCCTTGCACGTTTGTGTTTACCGCTCTTGTAACGTCATAACAGTAGGTCCCTTATTCTCCAGGATGGATTCATCGGAATGGACGCCCACGTAGAGTTCGTCACCCAGCTGCCTCGCTTGAAGCATAGCTCCGGCATGGCCACTAAATGCAGGTGACTTAGCATCGGTAATTCGTTGGAAGAGGAGGGGATCGAAGGGGGGAAGGGCGAGTGCTGCTGGACGAATGGTAAGACGCGGACCCAAAACCTACTGATGGAAGAAGTCAAAACAGCCATCAATCCAGATCCTCCCATCGAGAATCTCCGTGGCCGCCTCTCCCGGAGGGCCGGCATCCTCGAATTTCTTGTCCGACATGGCGAGGTGATATTCCATTCGATGTTCGAGGAAAGATAATTCATTTTCGGCTTGGGGACATTTGCATTGGATCGTCGCCAGGGTGGGGCAATCTACACCGCCTACGCGTTCGGAATAGTGGACGGCCGCCAGACCGCTTTCCAGGGGCTCGCTCAGGGGTTGCCGTGACGCGCGAATGCTCGGCTGGCTGGCCGGCTCAGGGACGACGGGAGAGGAGACTGGGACGGGCTGGGCGGCGGCTTGACTGTCAACACCCCCTATAGCTGGTTTCGAACTTCATAACAGCAGACAGAGGATGATCCCAGCATAGATACTGTAGAGGTCAATGGGAGGGCTGGATCCAGATATTTAGCAAGCTGCCTGTCCGCTTGCCCATCACGGTCTCCTCTGATGACAAGAAAATGGCTCCCTACCGAAGTCGGTGAAGCTCGCTGGCGAAGCTCGCTGACACTGTTCCCCGACTCCGTATATCTGGCGCTACCAGAATCGAACCCGTTTCTTGCTTTTGGCGCTGGATCCTGAGACGCGCAGAGTGAGAGGACCGCTTCCTTTGGAGATCGCCCTTATTTACTGAACCCTTCCCTCCCTCAAACGACAACTCCATATTCCCGGGTCCTGAGGTCTTGAGCGCGATCCAGCGAGAAGAGGGGTTCGCGGCGCTGCGAGACTTTCAGAGTGGGACCCCTGCCGGCCAGCGTCGTATCGAAAATGGCGACCTTCGGCGTATTTGGGACCTCGAGGACTCCAACGTCTGCACGGCGTCCAAGCACCAGCAACGGCCCTCCCACCTCCCGCAGCGGATCTGTTTCTAGCTATACGACTTCGAAAATTTCCTCCTTCGGTCGCAAGTCGTCCTTCTCGGCCGCCAAGAGCCCCAAGAAACGAAACAACTCGGCCGTAATCGATCTCCCTTCGGAACGGCGCACCAATTCTTCGTCGACCAGGTACACCGACAACTATCCCCTTCCTGCGCTCCACCCCGCGAGTCAGGACGAATCGCAGCCGAGGTCTGCAGACAGCTACGTTCAGGTTGTGGACAGCGCGGAGGCTGCGCAGTCTCCCCCTTCGCCCACAGATTCCTTCACTTCTACGACACCGTACACAAACATGCTGGTCAGGCCTAGTACAGGCTACCAGTCTATAACATCCAATGGAACGCCCGCGTTTACATCTATGCAGCCCCCGAGTCCGACCTTGGAGACAATTACATACCAGCATATCCAGGAGACCTCATCAAAGAGAATATCAACGTTAGACTACTTGAGAAAAGCGTCAGTACCTTGACAATTCTTCGAGTACACACCTCACTGACATCTCTACAGACATGATGGGCGTGTTTACTGGTTCAATACGTTATTATTCAACAAGCCGGACCTCCAGCGAATGCCATATTTCGATTCCCGCAAGCTGGCCCGGCGGGCCACGAATTATCTCTTATTAGGCCTGTCTCTCCCAACGATTCTCGATCTCAATTCCTCGAACCCAATAGAGTTTTTGAAAACCTTGAATGCTCTCCTAGCAGAATTCGAGTCTTTCCAACAAATGCACCCACCGGACGGTTCTTCCTCGTTGTCCCGAGGTCGATTTCCACAGATGTTCAAGCGTGCAACTACAACGGGCAGTAAGGGACGGAGAACAAGCTCGGCGGCCGATATTGGTCTTCCAATGGGCAACGATTCGTTTGACTCGAAATCCACAAATGGTACCAATGCCTCGGGAGGTACAAATTCAGCAACATCATTCCCAATCAGCGAGATTGACCTGCTTCCCGGCGAGGAATATACATATTTATTAACACCCTCCTTACCATTTGATCCGGATTTCTACGAAACGTTTGCGACATTGTGTGACGTGCTTATTGATTGTTATACCAGGCTCATGAGTCTGGTGGCTTCGCCGAGGGAGTGCAGTCCAAGTGTCGCGGAAATGTTCACGAAGGCCGATGCCAGGGTTCGGAAGATTATTGTGCAAGGCGTGGTGAAGGAGTTTGAAGATAGTAGTCGGACGGGCGTTAAGAGCGAGGTGGCTGGTGTTGGTCGAGTTGTCTTAGGTGGGTTAATGTGAGTTTTGTATAACAGGGGGCATGGATGGCGTCTGGTCAGAGGCACATATATGATTTATGTCGTGAAACGAAAGATATGATTGAATGGACGAAGCAGGATTGGCTTTGCATCGTTAGGCTCATGGCCAAATATGTAATATAAGCTATAATAAACTACCTCGCGTGAATATTCAGAGTGCCACTACTTCTTAATGTCCCTGATCAAGCTGGACATTGAAAGTAGACGGTTTCTTGATTGTCCCGGGATCACACGGACAATCGAAGAAAGCACCATCTGGATGTACCATAAATCGAGGGAACGATCGTACGGAAAGTATCTGAAATACTCCAATTGACTTGGGACATTGAAAATTCAGTTCCGCCTTTTTTGTCCACCGCTAGGCTCCGAAGAAAGGAAACCCAACGACACCACCTTCTCTGGCTAGCATCGAATGATTCATGAGCAAACAGACGGAAATATATGTGACTGAATAAATGGTACTGGGCTGGCTCTCCACGATGTAACCAAGTAATATACGCTAAATCAGGCCCGACAAAAGGAAACTTCTAATACGGCTTGAGACCCAACCGAACACCTTATAAATGAAGAAAGGAGTGGCTCTTTTTTATTAAAATCAGATTCCATACGCATAGATGGTCATCAACAGTGGCACCGCTTTTTACACGGGCACACATCAGTGCTTGACTCTATTTTGGTAATCATCATGTGAATGACTTCGGGTCCAGCTCCTTCGACAGAGCTTCTGAGACTGCGTACCGTGGATCTGAACAGTATCTTCCGATGAAAGAAGACGTAAAATTTTGCGTCTGATCTTAAGCAACTGCCTCCGCTTTCCATAAGCTATGGACTTTGAGCAGAAAAAAAGTGAACCTCTCGCCTCAAGAATAAGCCCCATCGAGTTACCACTCGTGGTATTTGCACAACACAAGATGGCAATCGCATAACTGTCAATCTCGACGAAGAAGCCTCCAAGTACCAGAACATCCAAGTAATACCAAGAACAGTCCAATCATCTCCCACAAGCCCATCTCACCCAGTTCCGAGAAACGTTGCGCAAGAAGCTCGGACTCATATCTTCATCCATGTGGTCTTCTCAGCTAAGAATCAGGTTCCAAGGTCGACAAGAATGCAGTGCAAACGACGATAGGGTGGTGGAAATAACAAGAAATTGGCAGAGGAGAAGTCGCAAAGCGCTTCTATGGCGACGCGTTTCCGCAGTCCTTCAGATGAAGGGTGTCCGGGGACTTTCTCCCAAAGCATGACAGCTATCTCTAGCTGAGAGACCTGTAAAGGATCTCTCTGTTTGTGTGCTTCGAATGCGATTCTTTGAGCGAAGAGGTTGGTGGAAGAAAAATTCCCCATGCGAAACGTCTTTTTGTGTAAAATCCGTTAGCGGCGAAACTTAAAGTTAGCGCGACAAAGCGCAGGGGTTTCTCATTGGCCGGATGCGGCTCTCGCAACCTGATGCGAATTTGGATATCAAACTTCCTGAAAGAGCTGCCTAACTGAACGCTTCTCTATCACAACAAGCTTTCTCTCGTACTTGGAGAAGCTGGGGAACCAACTCGTTTCGCAACCCTCGTCAAAATCGCGCAGAGTCCTCCATCATGGCTGGCCTGTTCGGATCCGCAGCCTCGACGAGTCAAGCCAATACTCTTGGTGACCTGTCAAAGGATGTAGCTCTGCAATCCCCACCTGACGACAGTGTCTCCGACCTTTCGTTCTCTCCGCAGTCAGATCATCTTGCAGTGGCTTCGTGGGATAAGAAGGTCCGGATCTATGCAATCACTCAGAATGGAGGAAGCGAGGGGAAGGCGTTCTTCGAACATGATGCCCCGGTTTTGAGTTGCCACTGGTCTCCAGTAAGTCCACAAATAACGGTTTTATTTAACAAGCTGCTGACTACTACTAGGACGGTACGAAGGTTGTTGGAGCAGGAGCAGACAAAATGGCCAAGGTGATCGACCTTGGAGCAAACCAGAACACAGCTACCCAAGTTGCGGCGCACGATCAACCTATACGCTGTGTTCGTTACTTCGAACCCCCCGGATCGAATGCGCCGATGATCGTGACCGGCTCGTGGGATAAGACAGTCAAGTACTGGGATCTGCGACAAAGCCAACCTGCTGCCACCGTGCAATGCCAGGAGCGAGTCTATACTTTGGATGTGAAGAAGAATCTTCTAGTCATTGGCACGGCAGATCGATACATTAATGTCATCAACTTGAGTGAACCTGCGAAATTCTACAAGACGATACAAAGCCCGTTGAAGTGGCAGACCAGAGTTGTTAGCTGCTTTCCTGATGCATCCGGTTTTGCAGTCGGAAGCATTGAGGGACGATGTGCCATTCAATACGTTGAAGAGAAGGACGCAGCGTGAGTGTCGACCTTCCCATGTCACAATACAAAAACTAACAGATCATCTATAGTTCCAACTTCTCCTTCAAATGCCACCGAGATCCCCCTCAAAACAATATGACAAACGTCTACTCGGTCAACGCCATCTCCTTCCACCCTCAACACGGCACGTTCAGCACCGCTGGTTCTGACGGCACGTTCCACTTTTGGGATGGAGTTGCCAAGCATAGACTCAAGGGATATCCAACTACTGGCGGTACCATTTCAGCAACAGCATTCGATCGAAGTGGGCAAATCTTTGCTTATGCTGTCAGCTATGACTGGAGCAAAGGATATGCGACCAATACCCCACAGTACCCGAATAAGGTTATGATGCATCCGGTTGGAGCCGAAGAGTGCAAGCCTCGTCCAAGTGTCAAGAAGAGGTAGAAGAGCTAGAAGAGGAAATGAACACTACGGCAAGGAACGATATAACGGAGCTGAGATAAATGTGGCATGGGAAGGGCGATCATTGTATTGTATTACTGATTTACCTTATAAGGGTGGTAAATCGAGGTGGTGACGGTGGCTTGCATTTTCTGGCGTTTCGGAAAATAGTCTAGCGATGAATACCACACACAAAGCGGAGATGGCCTAGATAGGAAAGAGATCAAGAATCATCTCAGAAGCTGGCCACGACTCGTAATAAGATCGTGCTCTTTCACATTTCTAACGTCGCAAGACGCCAAACAAAAAAACTCCAGTACCTTAAATGCTATCAACTCTTCTCTCCCTGCATTCCCTTTCCGTTCGTATGGCCATTGTCAGGCTTCTCTCCTTCATCATCATCACTCGCACTCCCGACGGAGTATCTATCGATATCCTCCGTAGGACTTCTCACGCGAAGTTCATCTAACTCGCTCTCATCGAAATCCGCGGCCTCAACATCCCTGTTACCCCTCTTATGCCTAAAGCTTTCCAGACCCATACCACCTCTGAGACTCTCCCTAGCACCCCCGAGAGACATCGGGGTTTCCCCTCCAAATAGCCCTTTATATCCTGCACGCTGTCGGCGGTCTTTCCAGATGTAATAGCCCCAGGCCGCTGCTGCAATAATGACTATGACGAGAACAACCTCCCCAGATTTGTAATAGGCCGACCATTTGGCGGCTTCAAGCTTCGCTTGCTCGGCCTCCTCAGCAGCAGTACTGTTTGGATGACCGCCAACTGAGGTCTCAAGCCCCTTCTCTCCATCAATACGACTGTCCGTTGGAACACCGCCAATGCTGCCGATATCGACACCCATGAAACGGTCAAGCATATCACGAGTCCTTCTGGCATAGTCGAATGGGACCATGTGAGAAGAATTGTTGAACAAGACGTAGGTTAAATTCCGAGCCTCCTGCCAGAAACCAGCAGACTCGCCCTCGAAGACCCATTCCCTGCGTGGAGCCCATGTGCCTGGCGAGAGTTCAAAGCCTTTTCCACCATTCCACTGCATATTGCTGATAAGATCCTCCGTTCCAATGTGATTACAGATAAGATCCTCTGCCCCCGAAAAGAGAACCGTAGGGACTTCCTTGAGGAGATTTGGAAGCAGCTGAATTGATGGCAGAGATTTGGAAGCCCTGAAGGCACCACCAACAGCACCATTGCACTCAGTCCATCCTGTTCGCTTCCCGGGCGAAATATGAAGAGCGTCTAAGACGTCAGATCGGCGTAAATAGGGAGTGACATTTTCCAAATCCGGCGGCCAGTTCATCCCGCAGCTCGGGTACGAGTCCTTCAGCCTGACATCGTACATGTTGTAACATTGTGACTTGCCATCCGGGCCAGTTGTTTGCGTCTCCCTAAGGATTTCCTGCAGAATCTGTTCGCACTGCCCAATATCCACATGGTCTTTCCCTCCATTCTCGTTCAACTTATTAACGCAAATGGCTTGTTGGGACTCCAACCTCTTCGCCACATCCGAGTCCCGTTGGACCAATCCTCGCTCATATGCGAATGAAAGATACGCCATATACTGCTCTTCTGGTGAGATCCACCCGTTTCCAATAAGCATCCCTTTGAGTTGCCACGGATGTTTTGCTCCTGCTTTGTTCCGATCAAGAATCGCCTTGGCAATGTACGGAATATGTTGGCCAGCATAGGATTCCCCTGCGAGATAAAGCTATAGAGAGTTAGTGAGATTCACCTGAAACTCTTTATATGAACCTACATCGTCATGCTCATACTCCGGGAACAGAGTGAAGAATTTGTCCAAGAAGGTAATAAACTGGCTGGCCATTTCCGGCAGCTCATGGATGTAGCTATCCGTATCCACAAAACTGTAACCTGTTCCAACCGGATTGTCGACGAACATTATGTTTGCAAACTCGTCCCAGGAGCCCGGGTTATACTCTAACGAGGGACCATGAATTCCATCTTTCACTCGGTAGGGGCCGACCTCCATCAAGGCGCCGTCTTCGGAACTGCATCCAGGCCCACCGTTCAGCCATATTACCGTCCGTTGCCGGTTCGCGATGTGTCTGTTTTGGTAGTGCCAGAAAAATAGGTTGCCATTGTGCTCCGGGGTAATCTCTATGTGCCTAGAAGGAAGTCAGACAAGCTAGCATGGTGGATTCTCTGCAATGCATACCCAGCGTGCATCTTCAGTAAGGGTCCATCGGGGGCGCCAGGAAGAGAATGAACGAAGTAATCAGCTGCAGTCTTGTCGGCCAGGGCAGCTGGAATCAAAGCGGACAGTGACAGCAGGGTGCATACTGCCAATGCTCTGGATCCTCTCGTTCCGTGTATTCGATCCGGACTATTGCATTGTGAAGTGAAGAACCGCATCTTGGATGCTGATTCGGGATGTACGATCGCGGAGGGCGATGCTCTCGAGGCGGTTCATCAACGGTGGTGCACTGTGCGTGGAGTCTTGAAACCGTGGATGGAGTTGGAGATCTGTCGAGTTCCGCTTGAGCCGCGTGGCCGTGAGCATTAGGCGAAAAGGGGGCTCTGGTTCCAGAAGGCTAATTTCTCCAAGTTCGCCTGTTAATCTTTACGTGGTGTGACATCGATGCTCGATTAGTTGCAGAGACTCGAGGATGGCGGCTTGAGTTTGAGCCTTATTCTCTTTGGCCACATGTGCTTTGTGTTGGGTTGGTTTGGGTTGGGTTGGTTCGGGTCCAATCAAAACGGACGCGGAAGGCAGCCGCAACGGGCTTGGCAGTTTAAAGCCAATGAAAATCAACTTCGTATGAGCATGGGGATTGGGATTGGGGAGTTTTCCTGCTTAAATTATTTGAGGATGTTGCTGAATTTCCCACATGGCTGTTTGCAAAACAAACACTACTACCAAGCCTAGAATCAAGGCTTTCGAAACGGCTGGAGGATGTGCGGGTGATTTACGGCTGGGAAATGATCAAGTGATCTTTAAGAGAGTATTCTGAGCAAAAGCAATCCCGACTAGAATATGTACGGTGCTGGACTCGTGTGTCCATCTCATTGAAAGTTTCAAGCAAGGGGCGAGCTGGCTCTCAATGGAGTATCAACAGCGTCTCGTTGAACAGCTTGGAGGGATCTAAATCACACGGCCTTTAGTTGACTCAATATTCGATGTAAAGTGCCATCTTTCATTTATTCTGGTGTTGTTCGATCTGGGCAGGCTTAGTGTATCAGAATAAATCACCAAAGTCCTTTTCAGAATCCTTCTTGATCAAATCAAGCATGCCCTACCGAACATTAACTCTGCAGTAATTGGTCAAGCGATCTCGTACACGTGCGTACCTCTGGCATAATCGACTCTCCGTTCTCTCCCTTGACATAGCGAAATGGCATTACTGTGCTCTCGTTCTTGTTGATACGGAGTTCTGGATAATCGACGTATGGGATGTTATCTAGAGGAACTGTACGGTTGTTAGTAAGCACTTGATCTCGATTTTCATCTCCTTACTTTTCTCCTGCACGACAAGCCTCGCCACTCTAACCGCAGTGTCGGTGGTCATCTGTTTCGGGCCAAGGCGACGACCTTCAAATCCTTTCTTTCTCAATTCCGACGTCCTATCTAGGATACGTCAGATGCATAACAAACTTCCGAAGATCTACATACCTCGTGGTGGGTCATCCCCTAATCAATGTCAGACTGTGGTCAGACTCTGGTGCGTATGGCCAACAACTCACCTAATATCCCTCCAAACAGGAACACATCGAAGGTGTCTCCGTCTTCTGGACTAAGCTCCTTCTTTGCTGATGGGTCAAGCAAGCATACGCGGGTCCTATCTTCTGCATACAGAGTCTCAACGCTGCGCTCATCTGCGGTGAAACCAGGCACATGCTTCAAGGCCGCAGGCAATACCAAGGTTGATGGAACTGATGACAGACAGAACTTTGCACCTGCCTGGTGAGACTCCTTAGCTATGGTGAGATACTCTAACTCGGACCAAGGACCCAGTTCATCATCAAGATGCTCAACGATGTACGTTTTGCAAGCCATTGGGGTGGGCAACTCTGCAAAGCGTGACAACCAATGCTCTGGACTATTATCAAATAACTCGCAGCAAAGATACGATTTGGTGCGTTCAAAGAGGCCAGTCCAAGGCGTGCTCCGATAGCCTCAGGGACAGTCTTTCGTTCGTTGTGAGGTAATAAGCCAGTCCCGAATGCCTCGAGGAGCTTAGAATCTGGATAGAATCTGCACGTCTGACTCGTGCAATGATCCCTTGCCTTACCTCCAAGCACAGACGAACACACGAATTATCATACGATGAGCGGGAGCTCGTCTGGGAGGTCCACTGAGCCTTTGCTGTCTCGTGATTGCGTTTGGCCAATGATGCTCGTCCACAATCTTGCCCGGAGTCTGGGGAAGTCAGGTTCGATCCGTGACAGAAGTAGGAATGTAACTTTGGGATGAGCCGGGAAAAGGTGACACCTACGTCACTGACAGTCAATCTCCAATCAATCCGGCGAGTTTCAGGCTGAAAATAGCCCGTTGTGGAATTTAATGCAAGTGAAGCCGTGAGTGCTCAAAAGTGCCTGTCCCTCCGCTTTTAAGCGAATGGAAGATCCTCTAGAAAAGTTGCCTTATCCGATCCACAACGTCGACTTAAACGTCGACCAGACCAACTCCAATTCCATTCTCCGAACCTCGAAACCGAAGCGTACAGCACTTTGTCTCCATTCCTTAGGGGACCAGCCCTCAATTGCCATATCGCAAATCTTTGAAGCTGTTTTACGACTGCGACCCCTCCCCGTCTTTCCTTCGACGCGCGATCAGTCTGACCCCGCTGCTGGGCACTAGGGCAACCAACGGAGCAGGGAACGTCATCGACAACGCAACGAAACCTCGAGTCATAATAAACCATCAGAGCAATTACACGATCTCCCGAAGAGTCCCATAATAATCGAGCAAGCTCTTCACATCAAACCCACACGTGCACAAGAAAACTTCACGATGAACCCCCACCAAAAGAACAAGGTCGACATCAGCGTACGTCCTTATCACCACAGATCGGGCCCAAATTCCGAGTTTTAGATGATTTGTTAGCTAACTATATGCAAGTCCCTCTCTCCCGACGAGCAACGACTCTTCCGCCTTTATGGCAAGCTCCCCTCCAAGTCCGATCACCTTGCCAAACACCTCAAGGAGCGAAAGTATTTCGACTCTGGTGACTACGCTCTCTCCAAGGCTGGCAAGGCAAGCTCAGTCGACACGGGCAGTGTTGGCTCCCAGCACCCTCTCCCCGAAAACATCCCGCACCTGTCCTCTCCCGGTGTAGGAGCTGCAAGCCAAGGAGGCAGCGGGAATGGCAACATTCAACACGGAGGCGTTGCTGGTCTTCAAAGTGGTAGCCCGGTGAAGGAGAGCAGCTTCTTGAACCGGGAGACAAGTGTAGACGAGTTGGATGAGAAGGAGAACAAGGCCGAGAGAGCAAATGACAGTGTCAGCCCACCGCCGGCGAAGGAAGGCATTCCGATCAGAAGATAGGTTGGCTGGATACGGTATGAAGGCAATGTTTATGACGTACCTTAGGATTATGAACGATGGCTGGCGCTGGCGTTATGAGGCTATGATGGTTTATTGGGCTTGGGACCGACCTTCCTCTGTACATGTTTGATGACTGTATCGCGATGCGCACCTACCTGACACAAAAACAAAGAGACTGTTTTTATATGAGTTTTTATATTAGCTTTCACATGGTCTCGTTTCGAAGATCTATAAGTGATATCTTCAGTAGCATGCCGCCCCGATAATGCAGGTATATTTTCCGTTCTCCAACGCCTCGCCATGCTTCTATGCAGGAACAGTTCATCACAGGTCAAGCGCCTTGAGGGCCATCTTTTTGGCACCGTCAAAATTCTTGTTTCCACCAATGAATCCTGCAGCGTGAACAAAGACCCCTCCATCAACTCCCGTGATCTCATCCAATTTCTCGTCTCTGAAGCCCCTCCATGCTTCGGGCAATGGCTTCCTGCTCTCGAAGGAATCCTTGCTGACTGGAACGGCCTGGATTCTCCACTTGGCGTCTAGCGTGGGCTTCTCTGGGTACAAAACATAGAGAACCTTTGCATCTCCACCCTCCTTTTCCTCGAGAGTGTAGAGATGGTCCTTCCACGGCACAGATTGTCCCTCAAACACCAATATTCTCCCGCTCTTATCATGCTCCAACCGCTTGGCATATGCATTATGCACAATTCCTCTGGCAGGCAACCAAGCCTTAGTGTAGTAATCCAGATCCCGCGAGAATTCCTCACCGATCCTCGTGCTCGCGACTAAGAATTTCTCATCCTCCACCTTCTGCGCTTCAACTAGATCTGAGGGTGTGGGGTCGTTCCAATTTGGGTTCAGTCTTCCCACCATAGCACCCAAAGTGAACCCTCCGTCACTGAAATTCTTCTTCAATTCGGCAGCAGCAATCGCCTTTGGGTCGTATGCCGAGATTCCATTGTCGTGCGCATCTAACGCTTCAATAAAGCTCTCGTACACCTTCTCCCAAATGACTGTGACCTCTGCAGCATCCTCCGAGACATTCAAGTGCTGCGCAATAATTGCTTTTCCGAAGTGTAGGTAGACAAGGCCGGCAGAAGAAAGCTTGGTTGGGCGGTTTGGAAAGGTAGTGTTGAAGGTACGCTGATGGTGGTCGTAGCGGTTCGTGGATGGTTCATACTCACCGCCGACGTCGACAACGGTGTGGCAGGTCTGGAGAAGGGTAGGATCCCGCGTCCGGATGAGCTGTGAGGAGTGGTAGGTGGGCAGCAAACGGAGCATGTAGACGGCGAGAGCTTCATCCGCGTGAAAATGGCCATTGTGAGTGCCGATTGTGAGAGGAGACATTTTGAATCTCTTCGCTGCTGCCATACGAAGAGTGTTACGGAACATGCAAGGAGTTAAGGGGTGACGGATATGTAGTTGCCTGGCAGTATTTTAGAGGTTGTTTTCGGGAAGGATGGCAGAATTTCAGAAGTTCGACTGCGGCTGATGCAGGCAGGTTACAGCAAGTAGGAACATGCAGGCGGTAAAAGCGGCACCAGAGAAAGAAATCCTCCCCAAAATGCAGGAAAGAAAAGACCTTTCGGTTCAATTCTGCGATTCCTTTCGAGTGAAAGAACATTCGGTGAAAACCGTGGGTTCTAGTGGAGTCGCTAACTAGTGCCGCTTTCGTTGTCCACTTTTGAGAGAGACTCAGGACAGGCTTCTTAATTTTCGAGAAAATTGCTTGTACAGCAGTGCTCCGGATCTTGCAAAGCTGTCCGTTAGCGGCCTATCCTGTCCTGCCCTGAAGGCATACCTACCTGCTCCAGCCTTCCTACCTACCAACTTCTCTTCCCATTATTCACTTGCTCCTCCCGAGGCGTGAACGCCACCGATCCGAAATCCCCGAACCTCAGGGCCCGAATCGCAGTCGATAAATTGTTATCGGCTCAGACCCCAGTCTTCTTCAAGCACGCGACAGCACAAGGTCATTTGGGTGCAATCCTCAGTGAGGCTGCCCGCCCAGGCAACTCCTGTATGACCATCTTCATACTTCTATCATTTCCAGAAGATCATAGGCATCGTCCCGGCGGCTCGCGTTGCACAGCTATCACGCTCGTCTGCAAGTTTTTCGCGTGCAAATAAAGACCTGAGGCGCCTCGAAACGTCTGATAAGAAGCTCCTCTTTTCGATCGCGGGAGGGCAACCATAACACCCGCGAGCAGCCTACAAAGCGCGGAGCTCCTAGCAGACACCCATTCCAACACCTCGTTGACGCGTTTATTCGATCCTACCGACCTGGCGATCAAGCCCCAGGGACGGAATCACAAGGAAACCAAGTTGGGCGCGCTTCAACGTACGCTCCGGCGTTGCTGCGCCGATGTGGTTCTTTCGTGCTCTCTCCTCCGCGATCTTCCTCCTCTCGATCATCCTATCGATACCTATAGCCTTCGATGTGGGAGGGAGGGAGTGTGGGCTCGCGTTTTCGCTGAGCCTGTTCTACTTTTACTTCTTCTATTCGACCATCAGGCTAGCTACTCCAGACCACTCAAGGATACGATGGGCCATAGTACAGATGATCGGCATGGCACAGTGGATTCTATTGCCAGGGCTGTTAATATGGAGCATGAATCGATTTGCGGTCGATTCCAACAGTTCAAGGGACTGGGTCGCGAAAACGTTTGATGGGAAGAGGGCCCAAAATGCAACGGTCAAGGAATGGATCCTCGGGTCGGGGGGGTTACTCGAGATGTTGACGGTTGGCACATGGGACAAGCTGCTCAGATATTCAACCCCTTTCTTTCAGCTCGCTGAAGGATTCTGCAGTTTGTTGGTGATACAGGCTGCAGGTCAAATAACGAGATGGCTTGTCAACCGTGGCAGAAGCGATACCTGGATGGTAGGTATCCCGCCCCATATTCGTCTTCAGTTTTGCTGATGTTTTCCAGATCGGCCTGTTAGTCTTGTCTGCCTCGATCATCTCCAGCTCCGTTTATTTCTTGTGGCGGATTACCAATTTCCCGGAGATCGGTAATGTTGATGCCACGCTTATTGGCGTTACGATAACCTGCGCTGTGTTCCTCTGTGCCTGGGGAATTGGGAGCGGGAGGGGGAACCCGGTGGAGAGCTCTCTTCTCTTCGCATACGTTGTGCTGTGCATCTATCAGATCTTTACGGATTACATGCCTTCAGCGTCTGAACCGACCCCACCACCTGCGCAACCTGACTTTCCTCCACTGCCTCCCATCATAATGGCATCATACTCAACGCTAGTCTACATGCTTTCGACCCTACCTTCGGCGGTACACTCGGGTTTTACATTCCTCTACGCGGCTTTCCAGACGATCACTCCATCAGTAATCATCTCCCTCGCGTACCGGATATTCGTTTTCTACGCAGCCACTCGCATTATCCCGGCCGTACGAGAATCTGGAGCTCGAGCTCTGTCGCAAGAACCGAGTCTTGACGACAGTGATGGGGCGGGGAAGATCTTGGGGCTTCTCAGCTGGTTCAGCCCCAGCATTCTCGTTGCTGTCTATACTAGTTTGTTGATGCAACACTTTTCTACTACATCAGCTGAAGGGAACGGCAGTGAGTGGTGGACAATGCAAGGCGGGGACGCTGGTGGAAACATTTGGCGTTGGATCAATGTTGCGGCGACAATGGCACTGTACGCATTGGAATTGTATCTGGGAAAGGAGGACGTCGATGGGTCTCTCACCGGTCACTGGAAGACTGACTGAACGAAGCCGATGCGTGGCTAGGATCTTTATTCTTTGTAGAGAGCGTGTCAGCCGATGGATGAGATAGCGGTACGGAGATACCAAAAGCCTCGTGGGGATAGGAGTGAAGGCACCGCGGGAATCCGGAAATACCACATGGATGTCTGACGACCACAGGGACACTCGGTGAATCTATTGAAGAGGGTGGAGAGGCTGGTGGCTTCGGCGTAGTATCGGCGTGGCCTTAAGACGGACGAGGATGATTTGGCTGTACATATTCGTACTTGTCGCATGTGTTGGAGCCGGCCAAAGCTCTCTTGCATCAAGCATGCTTTACTTGGCGATATCCCTTGGAGAGACTCGATCGCGAATCTCCCGGATAATATAATAATACTCGATGAGACAGTCACTATGACGGACTGAACTGTATTGTGGCATGCTCTGAGACAGAAGAGTGATGCGACTCTTTTGCGAGAAACGCAGGCTCCACTTTGAGGCCCAGGAGAGTTGCCGAACGGTACAGAGGCAAGCCAAGCAGACCAAGCCGGACTGAAGGCTGGGGATCCGCGAAGATGCCTGTCTCTCTTCGCAGGAAGTGCGTGAGCAAAAGGGTCCAATTGAACAAAAGGGCGGCTACGCTTAAGGACATTCTTCACTCCCTCGCTGCCTCGAAGTTCGTATGATGTCGCGGTGAACTGTGGATTGGAGTCCGAGAGCCAGCCGCCGCCTCAGCAAGCTTCAAGCTTCGCTCACCGCCGCCGCCGCCGCCGCCGGGGAGTTGGGAAGTGGAGACGTTGCCGAGAGCTCCCCTGCCAGGTACTCGGGGGTCGCTTCGTTGTTGAGCTCAACGTCCAGGTCCGAAGAGTATCAGGTTCAACGACTTCTCACCTCTCACCTCTCACCTCTCGCCCCACGGCATGTCACCCACGACAGCCGTCAAGCTCTAAGCAAGTCCTCCTTGTCTCACCTTGTGGCTTTCGCTTTCTTCGGCGGATTCCTATCAATTGGCAGCCACCCGCCGTCTTGCTCATCTTCCACTTCATTTTGCAATCCTCGCTTCCATACGGAATCCCGTGATCGTCTGCCAGGTCTTACCTCCAATCTCCCGTTATCTCATCAAATCCTCAACTACATCACCGCCATGTCGAGAGTAACACCCCCGGTGGCCAAGTTCGCCCATGCCTTGCGCAGGATCAGCTCCAGTGCGAACGCTGGTCGTCCGTCGAGTCTTCTCGACTCCCAGGCGCGTGCATCGAGATATTTACCCCGCAATCTGAAGGATCTCAGAGCAGAGTGCAAACAGCGAAAGCTGAATTCGAGCGGCAACAAGGCAGAGGTGATATAGGATCCTCTCCAATGATTCCATCACTCAATTGACATGATCTAGCTTGTCGACCGTCTCGCAGCTCATGATCTTGTCGGATCTCATGGCTTCTCCACGATGTCCGATGGTCATCGCCCTATCTCCGCCCAACCCGCACCAGTCTACAAGACCGTCCCCTTAATGCAAGGATTCAGGTCATCGGCTCCAAAACAAGTAGCTCACGATTCATCCACCATTGACTTCTTCTTCTTTCCCGAGATTCCCAAACCTCCGCCTCGAAACCCATTCGCCAAACTCCGAGTCCCTCTCCTCCCAGACAACTACACTCCCAACAGATCTCCAGACTCAGGCCATTCGTTAGAAGAACTCGATGCGGCTCTTCCTGGGCCAGAGATTAGCATTGTTGCAAGTCATCCTGAAGATATCGCGCCGGCTACGATCAGCGAAGTCGTTGGCAATGATGGGCTTGATGTCGATATTACACAGTTGACTGGGGCCTTTACCAAGCCTCTGGTAATTGAGGATAAGGAGCCGGGTGTATTTAAGGAGCTTTGGAGTGGCTTCGTCGATGACATTCTTGGCCCGAAAGACCCCAGGGTCGCTTAGACCAGTTCATGATGTAATGAGGTTCTGATTTGGGAGTGCTGGAGTTTAGAATCGGCCGGAGCTGATCAGTCGGAAACAACCCAGCGATTTTTTGCTTTGCAGTTTTTGGCTCTAAAGAGCGAGGGTGCAGATGGTGCTGTTATTCTGTTTAGACATTTTCTTTCTTCCTTGTCGAGTGAGAAGATGTGACAGGATGTATCCGTTATATTTGCTGTAATCAAACTACCTTGTTTATTACCTAGTATCATAGGTAGCGGCCCGTGTTTAATTACCTCAGTGGTTCAAGTCTTGTGTTAGTGATGACCAGGCCCGACGGGAAGAGTTCTACCTAGCTGCTGCCGCGAAGTTTCGTTGTGTATCTATTCTTTTCCACTGGTCTCTGCATTTTATTGTTTAATCATGATGGCTAAGCATCCTAGTGGAAATTGAAGTGCTCCCAGAGAAATAGGATAAAAACCACTTACTCCTCGCCCATTTCCATCTAAAGGCAGGATATTTGGTAGCTGTGGCTTCATTGTCCCGGAAGATTCGGAACATTGAACCGACGTGCAACACAAATTCTCTCTCAACTATGAAATACTAGAAACTTTTAACTTCAAGGTTACTCTCTATCCTCGATGGCACTCTTAATGACCCAGAGCTTTGGGGCATTGAGGCGACGTTCAATAAAACCAACGGGATCACGATTCACTATTAACTTCCGGGAAATTTTGATCCCGGATTCATCCTCCTTGGAGGGTATTCTATAGGCTGGGTGACTATTGCCCTTCAGATGAAAAAATCAGAAGTAAGATACTTGGGTTGTCCTTCGCAGCACAGAATTCACTTGGTAGATTGGGGGTATCTAGCAAATACCTGGCAACCTGATGGACAATCATAGTCGTCTCACCATCTACTTGAGTTTATTCTACAGTAGTATTGACTTCAGCAACGAGCCGGGCGTTTGTCACTATGATCAGAAGAAACATGGGACTTTCAAGGATCCTGTCCTAGTACGCAAGACTTGCTGCGGTGATGTGAAAGTTTTCTCGAGAAAACAGAATCGATGCCTACCCTCTGAATCTTCCGAAAAGAACCGCGCTTAGCAGAATTTACTGTATAGCAGAATTCGAAATCGGCTTCAGTTCCGAACAATCAATAATGTTTGAGTCGACCCACATTTCTAAGGAGACTAGCACTATTATGGCTAGCTAGCATTCGACTTGCATTAGCTTGCCCGGTGCTAGCTGCTCTTTACGCCCGGGTAAAGAGTGGCCGATTTTTGGCCCGTATGCAAAACACCAAATAAGGCTGCAATAGTTCGGTTTCGTCAACTTTTCGAGAGGAAATAAACCAGCAGACAATTCAAAACATGTATAATTTCTACTGTAAAAGACTACACGATTGTAGGAGAGCTGGTGGGCAAATAACTAGATATTAATTAATATAATTACAAGGTATTTAGTGTTTTACGCACCGGCCAAAAATCGGCCACTTTTTACCCGGATGTAGAGCCACCCTTCCCGGCGTTTGCTGACTCAATTAGGCAAAGCTGACTTTGCAAAAGACAGTAAAACGTCTGCCTAAGGATTAAGGTTAAGAAGTTCCCAAAGTACGAAAGTATCAGAAGCTCGGACACCACCTAAACGGCTGATCCAAGGCAGATTCTGGCTCCTAGACTTCTATTACCTACTTTACTGTCCTTTAAGATGCTCCTTCAGCGACAAGGACAAATCATGGCTCGATCGAGCGTAAATTTCGAATATCCTAGGCCAGCTATGAATTCCTGCGGTGACCCCTAGCGATTGGCAGGCCCTGTGCGCTTGCAGTGATGCACAACAATGCCCACCATTGCCGCGAGGCTGCGAGCTGAGTGCGCCAGTCTGAATCCAACGTCCTTTTTCCAACTCAACAGACAACTTCGCACGCATGCCGACTCAATAGTTCAATACTGAACAAGAGCCTCTTCCCTGCAGACCTTCTGATCGAATAATGCGTCTACTAGCATACAACAACGATGGCGAGTTCAGCCTAACCGAGTTCTTTGACGACAACATTCCCAAGTATGCTATACTTTCGCACAGATGGGGAGCGGAGGAGGTCACCTTGGCAGATCTAATGAATGGTACCGACAAGAAAATGGCTGGCTATAGTAAGATACGGTTCTGCGGAGAACAAGCTAGGCATGACGGTTTGCCGTACTTCTGGGTGGACACCTGTTGTGTCGACAAATCGAATAGTACCGAGCTCGCAGAGGCTATTAACTCTATGTTTCACTGGTACCATGGTGCGACTAAATATTACGTCTATTTATCAGATGTTTCGAGACCTCCCTCCCATACGGATAATAAGTCCAGCGAGTTACATTGGGAAGCGACATTTCGGAAGAGCATATGGTTCACTCGACGCTGGACCCTTCAAGAGCTTATTGCTCCGGCATCAGTTGAATTCTTCTCAGAAGAGGGGGAGCTACTAGGCAATAAGGCATCCCTAGAACGACATATCTGCGAGATAACAGGAATTCCCGTCAAAGCCCTACGAGGAAACTCTTTGTCTAATTTCAGTATTACTGAGCGAATGTCATGGTCAGAAAAACGTGAGACGACTCGCAGAGAGGATATGGCATACTCGCTACTGGGAATTTTCGATATCAAGATGCCGCTGATCTATGGCGAAGGAAGAGAGAGGGCGTTAAAGCGACTTAGAGAGGAGATTAACAAGGCTTCAAAGGGTAGGTCCTTCTCTTTTGTCACTAGTACCTATATAAAGTAATAGCGCATTTGGTTATTAGGAAGCCGCTGACCAGAGTAGGGATTAGACGCGAGGACTTCTCGGTCACCTTCAGTCTCTCTAATGTTCCTGAGATCGAATACTTCGTGGCCAGAGAAGCGGAGCTCGTGGAGATATACAAGACACTTAGTAGTGACGGCTCTCGCCGAATAGTTATTCTTCACGGTCTGGGCGGAATCGGCAAGACACAACTTAGTATTGCATACGCAAAGCGGTATAAGGATAGCTACTCGGCAATATTCTGGCTAAATATTAAGGATGAGGATTCTTTAAAGCAGAGCTTTACTAAAGCAGCCAGGAAAATATTACGAGAACACCCCTTAGCCAGCCGGCTAAGCATTGCTACAAATGAAAACCTCGACGACATGGTAGATTTTGTTAAGGCATGGCTGAGTCTGTCTGACAATACGCGATGGCTGATAATATACGATAATTACGATAATCCCAAATTGCCTGGAAACATGGATCCTGCGGCCGTAGATATCCGAAAATTCCTCCCTGAGTCCTATCAAGGGTCAATTATTATTACAACGCGGTTATCGCAAGTTATATTTGGTCATCCTATCCAGATTCGTAAGCTCGGGGATGTACGTAATAGTCTTGAGATTCTGTCAAACGCTTCGAGACGGGAAGGACTAAGAAGTGGTATGGCACTCTAGATATTTTTACTATAGCTCTAATCTCAATACTAGATCCCGATGCCACTAAGCTTGCTAAGGAATTGGATGGACTTCCTCTTGCACTAGCTACAGCTGGAGCATACATTGACCAAGTAGCCATAAGTTTCTCAGACTATCTTCGTCTATATAAGGCGTCGTGGCTGAAACTCCAGAAGACGAGTCCAGAGCTTAGCTCATATGAGGACCGAACGCTTTACTCTACTTGGCAGCTTTCGTTCAACCACGTTAAGCAACAGAACGAACTTTCGGCAAAGCTTCTTCAGTTATGGGCATACTTTGATAATCAGGATATCTGGTTCGAGCTTCTTCGGCATAGCGATTCAGAGGATCCAAACTGGATACGGGAGCTAACTAAAGATGAACTAAGCTTTAATAGCGCAGTTCGAGTATTGTGTAACCACGGGTTAGCGGATGCAAACGTGGATTCGCAGGGATGGATCGAGTCAAGCGGGTATAGCATGCATGGCTGTGTTCATTCCTGGACGGTTCATGTATTAAATCAGGAATGGAATCAAGGTTTGGCGAGGCTAGCTCTAAAGTTTGTCGGATCACATGTTCCAGCAAATGAGGCCGATAAGTGGTGGCTTACACAACGGCGGCTTCTCAAGCATGCAGCTAGATGTTCATACATGATATTGAGTGGTGTGGTTACAGGTGTTGACATAGAATGGGTATGTCTCCATCTTGGCAACCTCTATCAGCAACAAGGCAAGCTGAGCGACGCGGAGAAGATGTACTTGCGGGCGCGGCAAGGATACGAGAAGGCACTTGGTCCAAAACACACGTCGACCCTTGGCACGGTCAATAACCTGGGCATCCTCTATGAGAATCAAGGCAAGCTGGGCGAGGCCGAGAAGATGTACGTACGGGCGCTGCAAGGATACGAGGTTGCACGTGGTCCAAAGCACCTATCGACGCTTGACACGGTCAATAACCTGGGCATCCTCTACAGAATCCAAGATAAGTTGGATGAGGCGGAGAAGATGTGCATACGGGCGCTACAAGGATACGAGGAGGCACGTGGTCCGAAGCACACAACAACACTCCAGATACTCAACAGCCTGGGCGTCGTCTACGCAGATCAAGGCAAGCTGGGCGAGGCGGAGAAGATGTACACGCGGGCGATAGCAGGACTCGAGGAGACACTTGGTCCAAGACACACGTTGACGCTTGATACGGTCAATAACCTGGGCATGCTCTACAGGAAACAAGACAAGCTGAGGGAGGCGGAGGAGATGTATATGCGGGCGCTGCAAGGATACGAGGCGGCACTTGGTCCGAAGCATACGTCGACACTCCAGACGGTCGGGAACCTAGGCAATCTCTATGCAGACCAGGGTAAGCTGGACGAGGCCGAGAAGATGTGCATGCGGGCAATACAAGGATACGAGGAGGCACGTGGTCCAAAGCACTCATTGACTCTCCAGGCGATCAATAACCTGGGATTGGTCTACGAGGACCAGGGCAAGCTGGATGATGCGGAGAAGATGTACATGCGGGCACTGTAAGGATATGAGGAGGCACTGGGACATGAGCAGCTTAACTATTACCCTTACGCTCTTAATACAATGGAAAGCTACGGCATGCTATTGGCGGATATAAACTCCCTAGACTAGGTGGAGGAGTTAATCACGTAAGCCCTCTCTAGTCTGGCAGAAATGCTTGGGCATTCAAGCCAAAGATGTCAGTGTACCACTGCAAGATTAAGCACGCACAGAGACTCGACGATATCAGAAAGACGAAGCAGTAGTAGGAAGCGCCGGTGGTTGAATGTCCCTAAGTTTATTCGGAGGCCTCGAAGTCAGCAGTAACAGTAGAAGTCTTCTTACATCCTTGGATATCTAGCGTAGGTCATTTTAACATTTTATGTACTTTTGGCAAACTACATATCGATTTATTTTCGAGAAATTTCATATAAAAATTGAGATACATTGCTTGAAGAGTAGTGCATTAGGTCACGAGGTGCCAAAAAATTAAGTTACGGTATCATACGCCAACAACACAAGCATGTCTTGCGTTAAATTCCTGCTGTATTGGGATGAGCAGGCATGGCATGATCTAATTGGACAACGCTTAGGGTGAAGCCGGTTTTGCAACGCACTGTACCTCACGTACTGTACCGCTGTATTTAACTCATGTTTACACTCAAAAGAGCCGGGAGTGGCTCTTTTTGCCAGGGTTGGGTTCCGGAGCTGGGCATTGGAACTGCCTGCTACTATTAATAATCATAATTGGCGATGAAATCCCTGCCCAGCGCTGATGTCAGCCAATCCTCAGGCATTAATTAACTTTACTAAAAGGTGACAAAATCACTAAATACAGGGGTAAAATTTATCTAGCCGTAATAGTACTAGTGTAACTAAAAATGTGGGGCTAAAATAAAATCATAGAGTGTTTAGGACTGAAGCCGATTTCGAACGCGACTGTATCGATTGATTGGGATGTGAAGAAAACTTCATCCACGAATCCTTGCATTAAAGGTCCAAAATATCTCTCTCAATCACGTCCACAGCCGATGTTCACGACAGCGGCCTGTGATTAGATGCATGTTTGTCACATGAGGCCGACAAAACCCGTGTGTAGCCGCACGGCTATCAAAATCGCGGAATTCAAGAACCTGAACGTCAGACGAGACCTCCCGAATCCACAGCGGAACCGCAGTCCCAGGAGCATGGGCTTGGCTGGCTGTACCGTCCCGTCCTATGAAATCAAACCCTCACTCCCAAAAGACTGGCACTGACAATGGCGATGCTGCACCCAAGCAAACACGCCCTTTGCACGTCAGCCTGTCAGGGGATCGAACTCGCTCGCCCCGTGATGCTGTCCCCTCTTCCTGTCTATCGGCATGGCTGTGGATCTGCACCGGGCCAAGATGGGTCTCGGAACTCGGGTCTGTGTGGCACTAGAAGTGTCTGCAAAGCTTTTGCTGTGGCTTTCTGCGTGTGCAGATAACTCCTTGTTGATGCTCTCTTTGTTTCTATTGTCAAATCAAACCTTCTTACAACTACAAAGACATCTCTCGCTACCGATTGCCTTACTCCCGGCCTACCTATCCATCCCACCAAATGGCTCCGTCAGCAATCACCCCACCACAGGGCGTCCAGGAGACCTCTGAGCTCACTGCAGCTGCCGTTGCCGGAAAAATTGCCCAGACCGCCCCTGGGCTACTGAAAAGGTGAGTGTTCGAGTTTCCACCACCGCAATTGCGGTTCATCCGAGTTATACCCATTCTCAGACGTCTATGAGCCAGATATCGTGATCCTCTGTACTGTCCACTCCATGTTTTGAACTTGAGTTCAATTTCATTCATTTAAGATATCAATCAACTTCGTATCCGTTGCAAATCATTGGAGGGTTGCTGATCCTTTGAACAGTGGCGTTAAAACCACGCTTCGACCCCTAGATGCCTCGAGATTAAGGTTCACGAGAACCACCACCCCAATGACGGTTCCCCAGCCTGGAGATCCAATCATAGCCACAGCTTCTCAATGTACGGACCACATGATAACGGCTGTGTGGAGATCGACCACCGGCTGGGGCGATCCTGAGCTGAGGCCTTATGGCAACCTTTCTTTGGCTCCTACCGCAAGTGTGCTTCATTACGCTACTGAGTGTTTCGAGGGCATGAAGATGTATCGCGGATTTGATAGAAAGCTTAGACTCTTCAGACCAGATTCAAATTGTAAGCGAATGCTTGTGTCGTCAACCCGAATTGCACTTCCAGGCTTCGACCCAAAGGAACTTGAGAAGTTGATCATTGCCATGATCGCTGTAGATGGACCAAAATGGCTACCTAAAGCTGGAACATTTTTATATTTAAGACCAACGATGATTGGGTCGGCAGGGGTATGTTCCTTCTCCCATTTCTACCCAATCATTTAAATGTCCTGAGAGTTGAGAGACGTCACTCGAACTTTGTATTGATTTTAGAATTAGGCACTCGGCGTAGCAACACCGAAAGAAGCTACTCTTTTCGTGATTGCAACTTTTATGCCTCCTCTCGGAGCACCCCAGGGATTGAAGTTGTTGGCCTCCACGGATGGCGTTAGAGCCTGGCCCGGCGGTTTTGGGTTTGCTAAGGTTGGTGCGAATTATGGCCCAAGTTTGATGGCAAATGGAGAGGCGCGAGCCCGAGGCTACGATCAGGTCCTATGGCTGTTGAACGGCCAAATCACGGAGGCTGGCGCGAGTAATTTCTTTGTGATGTGGAAGTCAAAGGAAGGGAAAACGCAGTTGGTGACTGCTCCTTTGGGCGACAAGATTATTTTGGACGGAGTCACAAGAAGAAGCATTTTGCAATTGACTCGTGAGAGGTTGTCACACGGAAGAACTGGCCAGGATCCTGTCGAGATCGTGGAGCGCCAATTTACTATGGAAGACATCGTGCAGGCCGTAAATGAGGGACGCATCTTAGAGGCCTTTGCGGCAGGAACAGCTGTAAGTTTGATCATCACCACGTTTCAAACGATTCTGACCATCAACATTAGTATTTCGTGTGTCCTGTCTCCGTCATTCATTACAAAAACCAAGATCTCCAGATTCCTATGTCCCAAGGCGATAGTGGACCTTATACCGCTTTGGTCAAGAGCTGGCTAGTTGATATCATGTAAGTGATTGTCGAAGCCCTGTTTCCTACTTGTGTTCCAGGAGTCGCTGTTCCTGCGCATATCATTGGAAGGGATGACTCGTGAAAATCGTTGTTCGATTCTCGGTTTTCTGATTTCTCATGCAAAGCTAACTCGGACGTTGTCAGGTACGGAAGAGAGCAGCACGAGTGGGGTGTGGTGGTGGAAGAGGAACAGCCCTTCTGAGTGATATCTTTGGCGTTTTAAAATCATTCAGTTTGGAAAATTGGACAGGAATCGCCTGTTATCAGCGTGTTTTTTTTTTTGGCAAGTCAGAATAATAATAAATAGAACGTCCCATGTTTCTGTTAAACATGCAAAGGGGTTGTGGGCTTAGCGAATGCTCGTTTTTTACTGTTGCAATCCTTAATCCAACGCCGAACTTCCATCTCGTTCTCTCAAACTGCGGCCTTAAAGTAACATTTCATGTCTGTTTTTTCCCCTGCTGGATTCGTCTGTTATGTGTAAAATCCCTCGAGGTACTGCATTAGTTTGGGATATAATTGATGTATTGGGTTCGTCTGGACAGCATGCTTAGCTCAAGAGTAAGTCGAAAGGGGTCCGTCGAGAAGTCTCTAGCGGCGTCTTCCTTGATATTCTTAGCCGCGGGACGCTTGATATGAGTTCCGCATTGCGATCACATACGGGCAATAACACACCTTTGCTTCCTCTCCTGTTGAGTCGGGGCGACATTGGATATCCCTGGGTCAATTGCCAAATCCAGGAAGCAGTATCCAAGATATTAACAAGGAATTATGTGGTGAAGAGCCACCTTTTTATTCCTGTTCTCGCTGTCCACTTTCTTATCGTATTATTTTGGTTCGAGTGAATTATTAGTCTCCCCATCTCCCGCAGTACGTACCAAACTTTTACATGGAGGGAACACAGACCAATCAACCGGTGAATTTGAGTAACGGTAGTAGGTTGACTCAACATACAGGGCTGGAAATTTTGAAAAGAACTGGCCTAGCAAATTTATATCTCAGGTTGTGCGCACGCTTTGAACATTCATCATACAACCTGTTCGACGACACACTACAATCACACATCTCAGACTACACAAGAACTCGAATCAAGTTTCCAATTTGTCCACTCCATAAGATGGCAATTCGCTTCAACAAGGTCAACTGGTTCCAGACCAAAGCCTCAAGACGTGTCGACAAGCAACAATCACCACGCTCAGTAAGAAAACCCAGAAGACGACCTCACTGGGGATCAAAAGATGCCTACCTCGGTCTTCCCAGATACGACTGCCAGTCACCAATAGAGAAACACAAGAAGATAAAAGGCCTCGATTGTGAGATCCACGCAAAGATTCTCCGACAACGTTTGCAAGATCTTCTGGTTACCTGGAAAGGTCACAACATCCACACAGAGGTCAAAGAAAGCCCTTTCGGACACAGCTCGATCAAGTCTGCTCGTCCACAACAACCATCAACAGAAACCAATCCCCAGCCTCCTCCATCAACGGCATGCAATTCGGATATCCGCTACGACAACTCTTTGAACGAATGTTTAAAAGCAGCTGAACTCGACCCACAAAATATCAAGATTCTCTACCAGCTTGCAAGCATCTACACCGGCTTAGGGCGCTCTCAAGATGCTACCAACATATGTGCACGCATTGAGTCGGTACTTCGCCCACCGAGGGCAATGCCCTGCCGCCAACGACCAGTTCCGATCCGCAAGGAAGTTCCACACATCAACCCGAACTTTACCGCCACTCTCGCAAAACTCGGTTCGACGACTACTTCTGGACCAGCAAACGGCAACCAAATCCCGTTATTCGACCCGGCTTCACTCCTGAATACGACAACGCAAGCAACGAGATTCACCATTTCTAGTAATGCGGGCTTCACTGGATACACCTCTCTGGTGGGTATTCGGGTACAACAGCCGTCCTACGCCTCTTTGCGATAGTACGGTGGCCAAACGCGGCAAAGGAGAGTTCGAATGCGGGAAACTCTCTAGACTGAAATTCAGTATCAAGACAAAAAGAATGAAGTGAAAAAACTTCCTCGATGTCAACTACATATCCTGGAAGAAGATAGGGCTCGAGGAGGACATGAGAGAGGGACTTGGGCAGAGAATGAGGGAGGGAGCGATAGAAGGGGACAGGGACAGGGACAGGGAAGGGGTAAGGGAGAGCGGGAGATAGATCTTTCAACGAGGGACGAAATCACGCAATGACGGAAGATTTATGAAGTGCTAAGTCTCTGCAATTGATGGGCTTGGAAGCTAGATAATGGAATGCAAGGGTTGATCAAGTATGTTTCGCAGCAAACCGCACAGCTTCAAATGTGTCAATATTTCCTATGCTCAAGTCAGCAGGTGTGAAAAATGCAGCGGTCCGGACTTGCATACTTCAGCCACAAAGATCATGGTGCCTCTGAATTGTGTTTGAGTACTTTCGTTCGGCCATTCTCTATGTGACGACACCTATTTCTGGGGTTAACGAATGAGTTGATGTAATTGCCAAAGGAGAAGTTTGACCTTGCCGCAATGGGAAGTTAATCTTGAATGAGTGCTTGCAGCAGTCTTGCTTGCTCTTTCTTCGCCGCGACGTCCAACTCCTGTGGTTTTATCAGAACATATCTGTAATACGCAAGCGGATATTGCCAACCTTCTCCGAAGCTTTCATCTTTTGCAAGATTTTTGGTCCAGTATCCTCAATCTCCTCATCAAACTCCCCAACACGAGAACTGTGCTCCAGATCCAGCAACTCCATCTCTCTTTGGAAACCTTTCTGCCTGACCTTCAAGCCAGTAGCAGCGGCACCAAAGACCTCTGGCCCAAACACTTCGACACCCAGCTCGATATACTCGTTCTGTAAGTCCTCCCAGTGCTTCCAAGATTCCTTCAACTTGACCTCCTCCTTCTCGACAAACTTCTTGAATGTTGATACACGCTTGCCAATCTCGACCACTTCGGTCTTGCGTTTGCCGTCCCTGCTGATGGTAGTCTCGATTTTCTCATTCAGGAGTGGGGCGCTTAGAGTAGCAGCGGCTTCTGCGAGTTCTTGAAAGAAGGATCCACTTGTACTCTTGGAGACCTCGAGTCTTTCAGAAAAGCCAGCATGGACATCATCGAAGTTTGCCTTGGCATTCGCGTTCAGAGCATCACGAGTTATCTCAATGCCATCTGGATTCTAGTCAGCCTCGTGCTCGATACAGTCTTCAGTAGTGTACCTCGAAAGTAATCCAAAAGCTCAGGCTCCGGAGTTGGCTCTCTGACTTCTCTGCGTCGATGGTGCTTCTTCTCGCGCAGATTGACCTTTGGCTTCTTCTTGAAGATACCAGCTGCGGAGACAGTTCGCTTAACATTCGCGCTGTTCTCGTTCTGTGCGTCCTTGCCATTGGGAGCGTCGCGAACTGGGCGTTGAATTGACAAAGCTTCTTTAGGTGCGTAGCGGTGGACTACTTCCTGGGCACCGGAAATACGAGCTGATTTTCCCCGCCGGGTTTGATTGACCTCGCGTTCCTGCCTGTGAGGTTTAATTGTCTGTCGAGCCATCTTGGCTGCGACGGCTTTGGCCTAACGAATTGGTAGCTGGAATTTGACAGTGAAAGACTGGAGGGGATGAGGTCTATCGATAATGGCAAGGATGGCCTGGTGCTGGCTCACAATCCCGATACCAAGACTTGGATGGAGTTCTTGAAAACGCGTGGGGAAATAGACACGACGCGAAGCGAAAACGCGAGAAAGGAGAGGCTCTGGGCAAATTCATCACCCAAGGCTGCAATAGGGTGAATGTTGAGCTACCCCAAGCGAAATTAACCTAGTTGCTTGCATTCAGTCTTGCAGTATGTTGTTGTTTATTCTCCTACAGCAGCGATTCTGTGCTCCTACTAGGAATATTTGCAGCTGCTGAGCAGTCTTGACCAGCAGAACACCAAGTTCGATACAGAAACTGGTTCCCTGGAGCTGCAAAGCTTGAGAAGCTCTTTAACTCGTAGATGTCATGTGAGATAGATACCTAGAAGCCAAGTTCCATTCCGGATACCTTAGCTCAAATCTTGGGGAAACATATTCCTGGAAACACTTCAAGAGAATATTGACAAACCTGCCCCTTTCCCATCGTAAAATGTCATAATCCAATTTCGATAGCCCCGAGAGTCATGCAATGCCTTGCTTCTGCCCGTTACTCGTGGAGACCAAACCTCTTCTCAATAACCTCCACGATCTCTTTCCAATCCTTCATAGCTCCATCTCCCACATCGCCACAAGCCAGCTCCTTTTCCTGGGGTCTCAACACCTCGAACCATCCATCATTCTCTTCCTCATGCGAGTCCATGCTTTCCTCACGAACGCCCCAATCCTCCTCCAACACCTTGATCTGAGATTTCGTTATAGGATGCCTCCACATGGCAGTATTCATCGCTGGAGCAACAATAATCCTCTTCTTAAGCCTCGGCAGTCCGGGCTCCTGACTTGATTCTTCCAACTGGCCTGTCGGATCCCAAGCTCGCACCACACTCGTTAGCAAGTTATCGCTGAATCCACCAGTAATTTTAGCCAGTGTGTTGGCACTAAGAGGAGCAATAACAAGCATATGTGCCCATCTCCTCAACTCAATGTGAAGAATGCCATTCCCGCGTTTCCACGGATGATGCCACTCCTCTTCATCGAGATAGACGCCATCCACATTCTTGATTCGACGTAGGATCTCGATATGAGGTTGTTCCGCGCTCTGGCCTGCGAGGAAGGTGGATGCGGATTGGGTGAGCACGAGGCGGATGGACAGATTGGGGTGGTGAGAGAGGGCATGGAGGATGTTGGGGATTTTGATGGTTGCTACTGAACCGCTGGCTGCGAGGAGGAGATGGTGTCTGCCGTCGTTGGAGTGCTCGGAGGCTACGAATAGGGGAGGGTCGCCGGAGATCTCTGTTCGGTGGACGTCGTGTTCGGGGTGGATCATTTGCAACATGTTTGCTGTAATTTGGATATTGTTCCTGTGGGAGAGGTCAAGGTGGGTGGTGTTTGATCATTGTATCTTCGAAAGAGGGGGAAGGCGACGCGAGAAAAAAGAACTTTGTGTGGTCATTCCTGATAAGGTCGTATGATCTTGCTGAAATGCGGGAAGTTGCTACTCACGCAAGGCTGTGATTACTTTACAGATCAGAAGGGAGCTCTTATGATTGGCCAGCCTGATTGCCTCCTCAACATCATCGAATCTTTCTCACAACCTTCACAACTCATTATTGTGACAACAAAGATGGTTTCAAGACCACTATTATCCTCGGTATGATTTATGCTCTCCTTATTACCCAGAGTAATACTAATACCAAGCCTCTCTAGGCATTCCGCCAAGCTACCCGGCCAGCTCCAACATTCGCGTCCAAATTCTCCTCCCCCCGATTCTTCCCCATCTCCGCCCGTTTCCTCTCTGCAGAGACCAAAGCCGCCATTGATAAAGCCGTGGGGTCCGCACCGGTGGTATTGTTCATGAAAGGCACGCCCGAGACTCCGCAATGTGGATTCTCGAGAGCTAGTATCCAGATTCTGGGACTGCAGGGTGTGGATCCGCAGAAGTTTAATGCGCTTAATGTGCTGGAGGATGAGGATTTGAGACAAGGTATGGCTGTGTAGATTTTGATGTGGGAAGGCGAGGGCTTACGAGAGGATAGGCATCAAAGAGTACTCGGAGTGGCCGACTATACCGCAGCTGTATGTTGACAAGGAATTCGTTGGGGGTTGTGATATTTTGGTGGCTATGCATCAGAATGGAGAGCTGGCGAAGATGTTCGAGGAGAAGAAGGTGTTGATACTTGCCGAAGGGGAAGCCTCCAAGTAGGGTGGAAATGCTGTATTAATGTACAACAAGTGTTTAAAACTCCACATTGATCGGATGATTATAGCTTAGTGGGACTTTTTCAGTTGAATCTCTCAATCAATTTAGGACGATAAGCCGAAGGTTGGCATATCCCGCAAAGCACAGCTTTCATACACTGCAAAGGCTAGTCGCCATTATATCACTTCAATAGCGATTCGAATTCTTCTCCCAAATCACCAACCTCGTTCTTCCCTTTCAACCCCACAATCCCTTTCAAAAACCTCTTGACACGCTTCTTCTCTCCAAGTTCAAGTCATCCCAGACCAAGTCGTTGTGTTTTCCCATCTCGGAGCTCGTCCACCTCATACAATAAAACAGCCGCTGATTCTGGTCCCCTTTCACAAATTCTGGGTCATAAGCAGAGGGCACGCTTGTGAGGATGGCAAGGCCAGTCTCCGTGCGGTACCACGGAAATCTCAGGGCAGCAGAGCAATATTGTACCTGAATATGTATTGTGCAGCTGAGGTCCTAATACTGGACATGGATCGACCTTTCATCTGTCAGTCCCCATCATGAAAAGCTGGATTTTATAATAGCCTACCGATTTTCTAGTTCCCTCTTTCCGATTGCCTCTTTGACAGAATCAAGGACACCATTCATCCCGTCGAGCACCGCCTATCTGAACTTCCCATTACTTGCTCGGGTATTGGAGGATTGCCTTGGGAAGGCCAAGGCCAGTCGGACTCTGTTGAGGTAGAGTTCTTGGCCTAGATACTCGGTCATCAACCTGTCCTTTCTTGTCATGATACGCAAGTCGTCTGGGCCATCTTGATCGGTTCTTTGATTTGATTTCGTCAGTTATCTCCTTCCTTCTCGTTTTTGAGGGAAAATACTGTGAGAACAGTGTTACCTCGCCCCTCCAAAAACTCCTTGTCCGGGAACTTGCTCGACGATAGCTTTCGTAGTTCTGATATGCCAGATTTGACGGAAGCGAGCCCGCTCTTGACGCTGTGAATGAGGCTGCAGTGCGCCATCTGTTCTAGTCCAACCACGAATATCCTCCCATTCGCGAATAGTACGTATGCTAGTGATGAATTGAGGCTATTCACGAATGGCGTATACCAGTCATGAAGGTCTTATTATTCCAGTTGGCATAGGCCGGTCACAAATCCCACGTACTATACTAGTAAGGTATATAAGTCTATTCTTGACTAGCATATGTCAGTCACAAATGTGAGGCTATTCTCATTTAGCACCTTCCCAAAAAGTGGTATGTAGGAGTAAGTGTAAATTCAATCTAGCTACTTATCTACACTATAAAAATAGTAAAGGATAGAAGAATCAAGCTTAAAATTAACGTGGGAGATGCGAAGTATTAGGAAAGCTTCACCATTACTCTATAGTTTGCGTACTAATTAGACTAACTACTAACTTGGCCAGTGGCTGATGTGAGGTTATTCCCCGGTGGCATACGCCCTTCGCGAACAGCCTCACATTAGCGTACAACTTCGTGACTGGGCAGGTTACATTCGTGGGAGGACTAGAACACATGTTGTTGGTTTGAGCTGGTGCCCGTTGGACGCCCGAGGGGTTGCGGGGTGAGGGTTGATGATAGATTGAGGGGCAAAGGGACCGTGCCAGCAACACATTCCGGGAAGTAAGGAATGCTGTGCGTGTCCAGCCTATCCATGAAAGCCTGGACCTATCCTCTTGTCACGCTCGTTTGAAGTTCTTGCTTCTAGCTTCTCCATTACAGTCCAGACACAAGTTCCTGGAGTAGACACATTTCCTGGTTTAGCGAGAAGAAGATCAGATGCTACCGAATGTATTGCAAAGTGCAAACATCAAGGTCTAAATATATACAAGAAGGTCTAACTCATGAAGAGATCATCGACGTCTTTGAAATGTGCTCCTGGCACCTCATCTAATCATCATGATGCTATGTGATTTCCAATTTGTTGTGACGCCGTCTACGTGCAGCCTCCCAATCCTATGCTTTGAATGAACATGGCCAAAGAGACTCGTGATCATCGACTAGCGACATCGGTGCTGAGAGATCGACTCTGCGAAGCAGAAGGACCTAGTTGAACCACCAAGTGGCATTGGTACGACCTATTGCGAGCTCATCGAGGTCCAGGAAGGCCGCGTTCGAGAGATCGATCGCGTAGTCGTTGCACCCCATGCACTTGTCAACAACAGTAGCAGTAGTGGTCTTGCCAGTTGATGGACATTTGATTGTGATGGTCTTTCCGCAGTATGGGTTGGTGTTTGAAAGAGGACCCATCAAAACATGCGGGAGAGCAACGACCTTATCAGTTGTTCCATTATTCGTTAATCCGCATGCTCCAAGACCCGCCTCATAATAAGTCATGTCTCCTTGGCATGGGCTGCCCGATGAGCATGTGCCGCCTGAGGAGTCAGAGGAGGAGGGGCTCGAGGCAGCAGGAGCCGCAGCAGCGCTAGTTTCCGCGGGTGGGGTGTACACTGGAGCAACGTAGGCAGGGGCCTCTATCGTCGAGCTGGGAGTTGGAGCAGGAGTAACCCCAACGGCTATTGAGGTTGTTGTTGGAGGGGTGTATGGAGAAGCCGGGATTGGTGCAATATGGATGGGTGTTGATGTTGATGTTGCCGATGGACTCGCTGGCCGGTTTCCACCCTCGAAAAACTGAGCAGGGATTCCGGAAGAGGAAGACGGCGTGGAGGAGGAAGTCGTGGGAGCAACATAACCCTCGGATACCCAGACAGTAGTAGTGGTATCAACAGTCGTGTATTCGGTGACCCAGTCAGTGACCCATACTACTTCCTCAGCGCGTTTGTTGTGGTGATGCCTCGCATTGTGCTGGTGGTGGGGTTGGGCAATGGCAGTGGAAGCCAGGAGAGACGAAAGGACAAGGATTGTTGACTTCATGATGCGCGTGATAATGTTCGAATTGAGAGCGGTACAGGGCAAGTCCTCCAATGCTCGGTAATTGTCTGAAAAGAGAAATTCGTTGGATCGTCTGGCGATGGATGGTGGTGGTGGTTGTGGTGGTGGTGGTGCAATTGTGTGTTTGTGTCCTGCAGAAGGGAATGAGAATGGTAACTTAGAAGAAGGTGGTTGTCCGAAGGAATGAATGTACAGCACGCCGTCGACCAAAGCGAAGGTGTGGGAAAGGAATGTTGTTGTTGAAGAAGAGTAGGAAGAGCAGGACGACAGGAAGATCAGTAGAGTGGAGTGGAGTGAAGTGTCAAAACGAATTCACCAAGCTGGCTGGCATGCAGGGGAAGCCAGGAGGGGTCGGGGGTCGGGTTCGAGGCCGGGGTTCGGACTGGATTGGCGAGGACGGCGTTGCCCCACCACGCCACCTGTGTTTTTTTTCTTCGCGTCCCGTTTTAGCTCAGGGGCGGGGGCCAGCCACCCAATGGCACGTAGCACACAGCACGCGGGCATGCCGCCCTGCCCATGCCCTGCCCTGCTGGTTGGCTCCATCTCAGCTTTTTTTGCTCCCGTTCCTGCATTCTGGCCCGTGCACGCAGTCGTGCTCCTCCTCCCACCCCCTGCTCCACGGACGACGATCCTCACAGCACTGCTCAACACGAGTATTTTCTGTGAGCACGAGCGAGCACTGGCTCACCTCACCACCTCACCACCTCACCTCACCTGCACAGAAACCTCGATACTTTTGCTGCGCAGATTCCGAGCCAGGCATTGAATCCAACTGACAACTCCAAACACAACTCCAGAGCACAACTCCAAAACTCCCGCTGTCCGGTGATGTCCGCTCGCGTCCGCTGATGTCCGCAGTGCTACATCAGACCCTCAGCCACGATGTTGATCTTTCCCCTTACCCGTAGTTGACTCGTAATTGGGATGAACTGGACCGACTCCGCATCCAAGCTCCCGCCCGCCCCACAGACAGGGGATGCAAGATTTTCTTCCTCTTGAAACAATCGCTGCACGCCCGCCGAAACATTTCTGGCCAACAGAGAAGGAGAATTGCTGCCGCCAGAGGCTTGCGTATGTCGACGGCCACATCACATGAATCAGACCAGACCGCGATTCGCTGGTCCGCAGTTGTTGTTTTCAGGGGGTAGGGCCACAAGCTCAGGTGAATATGAGGTGTGAGGTGTGGAGTGTGAAGTGTGAAGTCCGAGAATCGAAGCAAAACCTGGCCGCTGGTACAATCCCTCCCCAAGAGGCCACGAGGTGTGCGGGTGCGTCTTGTGTGAGAACGTCTCACTTGGTGGCGCTCCGAACACAGCATTCTCGCTGCAGTGTGACCGTTTCACACAAACCAACCTCACCAAGAGATCCAATCTCACATGCCTTTCACTCGACTAAACCTAACCTGCCCATGAATACGTCATCAATTGATGCTTGAAATGGCCGAATGTGGGAAGTTGGTTGTTATATTGAAGGTCAGTGAGGAGTCCAGATGTGGACTGTGAGGCGACGAGTCAGGTTGAGGAAGGAGCAGCCCCTGAATCTAGGTTGGATGTGGATGAAATCTGCATCAATCTACCGGACTCACATCATCCGATTGACATGCTCGCATCGTCGGTCTCCGGAGTATTTAATCATTGTATACCCTCGTCAGTAGAAGAGAATCATACTCTGCACGACACCGAAAACTGTCCATCAGCCTTATGAGCCAACAGTTCAAATTTTGACTTTTTGCCTCTCCGGCCTTGAAATATAATTACAGACGCTGCTGAACAAGCAGCGCCAGAGAGCCCAATTAGAGCTACCAGAGCCCCTCGGCAATCATCTAATTCCTTCGTGTACGCATCTTTTCCTTCCGCAGAGGTAAATACATGAGAAATGGGCCAATCCAATTGAAAGCTAGCGACCCATGGTATAAATAAATCAACGCTATGCAAAAGTAACGCCCTCCCAGAAAAGAGACCAAGCAGTGTACAAGCTATTCCGTAATCGAGACAGTAGAATGACATCCGTGAGCAGTCGGGGTATATTAAGGAAACTCGTTGGCAGTAATAAAGATTGTATTGATGCAAACGGGTGTTTGTGTTGAGAAAGTAAACAGTGGCTTTATCTTTCATGAGGTGGATATGCCTCGAATCACTCTGGCGGGATTTCCGCAGACAACAGTGTATGGTGGGACGTCCTGGATTGAGGCAGTCAGCAAAAAGTTCTTGACGAGGAAAAAACCAGCAAGTCGGGGATTCAAGGGAGGGTGGCAAGGATAGCACACAACGAACGTACCCTCGTAACGATTGAGCCCGCTCCCACGGTACTACCCTTGCCGATTGTCCGCCCCGGCAGAATGGTAACACCACCACCAATCCAGCAGTCGCTGTCAATGGTAATTTTCCGGCCCAGGTTTGGTCCTCGAGAACCCAGCCTCCTCTTTGGATCAACTGGTAGTGTGGCTGTGTAGATATTGACATTCGGTCCAATGTTGCATCTGTCACCAATCTTAACCTCGCAGGTATCGAGAATGGTACAGTTCTTTCCGATGGCCACATCTTGCCCAATGCTGATATTGTAGCCATAATCACAATTGAAAGGCGCCTCGACAACGACATTGTCGCCTACACGGCCCACCGGAGTGACAGGCGAAGCTTGCGTTGGTGAGATGACATGCTCGCGGGGTTGCAGGATATCTCTAAAAAGGCGCGCACGCTCTTCAGGGGATACACCGTTGTTGGGATTGGTGCTGCTGTTGAACCTCCAGCAAGCTCCATTGCAGCGCTCCCGCTCAAGGACTAGCTCCTTGTCGAATGGGAAGTAGTGGCGGCCTGCAAGCATTTCTTCCTTCTGCGTTCGTTGCCGGGATGTCGAAGCAAGATTCGATAATGCCAATTGTGCCGCAACCTGAGGGTTGGTATGAGGGCTTTCGGAATGCATCTGAGGATGCAAAATCTGCGGCAGGTTGGAAGACGCGGACTGTGGTGTGCCACTTTCCGAATCTGGCCTTGGCTCTTGCCTGGTGAGATCGTGTAAAGGACCTATACGTTCGTAGGCGTTCTTGAGCTGCCGATCCGGGTAAGCAGTGCTGACTGCAGTTATTGGGGTTGGCGTTTGCTGGGCATAAGAAATTGCAGACAACCTGCTGTTCTCAGGACTGGCCACCGAGGCACTTGGGATTGTTGAAGCACTAGGCTGATCGTCATCCAGGCTTATTGGTCGCCCGTGCTGAGGATCTACCCGCAAGGTTTGGCCACGATATCCCGGGAGTGGTTCTCGTCGAGGGTGTCCCAGGTGAGACGAATAGGGCGATGACTGAGTGTAGGGAGAATTCTCGTACTCCGTCTTTGACTGAAGAGGAATTGGTGCTTGCTTTTGTTCTGTCTTGGGCCATTGGCCTCGTTGTTGATAGCCCGAGCAGACAAACCCACCCCTCAGGCAGTTGTTGCCTATTTTCATCATTAGCATTCATGTGCTCATCAAAATCATGAGCCGATTTGTAATTGACGCCACTCACACTCGGGCCTATTCTCGTCACACTTCTTCTTACGTCGGCGGCATGTCATGCAACCCGTTTTGGTTCGGTTGCTGAAGTTTCTCTTCCGTTTTTTCGGATCGGATTGTGCAGACATTTCCCGTCTGTCATTTCCATACCCACTGTACGGATTGGCAGATCTGTCATCATCAGGAGGACTACCATATTCACGTTGAGCATCCATGCTCTGGGAGGCTCTCTGCAATACCTCTCCGATATGTTCATCTGACGTGAGATGCCCCTGTTGAGAGTATTGACGAGAATGCCAGATATCGCTTCCTGCAGCAGATTCCTGGTTATCTTCAGAAGCTATAAACTGTCTGAATTGAGCGTCAGATCCATAAGATTGGCGTGGATCCGAGTGTGGTGGGGCACGAAGAGCCTCTTCTCGGGGTCCATCTGACTCCGTGGTTGCAGTGGTCGGTGTTTGTTTGGTAGAAGATGGCAAAGCATGACTGTGGTACGAATTGGCAGACGATGAGTTCTGGTCGATTGAGCCTGATCTCTTACGCTTGTGTGAAACTTCACTCTCGGTGTATGGGCCAGGAGGCTGATAAGGGTGCCTGTCTATATTTTGAGGCGCAATCCAATCTTCCCTCTGAGTCGTGGTCGTGGTGATGGTCAATTTTTCCTGACCAGGGGGAGAAATCCTCGGTTTACCATTCGACCTTTCATCAGAACCTCTCCTGGAGCCATTGTTTCCATTCATCCCGATCGATGGGCCTGGTTGCTCCTTTCCGTTTACCGCGGTGAATCGAGACGTTGGTGATTCCTCTCCCCCCAAGCCAGCTGCCGTAGCCATCTGGAATGTAGAAGGAGCGTCCCCAGCGAATTTGGCCGTCACCAAGGTAGTGCCTAATACTTCCCTGGCTAGACTGACAAAGCCCAGGCTTCCCAGCGGACTCTTGTGTGTCGCCGTGTTGACGGTTGTTTTGGACAAACAGAGCCTCGTCGCGAGGCACTTCCAAGACTTCTGCTAACCTCCCCTCCCCTCAGACGAGGACGAAAATAAATCACGACAACAGGCGGCCCTAGCCTTCTCACTTCGAAATTCCACCTGGTCGGGAGGAGTGCTTTTCCAGAAGTCGAATATGACCCTCGAGAGTGAATCGTGGGTTGGCTCCAGTACGGAAACTCTTTCCTGATTTCCTAAGACTGATCAAGCGAGAGCAACTTTCTTCGATGTCGTCAACTTCTTGCACAATTCTTCTTTTTTGTCGGTTCCAACTCAAAACTCCCAAGTACCTCTCAACCACTCTCTTTGATCCCGTTCTTGGTGCAACTGCTCACTTTTCAGCTTGGTTGGCTCGCGTTCCCCTCAATCCAACGATTCCTCCTCCTGTTCTTCTAGATTCTCGTTTCTCGGAGTTTCCGGCACTATCTCTCTTCAACGATTGAAGTCTCAATCCTGGACGGCTGGGCCTGAATATACTAGGACAAGAGGATGATGGGCAATGATGTTATCTGATCCACAATAAGGCCGTGAAAGGAAGTCCCTGCAAGTTTGTGTCTCATGGGCCTCGTGCTACGGTCACTGGACTAAAATCCGCCGTCGTGGGGTTGCGTTGAGGCGGTTGATCCGAACTGGCGCGCCTTGCGTAACAATGAATTGATCCAGGAACGTCGACAAACTGGCATTGAGGACTGCCTTCAGGTGAGTTTCACGCCGCCTTCGGCATACGTCCCTTGGTGGATAAATGCAGATTCCGTTAGGTCGTAAGCTGATCAGTGAGCTTTAGAAGTTTCCCCGTGAGTTCACGTGGCACAGTTGTGACAGAATTAGAAAAAGGACGAGGGACCGGCCAAATCGTCTATGCTTTCGTCTCGTTCAACTTTGTTTTCCCCCGCCCAGCTGCACCCGAGTCAGTGCTGCAAACGCGTGTAACTCGAATCGATTCCTGGTCGGCCGCGATCGATAGAACTAAATGCAGACGGATCCTCTGCTGGGATTGCGAATATTGACTTGCACTGGGACTGCACTGGACAGGACAGGACAGGACAGGACAGGACAGGACAGGACAGGACTGGTCTGGAGTGGAGTGGAGTGGAGGTGGACCTGATGGAAGGCGAGGAGGGAAGGACGCACGCAGACCCAGTGGCTTGGTAACGGACGACGCAAAGAATGCTCGCCGTTTGGGGCTGCTGCCAATATATTGACGCTCGCCTGTGGTTCAGTCGTCATGGGGTGGGTGCTGTGCCCTCCTGGCACGGAGCCATATCGCGCGCCTATTGCGGGACCACGTCGCTAAGGCCCCTGGCGGTTCAGCTTACGGCCCCCGCTGCGTCAGACACCAGCCCGCATGCGTCCAGCTTGTATGCTTGCACGGTATCAATTATTCATCGAGGCTGCCACGGCGAGGGTCCAAAGATTGCAAGGCGTGTGCCGTGGCGATCGTTGGTTTCACGCATGCTGGATCTGGGAAGTCACACGGGCCGGGGGCCATTCTCAGGGCATTTTCCAGCCTTGTCTCTCCGCACATCAGCACTATCACCACTACGCAGCAGGCCAGCAAGTGAGAGGGGGGAAGAGAGCCAGTCCGCGGGATCGCTGGGCGGGAGCAGGAGCAGATGAGGTGCATATGGCACGTTTGTGCTCTTACAGCAGTCCGGAGAGATGGGAAGGCTTCCCAGCCTGGCGCCGGCAGACCAGGGTTCCTCAACGACAGCCAGACGTAGCTTCACGCTTTGCCCGTTCCCCCTCCCACCTGCCTCTCCCTCCTGCTGCGCTCTGCCATCGCTGGACAGGAGCAGCTGAGCGGCTGCTCGCTTTGCACTTGCATCAGCGCGCCCGTCTTAAAGCACATCACAATCTGGACGTACTACCGCGAGCCATCCATCCCTGCTCTGCCGCGCCATTGGCTGCGTCTCTTGCCTCTTCGTCGGCGGTTATCTCGATTGGGCAAGGCTGCAATAAGTTCGAGGGCCAACCTTCAGCAAGACGCGCACATTGCACACAAGGCCGCCTGTGTTGAGTTGATATTGACTGCAGAGCCGGACGCTGGAGCAACACAAGAAGGGCTGTGTCCAGGCTCGTGTTCGCGGTGCCACAGAACTCAGCAGAAGCACATCTGCGCCGAGAAGCGCAGTGCTCCCAGCCAGTCAGCCTAGGGCGCTCAACGTTGTTCTAACACCCGTTTCCCTCGTCGCCGGCATGGTTAGAGTTCCTCAGGGTGCAGTTGTTCGGATGAAAACGCGTCGTGTAATTACGATCGGAGCGTCACTTTGGATGTACTGGACTTGGTCACGACTCCTGCCGCTTCAATCCCTGTGCGCATGAATATGACTGATGAGCAAACCGAGTTGAAGCCCACCTTGATGGGGTGAGGAGGGGCGGGGAGGATATCTGGTGCCCCTTGCCGTCATCAAGCCCGGCTGCGTCTCTTTGAAACAATGCTCCGAACGAAGGGATCCGTGGCAGGGATATGTGACAAGAATAGATCATGAGGATCGCCAAGGGTATGGGATGGCGACAATTTCTGGAGGGAGATCGCAATCGCGATCCCGACTGTAAACTGGTTCCTGGGAGACGGACGAGGGATTCGATGAGGGCGGGGGAAAGGGGGCGGGGGCGTTTGGCCGTTTGAGCACACAGCACAATAACGACGAGATATCACGGCAGAAAGGCAAAGGCATGCATGCACAGGCGAGGACACCCCAGGGCAGGCCCGCCCCGCTTACAGCGTCAACACCCATTTGCTTTGCCGAGCTGCGTCTCGGCCTCCGTGCTTGAAGCGCTGCCTACGGGCCAGGATCATATCCGCTACTCGCAACCGAAATCGAACCAACATCAACCTCACAAATCACAATTTCACAAAAGCGTTTGCGTTTGGAGCCAGAAGGGCGGTTTGACAACCTTGCGCTGGGCGATGGCCCGCTCTGCAAGGGCTTGCCTTCTCCGGCGCCTGCTTTTCTCGAGTCGCAGGCACGATGGGTTTGGGAGTCTGGCAGTCTGGCAGTCTTGGGAGTCTTGGATGTTGGGAAGTTGGGAAGTTGGGACTCATCACCCATTGCGTACGTGCCCGCCTAGGAAAAAGCAATTCTACTGTCAGTGTGCGGGCGAGGCAAGAAAACGCGTCGTACAGCAATGCTGCCGGCAGATGCCAGAAAGTCGAGCCAGGCCGACGGAGGGGACCGCGGATCTGCCAACAGAAAACGGGTTTGTGGGAATTCCTCGCCGAAAGGAGGAAAGCTAGATGTGTGCACAGCCAGATTGCCCGCGAATCACCGCCGGAGCCGGGCTGGCTGGCGTGAGGCACATCGCAAAAAAGTACAAAAAAGATGCGAGTCGATTAAGCGCGGCGTGCTCGCCTCCCCTTCCTCCGCGCAGCCTCAAAAGGCGCTGCCCGGTCGGCCCTGTTGGCAGTGTCTCGAAAGGCCAACCCGGCTGGGGTTCGTCCACTGCGTCTGGCCTCTGGACTGCACACTTCCACACCTCACTCTCCACACCTCACACTTCACACCTCACACCTCACACCTCACAAAACCGCGAATTCCTTGTGCCCCTCCTCCGCATACAGACCCGTCCCCGAAATAGGCCTCTGTTGATCCTGCGCAGAGGTGCTGGATGTGTGATTGTTGGAGAAGGCTGCGACGGCACCAATAGCATCGACGGCTCTCCAACGCGCGGGGATGCTTCTGCAAGTTCCGCTCACACGATTCACTGGGCAGGGATAATGCGGAGTGCCTGAATTTTCTCGTGGCCTCGTGATTGAGCCTGTGCTTCCCCGGCCGCTGTTGGGAGCCAGTCAAGCGACAGTGCCGCACTGCTTGGTTCTGAGGTTGCACACTTTTAGCCGCCAGGGATGGGAGGCACCAGGCATGGGCTGGGGCTGCGATAGTCATCCACTTTCCCTACTTCTGCGCGCTGGTGGGCGACTCATATGCTTTTGCGTCCGGTTTCATGTTGTTTGGGCGGCCAGCCGAGGCAGCATCAGCCTTTGACGCGGAGAATTGTCCAAAAATAGCCTGGCGGGCAATCGCCAAATCTCGATCATCGCGGCAAGGGGCTACCTCACGTGATGGGCACGACTCCGAGCCGTTCTCTAAGTTGCCAAGATGTCGGCCGCTCGATGAGACTCGGTACTACCGTTCCAATTCCTTGGGGACAGGATGCAAACCGTGCATCCAACGCTCAATTGCACGTCCGGAAGGTCTGGCGCCGCGTAGGAGCGGCTGCCTCTCCCTTTCTCCGGTCCTTGACCCCCATCGTCGAATGGGGATTTTGGGAAAACATCTCATCAAATCGAGAACGCCAGGACTGGTTCGACCTGGCATTGTACGAGCAACATATCTCAAACACGGGGGATTGTTCAAACCTCGAAACAGAAACATTCCACTTTGCCAATTAAATCATTCCTCGCCACAGCCGCCGTCTAAGCGCCTTTCCACTCGACGACCCCTTTTCCTCTAAACGCTCGCCAAACCTCAACGTCCATCTTCCTACATAATCTCTCTCCACTCAAAGTACACCCTGCTACACCATCATGTCGGTCTTCAAGGTCAAGCCTGCAGCTGGCTGCCACAATTTAGCTCCTTGCCCTGTTCGAGCTTAATTTTTGCTCTGTACCTGCAGAGCGGCTCTCCACGATCTGCATGGGAAGGCCACAACAGCGTCTCGCCTGCCACAGACTCCAGCTTCTGTGCATCATCGGAGAGTAGATCCGGGCCGCCGCCAGGGGACCAAGGGTTCATCAATAGCGCCTAGATATGGTTTGGCTGCCGAGATCTCAAACGGTCTCCTCGATGTGATGGAGACGTCATGAGGCTGAGGGCTGGCGACTCGAGGGCTTTAGGCGCTGATGCAGGTACTCACCAACACAAACCTTGAGGGTTTGTAAGGCTGGCGCTTGAAGTTTATCCATTGAAGCGCCCCGACCCCTTGCAAAGGTCTCCCCGAATGGGGACAAGATTGGCCAGGCTACTCCGGAGACGATGCAAAGCTGTGAATTTGAGCGTTTACGCAGTCCACGGTGGCAATCTCAGCGTCTACATAGGTCCGTGGAGAGCGTCATGCTTGGATCCTGCTCTCCGTTGCGAGAATGAAGCTTTTTATAGCTGTGGGGAGCATGAGGCAAATCTCCGATGCATGATGCTCCTCAGTCACACCCATCCTGCACAGATCATGCAGGCTTGGTGACGAGATCTCTATGAGAACCTAAATTTGACATCTCTTGAATGCAGATCCTTGGGACTCCCGACGTATTATTAGCATTTATCCGAGCCTGTATCACGGGAATTGGTGCACACGACCACTCACCGACGCCAATTGATGTTATAAGTTTGTTGTTCTCCTCGCAGGATGCAAGTGCATTCTATGTTCGAACGTTTCAGGGCAAATTGGCTCAAGAACTCGGCGTTTAAGAGTATGACCATGATGCGTGGAGTCGTGGCGCCTCAATTCCATATCACCTCAACCTGCATATCTTGTTGGAGGCAAAGACCATTGCTTTGTAGAGGACTTGCAAGTTTAGTCATCATGCCAAAGCCTCCTGGAATACCTCCATGGACCCCAGACTCCTCAACTATCAAGCATCGACATTGAGCAATGGCAACATCCAATGCCCACAAGAGACGACCGGAGTGAAACTTATGCTCAGAAACTGATATTCCTTGGAACATACTGAATGGCAAATAGCAGAGCTCAAATATATAAGCAAATACCTCCCTCCTTCCCTCCCCCAAAACCAGTCGAAGTGGCCAGCCGTGGTCCAAATACTGGCACTCGAATATTGGCAGAAGAGCCTTGGGCACATGTTCGAGCCTCCCTATGGTTACAAAGTTTAGAGAAACAATGTGGTCTCTTTTCTTCCCGGATCTTAGAAACTCTTCTTCTAAGCTTCAACTTCTTTTGCATTCTTTCAGATGTTATAGGAAGGAACTATCCATCCCAAAACTCCCAGAGACCAAGGACGAGAATTCCAAAACCCTGATATTAATCGAAGTATTATGATCCGTTTAGACTTCACAGCCTCGAAAGATGGACTCTAATCCTGGCAAGCTGGCTTGGACAAGGCATGAAGACAAAATGACTTAAATTATGAATATTCATTCAATCACTGACCTTTCTGTCCCGTTGGAGCTTTTACTCCACAAGTCAACTTATTTCAATCACTCGCGCTCATTTTTATAACCAACGCCGTTTTGCCGAATTTTCACAGTAGTTGCAATTGAACACAACAGCAGCATATTCATTATTTGCTTCCCCTGGCCGCGATTCTATTTCACGGTTGCTATCAGTATCTAAGAAGGAAGCTGGGGTGTGGGAATTTGAACATGCCCTCAAGGAGCTCAATGCTTGGTCATCACGTTCGGGCTCGAAGCAATACGAGTTTATGTTTAGTGAATCAAAACGAAAGATGATGGGAGGCTATGAACGGGCAAGATTTCCTAATGTTTGTGAATATGATGAGCCATATGTTGCTTTTGGATCCCGAGCATACCATTGAGGTGATGTTGTTAACCAAAGATGCTTGAGGTTGAGGGAGTTGCGCAGTCGGTTCTGCAGAACATGATTGGACATGAATGGGGCAAGCCGTGTCTTTTCGAACACTTCTTACTAAATACCTGGAGCATATTATCAACGACTTCACAATACAATCTAGAGAAAGAAGCAAGTATATGGATGAGGTCGGCAAAGCAGAAGAAACAGCGATGGCGTTGACCGAGAGGTCAATAATACTATGTGTGGTCATACCAGCACAACTAACACTACAAAGAGTCCCTATTTCTTCTGCCGCTTGGTGCTCTTGTCACTCACACCACTCATAACACTGGCACTTCTCTTATGCACACTGCCAGCTCTGATACTTGGTGCGGCACTCTTCTCTCTCCCTCCATCCTCCATCTTAATTTGCCCATCTCCGGCTCCAGCACCACCCTCACCATCCTCATCACCAGGTTCCGGCTCTCCTCTCTCAGCCCGTCCCTTCTTCTCCCGCTCCGCCTTCACAGCTTTTGCAACATTGATCTCCCCAGCCAGCTTGTCAGCCAGCTTCCTCTGATCAAGTAAACCATTGATATTCTGCAATAAAATCTCGAACTGCTTCCCGACCTCTTCAGTCGGCATCCGCAATCTCTGAGAAATCCTAAGTTCAGTGAGGACATTTCCAATCTTCTGTTGCTGAATCGAAGATTTGCTGGTGATTGGCTTGCTGATTTTCTCGTGCCGGAAAGCAGGTCCGCTGCTTGTGATACGATCAAGATGTTTAACACCATACATCTTCTCTTCGTCAGCGGTGAGTTGACGGCGCTCGCTGATTCCTTGGGAAGGGCCTTTCTTGTTATTGTTGCCGCTTGGTCCGGACATGGATTCCCGATTAGTACTGTCTCGACGGTCAAAACTGCCTTGTTGATGTAGATTGCTTGGGCCAGCGGGACTCATGCCATCGGCACCCATCAATGATCTCCTCTTCTTAGTTTTGTCGGCCGTCATGAGCTGTTGGAGGAGCTGTTGGAGACCCTGACTGGAGGTATAGACGCCAATGTTTCCTTGACTGTGAGGGGCTTCGAGACGGGAATACAACTCTCGTCGCTCTTGAGTCAGCTTCTCAGACCGTGCCAGTATTCGCTTGAGCTCTAAGAGCAAGCTCTCCTCCTCCCTTGCCTCTTCCTTGGTCCGATGGAAAGCAGCCTCTGCGAACTTCTTGCGAGCCGCTTCTTGATTCGGATTGAACTGGTGCATGAGCTCCAGCAAACTAAACTCGGCTGCATTCATGAGCTCAGGTGGCTTATTGAGCTTCATCATTGTCGCAGCAATGGAGTAATACCGGGCCTTCATATCTTCCATAGTCCTGACCTTCTGGGCAGGTATGATAGCACCTACTGCAACATCGACATCCATTTGTGGCGTTGGAGGTTCATACTCGTAACGGTCCCAGATTACCGGCCATCGTAAATCATACTCCTGCACTAAGTCCATCAGATAATCCGTCTCCTCCCTCGACCAGTCCTCGCTCTGGAGTTTCGTATTGTATTGCTCGTCGTCGTACTTTGGCGTCTGTACCTTAACATTAAACTTCGCAAATGTCGAATCCTCGATTTCCGAGGCAGGTTGGGGCGCTGATGGCTCTCCATTTCCATCCTCTGCTACAGGGGCTGGGGGTGCTTCCGTCTTCCTCCTCCAATGTCGCAGAATCAAAGAGTCTTCGTTCCTGGCCGAGTTCTTGAATGGCTTGAGTTCCCACTTCGCAGCCGGTTTCCGAGTTGCAAACCGCCTCTTCTTGAATACGGTGACCTCTGGAACAATGGCGATGGGATTATCCCCACTGAGATTCTGTACTTCACGCGCAAGGCCCTTCAGAACCGGTCGTGGAGCGGCGATCTTCTGTTTCTTCGCGGGTCGTGGAGCATCGCCTGGGAGGTCCAGCATATCGCGCACATCGTGAGAAGACATCGTGAGTGACCTGCAGCAATTTCAGTTCAGATCGACGTGACAGACTGATGGATTTCGTCGATGCGCGAAGCTGCGGTGATGAAATGTCGTTTTTGACAAACGTCTTGATGTTCGAGCGTGTCGATTGAATCGGCCCCGACAATCGCACGGACCACGTCTAAAAATTCCACGGGAAGTCGTGAACGTGGCCAGGAATAAAGGAGAGGAGGAGAGCTCACACGACTAACTCGACCTCCTTTCCACGCCCTGCGAAATCACAACAATCTACTCCTCAGATTGTACCACTATGCGCTCGGTAATTCCATTACTGTCCCTGAGCGCCTTGCTCGTGCCTGTGCAATCCTTATACTTCTACATCGACGGCACAGCACCCAAATGCTTCTTCGAGGAACTGCCCAAAGATACGCTTGTGGTCGGCCATTACACAGCAGAGGAGTACAATGATAACACGAAAATGTGGTCCAAGCATGATGGGTTGAATATCTTCATATCTGTTGATGTATGCTCTCCCTCTTCCGCCAGTCCCCTTTCCCTGTTGACTACAATGATAATTACTTACATCCATTCCAGGAAGTATTCGACAACGACCACCGTGTCGTCTCCCAGAAGGGCTCATCATCAGGCCGATTTACGTTCAGTGCTGCCGAATCAGGGGACCACAAAATCTGCTTCACGCCCTCGTCGAACTCTGGCGGCTCAAACTGGCTCTCGGCTCTCCATCCGCAAGGCGGCATCAAGTTGACGCTCGACTTGGCCATTGGCGAGACGAGTGCTATCGAAAGCACGGACAAGGGAAAGATCCAAGATATTGTGAAGAGGGTTAAGGATTTGAATGGAAGATTACAGGATATCAGACGAGAGCAGGTTTTCCAGCGTGTACGTCCCTATCTCAGGTTCTCCCTCAGGATAAGTGCAGTTGGTTGGTTGATGGCATGCTGATTGTATGTTAGGAACGTGAGGCCGAGTTCAGAGATCAGTCGGAGTCTACGAATGCAAGAGTCGTGAGATGGACGTTGGTTCAACTGGTAGTTTTGGGCATCACCTGTGCATGGCAACTTTCACACCTGAGATCATTCTTCATCAAGCAAAAGCTGACATAGAGGAACCATTCCTTGGTGGGGTTGTAGAAAATGGGAAACTTGTAAGACTTAGGGAGGCAGGACTGGGACGGAGTAGATGAAATTACTGCACACTTTTCAAACCTTCACATAATGCATTTCGATTCACGGCACAATATGTTTTCGAAAATCTTCTTTCCACTCATAGAACTGAACCCGAAAATCTCATTTCCGATGCCTCTATGTCACCCATTCGCCGTTGCTTCGCACCGAAACGAAAGCTATACTCTCGTGAAGTCCCTCCCGTGCAACCAAGACCATGCGTCGTTGTACTGAGGGTGCCTGCCGTGAAAGAGAATGCGATGCTGATGAGGAAACGGGAAAACAGAATATTAATCTTGGAAGTAGTTGCTTGGACATGAGCCATGTGCCGTGAGGAGTTTTTGATGACGTGATTGGGTGCGGAGCCTGGCAAAGCCAAGGAAGAGACGTTTATGTGACAAGCAGCGAGAGTCATATCTGCTTATAGCAGAGGAGAAAGACAGAATTGCAAGCTTTTGCTCGCGTGCAAAAGGTTACATGATATGATTAGGAGGGGGGGTCTGGAAAGGGATTTTGGTCATTAAACAACCACTCGAAAGGTAGGCGACTGCGGGATGGGATGGGACCATTAATTGTGAGTGCTGCAATGTTCAGAGTGAAGAATTCATCCTAAAGATAAATGTCAGTGACTGAGGTCCAGGTTCAAGGGGGACAGGTGGGACTAACCGCAACAAAGAGCCTTCATCATCTTCTGGAAGCCCGACAGTTGTGGCTCCTGGTTCCTCCCGTTCTGCGGCTGGGCTGTCATGTTGACCTGTGGCGTCATCCTCTGGGGCAGATTGTTCGAGCTGTTCTGGAATTGCGCCTGGGTTGAGCCGGTTGGAGTAGCGACGTCTTGGAGGCCCCCCGCCGCTCCGCTGCTGCGTTTTGGGACCAAGCCGCCTTGGGCGTTTGGTCGATCGCGCGTCTTGCCCATCCCCGGTTTGATGGGGGATGGTGGCGGGGGTTGCGCGGCGTTTAAACGGGCGGCGGTGAGGTGGCCTGGCGTGCTATTTCCTCTGGTCGTACCGTGTAGTTCTCTTGCTGATGCTCCCGGAACTGCATTGGGTTGATGCAGCATGTGTTGAGATGGGTGTTGCTTCATGGCCTCCCAGCCCTTTCCGTTGTTGAGCTTCATCCAATCGTACTCGCCATCCTCAACTTCTCCGGTGTTCTTCAACGCCTGGGTAAACAGATCTCGAAGATAGTCGTAATCTGGTGTGTCCTCAAATCCAAGGTTTCGGACGTAGCTCAAATACTTGTTGAACTCCTCGGGGAAACTATCACAAAGATCCTTGATCGCAGTCGTCTGTTTCTTCTCTCCAATCTTCTCATACTTTTGCTTGTTCGTGGCAGCCTTGAGTCCTTGCCAAGGTAGCCCGCCCCGCAGGAAATACATGAAAACATGTCCTAATGCTTCAAGATCGTCTCTTCTCGACTGTTCCCGACCCAGATGTGTGTTGATACTCATATATCTTGCAGTTCCAGATAGAGATTTTCGCTCCCGATATGGAATGTGCTGTTTCGTCTTTGGGTCCCGGTATTGCTTCGCCATTCCAAAATCCACCACGTGGATTACATTAGCAGACTTCGACCCAGGTCGACCAATGAGAAAGTTATCGGGCTTGATGTCACGGTATATGAGGTTCTTTTCGTGGATTGTTTGAACTCGCGAGAGCTACTTACGGTCAGCAACCATCGGCCTGAAATAAACTTTGTCACCTACCATTTGCTTCGCCACCATCACCACAGTCTTAGTAGAGAATCTTCTGTTGCAGTGATCAAAAAGATCTTCGAGGGACGGGCCGAGTAGGTCAATGACCAGAATGTTGTGGAGGCCCTCTTGGCCGAAGTAGTAGACATTAGGGATACCAGCTATCTCGAATCAGTTTGAGAGGCTCGACGCAGAAGCAGTGATATACTGACGGCAGCCAACAAGAATTTTATATGTTCGATACTCATCTCGTAATTGTGGGGCATCACTCTTTCGAGGTTCCTGAATAAGGTCGAAAGTTAGCCAAAAAATCAAAATCTCGACGTGCAGTTCTTAAACAGAGCAGAGCAGAGCAAGCACCGTTGACAAGGTTTCAGGACGTTATTGAGGTGTTGACGTACAAATTTGATGGCGACTTGTTGGTTGTTCAACAGATTCGTCCCCTCGAAAATCACACCAAATGAACCCTCTCCGATCTTCTTGCCCACTCGGTAGTGTACACCGACGACATTGGATGATGAGGATGCCATCGGGTCGGAATTGAAAGCTCGCTGATGAGCTGGACAGCTGATTGAGCTTCAACGAGTCCGATGCAGGATGTGCAGCCTGCTTCAAGAACGCGAAGTTCAACCAACAGCGCACACGACGACTGTGGCAACAAAGATATCAGCGTTCGACGTCCTCCCAAATGTGAGTCCCAGCGGCGGAGACCCTCTCCCGCAACGATTGACGGTCGTGGATTGCGGGTGTTGATGTCGACCTAAAGTTGGAGGTTTGCTGGGGCGGAGACTCACGAGATGGCAAGCGAAGCTCCACGCAGTAGCAGGGCAGGGCAGGGCAGGCAACTAAAGAGGGAGGGCGCAGCAAGCAGCCTGGGCACAAGACAAGACAAGACAAGACAACACCGCCCGCAAAAGTCGAACAACGCGCAACGCAGAAAGCCGGATTCCTCACGCAGGCAGACGTCGCGGGAAGAATGGACTGTGGCCGAGAGTGACGCACAGGATGCCTTGGTCGTGAGCAGCGAGAAGGAAATTGGCTGCGGAGAGAGGGACGAGCAAATCCAGGGGCAGCACAGCACGGCCAGGTCGTTGGGCGCCGGGCGTCTTAACGACCACCGTACAAATTACAATACTGGAGCAAGACGGGTGCCGTACCAAGGAGCAGAGAGCCGTTGCTGTTGCACGGCAGTGTCCGTTCTATGTGAGTCTGTGTTTCTCTGCAAGCAGATGCGGTGTGCAAGTGCCATTCCCTTTGAATTCTCACTACGCAGAACGTTTGGAGGAAGGGTTAGAAGACTGGAAGACTGGAAGACTGGAAGTCTGGAAGTCCGGAAGGAGAAGACGATTCGTGTAACTGCAGACAAAAGGGCCACCAGAGAGCAGATGATTCCAAACAGTCAAATATCACCTCTGAATCAATGTCCTGCTTCTCACTCAGCCTTCAACCACCCCTTCGTCTGTGCCGAGCAGTCAGCAAGGACTTCTGGAAGCAAAGAATCGCTCAAGCGCAGTCAGCCTCCGCCCCCAGATCACGCTTTGATCCCATCCCCATTCGCCAGCAAATTTAGGATTAGTGTCGACTTTGAAGGATTCTTCAGCTTCCCTTGTCGGATGCTTTGCCGTGATTGGCCTCGCTCAGGGGCTGACAGACACAGTCCTGAGTTCTCGCATTAACCCTGGCTGCACGGATATTACAAGTAATTGGCTGAGTCCACCGTGGCAGAGGCTGGAACTCGGCCAGTTCAAGCTATCTTTGGCCTTGGAGGACTTTGGCCTCGATCGGCATAGTGGGGATGTTAAGACGGGAAACCGTTGGCAATCCACCATGTTCCGCATACAGGACGACATCTAATAATAAGTCCGTATACATCTTGCAGACGCCTAGCACAGAAATATCCGCGACGAGGTCTGGGAGCACGAGAAAGGAGTCGAGTGAAGCTTGGATTCCCGACTCCTCACCAAGCAGCCGACCTCCCGAGCATCAGGCCGCTTTTCACGTGCCGATGTTGAAATTCTTCCGAGAAAGAGGAAGTTGACTTCAGGGTTGAAGTACAAGGGCCAGGATGAAGCTCGCTTGCAAGAGGCCGAAGTTTGTTGATCTCTATGTCCTCCCATTCGCTAGATCCCGACTTATTACTTCGGAGCAATTTCAGACATTCCCACCGAACGCCAGTATTGGGAAATGGATTTGAGGCAGATGCCGTTTGGCTTGTTTTTACGGCTTTCGATTCTTAGTGGCACTCAATAATATTACACTTAAAATTGCATCGAGGTCCACGTTGTATTGCAAGAGTGCAATGCATGCAAGCTAGCAATGGAGTTGTAGTCTCAGGTCACACTGCAGCTAGCATGATGAAGTGAGTACAGTAGCAGTATTCCCCTCCCCCCCGGCTCACCCATCATATCTGCTGTTTATCAGCGCTGAAATCAAAAGATTGGTTTTCGTCGGCACGTGATTCACCCCCCTTTCGGCACCACGCCGTCGCGTTCTCTCTGGCTGTCCTAAATTACGCCGTAGCTTATGCCCTTAAGCCGGCAAGTACTTCTCGAAAGGGAGGCAGTTCTAATTCTTCGAATCGGAGGGATATGCCCGGACAAATCTCTATATTCACGAGTGGCAACTGAGGTGTGCAAGGCTCAGGGTTATTACGGATAGTAACATGGAGTATGGATGGAAATTCGTTGTGGATGGCATATTCGAGAGTAACTTAAGAGAGTGCTCTATATTCAACATAGTATCCCTGGGCATAGGCAAGGGAAGAGCCTCTCGGAGGAGGAGAGCGGCCAGAATGGGTTCGATTCCCTAGTTAGGTGGCCACCTGGCCAGGCGTAGTATACAAGAGGTAGAGTGGCCGGGGTCTTCCTTTCTTGGACATTATCCCACTTACGAAGCACTGTCGGTGGGACCACTTTTGTATATATTGCAGCCTGAGGCGCGTGCAACTCTCCTCTCTTTAGCCTGAAAAACGTACGAGCTAGTAAGGAATCAAAAACAAGAACTTGCCATCTCTGGCTGTCCTGGAATACTAAAAAATCGATTCAACTGGCGATATAAAATATATTATGGGTCTGGTTTGGTCTTGGGAATACACATCTGGTCATTCCTCGTCTTGCTTCCCAGTTCGCCGGGTATCAAGAATGCTATACAATTTTAAATTTACAGTTCGCCGTTGATATCATTATGTCTTCCCTCATTCAGTATTGCTTGATCGATCTCCGGAAGCTCCCAACATGACCATTCGCCTTGAGATTGTGCCGCGGCTTCGCATGTAGCAAACTCTCTGCCTTTTTTCTCTCGTTCTCCTTGATGCCTCGTTCCACCTGTTTGAGTGTCTCCTCTGCCTCCTTCATCTTTCGTCCGTCATCATTCTCATCATTCACTTCCTCTGCGTAGTCTTGCTTAGCTTGCACCAGCGCCGTCTGGTACCACTTGTCAAGCCTGCAGGATTTGATGAAAGGTGTCAACAAGACATCTTCTGCTTGCATGTCCTTCATAATCTTCTCTCTAATACTTACGTCCAGTCCAGTGAATCGATGGTCTAGCTCCTCTGTCCCCGCTCCTAGAACATCTTCTGGGCTGACTGGCTTCACCGGTGACTTCTCGTCAAACAAGCCTATTCTCGTTAGCATGGCACAGGACCTTATTGGGACTCAATTTACATACGGTTTCTAAGACAGGATAGGAACGTTTGGTATAAAGCTGTCTTCGATAGCTGCTCTGAAACCTGCTGGTCGTCTTTTTGCTCGGTGTTATTGATATCGGCCCAATCATCTCTCAACATGCATCGCCTCCAGATGATACGCTGCGTCAGTCGTTGGTCATCTCTGTGCAGTCCGTAGCAAGTTGCCTGGAGAGCTTGATAGAACTGCACACTGCGGAGGTCCTCTGCGCCGGTCATGAGCGTGAGGAGATCGATCAATGCCAGGACGTCCATAGCTTCATGCTTGACGAGACGCGTCATGCTTTCTTCCAGGAACGATGTGAAAGTGGGTTGACTTGTCAAGGAATTGTTGCCATGAGATTCGAGTGCCAGTTGCAGTTCTGCGTTTTCATCGATCGCATTGGCAATAGAAGGAAGCACAACCTCGTATATCTGATCCTGGATCTTGATCAACGCGAGCTGTTCATGGACTGAAGAAAGTTCGGTCTTTCCTCCATCTGGAATGATGATCCCGTTCGCCTGGCTGTAGTTCCTACCCGCGAGCAGAGCCAACTTCCCCATGCTCAACTCGATTTTCTTGCTCCAGAGATCCATCTCGCGCGTCAGACCAAGGTCAAGGAGAGTCTTCGAAGCTTGGACAAAGTTCTTTTCTCGAGTCACCTCGTTGATCCATGCAACCTTTGCATACTCTGGCCTGCTGCGTAAGAAGGCAGTCAAATACTCTTGCTCCTCTGGCAATCCGTCCAACAGGTCTTGCATGGAACCTATACCAACTTCATACTCGAATAGAGCAGTGGCCCATTTTGTGCCAAATTTTGCAAAACAGGCCCTCAATCGGTTTCGCAGATCGCGATATCGGTCTTCCCAGTGCCCATATTCTTCTTGGCTATGACCAGGCTCACTCACTTTCTGACGGCTGAATTCGACTTCATACTGGAGGACAACTGCAAGGGTAGGGAGAATTTCGTGTTTTTCGGCCAGTTCAATTGCTTCGTCCGCCAGATCAAGACTAGTAGCGAGTATCCTAAGCTGTTCTTCTTGGGCGGAGCTCTGCGCAACCTCGATCTGTTCTCCCTCAATTTGGTTTTCGTGTGAACCTTGCGCAAAGTCCCACCTAACACATTCGGTGTTTGACCGGATGGCAACGTCAATAAGAGTGGAATATTCATGCCGGACTTTATTTACCACAACCGGACTCGGATGACCTTCTTGTGGGTCCTTGCCCCAGTATTCCTGGACGAGTGCACCAGCCAGTTGAGTTTGTTTCCTCAGGTTTTCTGCGACGTAAAATGTGGATGTCCAAAACTGTGGAAGCTTCTCATAATTGTCCTTCAAAATTCCGTGCTCCAATTCCTCATCTGCGAGGCCGTAGAGCTCCAAGTTGGCAGTCCGAAAGTCGAAGGCACCTTGCAAAGCACCGAGAACGAGGTCATCAGCTTCGCTTATTATATTCATCACATAGTTGTGATCTTTCTGTCCGTCTTGATAGGTATACTTGATGACTTGGTATGCCCATGGAATGGCAATCTCCAGATTCCAGATATCCCTGATGAACCAATGGCGAACACGATCCAGCTCACCAGCTTCAGGAACCGGCTGGGTCTTGTAGTCCTCGTGGATGAAGTCAACGACCTCTGCGAGAAGTCCTCGTTTCTGGCCGACCGCCTTCTCCCTGACACAAGCATCATAGCGCTTCCAGATCAATACTGCAGCTCTCATTTTTTCTGCATTCCAAAGCAGCTTCCATTTTGTCGCGCGGTCCAGAGCCACACCACTTGCTTTCAGGTGATCCGCAAGATGCTGCAGAGCTGCAGATCTTTTCTCTAAGTTCTGATGGATGGACGCAGGGACGGAAGGAATATGAGGAGTTTCGGATTTCAATATGTCAAGACTAAGCTCCAGTGCCGCTTCGGAAACCTCCTCAGATGAAAATTGTAGTTCGGGCCGTACTGCGAAGCTGAGGGGGTTTTGATCCATGGTCCCGAAGAAGACTGCCTGTTCTAATTTGCTTTTCGCCGTGACTTGTTGGGATCTGCTCGAAGCCAATTTTGTGATGTCAGTTGCTGCAACACGAACTACTCCTCCGCCCCGAACGATCAGAACGACTGCAGGATGCTTTGCCTTATGGCGGCGAGTCTTCGCATCCTCAATACCATGCGACGGCCCGCGAGGTTCTTCCACGCCAGAGCCAACAATCTCGACATTGAGGTCCTCTCGGAAGTCGATAACATCCTCAAATGATTGTGGAAGGATATAGCTCTCGGCTCGGAGCTGCAGATCAGGTGAGTCGGGTTGCGTCGCCATAGAAAGGACGACGACAGCTCGATCGAAGACGACATAGGCGACAAGAGCCGGGTTTGGTAGGTAGATTCTAGGTTTTGACGTTGCCGTCCGATTGATTGGAGAGGTATATGATTTGATCGCCCTGATATTTCCAATACTCATCTCGTCTCGCTTTAACACAATCTCAACAAGAAAGTAGTGAGAGTTGTGTCGCTCGCTCAGCGAGGTCAAAAGCAAGATATGGGCTCCGTTTTCGGCTTGGTCGACAATTTGGGAGTCCGTCACTGACTTTGGTGTGTACGTAAAGTCATGAATTTCGAAAGATTCAAGGTGTAGGTCCGTCATCACCGGAATCGCCCTCTTTATTGCCATGACAATAGGTTCTCTGCCTTCTGCTTCTGCATTCAGCGCGGTATGGCCGCCACGATGCATATTCCAGGATTGGATCTTCCCTTTCGCAGTTGCTACCACCACATTTCTCTCTCCAACTTTCTCTTGTGGACCCGCTCTAACAGCTGCTATATCTCCACGCCCAGCAGAGCTGGAAAGCGCATTGCGCAAGCTGCCAAAGATACCACCATTGACAGGCCCAGTCCCACCTCGAAGAAATTGGATGGTGATCGCAGGTCTTCCCTGTCCATCTCGAACGCTCATATATGCAATTCGGCCACTGCTGAATGAGAGTACGAAACCAGCGGACTCGGCATTCAAGATTTGTATGACTGTTTCCCCTGAAGAGATTCCTTGGATCGTTGTTTCTACCCCATTCCGTTGAAGTCTAAGGTCAAGAGTAGCCGCGCTAGATATTGATTCCCAATACGTGACCTTGCCCGTAGAAGGGATGACCACAACTAGTCCAGGGTCCGAGGAAGATGTTGATGGCGATACAAGAGTGCCGATTGGCAGAGGGCTGGATGTGTGCTTTGAAGATTGTGGCAGTTCGAAAGCGAAGGTCTCCGGTGAAGGACTACTAACAACATACGGCCAGACAATTGCATGGGTATGAGTGAGGGTAAGAGCATAGCCGTTGTCGGAATAAATTGCTCCATGTTGACGACCTGCAAATATGTATTAGCTCCATAGCTGTCAACTGGAGGATTTGCTGACCTGCGACATCTGCACGAAGGCGATCTGGGAAGGCGGGAAGCTTGCTGACCGTATAGGTATCATTCGCGGTCTATATGAAGCGAAAAGTATTAGCTACGGTCGCCCCCGGCCAGTAGATCGAGACTTACGAGAGTGACACTCCCATCCCCTTTGTTACTTCGGTCTGCCGATCTCGACTTCTTCCCTCGTACAACCATCTCTCGGTGCGGACCTGAAATTTCTCTAACGCTCTCGTTCCTCACGAGCGCAGCTGTCTTGTGATGTTTCGCCTCCTCCATCTCCGGCGCGCCATCTGGAGGAACAAATGTCTGCTCATTCAGCGCACTTCTTTGCCTCTTCCGCTTTGGCTCGACGATAGAGCCCTCGTTGGATAGAGGTCGTTGTCTCCGGCGGGAGGTTCGAACTGAGGCCGGAGGGGCAGCGCCATTTTGGGAAGGAGAGAACATCGTGAATAGGGAGGTTAACTCGGCGAAAGAGCTCTCATGAGCAAGAAGTAGAGCGTGTACGATGGGCGGACATCATCTACGCCAAGGCGATGTTGAAGTTCGAGTGACGAGGAGCTTTGTTGTTCTGGATGTTTACAGCAGAATGCAATGCTAACTTATTTTTCGCTAAAAATGATTGGCCAAGGGGGAAGGCGGTCAACTTTCAGGTTTCGCGGCCCAATCTGACGCGAAGCTTCAACAACAACTTTCTCATAGAATCGATACTTAGTATTTCCTCGTGATCTTGCTCGTTCAGGTAGAATTCTCAGTTGTTTCGGCTCCCGGGTAAGGTTATTAGCTTTCAGCCATCTCGAGTTTCCGTTCATTTTGCTTGGGCAGCATTGCAGCTCCGTCTGAACATCTCTTTGATCAACCATCTCAACAATGATCGAAAAGCTTGAAGGTATTCAGTCACGACTAGTTTCTTCACGACCATTATCAAAACGTCATTTTACTATTTAAAATGTTGCACCCTCTGTACAGGTCTACTAGAAAGCTCTCTAAAGCTCTCTGCATTCATTCTCTCTAGCTTCAGAATCCCCGAGACATTCTTAAGAGCCAATTTTCTAACGTCTGTTTGTTTTCTGGAAATCGTTAATGCGGCCAAGATTAAAACAACAGTCAAAATCACAGGCTCCATCTCCATACGGACTGATTGAGTAGTGTTTTACTATTCTTATAGCTGAACATCGAGCCAAGAGTCTCAGCACGTGACCTTGGCCTCGCCGGCCCCACCCGCTTCGTTGACGTATTCATATGTCGAGATCTCGAGGTGCAACACAAAGACGACAAGTACGAAATGCCACCACCGGTATCAACTTCAACAGGTCTTACGATCACCAATCCCTTGGTATTGTATCGAGCTCTCTTGTCAACTAAAATCATAGACCCTGACCCTGCTCAACATCGATTAGCACTAGAACTTCAAAAATTATAGTAAGTCTTATATATGGTTAATACTTCTCATCTCCACCAGCGAAGAGAACTTCCAGCCCCAAATCCGTTCGACAAGCCATTTTCCTTTCACAGTAAAGGATTTTGAATGCTTACAGTTCACAAGCTACCGCTTAAAGGATTATTCTCCCCAGGCCGAGTTTGGCGTTCGCCTTCAAACGATCAGTCGAGCCGTGGAGAGAGCTCCAAAAGTCGACGAGGATGGACAATTAGCAGCACCTGGACATCCGCTCCGCAGAAATCCTTTATTCTCCCGCCTCTTCTCGAAGAGAGAGGCACGAGATGCTCTTGCTTTAACAAGAGTACTTACGAGTCATGAAGCAGCTATGAATCTGGACTCCCCCAAGGGACTACTGCTCCACGGAGAGGTTGGAACAGGGAAATCAATGCTCGTTGATCTCCTAGCTGACAGTCTCCCGAACCGAAAGAAGCGGAGATGGCACTTCAATACTTTCATGCTAGAAACTTTTGCTAGGTTGGAGCACCTCAGACAGTCTCGCTCCCGGCGAGGGGCGCCCGAAGTAGAATCTGAACATTCCTTGATCTGGTTAGCAAAGGATATGATAGAGACGTCTCCAATTTTGTTCCTAGACGAATTCCAGCTGCCGGACCGAGCTGCAAGTAAAATCTTGAGCAATCTCTTCACTGCTTTCTTCCAACTGGGTGGTGTGCTTATTGCAACCTCCAATCGAATGCCAGATGAGTTGGCCAAAGCAAGCGGTATGGACTTTGCAGCACCCCCGAGAGGAGGTCTTGTAAGGAATTGGTTGGGCTCAGGCGCTGCGAGGGGCCTGTTTCCAGCGAATAACGAGTATGCCGCATTTGTGGACGTGCTAAAGGCGAGGTGTGAAATATGGAGCATGGAAGGCGGCAGGGATTGGAGGAGAAGGGAGGCAGAGGAAATGGAAGTCGAATCGGCGGAAATTGCGAAAGTGATGAGAGAGGAAATGATAGGGGGCTTCGCTAATATGCAAGAAAGAAGGATTGCCATCGAACTCGATCACGACACCACTAAGTTCGACGAAATCTCAAGTTTTGGTTGTGCCGGGGAACAATTGGATTCTTCCCCAGAAGAAATGAGCATCATCAAGGAAGTGACACCCAAGAAATACATACTGGCTTCCCCAGACAGTGAGGAGCTTTGGCGAAAGGCAATACGCGCATCGTTACCAGATGGGACACCAGAACAAATCCCGTGGGAATCAACGACACTACTCGTCTACGGACGGACAATTTCAGTTGAACGCCATTTAGAAGGAGTGACATATTGGACATTCCAAGATCTTTGCAGAGCTACTTTTGGTTCAGCAGATTACATCACGCTGGCTTCAACGTTCCACACCATTATTCTGGATGAGGTTCCCATCCTGACGCTTCTGCAAAAGAACGAAGCCAGGCGACTCATTACCATGCTCGACGCCTTGTACGAAGCACGCTGTAAGCTACTCATTCGGGCCAATACTGGCCCGGACGACCTTTTTTTCCCTGAAACAAACAAAGCAAGGTCACCTGGGACGATTTCAAGTCGAGCTGGAAATGGCGGTGGCGACGCGGTGTATCCAGAAACGTTCTCCGAGATCTACCAAGACCAAACATCTCCTTTCTGGCCAAATGTCTCATCTTATACTGATAAGCCAAAAACCGGCTATGATCCAGACGAAGATTCAGACTTCGGTCCCATTCCAGTAAAGGTGGATGAGATCGGACGTCAAATTGACTTTGGAATGACCAGTTCTTTCACAGGAGAGGATGAGAGGTTTGCGTATAAGCGTGCCAGGAGTCGACTTTGGGAGATGTGTGATGGAAGATGGCATGCGAGGTCGGAACCAGGCTGGTGGAGACCATTGCCACTGGATGTAAGGCGCTGGGAGCGTGCATCATCTTCAATTTCGACCACTGCTGGGCCACCATCTGTGAATGGGGATGTGAAGTTGGGGGAGTCCATTGAACTTGACAGGCCAGCTGGGCTGCAAGGTAAAGAGATAGAGGGGAGAGAATGAAGTATTCCCTTGAGCCCGTTTAGGGAGCAACGAGAATCGCCTACAAAGATAGGTTGGATTCATGATTGGGGGATGATAAAGTGGGGGAAGAAGTCGGCCCCGTGGGGCCAAGGACCAGAAGGTCTCCATCAAAGGGGAGAAAGGAAGAGTTGGACAGAATCTCCCACGAACACCAATACTCCCTGGCCGAATCATACTCCAATTGCTATATCCATTGTAAACTTACACAATAACTCTGGCCAGGAACCATGGAACATTTTATTTCCTCATGAAATGTGAAATGTCTAACTCCAAACGCAACAGCGGGACTCTTCAGTCTTTGGGTGCTCCATCAAGCATTGCTTAGATGTCCAGCTTCGCATCGAACAATGCAAAATACTTGAAATTTGGAAAAGTCTGGAATTGACACCATGAAAATGCAAACCCAAGTCCAAACATTACCCACGACAACCAACGCCATTAATGCAACATTCCCCATTACCACCTTCACAATTACGAGCTCCCCACCCCAGGAACCCAAGACTCCCCTATGCGCTTCATATCCTCCACAAACCTGCGACTAGTAATCTTCTTCCCGCCCCGCCCAGTGGGCGGACTATGCTCATCCGGCTCATAGAAAGGGTTCTGCAATAATGTCACATACGCCGCTTGCATAGCTCTAAACACCTACCAGCAAAAAAGCCAATCAGCATTTCTCCCCCCTCTCTCAACCAGAAGCCAGAGGCAGAAGCAGCCCCAACTCACCAACTTCATCTCTCCCTCCCTCAACCCCACACTCGGCCCTCCCTTTGCACCTCCACTCTCACCCACAATCCTCCCCCTCATATCCACAACAACCACAAACTTAACCCCAGTATTCGTCTCAAAGCCATACGCAGCAAGGCGCTCATCGATTGCGTGCAAGAGGCCGAAATCGCCCGAGAGGCCGCCGCCAGAGGAAGCGTTGGATTTGGAGCGCGATTCGAAGATGTCGAGGGTGCTGGCTAGGAGGAGCGAGAATTGGAGTGGTGTTCGGAGAGGGGCGTTGAGGGGCGCGGAAGGGAAGAGTGTCACATGGAGGGGGTTGTTCTGTTGTTGTTTGTCAGTGATTTAACTAGACAAGATGCGGGGTAGAGAGTGGCAGTGGTTACGTTTTTGCCTATTACACCTAGGCAGGCTATGGAGGGTATTGCTGTCATTATTGGTATGTGGTGTAAAGTTGTGATGTTGAATGTCACAGCCGAGATTTGGTTGAAGGCTGACGAGACGAGGCTGAAAGTTGGAAGAATATGTGTCTAGGATAGAAACCAGATTTCGGGCACAAAACAAGAGAATGTTTTTGTTTGAAAACAGTATCAAATCCATGAAAGCCTACTCAAATCTAAGTAATATTCATAATTTAATCCTGTAAAACATCTGCAATTTTAACAAAAAGTCCAGTCTCTCAGCCTGGTGCCTCTCGTTCAATCGCTTGAAAGGGACATATACACCTATGTTCAACGATCCAATTCTTATGTTTAATACAGTAATGAGTTATCCATCATCATATTGTCGTCCGTCTCTCTCAGTCCACTTCTCATAAAATTACTGTGCCTGCAACCTCTGTGCAACACGTCCAAAATCTTACATTCCTATTATTCTTCATCACTCGAGGTTTCCGTCTCATCCAGTGCCTTCAAGAACTCTTCGATCTCTTTAGGATCACTGATTCCCCAAACACCACCACCCTTCACCACATCTCTGCCCCTCATCCCTACCTCTTTGCCAACTAGATTCCGGCCCACCTTCCCAGGCCCAATGCCAATCCACCGCCGAATCTTCAATTCTTGATCCAAGTATTTAATACTATCCCACCATCTCACAGTCTCCACGCAAGATCGAGCCCACAAATCCTTTAAGTCGTCCTTACTCGTAAATGGCCTCGCGCTGACATTACTCACACAAGGCATGATCCCCGGAAACGTGATCAAATCTTCATTCTCTCTCCCCTTCACCCGACTCTTCCCTTCCAGCATCCTCTGCATAGCCTTTTTTGCCGGGATCATCAACGGACTGTGAAAAGGGCTATCGCTCTTCAACCTGACCGCCCTCGGATCATGCCCTCCAAATTGTCTTACATGCGTCAGGAGCGTTTTAATCCTCTCAATATTCCCACTCAGAACAATCTGATTCTTGCTGTTGATATTTGCAATCAGAACTTGTTGAATGGGTGGGACGTCCTCAGCGCTTTCTGATTTCGAGCCTGCGCTGTGGTGGCCTAAGAACTCATGAATTGCCTCGATCAATGGCTTGAGATGGTCTGGCTCGGTGACAAGAGCTACCATGCCATATTCGCCGCCATGTTCAGCGCATGCTCGCCGCGAGCATTCGGCCATGACCTCTGCTCTCCGCCTCACCAAGTATAGGCTGTCCTCGAAATGAACATAACCTCCTGCCACCAATGCTGCAAACTCTCCTAGAGAATGGCCTAGTGTGATGTCCACTCTCTCCGCTGGCTTGAAGCCAAACTCTTCTTCTAATATTCGGAGGATCAGGAGGGAGGATGCCATAATTGCCGGCTGGGCATTTTCGGTTGCTGTGAGTGTCGAGTTGGGTCCTTCTTCGATGATCTTGGAGAGCTTAAAGCCCAGCAGATGATCAATTTCTTCGACGAGTGGTTTGGCTGTTGAGGGGAAAGCTTCGAGCCATGGTGTGAGCATTCCTACTTTCTGTACGCCTTGGCCTGGGTAATGCGTCAATTAGAGATCTCGAGATAGTGACTCATACCCAATAAATGTAGCAATTTCTTACCAGGAAAGAAAAGAGCTGTTCGAGTCCGTGATGTATTACTTGATGCATAGCGTTTCTGCTGTCGAAGCCTGGAAAACAGCGCCTTTCTTCGACAGCAATTGAAAGTGACTGTGTCCTGCACGAGTGGTAATCGCAGAGCAGTGCTGCTCGCCTTTGGAAAACCAGCCAGAAGAGGCTTCATTTTCAGAAGCTGCCGTCCTGGGCGGCGCTAGCCGGAGTTGATTGAGCACGCTCAACAAGTCTGCGGTTTCGATGTTGGTGGTATTTCGAGTTTTGAGGTTGTCATGCAAGCCGGCAAGGCTGTCAGATGTCCTTAGCTCCGAGACCCTTTTAACCGCCTCGGTAAACTACCAGTGCTGTAGCTAGTTCCCCGAAAAGCCCCGCCCCCCAAGGATGGGCGAGTTCGGGGAACAGGGGTAGATTCGGGGCCGTGATCTCTTGAGCTGCTTGAAAGAAAGGGATGAGTTACCTAGGGACTTCGGTTTATCTAAATCTGCCTGACAATCAGCTATATTGAGCACCCATTCATTCAACACATCTGCTCAACATTTTGTTACAAAAGCTTGAGCTTTCAACTTATTCTCCCCGGAGAAAGATTCTGCTCGGTGTGAAGCAGGCTATTCACGTCCAGACCCAATTTCCAATGTGTATAGAACGAGAAAACATTATCATTTACCCACTTTAGGAAATACATTCGAACACTACAAGCCATTTTATTTAGCAAAGAATTCTCGCATCTTATTGATTTCCTAAGCCACCAGTTTAGTAAGTCCCGAAGAGATCTATAGGTTCACTACAATCAAGCACAAACTAATACAATGAGACTTTCGCAACCATTGGTATTCCCAAGATATTTTTATCTACGCACTCCAAAAACCCATGCGCCAAACTCGAAGGGAAAAGGCTCAAGAATACATGCGTCCTACGATTCAAGCCAGTCCAAGAAATCGGCGGTAAAATAGGAAACCACAATAGTAGCACCGGCCCTCAAGATACCCTCTGTGGCCTCAAATGCCATTGTTTTCAAGTCAAACACACCCGCCTTCGCTCCTGCATGAATCATGGCAAATTCGCCACTGACTTGGTATGCCGCAACTGGCATATTTCGTCCAATATCCTTAGCGTCACTGATAATATCTAAAAATTGACTGGCAGGCTTGACCATGATGATGTCGGCACCTTCGGCAATATCTCTTTCAATGGCTCTGCGAGCAAGACCTCGTCCTCCTGGTGGCAGCTGGTAGCATTTTCGGTCTCCAAATGAAGGAACTGAGCCAGCAGCGTCACGAAATGGTCCATACAAGCAGCCCGAGAATTTCGCAGCATACGACATGAGAACAGTCTTGTGTGAAATTCCAGCTTCGATCAGCTTGAGCTTGATCGCTCTGATTCGGCCATCGTTCATGTCAGAAGGTGCAACGCAATGGCATCCTGCTTGCGCATACGCAATAGCGACATCAGAGATTCGATCGACTGAAAGCTCATTGTTGAGCCCACCATCATCACGTAGAATACCGCAGTGACCGTGAGACGTGTATTCGCAGAGACAGACGTCGGCGACGAGGAAGAGTTGTGGGAAGCGTTGGCGCAAGAGACGGATTGTGGACATGACAGGGCCCTTTGGATCGTCGGCGGCTGTCCCAAGAGCATCCTTTACGCCTTGACCAAGTGGGACACCGAATAGTATGACAGAGCGGAGGCCTTTTCGGATGAGAGGTTCGAGGAAAGGAACGACTTTGTTGATGCCGCGGCGGTATTGGCCTGGGAGAGATGGGATGAGCGTTTCTTCATCGTCGTTGTCGGTAATGAAAAGTGGGAGAATTAGCATTGACTACAGGGACAGTTAATATATGCATATCCCATGTCAATTCCCACATCTATCACTCACCTTGGTCAATTGACGTTCGGCTTGCCAAGTTCTGGCAAGCGGATGGGAATACCCTCCATGAAGCTGGCTTGCAATATCCCCAGATATGCTGACGCTCGTAGCAGATGTGCTCGCATAGGACCTTGCCCTTGACATCTGGGATCTATGGTCGTCTATGGTCGAAGCAGAAGAAGAACCTCTCGCCATTTGCCGCCGTTGCTCACTGGCCGCACTGGGGGTAGTGTCCCGAAATGAGATGTCCTGGACCAAACTGGAAAATGACATGATTATCCAGGGAGGATTGGTAGTTTGAGGGAGGATTAGGTGTCAATATTTATTTGACTTGGATGGGCGACTGGGAAGTGGGAGGGTCGAAACCTCGACGAGGTGGCGGCGGATGCTGTTCTCACCGAGGAGGCGGGTTGAACTTCTTCGGTCAGACCTCGGGATCGTGAATCAGCCGGCTGTGGTTGGACGGCAGAAAAAAGGGTCAATTCGAGAGAGACTAACGAATTGGATGGCACTTTCTTCGAAGCCTCAAGAAGTTCTCAGCGGACAGGTTGCTTCAATTGCACGATATATCAAGTGCTTTGGATGAATGTGTCGAATATTTTTATCCGTTCTCGCCCCTCGCCCAACCACCCCTACAACTTGACCCGCAACAGGGTTTAGAGGGCCAATCATAGCGTCAAAAATTGTGATGACCAAGTCTCCAGCGAGTCCGGTCTCGACGACGAGAGACTTCACCGCACCCTGATTTTGCAACCACGAAGCCTCAATTGCGCGAACAGCTTCTGGATTTCGGACAGTGTAGAAACGAGATAAGTTACGGAACTATTCAATGTAGATGTAGAGAATGGAAGCAAGTTAACATTATGTAGAAGCCGATTCGCAGGGAATTCGATCACCACTTCCCTTGTGATCGCAAGAGGCCGAGGAGAGCTGCTGAAATATAACTCATGTCTTGCTACTCTCCGGCATTCAAGTTATACTTTCTTCCCTTGTTGACGTTGACTCCAAAGGCGTGGATATATAATTCTAGTTTATATGCTCTCACTTGAACAGGGAGAGCGAGCTTTTGCTTTTTTATTTCTGTCCTGTAGCGGCACTTCCCTGCTTGTTAGTTCAATAATTATCGAGAGAGGATTACTTCAGGCTTGGAGATGCGCTTGTCGCTGTCCCATAACATATGCGTATTATCTACTGTAGAGCTCATGGGAGAGTCCAATCAATCTCCCATTACTGGCAGCATCTTCGCAGTACTTACTTATTTCCTTTTAAATTTTCTTTCAATACTGTCATCTCAAGTTACTGCATATTCTGCGAATCTCTAGGCCTTATCTCTACTTAAAGGGGTGCACCTTAGAGAACACAAGGGCACAATGCTTTCAGAAAAGGTCAACATGTGTGCAGAGACCTGACCTCCTTACCATCCGTAAGGGTTTTCAGATCGGAGGCAGGCTTCACTCCAAGTGACATTCCAGGCTTTGCAGGTGAATTTTCATTGCTACTGATAACACTACCTTGATAGTACAGCCTTGTCCAAATTGTGCCAACGTTCGACTCGGGGAGCCGAGCATGTGACCATTCGTTCTTGTCACGTTAACCGCACGTGCAGGCACGCTTTCTCCCATTTCCTCTTCTTCTGTGCGACTTCCTCATCTACTCGAGCTTCCACCTTCTTCCGCATCACTTGGCTCCTGCCATCTAAGTCAGCGCAGTCCATTGGGCTTCTGCTCGTTCAAGTCCATTGATCATCGTTTTGGGGTGCCATTTCCGGGTGCCTCCTCAAGATGGCTACGTACGGGAAAAAGAAACGCTCCCTTCTCCCCTCGCTCTCTAGCCTCAGAGACGTGAGCTTCAAGGGCAAGGACAAATCGAAGCAAAAAGGTCAGTAGATCTCTCAATACTGTTGACATATCGGACGCCAGGCCACAGTCTCTGCCTTCCCTTTCTCCTTTCTTTCTCTGCAGATGTTCGGACTCGGTCGACTACCCACTGCCTCGATCTTCCTTTACACGACAACTTGATTGCCTAGCCATTTAAGACCTCGTAGCAGACCCAATTGCTTTATACTTTTTCATGTGCTAATGCTTCTTTCTCCAACAGAGTCACTTATGCAGATCCCACTCTTCTCCGAGCCCCAAGGCGAAGAGGATCTTGAGTACAGTATTGGAGAGAGAACAATGGCGAGTAAGCTACTTGACGATACAACCGACGAACCGCACCCGGCTCCTGGCAGACGTCCGTCACAACTTCCACGAAACAAGACATACTCTAATCTTGCCCAATTCGCCCAGTCCGACAAGGGCAAATCGCTCCCGCAACTTCCAGACTTTAAATGGAGCGGTGACCGTGCTTGGTCAATGATGAATGCTCCTGTTGTTACAGCTGATGGCAGTGCCAATAGAGAGTACTTCCACAACGACGAAGTTAACAACACATCAGCTCCACCAACTGAACCCTCCCAGAGCTCTCCACCACCAATCCCACCAAAATCATGGAAGAGGAAATCCATTCAACCAAACACCAGCCACAGAAAGATCCAGGGAGGAAACCAGGCTGTAAGAAAGTCGATTGTACACCCTAAGCCTGCGGAAACTATTGACATCCCAACTCCCACAAAATATGCAGATGAGGATTCAATTGCGGAAGCAATGCAGACGGCGACTAGCAATCTGAAGGGCTCCACAAAAGGCAGTCTAAAGATCTCAGGTCCCAGCAACTTCAGGCATGTCACTCACATTGCAACTGATGTTGAGAAGGGCACTGTTCCAGAATCAATGCGGCCAACGCCTCGAGCTCCGAACGATACCGACCAAACCTTGCTCCACGGGCCTTATGTACCAACAAAAGAAAAGGGATTCAAGGGGAGCAAAGTCTTTGCAAAGATGAAGAATGCCCTCCAAGGTAGCAATTCAAGAAGCCGTCATGATTCTGGTATGACTCGGGGACTTCTTGATCCTTTCCCCGGCGAGCCAGATGAATGTGATGAGATGGGCCCAATGGACGCCGGACTAAATAAAGGCGAGAGGGCTACCCCGCCTTTCACATCATGTACTAATTGATGCAGGCAAAGAGTCGATAAAGCCCGAAGAATACAGACTCACGGGTCATAGAGGCATCAAGCGCAAGCCTGTCCCTGACCACGGAAAGTCCTTGAAGAACCTTTATAGCGACCAGACAAGCGAAGACTCATTCCTCGAAACCCCTCATTCCAGCGGCGTAGCACCAACTCAGACCAGCTCTGGGAGTCAAGTCGGGGAGGACATGGATGTTGATCAAAGCTCTGAAATCGCTCCAGAGTCAAGTATGTTCTCCCCATATGAGATCGTTCCTCACTTTGCTGAACACGTTCTAACTATCCCAGCCCTTCCCAGCCATACTCCCAAGAATACCCGGTCACGGTTGCTAGAGCAGAACAACTACCTAGGAGATTTAGATGCTTTGCCTTCGTCTAGCCCGCAAGGTCAATCTACCCCTCGTCTCCGACGTGAACCTTCGTTCGAAGACGCTAGGAAGACCTTGACAAAAGTCCATGCTGGTTCTCGATCATTCTTTGACTCTCACCCAGACTCTTCTCATGGTGTCCACTCGTCTGATATGGATATCGATGTTGAGCAGATCGGCGTCGCAGTCTCCACGGAAGAAGATACCCCCAAACGCAAGATGTCACAGAAAGTAGCTTCGTCATCGAAGCGATCCAAGAAGCATCCGTCGCCGCCAAGAGACCTCCTTGCACAGATGGCATTACAAGTGATGAACTCTGGTGAAGACAAGGAAGTTTCCGTCGTCAATTCAGTGGCAGGTGGTGCACTGTCAGCCAAAGATATAAATGGGAAGGTAAAGGCGAGAAAGGGTCATATGCATGGAAAGGTGGTTTTTTCTACGCAAGAGTTACCACGGACAGCAGGATCAATGCCAAACCTCGGAGCAGCAAAGAGTTTGAAGTCTGCGATGCGTAAGCCAGCAACCGAAACCCGAGGCTATCGTCGTCAACACAGCCAGGACTTCAGTCAAAACAACATCAGGGATGAGAGCATGGATGTGGATGAACTTCAGTGGGACAAGACGCACTACATCATTAGCGGAAGAAAACCTTAATTCGAAAACTTACAAGTCGAGAAGAACACGAAAGAGGGAATGGTTTGATGTCTTTTGTAGGGCTTGCTGGAAGATCATGTACAATCTTTGTAAAGATAGCGATCATAGCTTCGTTACCTTCTGGTGGCGGTGCATTTCTCCTTTTCTCTTTGTTGGACGTTCAGCATGTTGCATGCACATCACAGTCATACAGAAAGTCCAAAACACTGAATGAATCAGGACATAGCTTGAGCTTGAGATTGTTTTTTGTAAAAGTGGTAGCTAGCTGATGCAGTACAAATACAAAATCCCAATCAGGCTGAATTCCAAATCATTCTCGTCGTGGGTATCTCTAAAAATCATATCATAAAATAATAACAGTGTGGAGTGTTTAATAAACACGGCGGCTTCCTCGCCCATCAGTTCCGTGCATTCTCCTTGTTCCAGCAGCCTAGACGTATTCATCAGCATATTAACTGCTTGCTCATCAGGAGTGGAGAGCATACCTTGACACCAGGTCTGCGGGTCAAGCTTCCCTTGAGCTTCATCATCGCACCGCTGATCTTGTCTCCAACACTTGCATGTCGTCTGTGATGGACAATAGGTTCGTTGCGTCGAGTGTTACGTCCCCATCTCGATGATCGGGTGGTTCTGGTGTTGGCACCGGTGGTGTGGTGATGTGCTGCTGTTGTGCGGGGCTCGACGGTGGTCGTCGTCTTGACGGTTTGTGTCTTTGCGTTGCGGCCTCTCAAGCGGGTCATGAGGGTCGGCTTGGTAGTCCTGGTCTCGACCATGTTGCTGCGGCGGCTGCTTCTGAAAGGCATTTTGAGGTATTGGTTGTGTGAAGGGCTTGAGTTGGTTGAGTGTAGTGAGGTTGATGAACTTGAAGTTATTGTTGGTGTTATTGTTATTGTTTGATGTAAGGCTATGAATGAGGATAGTGTTCTTGGTGGTAAAAGGATTTGTGGAAGAGAGGTGCTCATGGCAGTAGTTATAGATCTTTCGATGGAGGGTGGGCAGGCAGTGGCCTGCTTTGCTTTGTATAGGTTGATAGGGAGATGGAACGCCTCAAAACTTGATATCGAGTGCTGAGTGGTCTCGAGAGGGCGATATGACGAGGCGACGCATCATTTCAATATCTCGATCCGGAGGGGCTTGGACCCTGAACTGGGGTTGATCAGCCAGGAGGGCTGCGATCCTGGTCATTGGACGTCATATTGGGGGTGATACAGCTTTCTCGCCAATGGGTGTGGCATGTTTGGGTCGGAGAAAATCACGCGTTAGAAGCAGGCTTGGAGGGATGGTGTATGGTCCTGGGAGAAGGTTTGCGAAAAGCAGGCTGAAGCATGGCATGAGGCTTGGCTGACGGAGGAAAGGCTCCACCAAAACTTGCTATTGGTGCGTTCGGGGAACTTCCCGATGAGCCACAGCTAATGGTGAGACTCCTGTGGCTGGAAGGGCAGGTCTAATTGAGGCTTGAATCGAAGTCTTAAATGTGCCGATCTTGGCTGTTGTGGTGGTCGAAGTCCAGAAAGTAAAGCCGAAAAGATCAATTAATTAAGCGAGAATGACGTTTGTAAGCTACGTCATCGAGGTCTTCGTGTTTGTCTTCGGTGAAGAGTCGTGATCGAAACAGAATCAAACATTCTTGCAAGTCCTAAAGAGATTAAAGAGTTAGAAATCTTTCTTGATGACTTAAAAGACATGAGAAATACGTTATCGAGATATTTTCCAACCACAAGAAATCACTCAGAAAGGCACGTGATATATCCCCTTTTTGATCTTGCAATCATCGTGCTGCAACAAGTGAGAGACCTTTCGTCCGATTTCGTGCAGATAGAGGTGACTTGTGATGTATCGGAAGTGCTAGAGTAGATTAATTCGAGGTTCTTGTCATTCTAGCTCGACACAGCAAGCCATTCTTGCTATTATTGAAACCACCAACAGACCTCCAAACCTCCTAGAAATGATTTTTCTCTTCCGCCATAAAATCTCCTCACCTCGGATACCAAGTTAAAGGAATTCAAGGCTCCAAACTCATCTTGGGAGGTCACTAGGTGATATTTCCCACGCCAACTCAAAGGTGTCACCCAATCCCAATACAACCAAGAACAGCGAACACCAACATTCCTAATACGCTTGCAACACCTCGCATTGCTGGGCTTGCTTGGTCGTCAATAAAGATCCAGTCCAGACAATATAGTGGTATCGTCGGGCAAACAACGAGAAAGTATCGCAGGATTGAGGTGATACGATAACCTAGGATCCACAAAGCCATCTCGACATAGGACACCACCGTTCGCGCGTGCCACGTGTGGGCTGGTGGAGTTTGAAATATTGAGAGATAAATACTATACGATCTAGTCTGCGATAATTGTTCGCTTGAAATAGGCTGGGAATTTGATATCACATACTAGACAATGTCGTTCTGGCAAGAATTATAAGTGCTGGACGGGAATCGATTGACCTGAAAGGGGGTCGAATGTAGTTAAAAGGTGTCTCGATGTTGTGTCGTGTTGGATTGATTATATTTGAGATGGTAGAAGCTTGAAGGAAGTCCTTCTGAGAAGCAATTAAATGACCGGACTATTAGTCGAGATCGAAATTGGTAGCGTAAACACACAATACTCTTTGCTCTACTACTTGTGGAATAAGATTGAACATTTTAACCAGTGTTGAGCAAGTCATTATGAGGAAGTAGAGAGTGCTTGTACAGAGAAAATTGTGCGCAATGTATTGGTAATTTTTGGGTTGAGGAGGCTCTGGTGCCTTGATTATCATGGGACCAACTTTGAGATGGCCTTCACTGACAGTAACAGAGAATCGATCCGATACCTCGTGCGAAAGACAGACGAATACAATAAGCAAAGAATTGCACTTTTCTATTATTTGCTCCATCCCGCCTTGACTTGTGGAAATATGAGTCAGGACGTTAGTGGAAGTAGTGTCTCGAGCTGGCACTTGCAAAACAAGAAGATACGACCGCAGACGAACCCTCTGATAGTTTTAGAACAACTTGAAGCTGGTGGCATGGCTTACAGCAGATGAAGCCTATGAAGATGCTTTTGAACTTCGAGGAAAGGGAGGGTGAAGCTTAGCCGAGCTGGAAAAGGGGTCACAGGCGAAAGTCGCGCGGCCGCAGAACATGACGTTGAGATTTCAACGGAACAATCACGACCCACAGGTCCCCCCTTAGCAACCTATCAGACAAACTGCACCCCTCCATGGACCCCTCCATCGATGAGCCAATCTTCTTATTATGTTTCTCTGCCGGAGCGAAGTGTCCTCACAATAGCTGACGTCTTCAATTGAATTTCACTTACGTCGTTTGCCATGCACAGCAGATGAAGTGGTGCGTGGGCTGGTTGAGGATTCTCTTCCCCTGACCAGCTTTAAATTTCTTCAAATCCTTTCCTTTCACCTTCATCTTTATCCAACTACCAGAAATTCAATTTCGCAAAATGGATTCAATTAAGAATACGCTAAAGTCGGCTACTGGCAAGGACTCACAGTCTCAGTCTCAGTTTGAGAAGGGTATGTTTGAATTGTCCCACAACGTGAAGGATATTTTCACCTCAAGCATTGAGTTTGTTACAGTTTTTTTAGGACTCTAACTTTTCAACTTAGGCTATGAAGTCCCCGTCTCCCACCAGTCAGCCCCAGGCAAACAGCATCAAATGGCCGGGCAAGACCCTGTCAATGACCAGCTCCCAACCGACGAAGGAGGCTACCAGCTCTACAAAGCAGCTGGCAAGCTCGCAGGAAGGAAAGCACTGATCACCGGCGGCGACTCTGGAATTGGACGTGCCATAGCTATCCTCTACGCCATGGAAGGTGCTGATTCAACCATCGTCTACACGCCCGAAGAACAAAAGGACGCCGAGAAGACACAGGACCTTGTCCGAGAGAAAGGCGGCCAGACCCACCTCATCCAAGCAGATTTGAGAAGCCACCAAGCTTGCAAGAATGTAGTTGAGAAGGCCCTCGAGGCAATGGGGCGGATCAACATTCTGGTGCTGAATCACGGGTTCCAGATGATGCAGAATACGATTGCTGAGTTGAGCGAGTGTGGCCCCCCTCTCCTACTTTTCAAGGTGGAGAATTAGTTTAACAAACCACAGGGAGCAATGGATCAAAACGTTCGATACAAACATCCACCCGTTTTTCTTCCTCTCGAAATATGTTCTTCCCCACATGAAGCGCGGTGACGCGATTATCACCTGTGCTTCCGTCAACCATTACATCGGCCGACCAGACCTGCTCGACTACACCTCCACCAAGGGCGCAATTGTAGCCTTTACCCGCGGCCTTTCGAACCAGCAAGTTGAGCATGGGATCAGAGTGAATTGTGTGTGCCCAGGCCCTATCTGGACTCCGTTGATTCCAGCGACGATGAATGATGAGGCGCAAAAGTCCTTCACTAGCCCCATGGGAAGACCAGGCCAACCGTCAGAGGTTGCGACTTGCTTTGTGTTCTTGGCAAGTGCTGATAGCAGCTTCATGTCTGGGCAAAGCTTGCATCCGAACGGAGGTGTGATCGTTGGCTCCTAGATCTTCCATCTTAGGGAGGTGCGTTATGGGGAGCACCGGAGATACATTGTCTCGGTACACCTGGGACAATGGGTACAGATTGTTCCCAGAAAAATTGGGACATTTTAATTTAGCGATAAATTTTTGAAACAGCGTATTCTACGTCAAATTCCAAGAGCCGCGTCAGATGTTGCATGTAAAGTTTATGTATGCCGCTAGCCAGCTGTACGAAGCCAGCGACGCTATTTACAGTAGTGTGTGGCACCTAATGTCCTTCGAGGGGCGTAAAGTCGTTACAATCTACCGAAGACCCTTCGCCGTTATTGCACACAACCTTCCTGTTGTGTCCCACCATGCTAGGAAGCAAATATAAACGCCAGAAGCCCCGTATGGACACCACCCTCAGCCAGAAGACCCCCCTATATTCCCAAAAATATTACCAACACGAGCACTTTTATGTACCGTTATTGTAACCAGACGCTCTGAACACTCTGCTCGCAATTTGGGACTTTTACTTACCCGTATTCCCCGCGACTAACACCAACAGAACGCCGTTAAGAACGCAGATAGCAACGAACGTCAGGCCAACAAGGCATCTATGAAGCCAGCTGAGAGATTGTTGACGGTATAGCATCGTGCCAATCGCGAGGGTTCCAAAGAAAAGGCTGGCAAGCACGCCCACGAGGACTGCAGCATCGACTTCGACCCGAAGCTTCTTCTTGCCAGTAACAACGAGTGTGCCAGCGATAGCAAGCAAGACTATCGATGCAAAGAAACATCCAAGCATGATATGATAGAGGAGCTGTTCACGCTGTCGAGAGAACTTCTGGTCGTTGATACTGGGGAACGTAGCGTAATGCGTGGCATAGCCTGCAGGGAATTCGCCTGAAGAAGCATATGCCTCATCGTCGATATCGGTATCCCCGGCGCTCTGTTCGTTGAAGTAGCCTTCGCTTGCAAGAAGGGGTCTCCTTTCCTCGGGCGACACGCTGGGGCTGAACCACCCTCTCACCGTCTCTATCGGCATTATGGCTTTTGAGAGGACATATGCAAAAGTTCCCGAGCCTGGAAACCCATCATCAGCCTCCGGATTTACCAATATTGTGTACGATTCCTCTCCCGCCTCGCTTCCATCATCGTACTCGTTCCAGTAAGCTTGTGGAGGGGGTGGTAAAATTGGTATCTGTGTACTAGGTCGGCGCGAAGCGGGTCTTGATGAGGAGGCACTTGCAGGTTCGCAGGTGTGAGTGGTGGAATGGAGGGTCGTGAGGAGGTCGCGGTCTTGTGATAAGAGAGGCTGGTAGTCTCGCCGGACGAAGCTTTTTGGGTCGCTCAGGACTTGCTCATTGAATCTTTCGCCCAGTGATGTAGAACCAGTCCATTTCTGTAAATGAATTGTCAGACGCTGCCGTGCCCACGTTGCTGCCAATTGAGATTCCGTCTTACCTTGTACTTCTTCAGTATCTTGTGAAATGCCATGCGCTGAGCATCCGTGAATCTCTGTAACGACCTTATCTCGTCTCCGCATCTATACAAGTCAACAATATCTCTTAATTGATTATAGTCGGGGTTTAGCGCACCTTTCAATGTCGAGGTCAAGTTTCGCGTACTTCTTGGGAGAGAATGTCTTCCCTTCCCGACTGCTTCGTGCTAGCAGACGGACGATTTTCTTTTGGGAGGATTCTTGATTCGCATTAGCAACCGAAGGGCATTCCTGGGGACAAGGGCGTACGCAGGCGGCAATTGATCTCGTCGACCTTGCTTTTGACGAAGAGATCGGGCCTGTCATGCTCGCTGCACAGGTCGTCGAAGAACAGGTCCTCGAACCTCTCCAGGGCAGTATCTGCCTGGCCGGGAATTGCTAATGCGCGAGCTTGGTCCTTCGTCGTGTTGACCTTTATCTCGTTCTTAAGTCTGTTGTAATCGACGTTGTCTGTGGCACAATGGTACAATCAGTCGGCTGCGTCATATATTTCAATTGTTCGAGATAGGACGAAACATTGCGAATGACTTACAGTGAGCCCATTGTGGCACGGATTTCTCTTGGAAAGTCTGTCCGTACTTCATTCCTCCACGTGCGATGCGTGATTCTGTTGGGGGAAAAGAGGGAAGAACGGAGAAGCTGGGTCGAGGTTAGTTTCTTCCCTCGGTTCTCTTTGTACCAATGTACCCGTGAGGTGCAGGCTTCGGCTTGCGGTAGAGCGAGCGAGGAATGTTCCAAAGAAGTCCGTACAATAAATATAAGAATAAGATCAAGGACAGAGAGACCCAATATATGTACAACGTATCAAAGACGGGACGGACAATGCACAGTACAGATAATTGTCATTGGGCGGGGAACAATGTCAGTTGATGGACTGATGTTTGTGGAGATAAGTCAGATACAGTCGCACTATCGCAGGCCAACGAAAACGTTTGAAGACGCAGGGGCTTCTTTGCCCTTCGGTCTTGGCAAGTGCGAGTGCGAGTGTTACAAGCAGATGCCGGGCATGTGCAGTCAGCCTTTCCAATCGCTTCTTGCAAGATGCAGTGTGGTTCGCGATTCGAGAGCCCAGAAGCTCTCATTCATTCATCAAGGTCTCCCAGGCCAATGACCCATGCATGCATATAGCGTAAATACAATGGAGCTAGAGCCGCCTTTGGGGGAAATCTGCGAGCAAAGTCTTTTCATGCTGCTTACGAAGTCACGATGCAAGTGTGATTGGTTGCGGCGTTGAGAGGGGCAAGAGCTGCCTCGTCGCTGAGCTGAGGGGCTTCCGCTGTGGCTGTGGCTGAAGCTGAAGCTGAAGACCGCCAATGGAGACGGAGATGGAGATGGAGATGGATTATTGTACGTCCGGTGTTGTGCCGGTCTCTGTTGGTGGTGGGAGGACTGTCCAAGCAAGCGTATGCGCATGCAAGGCGGGCGTTGCTTGTTCCGCGACGGGGATGCACTGTGGGTTGCCGGCATATATTCACGTGGAGATGGAAAATACTTGAATGTCCAGAAGATAGGATGGACCATGAGTTTAAAACTCTAATGAGAGATCAGGCCAGAACCAGATCAGCTGGCTCGTAACGAGAACTCTATCCAACTATATGGGCATGGGGCATGGGGGAACATTGAGGCCGGCTGTACTGTACTTGAGTCAACTGGCAGGCCTGCTGTTTCTTCAGCAGCCACAGATCCAGAACACCAAACCAAATGTGTAAAGGCGGGGAGGTGGTCCACGGGAAGCACTGAGAGGCGTGTGGAGCAAAGGAGAGCCGTTATCGCCGTTCTTCATTGTCGATCGTGAAGCTAACGTGCTGCTTGTTGTGTGCGGTAACAAGAGACTCGCGCAACGGTGTTGGAGCCAGCTAATGCGCGTGCCGCCCACACCGAGTTCATGTTACACAGGGCCCGCGGTTAATGTTCTTGCATCAACCAATGAATTCGATGGTTGGGGTAGGAAGTTCTCTCCGGGGAGGGGGGGCCAGCATTTGGTTTCCCCGCTCGTTCTCATCCGCGATTTCTTTGGAATTGGACTCAAGTGAGAAAGAAGGTTTTGAACGCGCAAAGAAGAGAGTGCGTTTTGGCACTTGGTAATCTTACGTTGGCAAAGCTAGACCCACCATTGCTAGAAAGCACTTTCTCGGCTCATGGGAAGTTGGCAAAATTGGTAGCTGCCATACGGGAAAGGTACTGTGGGACGATATCACAACATGGTCCCCCGCCATCGAGGAACAGTCGCAGACGAGAAACGGAATTGGTGGACCCAGGAAGGGAACTAGACTTACAAAATACTACGAAGTTCTCCACCCTTCGTTTAGGCACCTTCAACCAGCCAATTACTTGCCAGAGAGATGGACTTTGAGGCTTATCCTGGAGAATGTCATGAAACTTGGTTTAGGTGGAAATTTGCGTGTGTACGGAGTACGAGGTACACATCATTTGTGGAGTGACTGCATGCTGACGAACAGAGGCCGCATCGAGCTGCAGCAAGATGGGCTGACTGTCAGACCTCAGGAGACATTACCGGCCCTACTACTGTACGCACTCTCCCTGGCCGTCTTCGAGCCCCATTTTTGAGCAGATCCAAGGCCTTCCAATTTCAACTCGCTGCTCCCTCCAGAATGGGTGGCCGCAGCGTGGGGGTCGTGGGCCTGCTTTAAGCCTCTCTCCCATCCCTCGACGACGGTGCAACCAAGTCCATGTTAACCGTCAAGCGCCCCAGATTGACATTGACCTATCACAAGACGGCCTCCTTCATTCGAGGTATAGAGGTGGAAGTTCTTCAGCTATTCTTTTGAAAGACTGCCTTCAAGCCGCTACTCTCTGCTGGAACACAAACACAATCCTGGCCTGGGTCCCCACCGTGATCCTACCTACCCCTCTTACCGCATGAAGTAAATCGTCACGCGAGTGGCTGAGGCAACATTCGCGAAGTCCAGGTCTTGCCCGGAACGTTGCCCGGACGTTCGGCTTGCAACAATGAGTGGCTGGTGCAGGACCCCTGAAAGTCCCCGTGCTGTACCGTGTTTTATTGTTCGGAGGTACAGTATATCAAGATTTGGAAGGTAATACAAGAGATAAGAATGCACTGGACCGGGGCCATGCGAGGTCGGAGCTGCAATTCTCGACCAAAAAAAGGACGAGTCTTCGTCAGAAGAGGGGTCCTCGCCTTGGGTAAGGAAGAAGCGGCTCCGATTTTCCTACGTGACTTTCTCCAGCCTGAGCGGTGGATATTGTCAACCAACTGTCCCAGATAGCGTCTTAACGCCATAAGGGAAGACCGTTGGAAATCGATGCAGAGGATAATTCATGTAGAATGCGGAAGCTCGAGGAAAATCGAGACTGAAGTTTGCCGGTAAACCACGTGATGATAACCTTAGTGGACGAGTCTCGCGATAAAGGTTCACTCGCGAAAAATTTCTCTGAACAGACTCGACCAAATGCTGCGTAGAATGCAAAAATGGCTAATACAGGCAGCACTACATCCTCTATGACCTCTACATCACATACAATGACTGCTTTTCCACCTGCTGCCAAGCCATCCCTACTTCCCGCCAAGACCACCGTGGTAGCCTCACCAATGGCAAACCTTCTCGAAGCTCTCGCACCCGCCAACAGACATACATTTATAGCTCCTCCATCGGCTCTGCCCCAGACCAGCTTGGCGTATCTTAAGGAGACTTTGGATTCCGTCGCAGGGAAGCTAGGGGAGGAGCAAACAGAGAGACTAAAGGAGCAGAGGAGGAAACGGAAGCGAGGTGAAGGCCGCAAAGAGGAGGGAGAGGTGCTGAAGATTAGGAAGGTTCATACGGAGGGTTTTGAGGTCGAGCAGGTCTGGGAGCAAGCGAGAAGGGTTATTGATGCATTGAGAGGAGATGCGGAGAGAGCTTTAGAAGAATTGGGCGAGGTTGAAGTGGAGAGTGAGGATGAGGCGGTAATGGGAGATGGTGGGGTGAAGCTGTTGAAGTTTGATGAAGATGGATTCGAAGTGGGATTTGATGATGAGAGTCTGGAAGAAGAGCAAGAAGTGTCCGGGTCAGATGAAGAGGATGGCTTTGAAGAAGAGGGGGTCGATGGGGAAGGCAGTGCCGATGAAGTCGAATTTGACGGCCTCGATGGCGAGGACGACTTTGAGGATGAAGACGACGAAGTTGAAGAACCTACTGGTGTCTTTGTAGAAGATCCAAATGGGTTGAATGACGGCTTTTTCTCGATCGAAGAATTCAACAAGCAGACTGAGTTCCTGGAACGACAAGATGCTGCAGGCGATCTCTATACGGGGGAAGCAAGCGATGAGGAAGAGATCGACTGGGATGCCGACCCACTAACAATGGCGGAAAATCCTGCGTCTAGTTCTCGGCGGGCTGCTGCAATGGATGTCGAGGATGATGGGATCGAGGAAATGGATGACGAGGAGGAAGACGGCCCGACCTTTGGAAACATGGATCTGAACGCTCCTGAAGGAGAGAGTGAAGATGGAGAGGAAGATCTTGAGATGGATGAGGGTGTTGATCCCGCAGGCGACAACACGAACGATATTCTCTACAAGGATTTCTTTGAGCCTCCACCACGAAAAGCTGCAAAGGGGGAACGACAAGCAGACTATTTAGAACGACAATCTCAAAAGGGTAAAGCAATAGAACCTGAAGATGACTCAGCCGGGATAGAACGTGCTATGGCAGATGTTCGGCGAGATCTATTCGACGATCTCTCAGAGGAAGAAGGCTCAGAAAATGCATTATCAGATGTAGACCCTGCGGATCCCAAATCTAGAAAGTCAGCACACGAACGCCGACAAGGAAAGCTCGCAGAAGAGATTCGCCGTCTCGAAGCAGCATCGGTAGCGAAACGAGAATGGACGCTTGCTGGAGAAGCTCGAGCAGCAGACAGACCTCTAAACTCATTGCTCGAGGAAGATCTCGATTTTGAACGTACAGGCAAGCCTGTCCTAGAAGTGACAGCTGAGGTCACGGAGAGTATCGAGGAACTCATCAAACGACGAATCTTAGCCCAGGAATTCGATGAGGTGATTCGTCGACGACCAGATAGTGTACCTGCGAATACTCGCAGAGGAGCATTCGAGCTGGATGACAGCAAACCGCAGCAGAGTCTTGCGGAAATGTACGAGGAAGAGCATGTCAAAGCCCACAATCCAGACACCTATGTCAGCAAGGCTGATGAGAAGCTGCGAAAGGAGGAAAAAGAAATAGAGGCACTGTGGATAGAAGTCAGTGCCAAACTTGATGCTCTGAGCAGCTGGCATTACAAGCCCAAACCTCCAGCTCCAAGCCTGACTGTTGTTTCCGATGTGGCGACTGTAGCTATGGAAGATGCCCAGCCATCCACTGCTAGTGCTATCAATGGAGGCTCGAGTATGTTGGCACCGCACGAGATCTACAAAGCTGGCAAGGAGAAGGAGAGTATCGAGAAGGGAGAGGTTGTGCTGAAGAGCGGTGCTCCCGTTGCGAGACAGGAGATGACGAGGGAGGAGAAACTGCGGAGGCGAAGAAGAGAGAAGGAGAGAATCAAGAAGAGAGGTGGTGTTGAGCTTAACCAACGACCGGAGAGTAAGAAGACTAAGCAGAAGAGGGAGACCCTCGGAGAGCTCAAGAAAGGTGGCGTCAAAGTCATTGGGAGGAAAGGAGATATCAGAGATGTTGAAGGGAACAAAGTTCAAGCTGCAAAGGCTATCAACGGAGCTGGCGGGTTCAAGTTATAGGGGTCGCCCAATCAATTTATTAACTTGGCACATCCAAGTGTATCTACTGGCTTGCACAATCCCATTTCTGCCTTGACCGATGGAATGGACGTGAAATCTTGGTCACCAAGATGAACATTGGAATCGAGTGTTCCTACCAATTCCTATACCTTTCCCATCCCATCCCTCAGAACTGTCCTCCGCCCTGCTAGCCCCTGACATCAAAAAGGGGCTCCCACCCACCCCTGATTGGACCCATCCCTCCTAGCCGCCGCGGACCAGCTGTCGGCCCGCCCATGTTTCAACCCCCCATCTCCAGGATTTTTGTTGCACATCTCAGATGTTTCCATAGACCCTCAGACGTTTCTCCGGTCGTCCTGAAACGCGCGCGCGCGCGCGGGACGGGATGTTTGCGGCGCCCGGCTTCCCCGCCACTTGGGGAAATACTGGATGTTTTGTTGCACGTCTAAACCATTTACCCGGGAGATTGGGCTAGGCTGGGTTTATGTTTTATTGCTTTTTCTTAGATGCTTTTGTTTCCATGATTTATCAAGGGAAGCGAACGTGTTCGTTGCTTGACGATGTGGAAATTCATCAAGCGGTGCCTTAACCTACCTACCCCTGAACTCTTGGCGAGAGAGGCGGCTTAACAGAGTGACGGGGAGACTGAACCTTGCTTTAGGTTGTTTGCGTTGTGTAAAAAGGCAAGTTTGAAAAGAGGCGTGAGACGGCGTTGATCCCGAACCTTATGCTTTCATTTTGTGGGCCTGTTTCATTATAACTCGAAACTCGCATGGGTAATCAAAGCTGATACCCAGAATGGTGATAGCTAAACACTGGGTTGCAAAGGGACTTCGATGGACTCGGAAAAGGTATTGCGCTCTAGACGGAGGTATTTGGTACATTCCTCATTCGAGTTTAAATTCATAGTTTGTTGAACCCCTGGATTTCTGACAGTCATCGCTCGTTAATGTAAACGCCGCAAATCCGATATTACCCTACCAATCTAGCACTTGTCTCTTGTGAGGAGCGATCCCTTTGACCTCAGCAAAGCCTTTCCTCCAGCTCTAGTTTCGTATTTTAGACTGATTAGAGTGTTTAAGTGAGTATTCCCAGAACAGGCCGAGGCTCTCATGCGTGTGGGCAACGAGTCCAGGTTGCCAGGATTATAGGTTTAGAGCGGAAAGACATGAAAGGACGAGTTTGGCGTCATCCGGCAAAGTGAAATCGCAGTGCCGAGGAGCCTAGATTAGAGGAGATGATGTATAGCACGCAGACGATAAAGTGACAATGTGGCAGTGTGCTGATGGGTACATCTTATGATGTTGATCATCAATTGGGAGGCGGGGTGTCGGGAATGGGGGGAACGCTGTATTTCGTTGACAACTTCCTGAGATATGACCATATACGGTGATGAAAGGAGGGAAACGAACAGTCAGCGAGGTGCTTTAAGATAACAGTTCAGCTATGGAATCACTTCAGAGAAGATTGTGAGACTATACAACCAACCATAAGTGGGAACTGTAATCGGTGTCGTTGAATTGGTGGTGCTGTTGTAGAAGTCTCAAGGGTGCGGGGAAAAGAATTTGAAAGAATAACCGAATAATTACATGAGAGCCTTCTAGGAAACGGGTGGGTCCCGTTAGTGGAAGAAGAAAATGCTCGATCGATAATTGATGGCTGGTGAACGGAAAGTGATTTGAGTAAGAGGAGCAACCCCATAGCCGGTAGCTCTTCTATCTTCACTCCCAAATTGTTCAAAGCAGAAAACGTAGTACGAGAATGCCAAGTCAAGAGCTGCCAGTATCTTTTCGTAAAGGCCATGATTACATTCCCTCCCCAGATGATGAAGCCGAGCAAAGGTGAGCGAACCATGGGGCTAGTACTTTCAAGTCACACATCCGCCCTGTGAATCATACGCAATTTCAAGGCAATCCTCCTGCCTAAGATAAGTGTCTTCCAAAAGAACATATAAAACCTTTACCTCACCTTCTATTTCACTCTGCAATTCGAGCCCAAGGGCTTCATTCTTTGCCTCGTGGTTCACTTACACACCAATCTAAACCCACCACTTCGCGCCGTGCAACGAAAGGCATTCGCCCTCGCCCTTTCGGACAGAAAGGCTTCAACTAAACGCCCGAGAGAATATCACATAAGAAAAGGGGCATCGCCCGCCTCAGGCAATCCAAAAAAATGCAAGGCCTCACCGTGCCCGGTCCGGCTGTGCACGCCTCGGAAGCCACTCTAGGCACCACCACCGTGTGAGTCACTTCCCCTTTGAATTTCCCTTCGCCCATGTACGAAACAACACTAACGCAATCCTCGCTCCAGATCCAGATCTCAGTCTAAAACCTGCAGGAAGAAACTCGAGACCTCGCCAGACCCGAATCTGGAGAGACAGCAGCGGCTCCTTCACACACTGCCAACGGAGTTGCATGTCAATATCATGGCTCATCTGTACCAGGACCCGGCTTCGCAGATCTGCTTTGGGTTGGCGTCGAGTTACTTTTATTGGCAGGTGTTCCATGAGGTGAGGGATGAGAAGGAGTACGGTAGAGACGGGAAAGTGTATCGGCCTGCGAATGATCTGCGACTGCAAGTAAGTGTTTGTGGTCAGTATTCGGTGTATGGGCGGTGGGAATATGGCTTCCTGTTAGATGCGTGGGATATTGAGTGGCATAGAAGTCTTGGGGAGTTGTTATCTGAAGAGCAGTGGTTGTGGGGTCAGTTGAGGTATTGTGAAGAGTGCGTGAAGTACAAGCCTGCTAGCGCTTTTGAGGAGTTCGGTGGAGAGCAAGAATTGTTGAAGGGTGTTGAAGAACGGCGGGTGGAATTGGTCGCAGATTTTCAGTGGCTTGAAGGTATGTGCAAGAGGTGCAGGGCGAAACAACTTCTTAGGGATTTGGGGGAGAGGGAAGAGGCTAGAGAACAGGATGGTAATCCATGGGAAGAGAGAAGGAGTCTGGGGTTGAAGAAAGTGGAAGTTGGTGACAACGCTAAGGATCTTTTGCGGGAAAATGAATATGCCTTGACTCCTTCAAGGTACTGGGAAGAATGCGAGGCTTCAGATGGAAACTATGAGACGTGGGAAAGTATATTTTCAAAGTTTGGTATCTGATTTGGGGAAAGAAAGTAGGCCTTGGGTATCCTCCCCTCTTAGACATCCCCTCCACTTGGACTAGAAGCATGGTAGAAACTGGAAACTAGAATACGCAGTCAGAAATTGCTCACTTTAGTTCAAGAGGTCCTAGATCGAGCTCCAAGTTTGCGACCCATTGAAAAAATCTAAGGGCCAACAAGCAGTCTTTGCACAGGCAGGCCTGTAATTCACATGCTGTGCCGGGCGGGCCCTGTATTTCATGAATTTATTATCTCCAGCTACCTGGAAAGTAAGCGGATATTCTACAAAATTGCTCTTGATATCCTCATCGTCATGCCGAGAATATTTTGGCAGAAGCAGACGTCGAGTGTGGAACGACTTAATCCCCAATCCACATCCGCCAGTACCGAAAGAAAAGTAGACGGAAACAGAATCCTTCCTGCATGTGAGGAACCACCCCTAAAACGCCGATTTATGCATTACGAGCCATGTCTCCTATTTTCACGCCGTTTAATGCCCACACTTCCTCGCTAACATATCAGAATTCTCTTCATTAGCATCATTTCCATGTCATAGACCAGCAATCATCAATTATTCCTCATCCCCATATATGTAAATTAATCTCATGCCCCATACTTGTGATTCATACTCCCTCAATATTTGAAGGCAGCATCATCTTGGTGAACAGAAGTAGTTCTCAATGGATGACGTCCGCAGCGCTTTGGCTTGCTGGGTTTTCCGCGGTAGCAAGTAGCATGGGCGTTGTTGCCAGCCGGGATTCCAAAGTTCTGCTTGAAGGCGCAATACTCCAGCTCCTTGGGCATCCAGGACTTGATGTGCTGGTGAAGCTCACAGCGGTAAATGCCACACTGCTTGCACTCTCGTTTTCCGACAACCTCCCAAGCGGCCTCAAGGGGATTGGGCCCAATGCGTCTCGTGTTGAGAGGCATCTTTGTACCGTGAATAGCGCGACAGACGAGGTAGAGGTTTGGTGCAGATAGACCGAGGCAGCAAGAGTCAATCTTATCCAGGTAGCTGAACACCTCGAGTTGAAGTTCGGTGGGGAGAGTTGGGAGCGTGTTTCCATGGCTGCGAGACGGAATGAGAGATAGGCGTCGCTCCAAATCCGGGGTCATCTGGAACTCCCACTCCTCTTCCTCAGGAGACGAAGTCATATCGGTGTCGGTGCTTCCCAAGGAGTCGTAGTCAGCGTGGTGGCTACTTGAAGAGCTAGCTGAGCTGAACGAGGTTGAAGCCATTGCGTTTGACAATCCCGTGACCGGTGGAAGGAGTGCTGCTTGGGCAGGCAAGGGGAGTTCCAGAATACCAGGACCGTGAATCACAACGCAAATCGCTCTCATTTGTTTAGACACTCTTGCAAGAGAGGCAGCACTACTGGGATCCAGCTCTTGAGCAACACGGGTGAGGGCGTAGTGGCATCTTGACGAAGTCAGCTTTTTGAAAGAGGAAGGAGCGGGCGAATTGGCATACAGATCGTTGAGCATCTTGGTCAAGCGAGGTTGTGTCTCTTGAGTTGAGGTAATATCGCGCTGTCGAGCGGTTGAGTTGGATGTAATCGGTAAATCTTCAGATCGTGAAGTGGAATGCTGATTTGGGATGTGTCTTCTGTAACAGTAAAATTTAAAAAGTTCAAGATTGGAACGCAACTGCGGGTCTCTTTCTTTTTAGTGCCCGCCGATAGTCAGGCGGGCGGCCGTCGAAGGAAGCACCTGATGTGAACCCAAAGTTATTTCCCTTGTCGAGTCAGTCCACATCCACTTTTATCCGGGAATTATCGCCGGCGTCCTAGGGGCGAAATACGGACGTCATGTGTTTTCTGTGAGCGGGAAAAAAGTTCTCAAAGTCACTTGATGGTATTTGAGGGAGTTGCGGTGTACGAAGGTACTCGCTCTTTGGACAATCTAGACGTGCCAGAATACAGTACCTGCAGTGTTCCACGCTTAGACACGGAAATTTCAGGAGGCCAATGACCAATCTATGTGCAGACCCCTGCGATAAATTGTCCACGCCTCCACGCCGATATCGTGGGTTAAAAAAGCCACGCACCCGCCTTGGAAACGGTTGTCAAGAGCAACAAAGCGGGGGATGTCCGAGAGAAAGTCAAAGCCATCGCAGATTCGCAGCGAGAAACACAACATCAGCCAATAAAAAGTTGAAGCCTCTCATGATGCCGTGGCACTCCCACGGATCATTGAACGCGCAATTTGGAAGTGTGTCATGGATTTGTACGCCTGAACATGCTGATGGGGAATTACCAACTATCCCGTACAATTACTATCCCGCGATGCGAGTCCCCTCTGGCCGAGTCCGGATATGCGCTCCTGGCTATATCGAAATCCAGATGACAGATATAACGACGTCGAGTCCCTTATTCTCCCCGCCTTCATACTTGAAGCTCCACATGCCGTCGGTCTTCTCGTTCCAGTATGCTCCCGTTGCGCTATGCATTCCTCTCCGGCCAACATGAGGCTTCCCATCCGTTCCTGTAGCCTCATTCTTGTCGCTCGTCGAAATCGTGGCTTCGGTCTTGGGCACCGGACTCTCTTGGGCTGCTTTGGCTCGGTTTAAGGTAGAGGTAGGCACAAGGTGTTGGATGATTGTGCTGTTGACAGCATATTTGTACGATGGGGTTCCGCCAGCAGGAGAGGACTCGGAGATCAACGAGCGTAGGATGGAGTTCTGCGGAGATGTTGGTCAGAAGAGTGTATTGTGTGCAGAGGAGGGGTCAACAAACAATGATTGTTGTGTTCCACGCCTCGGTCTTCGAATGCTCGTAGAATTCGGTGCTTCCCAATGCACTTTGGCAGGCCTATCAACCCACTCAGCACGAGTACTCAATATAGGTTTAACTGGAAAAATGCTCTGCGAGAACGTACGTCATTCGCGATCTGCTTCAGTCGAGTGTAAGAGATTGGCTGCGGGGAAGTTAGCAATGAATCACGATCGCATGCTCGAATCGATGGGCTCGTACCGGAGTGGCGGATGAAGTCGCCATATTTTCGGAAGTGCTCTCGATGCCAATGGGGAGTAGAGGAGGACGAAGAAGCTATTGAGGAGAAGTGTTGCGTTGGAATGGCGCTGATGCAGCTCATCAGATGGCCTTCCGTGATTTGGTCTGGGGTAAAACGCTGGAGGTAGCTTGTTTTGGCAAGGCGCCGGTTTATTCTTGCCTCACAAACAAGGCAATAGGGCCAAAAAAGCTGGCGCTTCGAAGCTTGCTGCAAGAAGACCACTACGAGGACGAGCCCTGGAAGCAAAGAGGCTGGTGATAGCCAATCCAACCACTCACAGCAGAGTATTGTTGCACGTTTTAAGCCCCACCCCAAGACCAGACCTTATCAGATGGACCTCTGCAAACTCACGCATCGATCGAGTTTTCCCACTTTAGACAGCTTCCCTCCAAGCGTGACCTTCCCGAGCGACCTACAATCGCCTTCTCGAAGATTCAATTCCTCCCTCCCCGGCTCGAAAGTCTCATTTCATTGAGCTTACCTCAACCAATTGCGTCTGCCCGCTGCTACAGGACCCGGCACATTTCCCCCATCCCAGCCCGGCCCATCAGTTCCCCGCAAGATGTCGAGCCAACCTCTTCTTCAATCGGCTCCTGGTACGTGAATCTCTTCCCAACGATCAGTGAGGGAATGGAAATTCTCAGCTAATCCTGCAATCACAGGCAAGCGGATTGCACTCCCAACCCGAGTCGAGCCCAAGGTCTTCTTCGCGAACGAGCGAACCTTCCTCTCATGGCTGAACTTCACCGTTATCCTTGGTGCCCTTGGAGTTGGCATGCTGAACTTTGGTGACTACGCCGGTTTCTGGTCAGCTCTAGGGTTCATCACCGTTGCGGTCTTGGGGGCATGCTATTCGCTGTACACATATCACTGGAGGGCGAGGGAGATCAGACGGAGAGGACAAGGCGGTTTCGATGATCGATTTGGCCCGACTGCTCTTATGATCTGTCTCTTCTTTGCCATCATTGTCAATTTCGTTCTGCGCGTCGTTTACCCGGATCAGGATTCAAAGAAGCATTAGCGGCCTATAATGAACGATGAGGGATGTACTTGTACATGAGAAAGGATGAATTGGCGGGAGAGTAGGAATTGGCGCAATTGAGATTGTGTATATAGGAAGTGGATGGCAACCGAATTGGCGTTCGAGGGCATGGTTTGCTGTACATATCATGGTAGGGGTGTCGGTCACATAAAAGCTTCGTCAGAAAGGGCATGATCGATTGAATATGACAGTGTTTCTGTCCGCATATTGCGTGCTATCTTCCGGAGCACCAGCAACGGGTATCTTTGTAGACCTAACGCCGATTCCTTTTCAAGTCCCCACGTGCAACGCAACTGAACCTCAACGCTTTGGGAGCTCCAAGCCATTCGTCTGCTCGCTGTGAGAACGTTAGTGAGCTGTTCGAGTAAAATTATGGAGGTTGGACTCACGTGTGGTCCTTCCTCAAACTATCAATCCGTACCCTCGAGAGACACAGCGCCATGACCGGAATAGCCCTGATCTTCGGCTTTCCTTCAATCGCCCTCTCAAACGGAGTCTTCATAGTCTCAAAGCCCCCCTCACTCTCATGACCAGCATCCTCATCTTCATTCTCAGCCAGAGATCTATCTGCCCCAGCACCCTTCTCCTTCTTTGCATCTCCTTCCTTATGCCTTTTCTCCTCCATAACCTGACCCAACTTATTGTACTGAAACCACTTTCCACCATTCTTGACAATCTCCCTCTTCACGATCTCGGCAACTGAAATCATCTTCGACGCAACAGCAGCTTTGGAATAAAGCATCACGACTTTCGGCTTCGCTGGCGGGATGGTGGGGTATTCGGAGAGGATGTCGAGGGCTCGAGTGACTTTTTGCTGGATGTGTGACGAGGATATAATGCTCATACTCGTGACATCGTGGGTCTTCTCAAGCTCCGTTCCCATCTTCGGAGCATCGGTCGAGCTGGTGGAAGGATTGTTGGTCGTACTTCTCACGTTCGCAGAATCCAACGGCATAGACTCCCCAATTTCCTTGATCACTGCCGAACGTTTCTTCCCCGCGTCCTCCTTACTTCCCCCAGCTAGACGTTGGAGAGGAGCCGAAGTTTCGGCATGGTGTTGGGCGCGTTTGGCTGCTTTGGCGGCTTTTCTCTCCTCCTTATTTCGCTTTTGGTTTTCCTGGTTCCGCTGTCGTCCCTCGGGCGTCTTCATGTTCTCTCGATACGCACGGCCTGCGGGCCCTTTCCGAGCTGCCGCCTTCGTTCGTGACATGGTTTCGAATTGCACTTGGTTCTTGGTGGACGATGTTGGAAATGTTGTGCTGACTCGGAGTTGAAGACTTCGAGGTGGCCTTGCCCGCTTCGCACAAGCCACTTTCTCAGCCTTGCCGATCCGCTCGAAAGAAGTATTGCTTCACCAAGTCCAGTTCATGTTATTTAGACATCCATTCCATTTATCCATCTTAAAATTAGACAAAAGACTTGGCAGCGGGACGGTCAACTCTCGAGCTTCCTTACTAATTCGAGTTTCATTTTCGTTCTCAATTCAAAGCTCCCAAGCGGGTCGAGAAGAGCACCACAATGACACTCCCAATCCCCAGCGCTCACAGTTCAGGAAAGAACTGTATGTTGTGAACCAATTTGTTGTAGAGCGGCATCATGTTGATACACAATAGCTTGAGTAAGCTTTGTTCACGATGGATAGTACTGTCTTTACGTCTTTGCTCTTTCTATGCAGTCCCCGCTCTTGCCCTGAACAGCTCTTAAATATTTTTCATGCAACGATTACTCTTCAGTATTTCAATTCTATGAATGTACCGACTAGCCACTGATGTTACGGCAGTCCTGTGTGCTGGCACAGAGTCAGCTGACGGTGAACAAGCATGTCTGCCGTCGGAAGTGATCTTTCGGATTTGCTGAGATACTGGGCGGGTAAATAGCCTCCGTACTCATGACTGGCTTATCAGGTATCTACTTTTACCACTCCGCAAGTACTTTGTTCTCTAGGCAGAGATGGTTTCTTGGGGACGGGCTTGGGAATTCTAAACAAGGTGCTCTGAGAGGAAATTCTGAGTTTAACGATTCCGAGAAATATATTTCTTCACAACTCACAGTGTAGAAGCTGAGTGGGAAAGTAGCCCAGGATATTCATGAACTCGAGGGAAGGATGTGTGTCGATTCATTGCAGGACTTCGGAAGGATCGAGACCCCTGACTCAACCAAAATAGAAGTACACCGGCGACGTGGAACCTTTTTCTGGTTTATTTCGGACTGACGAATAAGAATCTACCCAGATATAGACGAATTTTAAGGACTTTTCTTCTCTTATTACTCACTGGAAGCCTGGAAGGTATTCTCGCTGAGTCTTGTCACATGCTAAGGCAACTTGCGAACTCTCACTGTTTCACCTCCACCACACCTTTGAGTAAAAAGTATCAATATGTGCGGGGTGAAAGGTTATCAGGCAGGCCATTTTGTGGAGAAGCTGTCACATCTGCCCCTCATCTTTTTGCAGGTGGGGTCTTGTTCAGTGTGGGAGGATATGCAGTTTCATGACAGCCTCGACTAAGCATTCGTCAGAAACCAAAGCCCAGGCGCATAAATATATTCCTTTTGGTGTGTGATATCCACTCTGTAAACTTCCTTCTCAAATACTGTACACTCCTATCACAAACGCACACGCCTATCACCGACCGGTTCGGGCTACTCGGTAAGAGGCAGGTTCGCGGTGGTACAAATTGCAAAGGTAATCTGTTGTTGCACTCTCGGCTGCTTGCACACCCAGCCTGCTCACTCGATGCACGTCAAGCCAAGAGTAGGGATGGCTCCAATGACGGTCTCGGAAATGTGGCCGTTGAGTGGAGCCTCGTCCTGCGTCAAATAATACTGTAGCAATGGACTGATCCAAAGCCAAGCCAGGCACCTCTCTTCTCAAACGAGCTCTCCCATTCGAAGGCTGCCGATGAGCTGACACCCACGCGGCCGCCTGTTTGCAAAGTCCCGTCCTTGTTGGAAGTTGGCACTCCCCACAGGTCAGTGCTGATTATTAGTGGCCGGCTATATCCATACGACGAAGTGTATCCGCAGCGTGATCGCCACCACGATACCCGTGAACACCGGGAATGCCTGGGCCACAAACGATAAAGGGCTACCGTACTTCTATTTCCAAAAGCTCGGAGGAGGCGCAAGACACGGAGCAGAGGGTGGGATACCTGTACCAGAGTGCAAAGCCGGAACATTCGAAGGTGCTATAGCATGGTGTAGCTCCGTACTCGTACTTATTTACCAGTCCAGCAATGTCCACACTTCACATGTGTCCTCATTGCGAATCCTGATATCGCTATCGCTATCGCAAGGTGCAGCGCCTTGCAGCGCTTCGTTTCCTGCAGGCAGCATAAAGTGCCCAGCCCACAAGGCGCCCGCCCCGACGCAGCTCCACCAAAGATGCAGCGCAGAGCAGCATCCAGCGCAGAAGCGCACGGCACGACGGAAGGCAGCCCATGGCCCCATGCCCAGGAGGCCCAATGATGCCCTTGACCTAGCTTGGTAAGGCCAGCAGGAGAGCACAGGGGGCCCTCAAAGGACCTGCTTGGCGGCAGCGAATGAGAAGCGTCAAGCAGATTCCAAACCTCTCCACAGTCCACACCCTCGCGGTGGCTCGCGGTGGCCCGCCCTTGTTCGGCTGGCGTTGAGCAATTTTTAGTGTGCGACTGCAGCAGGGGGGGGGGGGGGGGGGGGGGGGGGGGGGGGGGGGGGGGGGGGGGGGGGGGGGGGGGGGGGGGGGGGGTGCCAGGCGGGCGAGCGACTGTGTTGCTCCCCAGGCCCAGGACGGGTCGCATCTTTTAGTTTCCTCCATCAGTCAGTAGTACAGTAGTCCATCAGTCCATCAGTCCACCTCCACCTCCATCTCCGAATCCATCTTCGATATTCGTCAACCACACGCCCAACGCTGGTCCGACTTTTTCCCATTTTCACTGACGCCTTCCTTCACGACCTTAGCGACGACTTGTACTGTAATTTTCACTCTTCTTCTCTTCTCTTACCTTACCTTATCTTCCTTCCCCTTCTTCCTCTTCTTCTCCACGCCTCACGCCTCACGCCTCACGCTTCACGGCTCGCTTCGGCAACTACGACCACGCCTTCGCTTTGTCCGCGTCTCCATCTGTCGTCGCCCCGTTACAACATTTCGCGAACCCACGCCACGACGGCAACCTTCGATTCTGTGCCCTCCTTTCGCCTTCAGCCCTTTATTTACGCGACTTGTAATTGATTCACCTTCTTGTACAGAGTTAAACCGAGGGCCTGCCCGCCTGGAGGGTCGTTTTGGCCACTCAGGAGGCTCCACTTTTGTCGACGTCAGCGAAGCTATATTCACCAGGTCACCAACTCCCGCAACCTCGTTGTCGCAAACATCAACAACCAAAACCCCGAGAGGCTCATGAGTTGCAGATCGGAGTCGTAGCTCTGGTGCAAGCCCTCCAACCACAACGGTCTGCTCTCTCTGCATGCGAATGTTCCGACTCCCGTCTTGGTTGGAATCCAGGGGTTGTGATAAAGTGGTAAATGGAGTAGCAGAGCACAAAATGGCGCATGCCACTCGACCGGTGGTGGAAATTCACTCTGGCGGTGCGTCGAAGCGGAAGAGAAGTAGTAGTGAAGGTACGCCTGATATTGTACCAGGAGCGCATGATACCAAGCGGAGGAAGGGCCACACTCCTACGGAGAATAGAACGCCTGTCCCAGAGATTACATCTACATATACGTCTACGTCTATGCCTACGGGTGGACTGAGTGAGAAGTTAGAGGCCGCCATCGATCTCGATCCAGATCGAGTCCGTGAAGGCATCGAGTCCCAACTGAGTCTTGACATTTTGATGAAGCACAACGAGCTTCGTCTGATCAACCAAGAACTCGCAAAATGCCAAGCTGCTCTCGAGCAACTCCGTCGTTGTCATTTGATTCCTTATCCGACTGCACAAGGAACTCCTGAGTCGATGCAGCATGTCAGCAACGGAACAGGACCAACTGTTGCCCATGGTGGCAATGTGCCGCAATGGGCGCCTGCTTACGGAGTTGCCGATGGGCCATATACAAGACACTACGCCAAGTGGCTCATCCCAGATCCAGCATTCGATGGTGTCCAAGTTGACTGGCAACGGGGTTCTGATATGTCACGTGCTGGGAAAACTGTACCAGAGGGTCGTTCTACCAGACACAGTTTCGTTGAGGGCACCACAGCAGCAAGCAAGTCCAGATCTCAAAGAGGCTCTTCTGGTCAAAAACTCCAAGCCCTCTCAAGTGGCTATCCTCAAGCCAAGGAGAAGGCTGGGCCTTGCATTCTCAAGCGGGCAAGCGATGGTCAAATGGTCAAGCTTGTTTGCATCGACTGCAACCGCGACAATTTCTCAAGTACTCAAGGATTCATCAATCATTGCCGCATTGCTCACCGCCGAGATTTCAAGAGCCATGATGAAGCCGCGCAGGGCAGCGGACAACCGATAGAGGTTGACGAAGTTGGAGGCATCGTTGGTGAAGAGAAACCTCAAAGCGCTCCCAACGGTCTCGTACATCCACTCATCAGAAGTGCTCCGACAGACAAGGAAGCTTACAAGGCCCTTCTGTCCCGCATCAAAGCTTCCATGGAAATGTATGAGCAAGGCAAACTTCCCGGCGTTACCTCGATACCAACGAGCACAAATTCAACACCTTTGAAGAGCAAGTTTTCGAAGTCGGCCGACACTTCGAGTCCAAACTTCGTTCCATCTCTTACTACGCCACGTCTATCTGAGTTGATGCGGAGCAGAGGCTTTGGTGGTGACCTTGCTCAGATGGTTACGGAAGCGAAGAAGAAGGTCGATTTCGATGAGGACTCGGATGATGAATCAGAAGATACCGATGTAGTTTTGAGCGCCAATCAGCGCCCAGGAACCGGCGTTGAGACCCCAATACTTCCTGCGATGAGAGTGCCATCCCGTGCAGGCGTTTTACCAGCTCCATTTGGTCGACCTGGGAGCAGTAAGGGTGTTGATACTCGCCATGGCAGACAGCCAGGCCTGAGCGGAATATCCCCCCGACTTACCCATGCAACTCCAGTCATCAACACGACCGCCGCTGGCCACCGCAACATGGGCACAACTCGTCTCGTCAATGTTGAGCATCATGATCATGCCGATGAGCACCAGGATGATGTTGATGTGGACATGCTGCACGGTCCGTCGATCAGCGACCTCAGTCCAAACACTGTTGTGAGCAACAACGCGCCCAGCTTGGTCAGTGATGATGGAGAATATGATGAGGGTGATGATGCCGAGAGCGCGAGCTCTGAGGAGGAAGCAGAGGACAGCGATGTTGCCGAGATTGACATTGAGGATGATGGGGTCGAAAAGGTCGTGCCAAGGACGATTTTGAGGAATCGATCCGGCAGTGCAGGCGATAGCATGAGATTGAGGAAGGAAGACAAGCAAGTCACCTTCGTTTCTCCAGTCAAGGATAGCAGACGCACGCGGAGAACTTGAAAAAGCAGCCGGTGCATGATGTCGGATTATGAATATCTGGGGAAGGAGGAGAGTAGAGCTTGAGCATCACACACGATTCCGTGCTTGTTACGCGCTCTTGTTAGCATCACCAAAGCTTAGATAACTCTTCTCTTCGGTTAGACTTCTGTATGATAGAAAATACACTTTAGCACAATTCAACTAATTCCCAAACTTTACAAATATGCCCAAGGTTTAGCACTTCATAAGCGGTCTTTGATTTTCCTGGTGACTCTGGAACGTTAACAATCCGCTTCCCAATATCAAACAAAATTCCATGCAAACCCCTAGCCCTTAGGTCGTCATGAGTCGACTTACGCCTTTCAATTCCAACTTCCGCTCGCACTCTGATTAAAGGCTCCATCCTCCTCCTCATCCAAAGTCCCCTTCTGCTTCTTCAATTCCCTCTTCAAATCCGCATTCTCGGACTCCAACTGCTCAATCCTCAACTCCAAACCATCCATTTGCTCCTCAGCGCCAACGCTGAACTCCTCGATGATCTTGAAGAAGCGCCAGAGACGCAGAATGACGACGAGCGAGGCGACTTCTTCCAGGATACCGTGCAGTAGGACGTCGACAATGAAGCCTGCTACGATTACGGTGGCGTCGAAGGAGTGGAACCAGGAGTTGAAATACCTTTCAAATTCACATATCAGTATGCAAATTCAAATTCAAGTAGAGAGAGATAGAGAGAGAGGGGGGGTGATGGAGGGGGAAAAGAGAACTCACCGCCACCCAAAAGCCCAAACACTAAGTATTAATTCCAGCATAAACAGACACGAAAACACCAGTCCTGCAATGCCCAACCCGTTTCGAACGTCGTCCCAGAAGGGACTTGTGTCTTTCTCGTCGCATTGGTAAAGGTTTATTATTATGTCTGCGAAGATGCCGAGGAGGTCGAAGGAGACAAGGCCGAGCACTGTCCAGTGCTGCGCGCGCGAGGAGAGGAAATCTGAGACGCGGGTTTTGCAGCCGTGGTAGATGGTGTGGAAGTGCGAGCGTTGGGAGGGCGGGGTGGAGTGCGTGCCGTTGGAGATAGAGTTGTGGGTTGTGAGTTGGTCGTGGAGGAGCGGCTGTGAGGAGACGTCGGAGGTGGGATGGGAGGTGGGCATTGCGAAGGTTGATAAGTTGCTCGAAGTGATTATGGCTATATTATATACGTTCACTAAATTGAAGAGGAGGAGAAATAGCCTCGTCGATGTCTCTTGATCACCGAGGGACGAGGTGGTTCAGGTTGGTTCTTGACTAGAACAAGAGAAAGTAGGCTCGAAGAAGTTGGAAACTTGGTCTTGTAGAGCAAAGAAGCTTAGACCTAAACAATCTCAACTCGAAGTTCTGGTTGAAATGGAACACCGAGAAGGTAGAGCAGCTCAGGGGTGAAGCTGTTTATCTGGGGAAGTTTCGCGGCGCACAGCTCTTATCGCAGTCATCTTGACAAACCTCTTGGTCGTCCGATATTATTTCTTTTGCTGCTCTCGTGGGAGGAATTCCACTAGCTGGAGGATGGCTGTGTGAGCTCTGTGTGGGATTAGTAGAATAGCACTTGCACTGTTAACTTGTAGCGTGGCATTTTCTTGGAGGTCGCATTGTGCTTGTCAGCCTTGAGATGTGGTCCCTTGAAGCTTGGGTCTTGGCATTGTTTGGGTCGTAGAAATGACGAAAAGGTGCGGGAAGCAGCCTCGTCTTCGCCAATTTGATTTCAACAACACCATCTCCACAACGATTTCGCCTGCCTGATTTCTTTTCTCATATTTTGAGGCTTACAAGGTTAGTAGATACTTCTCGTCTTAATGTTGGCTGTGTTGCGTTGAAACAGCCCTTTGCGTGTGCAGAGAAGTGGGAAGAAAGCTCCAAGGGTGTTTCCAGCCTGATCACTACCATTCCAAAGCTTCAAATTCACTTATTTGCTTCTAGAAATATTCACTGCCTTTATCGCTTATCACACTGGCGCTAATGTTGTCATAAACCAGGTTCTGCACGCTGCCTCCTTTCCTTTCGACAACATCAAGTATTTTATTTCTGATTGCACGCAAACTTCGCAACAGCATCCTCTGAAAGCACACAGGATGGCAGATACTGAGCCGAAGGTTGAGGAGGACGTCCTTATCGGCGAGGAAGAGGGAAATGATGAGGTATGCCATAGCGTCGCTTTCAGGCCCGGACATTGTTGACCAAGGTTCGTAGGAGGAGATTTCGGCAATGAAGAGGAGGGTCGCAGAGATGGAGGAGGAGGCAGCCAAGCTTCGTGAGATGCAGGCGACGTTGGATCAGCAGAGCAACGATCTGCGAGAGGACAAGGAGGATATCGACTCGAGAAGCATCTTCGTTGGCAACGTCGACTATGCCGCTTCCCCAGAGGAGATCCAGGCTCACTTCCAGAGCTGCGGCTCCATCAATCGTGTCACCATTCTGCTGGACAAGTTCACCGGCCATCCCAAGGGGTTCGTTCCACGATTTCTGGTTTCATGACGGCCATTGCTGTTCTTGTTGTTGCCGTCAAGAATCTATATGATCAACGCTACCTGGCAAGAGATGGATGCTAATCTAGGCTATGCAGGTATGCGTACGTGGAATTCACAGAGCCAAGTCTCGTTGCTCAAGCTCTTGTCTTGAACGAGAGCGTCTTTCGTGGACGTAACTTGAAGGTTGCAAAGCTTTCCCTTTCTTTGTATAGCTCTTTGCTAACCAGGTTGTCCTTCCACAGGTTGTTCCAAAGCGTACAAATGTCCCGGGTATGACTCGCGGCCGAGGCCGAGGTGGCATGAGAGGTGGTCGTGGCTTTGGGGGCGGACGTGGAGCTCCTCGCGGTGCATACCGTGGTGGATACAGAGGAAATCGAGGCCGTGGATTCTCTCCGTACTAGGGTGAGAACGGTTCTTCAAGGCGGTCGATGACAATTCAAGGGATTGGAAAAGCGTACGATAGTTAAAGGCACGAGACCTGCGTTGGTTTCTATAAAACGGTGGGGAATTCATGAGGGATCTGGGCAATGGTCTTGAACTGAAGTACTAGATTTGGCGTTGATATGGGAGCACGTGCTTGATTCTTCCACCCTGTTCATCTGCCTTCCAACTTTGTGAACTTCGTGAACTTTGTGGAACATTGATCTTACTGCCCTGGGCACATAGAGATATCGATATGGCTGGACATCAGGGATAAGATACGGGGTGGAAAAGAAACGCTCCCGTTTTAGACCTTCGAGACACCTGCTGTTTTTACCCACTCGACATCATGGTGGCCTTGGGATTCTAAGGCCACTTTAGCGGGGAGACGAGACTTTGCCGCAAACCGTGACCTGCTCGCGAAACCACTCTGTTGATGCGAGAGATCCCCGGCCAGCCCAATCTCGATATCAGTCCTTCTCAGTCTGATGTACTGAGAAGCTCAATTCCGCCGATTCTTTGTCAGACGTTGTGGCTCCCGCAGGCGCCTCTGGTGCAGCACAGCCCCCTCTGCGGATCACACTGACGACCACTCCTTGGGTTCGCCGCCAACCACCCTGGAAACACAATCGGTTCTGCGAGCACGTCGACGAGCTTCATCATTGACGTCGAGTCTAACGGCGTCGCCATATTTGGCGTACATTCACGATGTCCAGCATTAGGACGGACTCGAGCCTGCCAGCGTAAGTTGCGTCCCGGCGTCATACCAGGAACCTCTACTGACACTCTCCAGGCAACCCAACTTGCGCTTGACCAGTACGCTTTCCATCGAATATTCCGAGTGTCTATCTATAAAATACTAATATCCTGCAGTAATTGCGGCTGATGGGCTCTACAAGCGTGATGTCTTCCGTATGCATCATCCAATATTCCCGAGCTTCGAACCCAAACTGACAGCCATTCCCAGGCTTTCCAGATCCTTTTGCCGTCGCGACTCTGGGTGGCGAGCAGACCAAAACCACGGCAGTCATCAAGAGAACCTTGAATCCTTATTGGAACGAGACCTTCGACTTGTGAGCAGGCAGGCACGGCAGCGAGAATAGGACATTGATACTGATAATTTACAGGCGCGCCTCTGAAGATAGCATCCTCGCTGTACAAATATTCGACCAGAAGAAGTTCAAGAAGAAGGACCAAGGATTCCTGGGTGTCATCAATGTTCGGGTTGGAGATGTCGTTGACTTCTCATCTGGCCAAGATCGTGAGTAATGCGAAGTAGCTCTCAATTTAAACTCGTCACTGACTCTCGTGATTCACAGAAATGCTCACACGCGACCTCAAGAAGTCCACCGATAACTTGGTCGTTCATGGAAAACTGATCATTAATTTATCTACCAATCTCTCGGAACCTGCACGAAACAACCTAGCTCCTCCAAATGCCAACGCCAGCCGACCTTCTTTGAGCAACACCCCTCACGGATCGACTTCATCTGGCTTCCCAGGTGCATCGACTCCGTCCCATACCCCGCAGCCGTCGGGCGTTTTGATGGCAAACGGTACAATCTCAACAGCCCCAACACCAGGACACGCACCCGCTGCCGGCAGCGCTGGACCCGCAACTGCTACCACTCAGGCGAACGGTACAATGGTACCTAGACAGACTGGAACATTCAGTTCTTTTGAAGATGCACAAGGGAGACTGCCAGCCGGATGGGAAAGGCGGGAAGACAATCTGGGAAGGACATATTATGTGGACCACAATACCCGCTCAACAAGTTGGAATAGACCCTCTGCGAGCGGTACTGTAGACTCCCAACGCATTGAGCGTGACGCCAACACCCAGGTGGAGAGGCAAAGGCATCAGAACCGAACTTTGCCGGAGGACCGGACAGGTGCCAACTCCCCCAATTTGCAACAGCAGCAACAAGGCGGAGCTGCCGCGAATGCGGCTACCATGATGGCAACAGGCGCCACTACGGCTGGAACCGGAGAGCTTCCGCCGTTGTGGGAACAGAGACACACTCCAGAAGGCCGTCCATATTTCGTGGATCACAACACGCGAACGACAACCTGGGTCGACCCAAGACGCCAACAGTATATTCGCATGTATGGTGGGCAAAATGCCAACAACACCATCCAGCAGCAACCTGTTTCACAACTTGGTCCACTGCCCAGTGGATGGGAAATGCGACTCACGAACACAGCCAGAGTGTACTTCGTGGATCATAACACGAAGACGACTACATGGGATGATCCACGACTTCCATCATCGCTGGATCAGAATGTCCCACAGTACAAGCGAGACTTCCGGCGCAAACTCATCTACTTCCGCTCTCAACCGGCTCTCCGAATCCTTTCTGGCCAGTGCCATGTCAAGGTTCGAAGATCCCATATTTTCGAAGACTCCTATGCCGAGATCATGCGCCAGTCCGCTACGGATCTGAAGAAGCGCCTAATGATTAAATTCGATGGCGAAGATGGTCTAGATTATGGTGGTCTCTCGAGAGAGTTTTTCTTCCTCTTATCTCACGAGATGTTTAATCCCTTTTACTGCTTATTCGAATACTCCGCCCACGACAACTACACCCTTCAGATTAATCCCCACTCAGGTATCAACCCTGAGCATCTTAACTACTTCAAGTTTATTGGCCGCGTTGTCGGCCTTGCTATTTTCCATCGCAGATTCCTGGACGCATTTTTCATTGGGGCATTGTATAAGATGATGCTAAATAAGGCGGTTTCACTATCGGACATGGAAGGTGTTGATGCCGACTTCCACCGCAGTCTCCAGTGGATGCTCGATAATCCGATCGAGGGCGTCTTGGATCAAACATTTTCTACAGAAGATGAGCGATTTGGCGAGACAAAGATTGAAGATCTGAAGCCTGGTGGACGGGACATCGAAGTCACTGACCAGAACAAGAAAGAATATGTTGATCTTATGGTCAAGTGGAGGATCCAGAAGCGTATCGATGAACAATTCCAGGCCTTCATCACTGGTTTCCATGAATTGATTCCTGCCGAGCTTGTCAACGTCTTCGATGAGCGAGAACTGGAATTATTGATTGGTGGTATTGCAGAAATCGACGTTGAGGATTGGAAAAAGCACACGGATTATAGAGGATACACGGAATCGGACGAGGTTATCAAGTTCTTCTGGCAGACAATTCGAAGCTGGGATGGAGAGCAGAAGTCACGTCTCCTTCAATTTGCAACTGGAACATCTCGAATTCCAGTTAACGGTTTTAAGGATCTTCAAGGAAGTGATGGGCCGAGACGATTCACGATTGAGAAAGCAGGAGAGGTCAACAATCTGCCCAAGTCTCACACATGGTCAGTGCACGTCGAAATCCTGAATGCTGACGAAATGCTAACCCAGCGTAGTTTCAACCGACTTGACCTGCCACAATATAAAACACTCGAAGCATTACAGACGAAATTGACGATGGCAGTAGAAGAGACTATGGGATTCGGGCAGGAATGATTGTTTTACATTGTCGTATTCCTTTGTTTCCTTCACGGTGTTTTTAAGCAGAAATGGGCGAGGTTCTGGTCTCAGGAGCCAAGGGGCGGTCTTTGGAACTCTTTGCATAGTCATCACCGGTAGACACCCAGAAGCCTCAAATGTATTTAGCATTTGCCAAAAAGAAGTTTGGCAATTTCCAATACCTTGCTTCGGCTCCGTGTTTTGAAATTACTCTTCCCGGATAGGAAATAAAGCCACACTCATCGCAATGTCCCAAGTCGAATTGGGACATTACAAATTCTTCCTCTCCTGACGTTCATAACATTGCATTTTCAAAGTCTACTACTCTCTTTGAATGCCCAGGAATTCTAGAGCATCAAAGTTCTGCTCCTCCGAGTCTAAATGGGTGTCCCAATTGCATTGTGGACGTTGATAATGCGTAGAGGCTAGCCCCTTAAGCCCGCAACTCCTGGCGCCCCCGTAACAATGTCCCAAAAGGAGGGGGATATTGAAGCGCCAGCTTTTCGTATGTAACGTAATTGATAATTCTAATATCATGGTATCGCTTTTATTATGCTTAATAATGTATCAATAACAAGAACGAGAGGTCTCCTTCAACCCATAGCATTCCCCTTTTCCTTCCCAAACCCCGATCCAAAACGACACGAAAAACGGTCAAACGCGAAATCGCACCCAAATTTTGCACGCTCGTTCTCATCCGAAGTCCTTGCTTCCTCCTGATGGACATGAAAAGCAGCACTCGTCTTCAATCTTCCGGGTCAGGTTGAAGGTTCAAGTCCCTGCCTCTCTGAATATTCCCTCGACTTATCGTACATTCAAAGTTCACCTACTCCAAATGTCCTATAAGTTTGAGGAGATTCAAGGCATCAGCCTCCAATTCCAATTAGATGTTCAACCTGGCTTAGGACAGCGAAAACAAGTCCTGCCATTTAGCCCACCGCAAGCCCCCCACTGAATCTACAAGAAAGCTCCAACAAATCCAGCGACGCCCATCAACACACTTCCCGCACCAACCGCTACACCTTCTGCACCATTCTTCACCGTCGTTGTAGAAGACGCTCCAGCCCCGCTAGCGGTAGTGCTGCTAGCGACTCTGACAGCACCACTTGACTCCGTAGCCTGAGCACCAGATGACCCAGATGTTATCGTGGAGACGGCGGACACAGCGCGTGAAATGGCGGAGGTCGTGGTGCCGCCGTAGGCTACGAAGTCGTTGCAATATGTCTCATGAGAGGACTTGGCTGAAGCGTAACGGGGATCGTTGGGGCATTGGAGGAAGCAGCTTGAGGATTTTGTTAGTTATTGTAGGAGGAAACGAGCAGAGGGAACGTACGTCAGGACATCGTTCCACTTCGAGCAGAGGCAGCCGTAGTCTGTTGTTGTGCAGGCTTGGGCAATTGCTGATGTAGACGCATAGCAGGAGTCCATCACTGGCTGAGCAGCGCATGCTGTGCTGCTGGCGGACGAGCCGGAGATGGTTGTTGCTGCTGCTGCAACTGAGAGGAGGAGCGAGGCCGGGAAAAGAGAGATATACATTATGACTGAAGATGTTCGTATATTTTTGCTGGAGAACGAGAGACTGGAATGAAGTGTGAAAGAGCAGAATATAAATTAACGACAGTGAGTGTGGTGATAACAAGGGGAACAGAGAAAGAGAGGTTTGCTGGGTCGGCACTACTCATATGTGTCCGAGGACAATCTCCTCAATTGGGGCTCCACACGCTAAGATCTCAAGTAGACCCACTGAGACCTGGACACCCTTGAGACCTGGACACCCTTGAGACCTGTGCACGCGTTGGCGAGCTGTGTCTGTTTCCAGGGTACCTTTCCCCGGATACGAGGCAGTGATTGGATGCCGGGAGCCGTAATAGTAAGTGAGTACGGCCTGGCGTCGATAATGTCTTGGTCGTTGGCCGTGGCACCATGATTCCTGGTCTAAGAGTGGCAAACGCTTCTGAATGGGTGGACCGTGGGGATCTTGATAAAAAGCATTGGACTCCTTTTGCTCAAGAGCTCATGCGTGGCTGTGACTTGTCGAAGGGGGCGAGAAAAAGAGGGTGAAGGGTTGCGTTCGTCAACTTCGTCTCCTCTTTCGTGGGACTAGCTCGATTTTGGACGCCAATGAAATTAGAGACAAATGCTTAAATTGACCCCTGTATATCGATCTACAAGCATCATCTCGTACTCGGCAGTCAGGAATCTCCAATTTCCCATCGACTTCAAGAAGACTGGAGCTCTTCTTCTCTTCTGCTCGAACATTCTTCTTTCTTATTGTGAACTCACCAGCGTCGCCGTCGCCGGAAAGGAACTCGGTGATGGTCAGGTCCTCTGTGTCTTTTCTTGAAGTGGCGCAGGCCACGGCATGGCCCAAGGAGCAAGCGTCCCCCGTACAACGAACAACTTCTTTCACGTGCGTGAAAGCAGAATGCCATGGCTCCGTATCATTAGTGCGATACGCACAGCATGGCTCCGAACACGAGCAAACCGATAAAACCATCAGAGAAAGGGAGAGAAAGGAACAGTTGAGATCTGATCGAAGGGGTCTCCGAAGATCGCCTCTGATTCGCTACAGGAAGATCATCACATGCGTGTTGCCACATCAGCCTTGCTATGATGTCAATCGAAGTGCATGGATATTTGGAGAGTTTATGATGTCGATCGAAATTACTTGGATATAAGATAGTCTTACTTTCACGCCAGTTCGTTTCTTTCACGCTAGTTGATCCAATCCTCACTCACAAATCATTTGCTCTGAATCACACTATCAACCAAAATGTCGTCTTCACAATCCTATTCATATTCATCCACATCATATAGCTCTTCGTCCTCCCGCAATGGTCAATCAACCTCGGGACGACGATACGTGCAAACCACATCCTCCAATCCCTCGGGGACCAGAGTCCAAACGGTAAGCCAGAATCTGGGTGAGCCCTTAGTTCACGAAACTCGACAATACGATTCGGAAGGGAGGCAGATATTGGAGGATGGTAGAGCGTTAAAGCAAGGGAATTCGGGTAGCGAGGCAAGGAGGATTGAGGACGTCAGTGACGAGCCAGAGGCTTAGTAGGCGTAGAAAGTGTATGGCATCGTGCCCGGAAAGGCTTCAAAAACAAAATGTTCAGGAAAATGCTGCATGACAGACTGAGCAGGTGGTTATGAATGGGTTTTGCAACTGCCTTTTTCGCAAATGTACAGTTTTCCATATCGAACCAGAAAATCGGGTTCAAAGAAGAAATCGAAGAAAAAGATTCTCTCTTTTGCTTTCCCAAATTCCGTGATGAATCTTGCTGGCTCTGACTTCTCATTACTGGAAGTCCATGCAATTGAATACGCCATACCGGCGCCTATCAGTTGACCACAACGAATAGATTTAAAACACGTTCATCTAAATCACAAGCTACCTAATGTTAGCAAAAAAAAATTTTTTTTCGAAAGAAGTACTCCTCGTTTGGTCTCGAGTGCTTTTGTATAGCCTGGCACAGTGCACCAGGAAATTCCGACACAGCTCTGCAATATATTCTTTCTTCTTGATTCTTCAACACAAACAAACTCTATTGCATCCTATGTGCGGTCCGAGACTTTATACAATAAAGAAATGCTCCAAATCTCTCATGCTTCCGAATATCTGCCTCTCTACTTTCGGTACCACATCCGGGTGATCTTGGTGTGTCTCATTTCTACTCAATGTCAGTAATATACCTCGGATGGAATAGAAATTGGGTCTTACTCTTTTGAAGCTGGAAAATGCCATACTTTTGCTCAGTTAGTACAATACGTTGTGTTGTTAAGAGGCTGCAGCTTACCATCAACGCCTCCGAAGTTGGGGGGCACCCAGGCACATAAATATCGACCGGCACAATCCGATCACAACCTCTCGTAACACTGTAACTATAATGGTAATAACCACCTCCATTCGCACAGCTCCCCATAGAAACAACCCATCTCGGATCCGGCATCTGATCGTAGACCTGTCGAAGCGCAGGAGCCATCTTGTTCGTAAGAGTGCCCGCAACAATCATGACATCGGACTGTCGAGGAGAAGCACGGAAGATTATACCAAGACGATCTTGGTCGTAGCGAGGAGTGGAAAGGTGCATCATTTCGACGGCGCAGCAGGCAAGTCCGAAGGTCATGGGCCAGAGTGAGCCTTGACGCGCCCAGTTGGCTATTTGATCGAGAGTTGTCCTTGGATGAACATTAGCCATTTCCAGAGCTTGACAAGGGCTAATAGAACGGACAATGCGTATTGCATAACACCCTTCTTCTCCTCCTGTGACGGCAGCACCACTTCACGTCTGACCTTGCCAGTAACACTCATCGATGGGTTCCCTGACGCATTGTGTGGTGTGACCGCGCTCGCTGGTTTTGAAGAAGACGAGGAAATTGCTGCAATTGATCGGTAGGGAATCAAGGCGGACACTGGCTTGACTGTGAGGGGGAGATAATTAGTTGTGGCGAGAAATGAGCTCTTGGAGCTATCAGAACGCACCTCGCAGCGCCAGCGCAGCTGCTGATCTTGTCGAAGAGAACATCTTGTTAATTATTAGATGGCAAGAGAGAAAGGAAAGAGGGGAAGTTGGGAGTGGAGAGGGGCGCTTTGTTCGGGGTTCGTTCGAATCGAAGATCTCAAGATCATCAATTCAAGCTCGCGCTGATTGGCCCCAGCCTTAAGTCACGTGAAAGTGGCAATGCATTAGATTTCATAGTGAGAGTTTAGAAAGTGCTACTCTACATTTTGCATGCATATTTGACTTCCCTGTGATTTTGAGCGTCTCTAGAATTAATACAAGTATCGTAAGTTGAACGAAGAGGATATATACTGCAAGAAAGTCTACAGAAAAACCGCTTTTGTGACAGAAGCAAGCATTGCTATCCCCGGCTCAAGCACCAGAACTTTTCGAGTTCTCGCCCATCATAGCGTCGATCTGAGCATCGACCTGCATTTCATCGGTCTCAGCAGCATCGTCAGCCTTGCCAGTTCTGCCTCGAGGTGGTGAGCGCTCGTCACTGTCCTCTTCGCTACTATCACTGCCATGCTGACTATCACGATTGGTCTGGCGACTCCTGGTCATCTGAGAATTGAATTAGCCTCGTCTTCCACCTTGAAGATTTCATGACTTACCCATGACCGAACACCGCCGATTAAGCCCAAACTGTATCCAGTAGCAAAATCGCTACCTGGGCCTGGACTATCACCTCTTGGAATCTCCAGACGGCGGCTGAGATGTGAAAGAGCAGAGGGACTCGTAAGAGTACCTTTCGAATCATCGTAGCTTGCCATACGAGCTGGAGAACCTGGTCGACTAGCTTGCCAAAATTGTCTCAATTCTTTGCCCAGTTCTTGCCCAGTAGTTGTCCAATTCGTTCGAATGGCTTCTCTCATCTCTGAAACGTGTCGCTTGAGATCAAGTTCGTTCTTCTTAAGCCATGATACATTGAGTTCCTGACGTGAGGTACCACGCTTGAATTGACGTGCGATGTACTTCTCGTAATCACGCACAATCCTGCCAATTTCATTAACATTTTCAGCAAGGGGATCCACGGAAGCTTACTTTGTAATGATCCCTGTGGTACTGACGCCCTCTGTCCTCTGCGTGACCAAGAACTTGCCAGCTTCCTTGATAGGCTTATAGATATCATCGCCCTCATCTGCGCCGTATGGGAGATCGTCGTGCGCAACATAATCAATCTTGTGTTCTTCCAAGAATTGAGGCGTCACAATCCAGGGGCAATCCTCAATAACTTCATCCACCCACTTGCAATGCCTAACCGTCTCAGCTCTCTCTTGTCCAGAGAGGACTGTAAGTCCCTTGCGTTTGTGTGTTTCCTTGTCGCCCGTTACACCAACAATAAGATAAACGTCAGGGAATGCTTTCTTGGCCTGTTCGAGTTGGCGCATGTGTCTGTACAGACATCAGCAATTACTCAGTGTTCGCTTCATCAGAGAGCTCACCCAAGGTGAAATAAGTCAAAGACACCGTCTGCATAGACTCGAACAGCTCTGCCAGCCGGAGGTAGATTTGTTTTGTAGCCGACAGGATCTGTCAACTTTCCAATTGGTGGAGGTGCCATGGTTGCATGCTTCTCATCACTCTCGTCCTTCGAAATGCTCTTTCGCGGTTTCCGTCCAACGCGGTTTGCTATATCTGTACTCCCTTCGGTCGTATCTGATGGCTCGCCCGGATCCTGGACATTGTCAGATCCATTTGTGATCTTCTCGTGTGTACTTGATCGGAATCTCTTCGCTGGAGGGTTGGAGTCGATTGAGTTTCCCTTCTTATGGCCTACGCCAGTCGATTCTGGAGCTGTAGATTCGCCATCTTCACCCGAGGCATCGCGCGACGAAGGTTGTAATAAATCCATTGTCGATGACTTGTTCGCTGATGGCATCGTGGCCGTTCTCTTCCGTTTCCCCACGCTTGAACCTGCTGATGAGGGAGAGGACATGGTGAGTTTCTGTAATGCTGATCTGAAGTAGGCAGAATTGCTCGATGGAAGAAAATATTTCTCAACAGAGGAGGAGGTAATTGCTTGTTGATCGATGGTTTGGATCAGGAAGCGGTCCACAAGTTGACCAGCTCCTTAGTTAAATAATTTTGCAAGGATTCCGAATTTCCACAGGGGTCGTGAAATTCAGTGCGCAATCTGCGTCTTATCCCAAGATGAACAATTTCCCGAAAAAGGAGTTAGCTTTTGGGAAAAGAAATGGAAGACAGCTGGGCTACGATTCGGGCATTAAGATCATGGTTTGTTGGGAGTTCTAACATTTCTAGAAGATTGAAGAGTGGATACCGGTACACCTACTGCCCGGTTTTTGTCTGAAATCGTCATCCATCCCCGTTCCTAGCTCGATCGATCTTCACGCGACCACGCCATCACGTGGCAAACTATGGAAGAAACAGGTGGAAAGGCCGACAGGGCTGAGAAGCTTGTGGCTGATGCTCTGATGCTGGCAAAAGAAGACTTTTGTTCACATCATATGGCCCTCGGATCCAATGTGCAAATCAACGTCCAGGTATCAATTCCGCAGTTCTCAATACAACGCAACTGTAGGTCTGATTCTAGTGACCTCCCTTCCAATTGTGAGATCTGTGATGCAAAAGAAAAGAAACGTAACACATGGCTCGCTGCGTAATGGAGATCGTAATTCAGAAAATGAAAACAAGAGAGCGCCGCCATGTAAGATCCGAGAGACTGCCAGGTGTAAAGTGCTGCGATGTGTCCACCTTGGTATCCCTATGTTCGTCCTGCCGCTCCGGTGAGAAGAATTTGTGAAATGTCCACAAACTGCTGATAAAACACAGAAACCCGTAACGTATGACTTCTAATCCAGGTCTTGGTGCAAAGCAGCAAAGCAAACAACCTTCTAGAAAGACCCGTCTCTCAGAGAAGCAGTATCCGTCATAAAACCATGTTCGAAGTGTTCTTAGAGCATTCGAACGATAGATTGGAAGCAATTAGACCCTAGTTTTCGGTAATCTTCTCGTCTGCTTTCTTTTCTGTCGTTTCGGTAGACTTTGGGAGGGTGTCATCTGCCACGGCCTTAAGGTTTGGCTCCGTCTTCTCTGTGGTCGACTTTGGTTCGTCTTCGCTGGTTGCCTGGCCCTTGTGTACTTGACTCGCAAGGTCCTTGTCCTCTTCACTGTGGTCAAACATCTCAGTGTCGTCAGAATCTGTAAGAACTTCAGTACCGTCTCCAAGGAGAATAATGCGGCCCCGTTGATTTCCACCAAAGGACTTCTTCTGGTCCATGTCGACATCATAACCACTATCACTGTCGTCGAAGTTATGATGCACACCAGGTCCACGGAACTCAGCTATCCCACTAGTCAGCCCTGATATCACCAAAACTAATAAACAAAACACTTGCCGTACTCTGGAGGCGCGCAAGGCCCATCTCCATTGGCAACTCTCTTGGCAATCTCCTCATACCACTCCTCCTTCGTCTTTCCGCGTAACAGGCCGATAACGATCATAGTCATGTTATCGCAACCAACACCTCCGGTCTCCGAATTTGACGCGAGGCAATTATCCATCATATTCTCACAGATCTTGGCGAGTTCTTGCTTCGCAGCGATACCACGTCGAACGAACTCAACAACCGCCTGCGAAGACTGGCAATCCCAGATACCTACAACACCTCACATTAGAAGGTAAATTCCCAAGACCCGTATTCTATCACTTACCATCACATGCAACCACCAAGAACTCATCATCGTCTGAGATGTCGTGGACCGTCACGTCTGGGTACGCTGTAACGATCTGTTGCTCAGGAGCAAGTTCCGCGCTTTTCTTGAACTCAAAATCACCTATAGCTCTTGATAGAGCTAGGTTGCCGTTAACACGTCCGAAGTCTACGAAACCTCCAGCAGCCGTGATTCTAGCCTTCTCGCCTATCTTCATATTAGCATTTCAGCCAAAGTTCAGCTGCCAGTCGTCTATCTACCTTCATTTTGTGGTTTGTGATCAAACGAGAGCGGCTTCGCTCTACCTTTTACGCCTAAAACACTTCGAGAATCTCCAGCATTTCCCTGAGTCTGTTAATATAAATGTTTTAACAGAGAACTCCATCACGTACCACGTAGATCTTCTTCGAAGATAAGATTCCAACCGAGGCAGTGCAACCGGAAACTTCTTCCTCGTACCGTGGGTCTAAAAGAGTGCAAGTCAGTTTCCATGCCCCACAGAATCCTTCAAGTATGCTGACCGTTAAGGATGGCTCTGTCCGTAGCTAGGAATCCGTCCTTTAAGGCTTGCTCTATATCACCCTTCTTGAAAGCATCCTGCTTCGCAATGATCAGGTGTATGTTTTCGCCAGCAAACTGTGCGACCTTATCTCCTCCATGACCGTCATAAACACCGAAGAATGACAACCTCGTATCAATATTCGCAGGTTTCGACTCCTTGCCATCCTCAGCCACCGATTGGAGGTCCAAGACCGCGGCATGCGCATCCTCCATACTGATACGCCATCCCTGCATGGAAGACACGCCAAAGACTAAACGTTCATCACCCCCGCTTGCCGAAGTCTGCCAGATTCCGTGTATCAGCAAACGTGAAATGAAAATTGGAACTTATGTAGACCCGCCGCCACAGCCAGCTCGGAGCAAACTTGGGACAACAAAAAACAATCTCCAGCACTTGAGTGCCAAGGAACTGCAGAGGGATCGTCACTGCGCACACTTCCAAGCTCTGCTAAAATAGACATCTGAAGAACTACCGAGGCTGAGAGAGACGACTGCGTGACGACGACACGGGAAAAGAAATGAACTGCATACCTTTTCGACAACGGGCTCCGACAGAGTTTGACCCATCTTGAAGGAAGATCAGGTCCTCTCTTGCTTCCGCCGGGAGCAATTTCAGGTCTTCCCTTTCGCCTTTGCTGCGCAGGAAAAGAAGGATGTGATGAGCGGGGTTCCGTCGCACGGAGAGGAGGCTCAGAGATGGATCTGCAGACTATCTGTTCATCTGCATCAGGAATGTTCGCTGAGCTGCTTCGTCGTCTTCGAGTCTGGAAAGTTACCAGAGATGTCGCGTGTGGGGGGAGAAAATCGAGTTGTGCTGAATGACGAAGGAGGGCGACCGTTAGCTCGCTCGCTAAGGACTTACCACCTATAAAGCGGCGACAGAAATCAAGGAGTTGTCGGAACGCATTCGCTTCACCCTTTCATGTTCCTGAGAAGACCGCTTCTGCTTGGGGCGGGCAAGGCGTGAGGCTTTGAGCTCCTTTACTCATAGTACATAATTTCACCCGTCATCATTATGGGTTGCGCAGCACAGCACCATGTCCTTGGCCGGGAGGCGGGCGACGAGGCAGAAATCAGCGCCTGTGCCCTCCCATAGGCTGCGTGTCACAACTCATCGAGGGGTTGCATTAGCGGACCCTGAGAATCTGTCCGATTCCAAGGCTGGAGGTGGCTGCTGCCTCTTCTTGATGGGCGATCAGTGTCCAGGCACTCGGGGCCGAGGTCACTTGTACCAAATTTCAAGCCTTGCGACGAGCCTACCCTTCTTTCCACGCTCTGGAGATTGCTCGATCGTTCTGTATTGTGGCGGCCCCAAGGGGGTCAGAGCTGAGCTGCTGCGTCATCGAGGTCCTGGCCATCCTTGCTTATTGCTAGGGAGTATCAGCACAATTTCTGGGGAAGTTCTCCAAGGACGCCAACGGCTAGACCGTCTCCGAACAGAAGAAATTCGATAACAAGAGGGAATCGAAAGATTGCATGATTTAATGTACCAATTGACTCCGTGTGGGAAACTCTCCCGGAAGGACGGTCAATGTCTGAAGTCAGACGGTACACCAGTCAACTGGTCGGAGATTTTGAGGAAGAGATTCTATGATATTGTCAATGAAAGGAGAGGTCGGGACGAACCTTTACAGCATCCGAGCTCAGCTTGGCAACACCTCTGTCTTGAAACCCTAAAGAGCTTCCAAAATGCTGATTTGGATTTTGGCTATTCCACTTCGGTTCCTAACCCTCTCACGGACCGAAGCCATTGAAGGCTTGCTGAGGAAAACGGGATCTTCCTCTTCATGGGCAACTTCATCGTTTGCCATCCTTTCAGGGATCTAGTGATTGCAATGTGTCTGCAAGAGACTGGCCATCACATTCATATACAGAACAGGTTCTTCAAAGGAGTTCAGGAGTTTACCCGAGCAGTCAAGTGAGCAAGCGAGACAGTACCCCAAACCTTTGAGATGTGCTCGCATTCCTTTACATTATCTAATTATCTCTCTCCTATTCCAAAATATCCTATGACTGCAAATAGAACTCATATATAAGCTGCATAATCTAATTCTCCTCGCTCAATCTTCGCCCTGCTCGATCTCTTGTTTGCTTTCGCATCAACACTGATTGGCCTCCTCGAAGCACCGGGGACCATCCTCATGTTCGGTTCGATATCCAGCATCGGGGAATTGGGTTTCGAGTTTGAAATCCTGGCGCTTGGGATGAAGCTTGGCTTGGACATCGCTTGCGCTGCAACAGCGTTGACTTCAGCCACATCTCCAGCGTTAGCGTTGCCTTGGTTATCCTGAGGACTGTGCTGCGTTTCCCAACTGCCTTCTCCATCCGAGTAATCGTCCCGGAGAAAATCTTCGTAACCATCATCATCGCCTCGGCTCTCTGGTTGTTTCTGAGCCTGGAATTGGTGCAATGACATCAATGATCCACTCGCTGATTCGAACCTGCTATCTTTTGACTCGGTGGATTTCATACTGCTTCTTGTCCTGCTCCGTGACAGGTGGCTTTGAACATAAGACTTTAGTTGCCGTGTTCCCTCGCGAGCCATTCCATAGGAGATGCCAAACGAGTCCCGAGGCAAATCCTCATTCTCCTGTCCTGGGCCTTGGGGGACAGTCTCCAAGTTTCCGGCCATGGTAGCTTCTTCAGGAACAGTCGGAGAATCCGCGTACGTAGTTCTCGCCTTCTTCGGTGATCGTCGAGATTTCGATTTCCTGGATGCCGAACCGCCGAAGAATGGTGACGAGTCAAGCCGTCTGCTCACAGGCCTTGAACGTCGAGAATGTTCGCTGCTCGCTGAGGGGTGACCCGCAAGTGGTATCGACGGGCTTTTGGTCACTTGCCGAATAGTGCTAAGTCGTATGACATCTTCTGGCTTCATATCTGCATATTCGGATAAAGCACTGACTGTGCTTCTCCGATTCAGCTCATCTGCCTCTGACGAACCTGTCGTCAGCCATGTTTTCGAATTTCTTGCAATTCCTTGGCCTAATGTCCAGTCTTGTCCGTGTCCAGCACTGCGGCGTTTCTCACTGTTTTCAGACAACGAAGAAATAGCGTCCCTCCCGCCACCGTGTCCAATTCCGCTCGAGCGCTGACTTAGCATGGGCATGAATCTGGATTGCCTCCTTGTCGATTTTGTGCGGCTGAGTCTATTGCTAACGAATGATTGCTCAGACATTTGACGAAAGCTCGCATGCTTTTTAACAACGGAAAATCTTTCCATAGGCGCAAATGAGAAGTTGCTATCCCGCAAATTCAAGATAGACTCTTCAACCGGCGGACCAGAAGGAGTAACATCCGGTAAAGGGAGAAAGTTGCTGGTAGAGTAGACCTTCGCTGAGCGTCTTGTGTGGCCTTTCCTCGAATAGTTGGAATAGTTTCGGGAAAGCCTTTGAGTGTTTGTCGAATCCGTTCTAGAGGATCCCTCAGTCGGATACAAGCTACCTTGGGTGGACCTCCAGCTACCGTCGGCCTTAGATGCGGCATTTTCTGAATACGACCGAGCTCTATTCTCAGATTCATTGGACTCTTGGCATTGAGATCGCTGCGTCCCAGATATATCAGACAGAGTTTGGGACCTCCGTATATCTTGTTTTTTCTGCCTTGTTAGGCTAGTTTGCTGCTCTCTGGTGACGATCGAGCTGGTATCGCCTCCAAATCCACTCATGTCTAGTTCAAGCGGTGGCGGTGGAGCAATGTAAGTCGGGGGTACTATCTCCATGATACTTGAGCTAGCTTCGGTAGGCCCTGATATTTCACTTTTGGATAGAGTTGGTGAGCACCTTCTTGCTTCGCGTCTTCGCCTGACGTAGCAGAACAATGCTAGAAGTATGCAAAGGAGCAGCAAAACAATTGGCATGACAATCGCCAGAATAATCTTTCTACTCAGCGGCTTTTTGGAAAAAGCTGGCAATTTCGTCGAATTTCCCGTTTGAGATGTGCTAGGCGGGGTCGATGTTCGTGATGGAGCCGATGCCGAGGGTGACGCTTGGCTAGTTGTAGTGACAAGATCGAGCTGGAAGGTTTGAGAGCTAGACTTAGTTGATGACTTTGAGGTTGCTAGCAAGGTGATCGCGATGGATGGTGGCTTTGCAATCAGCGGGACCTGGCCAGCAAGATCAAATGTTTGAGAATCAAACGACAGCCAAGGTTCCGCAGGAGAGATCTGTGCAGTGATCTCGACGTCTGACTTGTCACGGAGATAGATACTTAAATCATAAGTAAATGACTTCCCAATCGTTGCATTTAGCGTTCCAATTTCGTTGCGGAACAACGATGTAGAGATATCAAGAAAAACGATTGCATTCGCAGTGTCTCCATATATGTCTGTTGCCAGAACTGTGATGTTGTAAGGTGTTGCATCAGCTGGGACGATTCCACTCAGAGAGAAAGTGGAATTGTCAAAAGCCAACCAAGGAGGTGCATCCGCGGATAACGAGGCAATTTTTGAGTCATTGGCGGTTCGTTCATCGATCTCGAGATTTCCAGCAAGACCATCGAAGTTGACGGCATCACCAGCTGCTGCATTGATGACCAAAGCTGCATTCTTGAAAGCCAGAAGGTGCACCCCAACCTTAATATCAAAATTCATTGCTGCTCCACTAAATCCTTCAACATCCGACGCAATCAATTGTATACCAAAAGTCTGCGGTGGCTGTATGAGGGAGTGATAGTCGGGGGTCTGACCAGTGAACGTCAAAGAACTCTCATCAAATGCTATCCACGACGGTAAAGGCGTATTGTCGACAGTAATAGCGTAGTAGATGAGGTCTGAACCCGAGAATGTGTCAGGCTGGAAATGAATGGTAAATGGAGTTGAAGGATGGTAGAGTAAGATCGAGGGTGCCGAGAAAGCTGTTGATATTTGCAATTGTACTGAAAGTGGGATACTGAGGATCGGTGCTGGATTCTTGGAAACAACTAGTGTAGCATTTTGTGTGATTGAACCAGACGAGTCACTCGCAGTGATGGCTATGGAAACTCCGGTGACTCCTCCTGCACCAGCAGCCTCGATGGACGGCGTTCCCGACAAAGTACGTGTGCTGCTGTCCAGAGACAGCCAGCTAGGCCCATTGGAAAGTGTGTACGTTATCGGAAGAGTCGATGAGAAGGTCGAGATTGAGAACGAGTAGGAGAAGAGTTCGGAGATTCGAGCAACAGGTGGTACTTGGGAGTTTAGAGGGAATGTGATTGTCGGTATTGCAACTACAAGAGTACCATAGATGGCAACAGCGGATAGAAAGCCCCACAGTGCCATCTTCTTGAGAGCTGAATGATCGCAGCAGACACAATGAATAGTGAAGTCCAAATCCGTGGATGCCAAGTATGATCAGATCAACGGTAGGACAGTATGAAGATGATCAAAAATGCATAGAAATCGACGGATGGAGTTAAAACTGAGGAAAGTGGAAACCACGAAGTACCATTGAGATAATTTCCTTGAAGGCGCAGAACCCCTTATCGCTGGTATCGCCTTACTTGGGAATTCAACATTGTAGGGAAAGAATGGATCACTGCAAGGGATATCAAAACTTCCGACCCCAGCCATCGAACGATCGAGAAAACTCCGAACTTACGTGCGGAGAGGGAATGTGCCTCCTGGAAAGGCTGGTGGGCGAAATAGTATGGGAAGGTTGTGATGTTGTGGAATGCCAAAGTCCAACCACCCCGCCAATTGCTGACATGGGGTTCAGACAACCATCGTTCGACCGTTAGAGGCTCAAATGAGATGTGACCGCCTAAACCTTTATGGAAGATAGTCTGACAGACCAGACCAATTTCGTCGATGCTGGTTGGACGACCGCACGGGGGCTGGCAAGAAGAGTTCATCCCTACATTGTGAGAACCAAATTGTGGGGTCAGGACGAGGCAAGAAAGACGCCGTAGGAGCCGGATTTGTGACGCTCTATCGATTGTGGCATAACGCCACCCCTTGGTGATTTATGAACAAGGGACTGCTTTCCAAATACAGGAGTGAAGAAAGGGGGTTCGAAGGACGTCGCAACAAAAGGGGTTGATGAAGCGAAGGGCGGTGAAGGTGTTCTGCCGGAAGTTTAGTCGACCCCTCCACAACCCCCCTTCGACAAGGTCTCTTCAGGACATCTAGCCTCCTTCACAAGATGGCATCACGCTCTCCTTCACCAGAATTTTCTCCGCTATCAATTGGAGAATATTTTACACCGGTTCCCACCTACAAAGTAGCCTCAACCACGGCTGTCGACTTTTCGGGCCTCCTCGAAACCCCACTAAAACTTCATGAGGACCTCAAGACAGGCTGTGGAGGTCAACTATGGCCGGCCGGGATGGTATTAGCTCAACAAATGCTACGGTATCATCGAGGCTCGTTAAAAGATGCACGAATGTGCGTATTCAATACCTTTCACCTTGCCACGAAAACTGACGTTAAGAAGTCTTGAGCTCGGGGCTGGCGGGGGTCTGGTTGGATTGGCTGTGGCTATGGGATGTCCTGTTGATCACTCTATCTACATTACAGATCAAGAAAACATGTTTGAGCTCATGAGCAAGAACATTGCTCTAAATGGACTAGAGTCACGTGTAAAGGAACTCGTCCTAAACTGGTATGCCTTTCTCAAATGCTAGAGAGATTCGTCTTAACGGAGAGATTAGGGGTGAACCGCTACCAGCAGAAGTCCTCAGAGACAAACCTAATGTTATTTTGGCAGCGGACTGCGTGTATTTCGAGCCGGCCTTCCCACTACTTCTGAGTACGTTGGCAGATCTCCTTGACTTGTGCAAGGAAGCCGTCGTATACTTCTGCTTCAAGAAACGGAGAAGAGCAGACATGCACTTCATGAAGAACGCAAATAAGAGATTTATTGTCGAAGAGATCGAGGATGAAGATAAAGAAACCTTCTCCAGAGAGGGATTGTTCTTGTACACTTTCAAACGAAAGCCATAAGATTTATCATCTTGCTTGTAGCACTTCCCCCAATCCGTGCCGTAACTTTTAGTTCGAACTAATAAGGTCTTTCGCCTTTTCCGCCCCTAATTGACTTTACTCTTCCCTGTCTGCCATGTTGACCCCAAGCATAAATGCAGGCTCGTCAACATTATGGTGCTCATAAGAAAGGACCCCGACGGCCCCTGGCTCTAACATCATGGGAAGTTTCACACCGACTTCAAACCCGAGCCACCGTCTTGCAAAAGCCCTGAGAATCTGTCCATGGGCAATGATCACCACATCCACAGGCTTCTCTCCATGCATATAAGGCCCTTGAATCTCTCTGATCTTTGCAATGACACCATCAAGTCGACTTTTGATCTCTGCAGGCGATTCCCCTTTTTCACAACCATCCACCCAGATATTCCAAGATTTTTCTCTGTCCAAACCGCGCTCTTTTCGACCTGCCTTTGCCTGAGACGGTAGAATTCCTTCGTACAATCCATAATCCCATTCTCGAATATCCTCCGTTATTTCCACCTTCCCCTCGAATTGGTGTCTTGTGGGCTCGTCAAATAGCAATTCGTACGTTCGGAGAGCTCGAAGGCGAGGACTGATGAACAGTTGAGTTACCCTTGAGGGATCAATCATCTTGCCTGGTCCAACGACCACACGAGCTGAGGAGATGACCTGCTTCTCTCCATCTGCCGTGAGAGGAATATCACTTCTTCCTGTGTACTGGCCAGATTTCGTCCATTCAGTTTCACCTATTTCAATTAACATCTTCTAGAACAACAGCATTGAAAGATCACTGACCATGTCGAATGAGAAAAACTCGAGGAGTTCCGGCGTCCTTGTCTGGCATCTTTGCCAATCGCTATCCTGTTTCCTTCCCCACTGTTGATATTGACAGCTTATATGAGCATCGAATGAAAGGATTTGGTAAAAGCCGCCAAGCCATCAATCTACACTTGAGCGAGGAGGTTGATGTTTCACACGAGATGAAGATGAAAATGAAAAAATGGGCTGAAAGTCACTTTCTGATAAGATAAGAAATGCCCCACTGTGCCCCGCTGTGCCTCTCCATTCATACATGAGGTGAACGAAAGAAATAGGGCGCAGACAGTAGAAAGTCTGGGCAAGATATTGTTCGCAATGCAAAAAACGAAACCACATCGAGACTTCTAAATCGAGAAAGATATCGTAGCAAACTTTCTCGCGTTTGCAATATAATTTTTTTTGATGATATTCAATTTCCAGCTTCCTTCCCCGGATTTCTGTTCACAGCCTTGTAGAGAAAAGGTAATTGCTATACAATCAGTTAAAGTACCAGACTGGCCTGGGGTCGGCTTTACTCATACCTTCTATTCATTACGACATCTTTTTGATTTACATGTTTGGTGTTCTGCCGCTGTTCGAGAGCTCCTAGCCAATCAACGCGAGCGTTCGCACAAGGCTGAAGCCGGGCCAAGGGCACTGTAACACGAGGCCAACGCATCCCGAATTTCATTTCCTCAACTACACTCCCATGAACTCGCAGACAGACAACCTTTTCCACAAAGCCACTGACAGAACACGGTCATTCAAGAAATAAAGCTCGCGCCGATTCGAAGTGGCTTCTGGCAGCCATTGCGCGGTAGCCTTGGCTGCTCGACCCCTGCAGTCACTCGGCGTGCACGCCATCGGGCTTTGATCTCCTCTCTAGGCAGACAACGTCCCCCGGCTTGTTCAGCCATGTACCACTTTCAGCACGGAAGCCGGGCCTTTGCCCCTCAGGAAGAGCAACCCAATTCCCCTTCTAGCATGGCCAACAACCAGCCGCGCCGTCCTCTAGCCATCAATGACATGCTCAATCATGCGGCGCCTCCTCCATCCTCAAGAGACACAAGGTCAGTCACAACTATGATTCCAACCTATTCACGGACATTGCTTTGCTGACTAGACCAGCTACCCAAATCCAGCATACCAGTACATTCCACAACCATCTCTGACCCATCCTCCGCCAATACAAACGCCGGTGCCTCAGCCTCGCCACCTGTACCCACCTGGGACAGCATATCGACCTCCGTTTGACTCTACATTCCGTCATAGGATAGAGCTTCCGCCCCCGCCCCCACCCGAAACCAGTGAACAGCGTTGGGACGTTGATTACTACATGAGTCATCCTCGAGGCACTGTACCGCCTGATCACTGCAAGTCTCTCTTTTTTTATATCTTCCAGCGAGCCTGAACATTCAATACATTATAGACTCTACCTTTTAAGAGTACAAATTATGCTCATATGATGCGAAGAACCACTTACTGGCTCAAGCATTTCTTTGAACGAGTTCGATCAAAGGTGTTTGGTGTAAGGCTCTGTTTGCTAATGGCTGACACACCCTCAGATCCTTCTCAAACACTCCCTGAACTTAATTTCCAGAATTCACAAGAACTGGCAACTCCTACAGCAAGACCAGGTGTCACCTGGACATGCAAAACTTGTGTGTTATGTAAGTTACCACCCAACTCGTTCGGTTTTCTTGGAGAATCATGCCTGCCATTATTCCTGTCCTTTTATATCTTCATTCGCTCCGTTGTGTCTCAATTGGTCATGGTGTTAACTATTCCAGGCCTTGAAAAATTCGAGGGAGAAGATCCGAAGAGTCACTTTCCCCGTATGTATGCCCTTGCTTTCATCCCCATTCTCGTTGCCGTTGTTGATCCAACCAACGCTAACTGATATCAGATCAGTGCAAGAGATGCACATCCGGGGACTTCTGTGCAGGATGTCTGAAAGACTGGTTCCTGGATGCTTGCAAGAATGAATCCAAAATGCCACCGAAATGCTGCTCCATTATCCCGCTCTCGGCAGTTGCCAATCTTCTCAACAATGCACAGATTGAGCTCTATAAGGCAAAGTACGAAGAATGGGCTACTCCAGATAGGATATACTGCCCTATACCAACATGCTCTGCTTTCATTCCACCACGAATGTATACCAAAATCCGTCAACGACCAGCTACACCCTACAACGATGCAGGCGATACGACAACATTCCCAACACCCTCTCCCCCGCATGCGTTTAGTAACCCAAAAAGAGAAATAAAATCACACGTGGCATGTCCTATCTGCGGTGTCTCGGTCTGCACAAAATGCAGGTCCCTCACGCATATTGGAGAGTGCCCAGAGAATGATCTTGATCCTGCTCTTGAGGAACAATTGAAAAAATGGAAGATTAAACGTTGCCCTAAATGCCGAGCTGGAGTTCGGAGAATGTACGGTTGCTCTCATATTGAATGCAGATGCGGTGCGCACTTCTGTTGGGAGTGCATGTTACCAATTAATCAATGCGGTGTAAGTTCCTAGTTACTTTTCATCCCCCCACATTGTCCAACAACACTTATAGATCTGACAGATTCAGGGCCAATGTGACGATGACGCATCTGATGCCGAACCGGATTATCATGTGGAAGAAGACGACCTTGACGGCAATGCAGGATTCTACGAAGGTGCAGGTCCTGACTTTGGCCCGGAACCGTACGGACACATTATTGATGCTTGGGGATGTCAACATATATGGAGCCTAGTTATTCCCGCGAGCCCCTCTACCTTAGAACGGCGCGATATGGAATGCAACAGATGTTTTCGAATTGTGCAACCTTCAGCCAAAGAGGCACCTCCAAAACCTACTCTTGACGAGGACACGGAAATGACCGGCATGAGTCCACCCTCTCCAATCACTTTTTATGGAGAGCCAGCTTGGCAATGTGTCTCTAGACATATTGTCTGCACTCGTTGTCCGAAACAGCCTCCTGCTTCGCGGAATGGAGACCCTAGCCGGTTATGGACTTGTGACTGCGGTATTCAATGTCTCTCGTGTGACAGAGCTGAGGCTATGACCAAGCACGCGAACGGCGAGAAGCTTGCTAAAGAGCGGAAGGAGAAGATGGATTCCTTGGCATGGGAGTGTAGATGCGGGACAGTTATTTGCGGTGCTTGCAAATCTGAGAGCGCATGAAAGGACCGGGCTATCGAGGAAAATTGAGACAGATGAACAAATCTGGGAGAACGGCAATTGCTGTGAGCATTGAGCGTTATTTGGAGCCGGCGCGATGGCGAAATAAGATAGTCAATATGATCGATACCCATCTGTAATGCAGGCCAGGAGCGTCTTGTACAATTTAATCAAGGACCTTGCCATGGCAATATTTGCGGCTATTCTCAGACCAGTTTAAAGGTTCGGCATTATCCGAGGTAATAACCGCACCGAAATGTAGGAGAGCAGGATTGAGTTTCTTCTAAGTGACTGCCAAGGGGTATCATAGGTATTGTACATATAAAACACAAGTCATCTATGCCAATCAAACACATGATACAATAAAAAGCCTGCAATGAGTTGCGTATACACCTCGTGTGGAGATGGAAGCGGCCATCCCTTTTCAAGAGTCTCCAGTCCTTGTTCTCATCTCGTCTCTACATTGCCATCTGCTTCGTCCTGATATCAGAGTCGTTAATGATACTGTCCTCTGCATCGGCCTCCAGATCCCGAAAGATAAAGTCCTCTCCATCTGCTGCGATGTTTGTCTCATGAGACTGCTCCTCATCCCGCGGATTCCGCATATCATTCTGCAGCAGATCCAGGAACTCTGCTCCCGGATTTAATTCCATATTCCGCCGCCTCCTCATCGCCTCAAGAAGCTCTCTTCGTTTACTAATCTTGAACATGAGCGTCAACGGCCGCAGATCTACTTCTAGACCAGCGCGTTCCATGCGAGAGATGACATCGGCAGTATTTTTCGTGTCCTGTACACGAGCGTATCCGTTTACGAGACTCGTCCAGGTTACAAAGTTCGGCTCAATGATGCCCTTTTCTTGCATCATTGTGAAAACTTTCGCTGCGGCGCGGGTTTGGTGCTGGTTCATGAAAATCTTGAGGAGGATGGACCACGTGCGTACGTCAGGCTTTGGCGGAATGTGTGGTCTTCTTGGCTTTTCCTCTAGAGTTTCGGATAGCTGAGGGAGAGAATCTTGAGTTGGGTTAGAGTCAACGAGACGTTGGGATTTCGAGATTTCGACGTCGTTTTCAGAACCCTCAACCTTCGATTGCGCCTCGAACGTCCCACCTATCAGAGACGATTCGGGTTCGATCTGGCTGGCCAAAGGATCTTCGCCTACAGTGGATGGTGCAAGCATATCTCCAACAATGGCTGTGCAATCACCAAGCGTGTCCGGAAATTTACCCAGTGCCAGGAGGACCGAGTTCCAAATATGGGTCGTTTCGAGAAAATCTGCAATAACCGGATCACTGGTCGACATAAGAAGGCGGAAATGGTTATAAAATTGCTTGACAGCCCACGCATCCCGCAAGCCGTAGAGAAATGCACTTATCATCAAAGCTTGTGTCGGCATGGGCGGCTGCTCGAGTTCATCTTGGGGTATCGGTGAAGTCTCTAGGCGTTGGGCGTTTGGTAATATATCTGAGATCCAGGGAATAATTCGTGCTAATGGCTGAATTCGAAAAGTTTCCATATAAACCTTCAACATGTGATAAAAAGCAGCATGAGGTTCAGAAGGCTGGTCATGCTCCTTGGCCTTTTGCCGGTAGAGAAGGAAAATTGCATCTAGAACATCAGTGACAATGTGAGCACTCATTAACCCCTTGCCCCGAACGATTTCCATAACTGCTTCAATAGCCTCGGAGTCCATTCTGTGTTTTGAATCGTTCAGTAGAATCGAATACGTGTAAGTATCTGGCTCGATTCCACTCTCTATCATCATGTCGTGAATCTGCCACGCAGTGCTGTGGTTACCGATATCCACCGAATTTTTGATAAGGACGTTATATGTGATAATATTTGGCTGCATTCCCCACCCAAGCATGCGCTCAAATATATCCGAATCGGAGTAGGCCGTGTCTGGACCTCTGACGGACCGATCAAGTATTTTCGAGCACAAACTAAGCATTTTCGGGCTGTTGAAGTCAGAACCGTAGAGCTTCAACTTCTGCAGAATCTCCAAGACAGTATCTGTCTCACCGACCTTTGCAAAGCGGTACGCAAAGTTCATCAAAGTATTTTGGTGTAGCGGGTGGCGGATGTCTGTCATTATCTTGTACAGCTTCTTCAACAGAAATGGATCTGCGTGGGATAATAGGAGAAACGTTGAATGTTGAGAGATGTGAAGATAGTCCTTCGGCCCGATCTGCAGCAGACCGAAGACTGAATTGTGTATTCTGCGAATGAGATTTGGTGCGCGAGGTCCAGGTCGTCCACCGAGGAAAAAAGAGATAACATAGTTCAGACAGTCTGAGAGCGCATACGGAGGAGGAAACGGCTCCTGAGCATATGTTCCGGCTATGATTTTCAAAGTTTTGCCGGTTTTGGTTTGCAACGTCTTGATCATAAGCTCTGGCCATATCTCCATTTTCCGTTGTGGGCTAAACTTTTCCCATTTCAGACGTAGCTCCAGAGAATTATCTCCTTCATCCATTAATTCTCTAAGGAATGTCAAAGGGAATCTCGAAGTTTGCTGGAAGACGAATCTTGGCAGTCTCTTTCCTTTCATGGACAACTCATGGCGAAGATTTAAAACTGCAAATCGCCGGTGCCAAGTCCTAAACGGGGTATAGAGGCTAGAGTCGGTATACGGACTAAGGCGAACCCATTTTGGCCTGTTGGGCGGTATGTTTTGCTGCTTTGCTCTAGCCTGCGACTGGAGACAGAGCCTCCTTCGTCTTGATGCTTCCAAAGATTTCTTTCTGTCCGCTTCGAGTTGACGGGCTCGATCCCTCTTTAGACCGACCCGTTGTTGAGGTCTCCTCATCGCGCTGCGACTGAGCAGATGGTAACGAATTTTGAGTGCTTCGCGTCTCATAGGCCTTGCCTCTTCGGGGTCTTTCTCGTCCCCGGGTAAGAAAGGCACTCTCCTTATTGATGCCATTGGAGGTTTTATCTTAGGTCGGGGACCCCAAATTTCCCTATATTTTCTGCGGAAGTCCTCCTCTTCAGAGCTCCCAGAGGATTCTGGGCCAGGGGGGAGGCCATCAACATCCCTTAGCGCTTCGTGAAGTTTCTTGCTTCGAGAGTACCAGATTGCCTCATACTCTCTGCGCGACTCCTCTTCAGATATCCCAGAAGCCTCTACGCCAGAGTAATGACCATCAGTGTTTCCTCCTGGAGGTTTCTCCAGTCCTTGGCGCCAGTTGTATTCGTCATTTGTATCATTGCTCATAGAACGATCGAACTCTCGAGGCAGTTTGTGAACCTCCCGTTTCTTCCCCTGGATGCGCGATGTTGAACCCACAAAATGGCTTTTTCCTCCACTATTCTCCAGCGGCAAGGCTTCATAAGCGTCCTTCACAGCTTCGGACTTCTGTCGAACTGCCTGTGCCGTTGCCGAATGGACTGGACGCCCTTTGCACGGCCATGGTTGAAAAACTCGAGGCGCGAGGAATGGAAGGATGGACAGATCGAACGGTGGCCAGCGTTTCGTCAGCAGTTTGAAGCGTGGAGGCATCAGCTGAGGAGAGTGTTTCGTTCACCACATTGCTTCGTGATGCATGAGTTAGAAGAGGTGGAAAAAGGCTTGAATTGTAGCCCCGACACAGGGGATCCCTCTTTTCTTTTTTAGTATGCGGCCGCATCAGGCTGAGAAATTTGGCGCAACCTCACAGCTTCAGTTGACCAAGAACATCTCCACAATCTAGAAAGATTAATCCTCCCTACAACTCACACAATATGTCTGCGACTCATGCGACCTTAGGCGCAGCAGCAGATGAACGAAAAGCGCGCCTAGCCAAACTCAAATCCCTGAAGCGCAAGCAACCAGGCGATGAAATCGTAGCCCCAGAATCAACACGCTCGCCATCACCACCCGCCGAGCCAGATATAGCAAAGCTACATCTGTCTGGAAGAAATTATGACCCGGAAGCCAAAGGCCCGAAGCTAGGATTCGAAGCACCGCCAACATTGGCCGTCGAGAAGACCCTAGAGCAGCAGGCAAGAGAAGTCGAGGAGGAGATCAGGAAGAAAGCCGAGGAGGAGGAACAAGACGACAAAGGTGTGGATCTATTCAAGTTACAACCCAAGAAACCTAATTGGGATTTGAAGAGGGACCTGGAGAAGAAGCTCGAGATCCTCAATGTTAGGACGGAAAACGCTATTGCCAGGATGGTCAGGGAGAGGATAGAGGGGGCACAGAAAGCGGCAAAGTCGAAGTCTGGGAATGGATCCATCACAGCTAGCGAGGGCGGAGAGGAAATGGGAATGGAAGGTGTTACTCTGGTTGAAGGGGTCAAATTGAGGGAAAGAGAGGAGGAAGAGGAAGAGAGACGCCAGAAGGAGGATGAAGATTTGCAATAGAGTTAAGAAAACTGTATGATAAAGGCGCCATGAAGGGATAAGGGAGCATGGTGGAGTTTGGCGTTCTAAGGAAAAGTGGCTATAAGCCAGATGATCTGCCTTACAATGGGTGAACCTCCTGAGGTTCTTCTGTGAGAATCGAGACATTGGGGCTGAGCGATATTTTATGTTGTACTCGTCAAAGCCTCTACTGTTCTCCCTTTTACGTCCGCATCAACAATTCGCTTTTCTCTTTGTTGCACAATGCGATCCTGGCGTTTTCTTGGTTGTGGTAGAAGTCTATCGTTGCAAGAAGCGAGAGTTCTTTGCCCTGAGATATTCTTCGCGCAACCGTCTGGATGTTGCACTGTCACCAAACACTCACGGAATCTCAAGCAGCCAACATACAATCCCAAGCCATCCTTAGTTTCGCCTTCTTGCTGCTATGGCACTCGCTGCTCCCGTTGCTGCCGCTGACGAGGCCGTATGCATCGACCCCTTCGCGCCCGTTTGTGTGCCACCATGAATCCTCTCTGCCGCCGTGTCACGAGCTGATAAAGCAAAGGAATTCCGAGTCGGGAGGATGGAAAGTTTTAGATGATTAGAGTGACAAGCGGATTTGAGTGGAGCGGATGAGGTTGTTGCAATTCGCATTCGTTACTGTCATTCAAGAAATTGAGATGGGATGCCTTGAACCTTGTGGTAAATCATGGCTCTCGTGACTTTTTCGCCAGATCTTTTAGAGCTCCTTAGAGCTCCGTGTGGGACAGCCGAATAGAGAAAATTGTAGGGAGCCGAGAGGTCTATAGAGACTCAAGACTACCGTGTGTGAATGACTGTTGCTTTCTTGGGACTGTGGTGTGAGGATGAAAATTTAGAAGATATAAATAAGCATTCAAGTTGGTGTGGAATCAGCTTATACAGGATGTGCGTAGCAGGGAAGAACTGTCAGTCTGCTCAGGAAAAGCACAAGGAGATCCGAAGGTAATTGGAAAGCATTAGAGTATCAATATCGTCTGAAACTGGTCATGCTGCTTTGCAAATATTGAAGCTCCGAATTGCATAGCGATTTCATCCATTGCAAATATTATTTTACCGATTCACTTTCCAGTCTGAAGACAATCTCGATATATCCAAAACCCTTGGAGATTGAAGCAAAGTGCAACAAAAACGCTTGAATACTAAGATTCACTTTGGAGGCGGTGGGAATCTAGAAGGACAATTTCTTAGGCACAACATCTAACAAGAAATTCGTGGAGGCTAAACTTTCGGCTGTGCCCCTTGGTCAGGTCACATGGCTGTATCCTTTGGACATCGAATGCCTTTCCTTCGAATGAAGGTTCAAGTACAGTACCTTCACGCCAAGCACAACTGTTGACTTACTCCAGACACATCTTACCTAGATATAGTGTTCACTGGCAGACCACTCAAAGCTCTGAGGTTGTTGTAAGGCCTTGAGACTATCAGCCAAGTATATTGCCTATTGACCCATATTCATTGCCTGAGTCAAGGCCAACCTCTTGCTAAAAGGACTCAGGCTCCTTTCTCTTGGCAGTGGTCTGTAGCTATCACGGGGAGGGCCGCCATCACTGAACCTATCGCTTCCACGCTGTCGATCATTTGAAAGTCTTCGTCTTCCCCTGTAAGGACTCCTGCTTCCCGTTCTCCTGCCTCTCGCAGGTGGGCTTACTTGCTGGAATCTTCTCCTGGTGCTCCTGCTATCTGTTCTTTCCCTTGAAATCCGTCGGTCTTCTGAAGTATAGGAGTCTGCGGATGAGAAGGAACGTCGTCTTCGCTTCTTCTCGGATTCTGTAAGATGCTTTGGAGGCGGTGGGGATCTAGAAATGCTCGGAGATCTGGTCACAGACCTTGACTCGTTACGGCCAGGGTTCCTTCGTTGTGGAGAAGATGATTTGTTTGACCGCATAGGCTTGCGGCTCGCTGAGTGTCTTGATATCTCTCTTGGGGATGGCGATCGAGACATGTTTGTGGAAATAGTTGACACCGAGACAGATGAGTGAGAAGCTGATCGTATCCTTTTGGGTGCACCTCGAAGTTCCGGATCCTCACTATGCCTCTCACGCTTCCGGCCCCTCTCCTGCTCTGCCTTCGCAAGTTGCTCATCGGCCACACCTTTTCTGCAAGACAGTCATGTTAGCAAGAGATTCAAAGAACCCACTGTTAAAACAAGAACTTAAGTAAATGTAACTATTTGTAGGGTAGACAAAGACGAACTTTCTGAGCAGTTCCTGCGGAACCTCACTCGTCAACTTTGGGACCAGTTTTGGATTCAAGAGCTGCTGAGTTCTCGAAGGGCGTGAAACATATGGTCGTTCTTGAGCAACAGCTTTGCACTCGTAACTATAGTGGCGTAGATTTCAGTCAGCCGAGTGCCCGTGAGGAGGGTAATGATTGTACATATCTCTTTTAAGACATTTCTGGCATAAGGTAGTCGCGGTTGCTTTCGACGGGCCTCCAATGGTCGGCCCTCTGCCGTACCGATTCATGATTCGTAGCGTAAAAGAGTGGTGTCTACTCAGTATAGTGTTCAGCGGGAGACAACTCCAGATGCGTTCGAGCAGACGAGCAGTAGTTCCTCGTGGTGGATCTCAATTGTCAGGACTGTCTCTGCCGTTGCGGGTAACTTTTTTAAGGTTGGTTGACAGGGGGTCACCGACGCTACAGTAGCGCAGCCTTTCCTTGACTGGATGCAGCGATTTTGGAGGAGGCCGATTATTTCTCACCATCCAAAAGGGCTGAGATGCTCTGACCTTTCCCCGCCAACAATCCCTCAAATTCAACCTTTGGCCAGATATCGAGAGTCTGGGAAGGCCCTGCGAGTATTTGGAGCCGCGGTCGTACGAAGGTCAAGTCCAGAAGGCAACACCTCACCAGCATTGATCCACCGTGGTACGCCTTGAGCCAAACGGACTGACAAAACCCACGCTTTCTCCATAAACTCCCTCATAACCACCAGCAGCTTGTCAGCTACGACAATGACCAGATGTCACGTCTCTTCATCGGGCGCTCTTGTTAACTTTCTCCCTTAATTTTAAATTCTACAAAAGCTTTGGTTTTTACAGGCCTATCGCCTGGTTGCGATCTCACCTTTGTCCGCCTCGGGCTCCGACACTCTTTTTCGTCGACTAGAATCAGGTCTGGTCGGACTTACACTTCAATATGGCGACTGCGCCAATGTCCGCAGCTACATCTAGACTGTCGTTCGCGAAGGTATGTGGAGTTCGACACATCTGGTCTTCTCAGCTTTGCGTTACGACGCCCAGCAGGCATAGGAATTTACAGCTAATGTTTGCCCTCTTTATTTAGGTAGCTGCATCGGCAGGTAAAGACGATGTAGCTCTTAGCTCGTTTACCAAAGTTACGACCTCGACATCTCTCCGAGACCAGCGAAAGGAAAACACTCGGCTGCACGCCCAGAACGAAGTAGTAGACGGATCGGGTCTACCGAATGCAACATCCGAAGACACATCCGCAGTTACTTTGAAGAAGGAATTTTCTTCGGGCGAGCCTAGCTTGAAGATGAAGCCAGAAGAGCCACGTTCTGCGGAGCCTAGCGCCAGCGAGGCCAAACTTGGGGACGCCGTTCAGGCTTTGAGCGTCAACTCTCCCATGCCGAGTCTTGTCGTGAATGGTTCGGGGCTTGTAGCCAGTAGGAATAAGGCAGATGCAGTTGACGGATTCTCGGAAGACCCCTTTCAACGTACAGATTCTGGTTCTGAGCTTGGAACTAAACCACCAAGTCTGGACGGAAAGAGCATCACATCTGGGACTACTTTTGCGCTGGATGAGAAAGAATCTTTACGCCCTGATGATAGTGCGAGTGTCAAGGCTGCAGAGGATGATGATACATTCTCTGGGCGAGGTTCTATAGTGGCAGGTTCAAGAATTGGATCCGAAGCTGCTGGTCGGGCATATCGTGCACAGTTCTATGAAGCCCCTGACCGACGAAGTATGCAACCCATGCAGGAGCGTCAGAACCAAGGCATTAGCACACCACATAGTGGTTCTTCTGGACAGCAGACAACAGATGATGGCAAACCTAAGCCTCTCATTGGAGCAACCGGAGCACCAGAAGCCTTCAGTCTGTTTTATCGCCAGACCCCCGATGAGAAGTTACTAGAAGCCCTGGAGTCTCCAAAGGATAGAATCTTCCTTCTCAGACTTGAGCAGGATGTGATTGAATTTGTCAAGGATTCTAAGTAAGTTATACCTCAATGGTTAGCCCCTTTTGTGTCTTGATTCTGACGCTACATAGAGAACCTTTCATTGACCTGCCTCCTTGCAATTCATTCTGCAGAATGCTTACTCACAAACTTGCTGATTACTATCACATGACACATCAAGTTGATTCCGGTGCTGGTGCCGTTCGGATCTTCAGAACACCTTTCTGTAGGCTGCCGCCCTCTTTGACCAGTATCTCCAACCCGCCAACCTCAGGCAACACCCCGCCCCCCACGATGCCAGCAATGAAAATCATGCGAAGGGGTGGCGATGGTGACACTGGTCCTAGCCCTTCCAAAGCAACCTCGGAAACCGGCAGTGATGGCAAAGATAAATCTCTCTCAGCGAAAGAAAAGTTTGTGTAACTCTTTACCCTTGTCGTTTTCTCTCTGCTGACTCGACTTAGATTATCTCGAGAGGAAAGGGAGGCAGCTTATAACAAAGCCAGAGAACGCATATTTGGGAAGGAAGAAAAAACCGGCGATGTCACCCCAGGTGTGTCAATTCCTTTTTGTCTCACACTGCTCCTTGCTAACCATTAGCTACAGAAACCGAAGAGGGAAATGAGATGTCTCGCTCGAGCTCGCTCTCAACCAAGGACCGGGCAAGCCAAAATAAGAGACCTAAGCCACCCAAGCAGCGTAGAGACGACTCTGAAAGCTTCGATGTCAGGTCCCAGTATACACCGTTCTTCCCCCAACCGCAAGGTCCAACTTGGGCCCCAACTCAGCAGTTCGCTCCCATTGGTCCCCAGCCATTTAATGGTGTTGTCCAAAACAATTACCCAAATCCGATGCAACCTCAGTTCATCCCCCAACCAGCTCCACAGTTCAACCCTGGTATGCCAATCAACAACATGAACAACGGTAATATTCCGATGTATAACCCCATTCCCCAGGTAATTCATCTCCACGCTATATTGGGTGGATCTTCAAATTGACAGGTCTACAGCAGTATCCTCAGCCAAGTCAGCAACGCTTCCAACCTCACAGTGCGCCGATCAGCGCTTATGGGTCACCTGTTCAGTCACCTCCACTGGCACCCCAGCAATGGCCTCAATCGAATCCTTACCAGAGCCCGTATCAGACACAAGGACCCATGCCAAGAGCTCCCCCGAATTCGATACCTTATGCATTTGGTCAGTTGCCTAGCACAGCGAATCCAGCCGATCCGAAGAGTCAACATCCCATTCCTGGGAGCTTCAATCGCCACGCCTTCAACCCAAAGACACAATCATTCGTTCCTGGTAATGGTGGCCTTCCGCTTCCTCAACCGATGTCCCATCATGGCACTCCTCACCATGGGTCTCCGCACCACGGCTCTCCCCATCTCCAATACAATGCCTTCACTCCACCTCAACAACAGTACAACAATGGAATGGGGTACAATATGGCTCGGCAGGGTTCAAACAACTCTTTGCCCTCTTATCATGCATCTCCTCACATGGCTCATCGGCCGATGATGCATCAGGCTATGCCACAAAGCCTCCCTCAGAGCATGCCCCCTAATTTGCCACAAGGCATGCAAGGAATTCAAGGAATGCCGCAGAATGGGCAGATTGGAAATCATCTCCCCAACTATGGTAATTCATCTACGCTCCCTCCCAAGCCACCAACTGGAGTTTAGAGACACGCGGTTACGTGATCATCAAAGTGGCGTATGGTAGCATTGGTGAGGAGTTAGTGGGAAATGCGTGCATCAAAACGACTTAGTTTACAACATTGGCTGATAGACTATGAATACATAAACTACATAAAAAATAGGTCCTGATCACGAGTGACGAGATTGGTGAAGAATGGTATTCTATTCGATTGGCTCTATAGCCCCAGTAAACGCCAGAACTTTTTCCATTCCTGTACAATGCAATTATGAACTGCACGGCTAAGTCTCATGGAAGGCGTTCAATTATCACATATCACTCGCTCGGTTCTCTCGGTTCTCTCGGTTCTCTTTGTTGCCCACCACCACGTCCACCTCCCCTCTTCCCACCTCTCTGGCCACCACGTTGCCCCTTGTCTCCACCGCCTTCGCCACCAGTTGCTGCCAACGCATCTGATCCGCCCATAGTGAGAGTAGCGGTAGCCAGCCTTTGCGAGAGATCAATTTGGGTGCGAATGGTGTTGGCCAGATATGAAACAACCAAAACGTCCTGGATATGGTTGTTGAAGTCCCGCTCGATGTCTTGTGGGTCGACTTTCGGTGCCAGTGACAAAGCGTTCATCAAGAATTGTCCCAAAGCATTCGACGGCTCCTTTTCCTCATCCAAAACCGAGTTGACATATTCTGATACTCGCTCAAGCAGATCAAGTGTCTGATCCACAGCTCTCTCTAGACCTTCAATGTCCGAAACTACTGGCGCCGCTCGGTTCTCGCTATCCTTTGCTCCAGATATCAACTCCAGGCCACTCTTCTCGGCTTCGCCGTAGCGGATCTCGTATGGTACTGGGATGAACAGACAGCTCTCGGCAGCACGCTCAGCGTTTACCCCAACCGGGGCACTGATGTACGCTCTCGCTTCAATCTCCTTTCCAGCCTCCGTTGATACCGTCAAATGGACTGCCGGGTGAGGGAAAGTTCCAGTCTCGGGACTTGCGAAGAAGTTCTGAATTAAGGCGCTGAAGCTGTTGAGTTCAAGGCTTGTCGTGTACCATCCTAGCAACACTTCTCTCGGGTTGGCTTTGAGTTGTAATGCGAGCATGTTCTTCTGGTACTCGACGTCGACCTCGACTTGATCTTCGTTCTCGGTATGGGGGATCGCGAAGCAATTTCGTACTTCCACTTCCATGCCGTCTTCTGAGCGGACGCCGAGTAGGGCTCCAATCACTCGCGTTGATTGTGTGTCGCGGATGTCACGTCGAATAGCATGATCGAGGATGGAGAAAACGGCCTTTATATCATCAGTTCACCATACGGTAATTTCGTGTGCTTGGACGTACTTGTGGTTGAATTATGACATTGAGAGGTGCGGTTGTGGGCTGTACACCGATCGCTGAAGGCGCAAGAGGGCGTGCAAGATGCAGGAAAGAATCAGTACCAACCGCCATGCTGGGCAACTTTCTCTGGGGTCGGAAAGGTCTGGGGAAGGCGTCAAACGGGGTGTTGACTTCAAATTTGCTGCCCCTCGTCGTCGCTTCCGTTGTGTGCGAGATTCGGCGCTAAGATAAGGATTCACGTGCCAAATGTACTTTTCGAAGACTTGCAAGAAGACTTCATATTTGAATTTAATTAAAGTTATACTTTATATCCTAAAAGGCCTTATATCCTCACAGGCTTCATAGAACTTCCACTGATCTGAAACCAAAAATTGCACTCCGCGAAGTTGTTCTCATTCCAAATGGCCTTCAGGACGACCATGGGTGCGCTAAGATAAGAATTTGTGTAATTTTTTGAGACATCCGTCTCGAGAGCTTCAACTTTTACACAATCTTCGAGCCTTCACCGAAATGGCATTCCACGGATCGAGAGGTGACTTACGGGGTAGGGGAAACAGTGAGGGAAGCGGGAGGAGATCCAGTATGGGTGGCTCACGTGGTAGAGGACGAGGACGAGGACGAGGCGGCTTTCGAGGTGGGAGAGGAAAGCCGGTCTTTGACAGTACACGAATAGCGCAGCAAAAAGAAGTGTAAGATTTCCAATTTCCCAATATATGAATGGAGCATTAAACAGCTTTCAGGGAAGCAAATGAAGAGTCTGAACCAGAAAGTCCATCTGAGGCGGAGGAAGAACCGGAAAGCCAAGACGAATCCAGTGGAGATGAGGAGCCATTACCAGCTGTGCGTTCCTATGCTGCTCTTATGCAAAGTTTTGCAACAGACTTGGGGCCGCAAGCAAAACGGAGGAAATTGGATCCAGAAGCAAGGCCCGAATCAGCGAAAACTGAAGAAGAAGAGAACTCGAAGCCTGCTGCAGAAGATTCTGATGAGGTTGAAGAACCAGAAGAAGGTCCGGAGACTGAAACTGACGGCTTGCTTGAAGACGAAGATGATCTGGAGGACGCTTCGGATCCCTTCGAAGCTCATTTCGCGGATCCAGATGACAACATTCTTTCCAAGAGACTCAAGTCCCTGGAGAAAAACCAGTGGGTTACTCAAAAAGCAGTAATTCCGAAATTTGGAAAGGTCGTAATCGGCATCCCTGAAATAGACGACAAGAATGACAGGACTAGGCCCAAGCCCTTGTCTGAACCGGCCGAATTGAGGTTGAAGCAGAAGTTGGCAGGCGTCATGTCTAAACAAAGACCAGAATTTGACGATCTGGAGAAACACATTACACCTTCGATATTTGGCTACCAGGATATCTTTTACTGTGAGCGGCGGCCGACGAACTCAGAGAGCTTAAGACGTTTGGCATGCCTCCACGCTGTCAATCATGTATTCAAGTAAGTACTACCTATTTGGGACCTAAGCTTTTGTTGACATATCTCCAGAACTCGAGATCGTGTTATCAAAAATAACGCTCGCCTTGCAAAAGAGGAGAATAACGGTGACCTCGAATTACGAGATCAAGGGTTCACCCGCCCAAAAGTTCTCATGATTCTTCCCACTCGCGAGTCTTGTGTTCGGATGGTAAAGATGATCACATTTTTGTGTGAACCAGATCAGCAGGAGAATCAAAAACGATTCGACGACTCGTATGTCGAAAAAGAAGAGAAGTTTTCCGATGACAAGCCACAGGATTTTCGAGAACTTTTTGGAGGCAATGATGATGATATGTTCCGGCTTGGGCTAAAATTTACTCGAAAAACCATCAAATACTTCTCGCAGTTCTACAACTCGGATATCATTTTTGCCAGTCCATTAGGCTTGAGATTGGCATTGGAAGGCAAGGACGACAAGAAAGGAGACTATGACTTCTTGAGCTCGATCGAGGTAGTCATCGTTGATCAAGCTGATGCACTCCTCATGCAGAATTGGGAGCATGTGGAGTATATTTTCGAGCACCTAAACTTGCAACCGAAGGAGGCCCATGGCTGCGATTTCAGTCGAGTGAGGAGTTGGTATTTGGACAACAACGCCAAATACTTCAGACAGACCATAGCCCTGGCAGCATTTAATACACCTGAGTTGAACACACTCTTCTTCAATAAATCCAGGAATTGGGCTGGCAAGTTCAAAATCAGCATCAATTATCCCGGCGCGATTCAAGAGCTAGGATTGAAAATCAAGCAAACCTTCTCTCGTCTCGAATCGCTCTCCTTTGCCTCAGACCCGGATGCTCGATTTACATACTTCACCACCGCCGTTATACCATCCTTGACCAGATCTGCCAAGGACAGCACTGGGACAGTCATATTCATCCCGTCCTATCTCGATTTTGTTCGGGTGAGGAACTATTTCTCAACATCTCCAGCTACAACCAGCTTGTCGTTTGGCAGTATCTCTGAATACACTTCTGTCAGGGATGTAACAAGAGCACGATCTCATTTCTTTAGTGGACGCCATAGTGTCCTACTTTACACCGAACGCGCACACCACTTCCGCCGTTACCAGCTCAGGGGTGTCAGAAAAGTGATCATGTATGGTTTACCCGACAATCCGATCTTTTACAAGGAAATAGTGGGTGGCTACCTTGGTAGGAGTGTCCAAGAAGGTAAGCTGGAGCCTGGAGAAGGGAGTGCGAGAGTTATATTCTCCAAATGGGATATATTGAAACTGGAGAGGATCGCTGGCACGGAGAGAGTCGGGAAAATGATCAAGGAGAAAGGCGATACTTTCGATTTCCTGTAAGATATCGAAATAATGAAGATATGTAAACGCCATCCCATGTAATTCTGATGTACAATCGAAAGTCCTGGTATCAATACATTTGTCGCCTATCTTATTTTCAGTCATCTTCCTTGCTTGGTCTAGGATCTCGTGGCTTTGGAATAGTGATGGCATCATTTCTTTCCTCGATCTCGACTTCTTCCATCCTCTTCACCATCCTCTCGAGGTCCCGCTGTCCTTTTTCCCTGTATCTTGTGACCTTCTCAATGTTCCTTTCAGTCATCTCGTTGAGCGGCCGTCCTTGCTTTCTCAATGTGGCAACAGTCCTCGCTGTCATCGCAAATCGCATATCGTTAGGTCCATCTACCAGCTCCAAAATGGCTGAAGGCGCTTGATCCGACTTCAGCGGCTCAATCCGCAATACACGCGTGTAACCGCCAGGTCTGTCCGCATATCGTTCTCGTAATGGGCCAAAGAGTTTAGGGAGGAGTTCGTGGGGATTCTTTCCAAGAGTCAGCATCACACATAACACATGTTTCCCAGCCTATCAAGATTGAAGTATTGACATACGAAGAATATGCTCAAGGCCCTTCTCTTGCTCGCTTCTGTGTTTTTTTTCCCCAGAGTGATGAGCTTTTCCGCCAGCCTTTGCGCTTCTTTGGCTTTGGGGTATGTTGTAGATATCGATTCGTGTGTGAAGAGAGATGTGACGAGATTACGGAGGAGGGCTTGTCTATGTGAAGACGTGCGGCCTAGATGTCGATATTTTAATCTGGCGCCGGCCATGGCGAAGAGTCAGGAGATCAATGGAGGCTCCTCTCCGCTTGGCAGAAACTCAGGAAATGTAAATATGAGCTTCAAGATCGCCTAGCATGCGGAGCTAGGCTTGGGAGCTTCAATTGATACGCAGTGCGCTGGGGAAGATGCTTGATCCGACTTGCTGGAATTATTTGAGGTTGACGATGAGCTTTAAGAGCCAGCTAAGGTCACACCTCTGTTACATTAAAGCCACGGCAAGGCTGAGCCTCTCGCTTCCTCCAACGACCAATGACGGCAACCTTCATCTTCAATCAATCACACTTCCTTGGGACAACAAATCAAGAATGTCCAGACAAGTCGCGGACTTTTCTACTCTTCCAACTGAGCGTCGCCTCCAAATATGGCGTTACAGCTGCCTTACTCCCAGAATTATCGAAATGCGCACAGATGACTACCCAGGCAATTGGAACATATCATTCTATCCAACCAGACATGGGACGGAAATCCGCACTATTCAGTGGGTAACTCAAACCACAGCTCCAGCAGTACTCAGTGTCTGCCACGAATCACGTGAAATGGCTCTGAAAGTCTACACATTAAGTTTCGAAGTGCTGGCCAGTGGGTCCTCTATCATCTACATAAATCCCTTGTTGGATACGATATATGGAAATTTCAAATGGGACAAAGAAACTATGGGGATTTTGATCGACGATATGAAAGCCTTCGATGCGGAAGGAGTTGGTATCAGAAACCTGGCTCTCCCTCTGCACTCCGGCTCGATTGGATGGACTCGGCTTCCTCTGGATACGCTGAGTTCTGTGACGCTGGTCGCTGAAGACTCCCTTGAACCTTATTGGCAAGACTGGGATGAGGATGCTGTCTTGGTTGCACCTGTCACGGAGCTTGAAGTAAGAAGATGGGAAGAGGGAGGGAGGAAAGCAAGTGTGACTTTTGATGAGGCTATTCGAGGCCTTGAACATCCTCCTGTCTTGAATATCGCTGCGCTCAGGAGAGGAGATGCTGCAAGAGCTTTACGTGCGGTAGATCGGAAGTTTCGTGTTCTTCAGGGCCCAAGGAGGCCGCATATAGATCATGATGTCGTCCCGCCGGGAGTCGCAGTATGGAATCATTATGACTTGTAGTCAAGGATATCACGGAGTTCTAGGTACTGGCGGGACATCCATACTTGGAGCATCCGATTTCTTAGACCTGGTATGTGGTGAAAATCTGTTCTATCAACTTGAAACTTTTCCTGATCTCCTACTTTTCGCCGGGAGGACTCTTTTGGAGCTAGGCAGAACATAATTAGCACTCTTCAGTCATGACGCACACGACCTCATTGGCTCTTGAAAAGGCACTGCTTCAACGTTCAATCGTCTCAACTATCACGATACTCTTACCTGCGATAGTTTGCCAGTCGAGTTGAAATACTTCAAATTACTATCAGCGATGTCTAGCGTGGACAATGACTCGACCAAAGATGAGTCGTATACAGGCTTGAAGCAGCAACTACTCTCGAAACCGGGCCCCGTTTTGCCACCTCCTCGATCAGCTCCATCTCAGAGCCTTACTCATGCTATCTCCTCATTGTTCCTTCATCCCTCTATTGAAGCTGCTCTCCACCTATTCAACGGTGACTTGGTATCAGCCCATTTTTTGGTACGCCGCATGCAAGCTGCACCACAGTATGAATCTATGATGTTGCATGGAATACTGCACCGCATTGAAGGGGACTATGAGAATGCAAGAGCGTGGTATCGTGATGTGAAAGACTCGGAAGTCTTTCTAGCCGTGTGGGGAAACAGCGGCATCGACAAAGTAATGGATTTCGTGAGAAGCATTGAGATTCTGAGGAAAGAAACAAAACATGAAGATATCTCAGAGGTCCATCAGCTAGAGGATGGGAGCAAAAGAGAGCTCAAGACTGTGCTAGAGTTTTGCGAGAAGAAGTTTGGGACGCAGAAGGTGGATGATGCAAGTGCGATTTGGGTCCAAGATGAGAGATCGTCAGCAAAAGGAAGTGATATGGTTGTCGGTGGAGAAGGTTGGAGACAATTCTGAATAGCCTCTCGTCTTTTTCTTTTCATCGCAATTTTCACCTCCGAAATTTTCCAGTGTTTAGGTGTCTAGGTGTGAAGTTGCGTGTCGAATGTGTCGAATTTGGTGTCTAATGACGACAAGACTACTAGTGCTGAATGGCGTCAAGTTGGGAAGGGACGAGATAACTTTCTACCTCAGCAACAATTGCAAAACGCTACTCTTTCCATTTTCTTATATAATGGGCGAAAACACTTCCAACTCAGATCGCCTACCCACATTTGCGTGGGTAACACTTGTTACTCGCGCCAGCTACCTTCCAGGAGCCACTCTTCTCGCACACAGCCTCAAGAAGCACCAATCAAAATACCCGCTGATCGTTCTTACCACGCCTGATTTTGAAAAATCTCATGTATCCACTCTTCAGCAAGAATGCATTCTCACAAACTCACGTCACATACAAATCTCACCTCTGGTCCCTCCCGCACACAATTTACCGGAGACACTTATTGCACCTCGCTTTGAAGATACTTGGTCAAAGCTGCGAGTTTTCGAATTGCATAAGTATGGATGTGAGAAACTGGTATTTCTGGACGCTGATATGCTTGTGAGGAGGAACATGGACGAGTTGTTCGATATGGGGTTACCCGGAAGAGATTGGATTGCGGCTAATCATGCTTGTGTTTGCAACCTGGACCACGATAGCTGGGCCCCAGAGGAGTGGAACAAGGAGAACTGTGCTTATACTGGTTTGAGTCCTGAGAGTCCACCGACACCCGTACCAAGTCCTGGAGGGAGCAATGGCAAGAGAACACACGCCTTGCTAAATTCCGGCTTGTTCATCTTCCAACCGTCGCAGTCTCAGTGGGAAGAGATGATCAAATTTCTCAATGAAAATGAGGAAGTCAAAACGTACCTCTTCCCAGATCAGGATTTTTTGGGTGACTTTTTCAAGGGCAGGTGGAAGAGTTTGTCGTGGAAATACAACGCGCTGAAGACAATGCGGTACTGGCATAAAAACCTTTGGGTAGACGAAGAAGTCAGAAATCTACATTACATTGTGGATAAACCTTGGAGTCGGCGGATTGGCAGTGATGGTATTGCAGGGCACCTCGGAAAAGATGGAATGACACATCAGTGGTGGTGGGATGAGTTTGAGCAATGGGAGAGAGAAAGAGAGAAGATGGGAAAATCTAAGATTCTTGAGATAATGAGGACTGCTGTGGCAAAACCATTACAAAATGGCCAAGATTAGGATTGGGAAAGGAACAGAGAGGCCTACAAAGGCATTTCAATGACCTCAATGTTCATGGGCGCAAGCTTTTTCATTTCCAAATGGCCATATTCGAAGGATATTCAAACTCCCAAAATGTCAGAAGATTCCGCTTTGTGATTTGAATAACTCCTATATACATTTTGACCCGCCTGTACGCAGGTACTTGGATGGCGCCATACTTGTATTCCAGGAACTCCTATTAAGAATAATTCGGGATATTGATTCAGATTAAGTCTTCCTGTTTAAACCGAGCATTGGGGGAAACAAAACGATGCTTAATATCAGAATACCAAAGGTGGCTTTGTTTTCGAAAAGTGATGACTTGGGAGACTTTATATCAGGAGGGCTGACCCCCTGCAGGGGATCGGCAATCTTTGTGTGGTTGGCCTTGGCTCCAAAAGTTTCGCGGCGAACGAGAACTGATCGGACCACCAACACGCAACCTTCACCCTTGGTCGTTCTCTAACTGCGAGCTCCTTGGAGCTTCCACGATATCAATTGGGACATCCGAATCCCTTTGACCAGATTGGAAGTTTGCCGAAGCCTTGTAGCATCCGTCGCGCCAGCCTAGCAACTCAAGATGGGCTTCACAACTGGTTTTGTGAGTACCGAGAAGAAGTTAGCGAATGCTGCAGCATAACTAACGTTGGCGTCCAGACTGGCGGGGTTGCTCTGACACTCGGTATTGCATATCTCACAGTCCTTGCCCATGAACGGAATCGACGGGCCCAAGCTGAAGCTCTCCGGTCACAATCTCGCGTGCTTACAAGTCTGCTTGAACCCTCACCTATACCTCCACCACAGAGCAGGGCCGAACTCGCGCGCGAAGAAAGGAGTTCGTTAACGGAAACGCTGAAAGATAGATGGAATGAGGAGGTTGAGCATGCCGTTCGGAGAGTGCAGAAAACGGATTGGAATGAAGTGCGAGAGGGGATGGAAGGAGCTGTCGCGAGGATTTTAGGGTCTGGATTACAAAAGAGCAGGGAGGGCATTGAAGAAGCGGGGAAGCAAACTGCTCCGAAGGTTCAGGACGCGGTCGATAGGAGCAAAGCTGCTGCCAAGAAGGGTACCGACCAAGCTGCTGCTGGAATCGACAGAGCTGCGGCAGCGACAATCGCTGGGGCTGAACGGGTCGGTGCTCAAGCAAAGGATGGTGCAAGCAAGATCGCTTCTGCAGCCAAGGAGAAGGCAGATCAAGCGGGTATCAAGACTGGAGAGCTTGGAAGTTCAACGAAAGCGAAGGTCGACCGGTCAGCTGCTGATGCAAAGACTGGTGCTGAGGATGCTGCGGAAGCCGTGAGACATGCTGGCGGAACCGTTGATGCGGCCCGCGGTGCTTTGAGGGATACTTTCAACAAGGGTATTGAAAAGGGCAAGGCAACAATCGGAAAAGCTCAAGCTGCAGTTGGTCTGGCGACTGAGAAGATGGAAAGCAAGGCACAAGCAGCAACTATGAGCCATTCTTCCGCCGTTGAGAAGGCTCTCCACGAGCGATATGAGAAACCGAGCTCTTTGGATAAGAGTGTTGAGGAGACCCTGGCGGAAAGGTATAAGCCCATAGAAGAGAGGGATAATACCGTCCTACGTGGCATGTAAAATGTGTACAAATCCTAATGACCGCTGCTTGTATCAAACTGTTCTTCTCAATTTTAAGGATCTGCTCTTCAAGTGGCAAGCAGTGAGCGTCTAGACGAGTTAGGTGAAAAATAAATTGGAATTATATGTCATGCGAAACGATCAGGATCTCTTTCAAGGTTTCCAGGATTTGCTGGACTTCGCATTTATTCACAGAAACTTCTTTGAGTCAAGAAAGCAAACAAAAAAAGGTAGATAGGTATGATGACCGAGTCACTTTCGTGCCTCGCTTTGAGTACTCGTCAATAGGAAGTCACTCCTCACTTCTTTCCATGCAACTCCGATTCCATTTTCAAATTCGAACGTCAGGTAGAAGTAATCTGCTTGCCTCCCTTCTGCGACAGTACATCATCTAAGTCTGCTTTTGAAACCCTCTGTTAACCAACCGCTTCACCTTTTCGATTAAGATGGGTAGCAACTGGAACAGAAGACCGATTTTGGCCGGCTTCGATGACGCTTGGATTGAGGATATTATCCAAGACCATTTGAGCATGGCTTCTTGGCCAAGAGTACCACCAGAGCCCAAATTGGAGAAAGACGATGGCCACTCCGAACGTAAACACATCGATCACCTCGCGGTACAGGTAAACAGCGACGATTACACAGCTTTTTTGCTCACTTTCAAGCTGCCAATACCACGCTTACGAGTAGGCATGCAGTGAAAGATATCGACCTACCACACCATTGACATGCGCAACTGACGAACGCACATTGCAATTTGTAAACTACGGCCGCCGTATTTAGCCATCAACCGAAGCCCAGCAACATGAAGCTGAAGAAACAATAAGAGATATCCTCGGATCCCGCATCATCAACTTACCTACTGTTCAGTTCATTCTCAAACTGCAAGCAACTCGGATGGATCCCATGGAATAGGTCTCTGTCAAACAAATCATCGAAATAGAGCCAAAGGCTGGGAAGAACTTGTTCTTGCTAGCGAAGCCGTTGGATCAGGATGCTAAAGCTACGAAGAAGGGAAAAAAGGAAGAGGCGGCAACTATTTTGCAGGCTGATGGGCTTCACTAGATGTTTTGTTACCCCGTGGCGGGAAGCTAGGAGGTGTATCGAAGCAAGGCCATAGCCAACGTACGCATTGCTTCAACATCTTGGAGCCAGTTCTTCCCAGTGCTGCTCGTCGGGTTATCCTCAAAAGTCATACATTATCGAACCTTCACTGATTGCTATGATTCGCAGTTCTCAAAATCGTTGTGAAATATCCCATACAGGATAAGAAGCTTTGCTCCATTCATCCTGATCAAATGCCGATCCGGATACCCCCTTGGACTTCCCTAATGCCTATTTCCCATCTGTCAAGGAGGATGCAGAATTTCTTCGTTGCAGCATCATACCCATACTATTCAAGATTTGCGTCCAGCACAGCAATCTCCTTGAAGCCCTTCTCTTAAAACATGTCACATCCATTAGGAGATGCAGGAATCCACGTTCGGCAGTCGCTCTTGTCTGCTATCTTATTGCAATGTTCGGTCATGAATTGCCCAATCCAATTCTCCGATAGTGTGGGAGCGCATTTATTCCAATTCTTTCAAACCCACAATTAAAATGAAGGTCTAGTATTGCGAAAGTCCAATAACATCGATATTAAAACTTTTAGAAGGTCATGCATTTTATTGCAATGAGAAAGGAACTTTGCTCAAGATAGTCATCCTCAGTATCCTATCCATAATCACTAGCAGCGCCCATGGCATGAGCAAATACCACAAACACGTCCAAATTCACACCTTCCAGTGCTGGAGGCATCGCCTTAACTTGGATCACTGAAGGTCGGAACTCTCACGGTTCTCTAAGACTAGTCCATGCCACAACTTTTCTACTCTTCCATCAGCCTCCGAAGTTCAAGAATATCATCCATCGGAGGAACAACTCACCCTGAGGAAACTTCGGTGACTTTCCACATCGTGATATCATCCATTGCCGCTCGTGGGCCAAACGTCTTGACTATCCAGGGAAGGATTTCTTGGGGGTTAGAGTTCTTGAAAATTACCTTCCAGAGTTCGTAATCGACAAAGGCATCGTTCCATATGGAGAATAAGTCAAGTATGTCATCGTTGTGAGCTTCACTGAAGTCGAAACCTGATGGGAGTGCCATGTTGTACTTGCAAGGCAGCAAGGAAGATTTGACAGATATTAAGGGAAAGTGGAGAAGACCTGAAAGTGTTCGGATGAGGAGGGAGAAGGTGCTCAATGGAGAGGTTTAAATGCTGACTGCTGTGTCTCATGCGTTCTCGAATGGCACACTCATTTTCATGTCCGCATCTTACAAAACACTCCACCCCCTGGAGAAGGACAACAATGCTGACGAGTCATATCAACTTGCATAACAGTCCTCGGCTGACAGCACCACCCGTGGCCCAGTGAAGTGTATGCCCCGCAGGATCAGAATACAGACAAATCAACTAACAAAATCCACCCGAATAATGCCAGAATGGATTTAATTTGTGGTTTTCAAATAGGGGAAGACATTTTGCAATCTGAAATATAGGTTCTTAACTTCTCATTCTAATGTCAAACTATAGAAGGAAGCATATAAATCGAGCGTCAAAACACTTGGATGAAGAAGACGAAGACGACGAAAAGACACTGATAATCTAAGTTTTTGAATCTGCTTTCTATTCTAAAACGGTTGTTTTTGGCAATAAAGGCCTCAAAGGGTTGAAAATGGGAAAGACGTTTCATTTCGCACTCGCGAGGGCCTTGTTCAATATGAAAAAGGCAAATGATATAGAGATTAGTATTGGGGGAAGGGGAATTGAGACAATTCACAGCGTGAAATTCCAATTCCAAGCTTTCAACAAGCAGGTGGGTATCATTCCGTTACATTTGATATGCATTTTGACCCTCGTTCCGAAACGCCGCTTTGCAACAGATCCAAAGCATTAATCCAATTGAGCAGCCTGAAGATCAGTCTAAACGGGCGCGTACATCATCTTCGTAGCCTACAACCTTATCGATTTCCTGAGCAAAACTGGCATTGTGACCAGCCCAAGCTCTTTGGCCCCTCTGGCACGCGATCTGAATGGCGTTGGGAAGATCACTGTCTTTATGTCAGTAACTGATCCAGATCCAGAGTCCAAAAATTTGTGAAAATAGAAAGGGAATTTTGCCAACCTTGTAGTGGACTTCGTGGCATAACCTTGAAGCTCAAGTTCTTCCGCGAGTTCCAGTTGGTGATTATCCAACAAGCTGTCATTGGGAACGACGATCAAAGACAAGCCAAGTCTCATACCATCAAGAATCGTACCTGCACCTATATGCTTGTCAGTAACTGCAATTCATGTGCGGCTTTGGAAAACATACCAGCATGGCATATGACCAGGCCGTTATTTGCGATACCCTCATGTGCCTGGCACATTCTCATTTCTCGGTTCAAACCGTCAGCCTTAAAATCGAAAACCTCAATATCAAGACCTTTGTGATCGGTTGGCATGAGATTTTCGAACGACTTGAAAGTTTGGCCACACTGAAAGATGAGTTTTGTGAAGCCGTTGTCCGCTAATAGTTGAAGAGACTCGGGCTTGAGCACTGCTTGAACGAGTTCTGGGAACGGAGCAGTAGCGCCTGTGGTGATCAAGCAGACTTTTTCCATCTTCTCGGGCTTCCCCTAGACGACAGGGCCACATGCCCCGAGGCGTAGATAGATCTCTTCCGATTTCGTGGAGGCTTCAGGGTCCGGAGAGGAGTGAGGAGAGATCCACGGCATGAAACGGATCCACGTTGAGAGCATCTCTTATCGGAGTGGCTATCGATTGGCCGTGCATAGATGAAAGTAATCGTTGCGTCAAGTAAAGAGACTAATTTTTAGCGTGGGCCAAGTCTATTGAGGTCGGAATTTCCCACTACCTTCCCGACAAGCGGTCTGTCCCTTTCCTGTCTGGGACTAGTGCAGCTTCCTTAACAAAATTATGCTCCTGCAGTATCAACTTCACAAGAGCAAACAACCATGGCTGCAGCTCTTCAAAGCTTCCGCTTTGCTGTGAGAAGCTGCAATTGCAGGCATATTTCCCCTCGGCATGTGGCCAAGTCGATTGGAAGAGGGCGAGAATTCTCCACAACGCCTCAACGCTGGCTGGCGGCTTCAATTGAAGAAATCGAGGAACGTCTCTCGAAAGCCGCAGCAACAAACCGTGATGCGGCAGAATATATGCGGGTTTCGAAGGAGACTGAAGAAGAGCTAGCGGCTCTGGAAGAGAGTATGCAGCAAGAGGAAGAGGAATCGAGGCAAAGATATGCAGCCCGGCACCCTCCATACGTGTTACCACTACGAAGGAAGAGGCTGAAGGACACGTTCATGAACATGGGAGATCCTGAGCCTTGGGAAGAAGAGGGCATGTTAGATGATGACCACGACGATATGACTTCCCTTGCGCATGGAGAATTGGAGCAACATCGGGAGATGAGACATTATGCCAGACTGGCAGCGTGGGAGATGCCTCTTTTGTCAAGTAGGTGTTATCTTTTGGATTTGAGAGATGGAATCTCCGTGAACGGCAGCTAATAACCCCTTGCAGAATTGGCTAAGCCATTCCACCCTCCCACTGCAGATATGCCACTGAGATTCCGATATACGACGTACATGGGCGAGCAACATCCCGCAGAGAAAAAAGTCGTACTAGAGTTTACTCCAGCAGATATGCCAGACCTTACCGATATTCAAAGAGATAAGTTAAGGAAGCTGGCGGGAGTGAGATGGAATCCCGAGGAGGATATTATCAAGATGAGTTGCGAGATGTTCGAGACTCAAGCCCAGAACAAGCGGTATTTGGGGGATTTGGTTGATAAACTTCTGGAAGAAGCAAGGGTATACATCTTTCCTCTCATAAACCAGTAGTATTTATACTAACAATGGCAGGACCCAACTGATACCTTCGAAGACGTGCCATTCGACACCAGACATCACCATTTTAAGCCCAAATTGAGCTTCCCAGAGGAATGGAATATGACGGAGCAACGACGCATGGAATTGGACCAGTATCGCCAAGCCATTGCAGAGAAACACAAGCAACTAGAGTTTGCAGAACAACTCGTTGATGGGATCAAGCAGATTGAGGAGGGACTGGCTAAGCAAGAGCCAATTAGAGAATCTCTACCTGATATGCTCCTGGGTGCGAGAAGGCCGGGTTTGAAGGGAAAGAGAGTCAGTGTCAGGCGATAGATAGACGTTGTATGATACGGCCAGGCATTGTATGATATTGTGATAATTATCCACATAGAAACTGATGTAAGAAATAATTCAGACACAATTCATCACGGAGAAACCGCAGCCAAGCTTGGAAATACGTGTCACCCGGAAGTGTACGAAATATCTCTGAACTTACTTTAAAGGCCCAATGAACTCGCCGAATTGCTCAATGACAGGGGAGTTAGACTTAAGGGCAGCAATCTAAGTTCATCCCCTCTGGTTGTCTAGCATAGTTTCCCCCCTTTTAAATCTCACGGGTATCTTGGGTAAGCACCCTTGACGAGCTTCGCATGGACCGAGGCTTGGGAGGTGCAAGAAATTGAGGGGAAGGCAGACGCCACCATCACCTCCGGATTTACGACAGCCACTGGGAGAAGCTAGATCTTCACATGAAAGTCAAGACGACAAATCATTTCGGGACTTGAGTTGCTCCGCTTTGTCTCGAACCGCAACACCTCTGCACAAATAAAGCTTGAGTCTCGCAGCGCTTTGCCTCGCGAATCTCTTGAAACAAAGCTGGCCTGACCAGCCCGAATGCAATCATCCGCTCTTCTCTTTAAACACGAGAAGTGCAAGATAACCAGAAACTGAATTCAGGGAGTGAGTTGTCTACCTTCTTTCTCGCCGACCTTTACTGTCACCGTCTTGTTGTACAATGGCATGGCAGGATCAGATCATTATCATAACTCATGTGTCGGCATCTGCTAAAGGGACCTGGTCGAGCCTGCTGCAGAGGATGCTGCCTAAGTTCCTTGACAATTATGCTAACATGCGATAGAACAGCTTCATCCAGCAGAATGGGGCCAAGCAAGATCTCGCCCTTCGAGGCCACACCAATTGACTCTATCCCGGCCACCGTCAATCTCTGCAAAACTTCCTTCCACGCACAAACGACTAAGCCTCTCTCATACCGGTTGACACAGTTACGCAAGCTGTACTGGGGAATTGACGACTATGCCGATGCTTTGGTTGAGTCTTGCAAGCAGGACATTGGCAAGCCCGTCTTCGAAAGTTTCATCTCCGAGATCGATTGGTGCAAGAACGATATCGTATTCGTCACAAAGAATCTAGAGAAGTGGATGAAGGATGAGGCCGCACCGGACATGGCATTTACCAACTCGTTGCTTAAACCGACCATTAGGAAGGAACCTCTTGGAACCATCTTGGTTATTGGTGCATACAACTTCCCTGTCCAGCTCCAGCTTGGTCCCGTTATCGGTGCGATTGCAGCTGGCTGCAGCGTTGTGCTGAAGCCATCTGAGGTTTCGCCGGCCACAGCAATGGTGATTAAGAAGATTGTCGAGGAGTACCTTGATCCAAATAGTTTTGCTGTTGTGAACGGTGGCGTCCCGGAAACAACAGCCTTATTGAACGAGAAGTGGGACAAGATCTTCTACACTGGAAGTGCTCAAGTTGGGACCATCATTGCAAAGAAGGCTGCTGAGACTTTGACACCCGTCACTCTCGAACTTGGAGGTCTCAACCCTGCTTTCATCACCAAGAACGCGGACCCACGCCTGGCAGCGCGCCGACTTCTTTGGGGAAAGCTCCTTAATGCTGGCCAGGTATGTATGAGCGAGAACTATGTTATGGTAGAGAAGGAGATTCTCCCAGCATTCATCGAACAATTGAAGATAACCCTTAAAGAATTCTTCCCTAATGGCCAGAAGAGCAGCGAAGATTTTGCCAGGATTGTCAACAAGAGACACTTCCAGAGGATCAAGAAGATGCTTGATGAAACCTCAGGCGAGATATTGATTGGAGGAGAAATGGACGAGTCTCAAAATTTTATTGAGCTCACTGTGGTTCAAGTTCAGGATGAGAACGATTCCACCGTTGTGGATGAGATTTTTGGACCTATCATGCCACTTCTCGCGGTGGATAACATTGAGACTGCTATCCGTACAGCGAACAAGGTACATTCAACACCTCTGGGTCTCTATGCCTTTGGTTCGAAGGCAGAGACGAATAAGAGTAAGTTTCAATCCCTAGTCTATACGTTAATCAAAGCTACCGCGTTTTCGCTACACTCTTCTGTTTGAATTCTAACATCGCATAGTCCTCAACGAAGTCACATCTGGCGGTGCTTCCATCAACGACGCCTATTACCACGGCTCCATCCCGACTCTCGCCTTCGGCGGTGTAGGCAACTCAGGGCAAGGTGCATACAGAGGCAAAGCTTCCTTCGACAGCTTCACGCATCGTCGTTCAGTCACCACCACCCCAGGCTGGATGGAGAGCATGATCAGCGTCCGCTACCCACCGTATGCCGGCAAACTCCCCCAAATCAGACGTCTCACTCAGCAGAAGCCAAATTTCGATCGTCAGGGAAAGGAGATCAAAGGTGTTGGGTACTGGTTTAGCTTTGTCTTTGGACTTGGGGCGAATAGTCTGAAGGGAGCGATTGCGAGGTGGGTAGTCGTTGCTCTTGTGGCTGTCGGTTTTAAGAAGGCCCAAGGAAACAGCTCATTGCCTCCATGGCTTAGATAGAAGAGGGACGATTGGTTCAAAAGTCGATATGAGTGCGAAGTTGGACCATGTATGATTATTAAGCACTCTTTTGGGCTTGGAGCAATGTTTACGGGCCAGGAAGCACTGGGGACAGGAAACTCCTTGTCTTGTCACACGACACAGTTTTGATATTTGTCAAGCAATCTTTGTTGCATATCGGATTCCATCCACAATATCCTCGGGGCACATCTCCATCTTGATTCCTAATAAGACTACGTCTAGTACTGGACTATGAATATACACCCCTATCTTCTCATGCAGGTCGCTTACTCCCGAGGAGAAGCTTCACCACTGACTGGTTGATGCAAAGTTGCCACCCGTGAAAATTACGCAGTGGATGATAGTCTTGGAACGGAGATCGCTTTGGCTTTGTTGCACATCGTAACGGGTGCATCCGCTCCTCGGAGTTGGGGAAGTGGTGACAGCCTGAGTTTCGTGAAATATGATATCACGTGCCCAGAGGTATTGTCTTCAGGACGGTTGGTTAAATGGGCACTGTGTCGTTCCGGGGAGAGACCAGATGGAACCTAATCTTTCTTGAACGTTTTTAAAGATCCCGGGGCTGGTTAAGCTTAATGTGGCACTTTTCGCCCCTTCGCCGCCAAGCAACCACTTTGACCATCAATATTCGCCTCTTACATTTTGCACACTGGAAATTCCGTTGAGCAAAGAAGTATCCTATATCTGTGTATCTATTTTCTATAAATATCAATCGCTCCTACTTATACGCCACTCCGATGCATCCTATATTACAAAGTCCCCCAGCACCACATTTACTGTGCGACAACCACACCCCGATATCTCATCTTCCCATCCTCCAACTTCTTCATACTCTCCTCAATACCCTCAACAGTCATGGGGAACTGCTCAATAATAGGCCTAATCTGGTGATGCGCCGCAAAAGACAACATCTCCCGATGCACCTGCCTGGCAGCAACTAGCGATCCCTGAATCTTCAACTCGCCTGCAAGGATAGGCATATATGGGATCTTCAAGTCCTCTGGCGAGACAGTGAGAGGATAGATTGTTCCGCCAGGTGCCATGATGGGCAGGAATTGCTTCCAGTCTGGCTGGAAAGAGGTGGTAACGAGGAGGTGATCGATGGTGCTGGAAACACGAAGCTCTTTGGCGCCTTTCGTGGCGATGAATTCATCAGCTCCGAGTTTGAGGGCTTCGTCTTTCTTGTTGTCTGTGCTGGAGAAGACGACGACTTGGCAGCCCATCTTTGATGCGAATTGGATGGCGAGATGTCCGAGTCCGCCTACACCGATTATGCCAACGCGGTCTGTGGCCTTGACGTTGAAGGAATGTAAGGCATTGAAGACTGTTGCTCCGCCGCACATCAGCGGTGCTGCATACTCGCGCGGGATTGAAGAGGGAATGTTGTAGATGTAGTCGGCTTTCCAGATGGCTTTCGAGGAGAAGGAGCCTTGGTCATGGTTGGCGTACCCGTACATTTGCCGCTCAGCGCACATTGTCTCGTGGCCGGTGAGGCATTGTTTACAGTGGCCGCAGCTCCCGGTCTGATATCCCCATCCTACTGAATCGCCCTGTCGAAAATTCTTGACTGATGAACCGACTTCCTGGTTAATGATTAGCTTGAGTAGCCTCATGAACTGAAGGGATCTTGCCTCGACAACCCCTGCACCTTCATGTCCCAGTGCCATGTCTGTGTGCTTATAATGCTCATCTGTACCGCAAACACCAGAGTGGGTGACTTTGATGAGAACCTCATCTGGTTTGAGCTCCTTCTGGGTCGTGCTTTTGATAATCTTCCCCTGCTTCGAACCTTTGAAGATTGTGAATTCAACCATGACTGTGTTTTCTTGATTTGACTGGATTGGAAATTCGGTTGTGTAAAGAAGTAGTGGAAGATTGTAAAGTGGATTCTTGCTGCCCGAAGAGAATTGTGAGGTGAAAACCGCGAACTACTTATACGAGGAAACACACTTGACGATAACAACAAACCTTCGGAGATGATGAGATCAACAAAATACATTTTCGGAGCTTCGATCCATGATTTTTAAGCAGCCCCATTATCATGCTGTCACAGTTGAAGAATTATCCATGCCATGTCGGGGTCAGGCAGAGAAAAAATCTAGAACCACACAAAGACCCACCAGCAACCACACAAGTGACATCAATTGGCCACGGCAACCCGTCTGATGGGTCCGAAGAGAGGGGTTCCGGCAGTCTTTCGCGATCTGGTCCACATTGAGAACAGACATGGATAATATGGCACTGAATCGCATGCTCTCACGTCGCTTCCCTCGATTCGACACCAAAGAAGTGACGTCTCTAGTGTTTCGCTTCGATAAAGGAGATTTTTTTTATCGCCGAAAGGAATAGTGAGTTACCGTAGTGGTTTCTGTAGAGAGATTCACACCCCACAAACCCTGAAATTGGATTTGAAACTTCCATAAAATTTCTGTGTGAGCAGAAATATGTTATCTGGAACCCTGTAATTGTTGCAAGCAGCTTCATTGTTCGTGAAATTCTAGCAGAAAGCCATCCGAAATAGTTGCTTCATTGTCAGACCGTCAGGGATGCGGCCGCAGGAGTGGTAGATGCGCCGCATACGGAAAGCCGTAATGCCAGCGAGATCTATTAACGATTACTGATTCACGATTACTATTCACCAAAAATTCGGCCGCAGCCAAGATACCTCATTTTGCGTGCGCAAGCATTATCGCACTCGTATATATATAGCTCATAGAGAAATCACTAAAACGAAGCTATTCGCAATTGCTAATCGCATTAGTATTTATATTCGTCTCCGCTATAAAATCTCTAGTCCCCCCTTTTTTCTCGACTACTACACACGAAAGGGATAGTCTACACCAAGAAAGCCTTGTCCACAGCCCCAGACTAGCCTAGCATGACTGCCTTTCGGATCTCCAGGCCATCCGCCTCGGGAGAAAGCCCGAAAACTCCCCTTCTGGATCTCAATCCGGTTATTGCTCCTCCAGGATAAGTAGTTTAATGTTCAGGGACGGACTCCGGCCGTAGACGCTGACGCTTAAAGGAAGAGGGACAGGAACCATTCTACCAAAGTATCCTTTTCGTTTGTAAACACGCCTGATATTGCCTCTAAGCCTTAATATGCCTCTATAACCTAAGCCTCTTGATAATATAAATAAACCCAAGTGCAAAAATGCCCGTTAGGATATGTCCCTAATATCTCCTTAACCTAGCTAAAGGTATGCGTTATTAGCGCATAAGGGTTAGACTCCCTTTATTAAACGAGCGAAATAAGGTACCGATTTCTTATAAAGTCTTAGTCGATTAGAGACGGGCGGGCAAATCTTGTGTATTGACATTGAATAATAGAGGAGATACGGTGTCTCGAGTCGGAGCGGTGGCGGTAGTAAAGGAGGAGATTCTATTATTGTCACTAGTTCGGGACTCAATCCTAGCCTTGTACTCCTCCAAAGAGATAGAGCAGTCGGTCCACCGATTGCTCCAGGTTACCAGACCGCACCACGAGGAGGTGTTGAGTCGCCGCGGTCCGGGGTGAATAGTAATCGTTGATCAGTAATCGTCAAACAGAATCGCTAAATCTCGCAGGCACATCTGATCCTTACGGCTTTCTCCAGCCGCAGCTTTCGTGCTTCTTACCTCGGTCTCATGAAACACGAATAGAATCGTAGTTTTCTTCCCTCATTATTGACAGCTGGCTGCTCTGTAATAGTGTCAATAGAAGCTGCTACATGCGGAAATCTAGACCAGCCGGGCCCGAAGGAATTTGGAAAGTGTTTTGTTCGGACAATGGACCAACTATGTACCGCTCAACATCTCCAGAACTCTCTTTCCCATGTCTCCTCCAAGGTACGTGGTACTCTCGCCCGGATTCTCATCATCAACCATGACAGCGGCTTCATAGCCCCTCATGACCATATCTTCATCGACCCTCAACCCCTCTTCTACAAGCAATGTAATAACGCCTCTGATCCTCGCAATTTCTCTTCTTGTCTCGGCAGGAATTTCGTCGTTTTGACTCGAATAGATGGTACTGCTGACGTTCTCCTCAATCCTCGTGATGGCAGTATCACCTCCAGCGACTTCGACGTGTTTGCTGATCCAGATGTAACCATTAACTCCCAATATCACATCGACCTTTCCCCCGCCATGATCAGTATCGATTGTCCATACTTGCCTCCTAGCTCTGACCACACCTCCTCCACCGCCTGTTCCGCTGACACTGATAAATACTCCATTCCTCAGCTTCCCATACTTCAAACTCCTCGTGTGTAAACTGGCGCTTCCATCTTGATACAGACTCTGTACCTCCGCTACCAATAGGTCGCCTTCGCTGAAGAATGTCCTGATTTGCAATTCGTCTGTCTCTGTTCTCTTCCGCAGGATGCCTCCAGGCAAGTTGATGGCTGAAAGTGGAAGACCAGCCAGTACGGGAGCTCCAACGTCAACGCGCCAACGCTTGGATTGTACTTCGATTATACGCCCTACGACCAAGTCGCCAATTTCGGGGGTATAACGCGCTCGTAAGGGCCGGACAGAGAGAAGCTTGTTTGTCTTTTGGACTGTGCCTGCTACCGTTGCAATGATTTCTGTGCTGGAAGGCGCAATGTATGTGCCATGACCTCTTGAAATGTAGTTAGTAAAACAACTACATACGAAGGCATTGAGATGTATACCTCATCCATTGCGGATCATCTGTGACCGTCTCTCCAGGTGTTACGATATCCTTGCCTCGCCGAGCTCTTTTTGAAGGTCGCATATCAGAATCCCCTTCCAAATCAACACCGCCATTCTCATCATCATCATCCGCGTCATTCCTTGTTTGATAAGGAACAGTAGGAGCTGGGGCCAGAATCGTGATTGCCATGGTTGCTGGGGTTGAAGTTGAAAAAACCACAAGGCTGAGTTGGGGAATTTTTGGTAGCCGGATCGGAGAAACATGTCTCCATCTCTACAGGTTACAGGGGTATAATTGCAGGCATTACCGGCAGTCCAGCGTTTTTGACGAATCGCTCAGGCGCTGAGCGGGTCGAGAACGAGGCCATTCAGCTTGGTGGAAGCAAGAAACTTCAGGAAGACAAGTAATCATCGCACAGAAGGCGTTGAAGTATTGTAATCTATTTATTGTCTTTGCATGCTATAAAAGTATTCATTTCAAGATACCGCACTCAATATTCAAATTGCGCGGCTTTGTGATGCCGTTGCCAACACTCTCCTTCCATCTTGGCTTCCTCTTTATGAGCGCTACGATTCTCACGCAGGTACAGTAGAGACTCCCCTTCAACATGTCTTTGACCGACAAGGGTACGCATTGGCGCCCTGTTTAATGATTCAGTCAAGGACGATAGGGCTATCGAGGGTCAGGGAGGAGTCGAGTATCGAGAGCATGGGATGAGAAGGTATGAGCCCAGTCCTCGTTTCCGATGCATGACTTTGCTATTGAGCTAGGGCCAGTTCGTAGGATTCGTAATTCCAGCCATTGTTTCAACGGGACCGATCATGGAGCTGACGGGGGATATTGGACTCGGCGTTGGATGTGGTCTGCCCTGAGCCGGGTTGGTGGTATTTTCTGCTTTCGCTGTGCTTTTTTTTTACAAAGTGATCCTGGGAAAAAGAGAAGGCCGAGTGGAGATCCAGGGAGGCGAAGTGTGCGGGAGCATTGGAGGAATAGGACACCACGATTTAAAACCATGACACACCCCTTTCAAAGCTGCTGTCCTGAAGTGGGGTATGCTGTCTAGTTGACGAGTCTCCAAAAGCCCATTCCCGCGAGTGTAAGGGCGATTCCGGTAATTCCAGCTTGTCGACTCTTCAACCCGAATAAGCTCTTGCTCTGTAGGATCTTGGCCTGTTGTGCTCTGAGCTGGGAGTGTCCAGAGAAGTAGCTGTAGACACCAAGTCCCATAAACGCAGCGGCCCCTAAATGATGGTCAACAAAATTTGGGTGCTAGACGAAAGCCAGCTTCTTCCTACCAGTGATTCTGCAAGGCAAGCAGTCTTCAAATTTGTCCTGCGCGAGAACTTCTTTGAGCGGTTCAGGTCTTGAAAGCGCCTCTATGCGAGGAGTGCTCGAGCTTGCCATCGTGGGTGAGCGCCAAGTTACTGTAATGACTGTGTTGGTGTAGAAAGAAGATTTGGGGGCTCATGAAATGAGCTTCATGGCTGAGGCGGCCGCATTTGACACCCCACGTACGTCTGGTGCAATCATGATCTACCAACAGCACACCCCAATCTAAACACTCTCCGCGCATCAAATGATTCAATAGCAGCAAGAACCAACAATGAACGGGGCTATAGAGGCTCTGTACATTTATGATGAACACAAGTAAGCAGAATTGCCCCTGTGATATTTCAATAGCTGACTGTCAAGCCGGCCAATTCTCGCCCATCCCTATACCTCGCGACCTCTTACCGCACCCCAACTTCTCCCTTTATACCTAGGACAACCTACTCCTCGGCCGAACCTAATATACCTTCCGAATACCTCTCCACCAACTCTTGTCTTCAGCCTCATCCACTGCCACCTCCTCTTCCTCCTGACCTCCTCCACCGAAATCGAGCCTCTGCTCGCGCTGGAGTTCCTACACCGGGTCATAGATGTATTTGAGGAGTTTATTGGGGCGCCATTATTGGCCCACAAGGTGGAAAGCAGCTATGATGTCGTGGCCCAACTTTTAAATGAGATGTGTGATGCTGGTGCAGTGAGCACGACCGAGCCAAATGCTTTGAGAGACGTAGTAGAAGTTGAAGGGTGGATTGGGAAATTATTAGGAGGAATCAATATTCCTGGGTGGGTAGCTTTACTGGGGTTTAATTTCTAAACTAATCTCTGTCGACAGAAAACCAGGTTTCTCAGCGCCCTCAAATATGTCCGCCATATCTTCGACCGGTTCATTGGCAGCAAATACTCCTGCTTTGCCATGGCGAAGAGCAAATGTGCGGCATACCTCTAATGAGCTGTATGTGGATTTAGTTGAGACACTTTCAGTCACCTTGGCACCTTCGGGACGGCCTCTAGCAGCTTTTGCGAATGGTACCATTGCCTTTACATCAAAAATATCAGGTGTTCCGGATTTGCTGTTGAACCTTTCAACGCCATCCGGAAGGCAAAACATCAACAGCGTTATGGAGTTACCGGTCTTCCACCCCTGTGTAAGATTAGCAAGATGGCGGGAAAAGCCAGGAGAATTGAGTTTTGTTCCGCCGGATGGAAGGTTTGTCCTCGCTGGTTATGAGGTTGATTTACTGCCACTTCAGAATGGTAAAGTTGGCATTACTAATTCTTCGAACTTGAAATTGCCTGTCAATGTGGAAGTAAAGACAAGTCTTGGCCCCACAGGTTCGGACTTTGAGGTCAGGCTGTTCATTACCAAAGTCTCCGGCCAAGGAAACTCCTCAATTTCAGGATCTTCCTCCCGAAGCAGCAGTCTTCCCGGAGGTCGGAGTGGATCAGGCTTTGGAGGCCTTGGTGGGAGTCATGTAGGAACCTCTTCGACACCAGCTTTGGAAGATCTAGTCGTCACGGTTCCTCTGCCATCCGATGTAAGGAATCTATCCGAAATCCGAGCAAGTCGAGGCGATACTACCTATAACCCCGGCGAGAGGAAACTAGAATGGAACATTCCAGCGAAGGAAGCTGTTGCAGGTGGAGCTACGCTGCGATGTACTCTGGTTGGACCTCTTTCAGATGACGAAGACTTTGATGCGAATGGATTCAGACTCGATGGGGGTTATAATTACGAGGAGGAACCGTATCAGAGTCACCCTGTCGCAGCTCCTAAAACGGAGATGACGGTCGTACAAAAAGATTCTAAGAAGATTGCACAAAACAAGATTCTTATGCCGAGCTCGGCAATGGTCAGCTTCTCTGTCAAGGGTTGGTTGGCATCTGGAATCAAGGTCGAAAGCCTGGTGATTGATACGAGGAAAAGTCGAGGCCTGGGAGAAGGCGTCAAGCCCTATAAAGGGGTGAAATACTTGACTGTTAGCAGAGGTGGTGTTGAGATTCGATGTTGAAGATTTCCATGGACTCGGCGTCAGGAGGGCGTGGCACAACGGCGCACAGCGTGACGAAATCCCATTTGGAAGATACAAGGAAAGTCTTCGTCATGAATTCTATTGAGATCGGTGTTACATATAATTCTCGCCAATCTCCGTTCCTCTCCAAACAAACTCTAATTCCTCGAGGATCGGTGCAAGGATTATACATTAGAGAAACCCACCTCCGTCTCAGCTGCCCAAGCCAAGATAGATAGATACGAGCAAGTGCCACGTCGTGACTAGCCAACAAGGTCGTCCAGACCTCATTATTTATTAGGCTTGTTCCTTTTCTTGGCTTTGTTTTCGACCTCTTCGTCCTCGATCGAAGGGGTGAGATCGGACTGGAGTATAGTGGGGACAGCGAATCCACATAGAAACGTCCTCATGTTGTCTCCCAGACCCCTGCCTAATGGATCAATATCAGAATCGTCGGAATCAGCGGCTTGGGCCCGCAAATTCTCCTCGGTCAATGCAGCGAGCACTGGAAGCTTATTTTGAACGCTGTCATTTCTCTGGGGCGTGTTGGGCTCACTGTTTCTCCTTACTGGAACCCGCGGCTCCTGTCTGCTAGGCTGTTGACCACTGTTACCTGTTGGCCTTCGTCGGACTGGATCGGTTCCATTTCTTTCGAGCGGTTTGCCTTGAGGACCAGAACCGGCAATGGCGGGAGAATTTGGCCAAGCAGGTCGTCGCTGGTGGAGAGGGCCGAATGCCCGCAGTCGCCTCGCCTCATTCTCACGCTTGACTCTGTCTGCATTTACCTTTTTCTCGGCCTCTTCCGCCTTTCTCCGCTTTTCAGTCTTCACTTGTTCGCGTTGACGCTCAGTTTCCCTAGTTTTGGAAGCGTGCTGCTGCTCCATTGCTCGTTGACGGATGTCCCGTTTTAGTTGACGGATAGCTTCTCTCTCTCTTGCTTCTTGTCTAATTTTCTCGGCTGCCTCTCGTTCACGTTGACGAACAGCTTCTTGCTTCTTCTTCTGCTGAACTTCCTCCAACTTGCGAGGAGCAGCCACTGCCTGCTCTTCAGCTCGCCGTCTTTGTTCAGCACTCTTCCATTTTTGCTCTTCTTCTCGCCTTTTTGTTTCAGCAGCCAGTCTTACTTGTTCGTTCTTCTCTCTTAACATCGCATCCCAATCTACGGTTGGCTGCTTCTGGACTTTCTTTGCCATAGACTCTCGCTGCAACCTTTCATATTCCTCGGTTTGCAGGTTCCCTCGTTGCCCTAACTGATTTTCAGCTCGTGACGATAGCGATGTGTTGTTCCGAGCTTCCTTGGTCCACTGTGGGGGAATCGGTGGCACAGGTGGAAACTTCTCTCGAGGTCGGTTCACTTGTTCATTCGACGCCCGAGGCCTGTCTTCTCTCAGATGATTCGTTCCCCTCTGGTTTTCTTGTCTCTTACGAACAAGCACACTATCTGATCTTCTTGGAGACCTTTCCCTGCCACCACCTCCGGGAGTGATGGCAACATCTCGGGATTGACGAGGACTCGGCAGGTTACCTTCCGATTTTCGACCTCGATTTGGTCCTTCGCCATTGCTGATCTTCCGAGCTAGCTTCTCGGCCATTACTATTTTGTGGCTATTAAGATGCGTGTGGATGGGTCTTCGACTACTCTCGTCGTAGGATTTCCTGCGTTTCCGTTCTCCCTCGTTAGGGTCTGGACTCCAGCTGCGAGGATGTGGTTGGTTGAATGAAGACCGACGCTCTCGAGCTTGTTCTCTGTCCTCAATATAATTGTCGAGCTTATCCCGTATCTTCTTGAGGAACTTTAAGGATCCCATAATTCCATGATACTAATGTTTGGGTGTCGTATCCTTTATGCTTGGGATCAATGTCCCCTTGGATTCATTCTCACTTCTCGTCTCCTGAGCTGAAATAGGGAATAACCTTTGTCTGTGAATCCTGTGCTGCCAGCAATGGCAGGAGATACTGTTCGATTTGGAAGCGGCTAACGGTCAGTGATTCATCTATCACATTCTCGAGGCGCCTCAAGCCATTGCCATATGGGTGAAGTGACCTCATCATAAGGCGGGAAAGTTTCACTTCAGATATTGGATAGAAAGGGAAGAACGTGCTAGAAGATAGGAGCCTAGTTATTCCAATTTCTAAGCTAATATCTCGCAAAATTTGTTGTACAAATGCCTTTCGGGGACATGGATTATGGAGGTCAACGGCGGGAGGGCCGTCTTTGAGAGCGACGAGAACTCGGATAACCGCTTGGAGGCGACATTCCCTCAATATAAGTTCTCCGATTATCAAACAGCTCCGCCCTTTCTGTCGGCACTCTTGCCGTACTGGCATGCGATGCTTCACTAGCAGCTATGGCAGAGGGTTCCGTGGTCTGACCAGCGCTCATTTGTGAAGCTCTTTGTGCCGGACGCTGCGGAGAGACATTTTCCAATTGAGCAAGTGCGATTTCGGTTTCTGTTCTCTCATCCTCTGCCTGACTTTGTCGAGGAGGAGGACGACCCGGTTGTGGGCGCTGGTTAGAATTTTGAGAGGGTCTTGGGCGTTGGGGGTCTTGTGTAGCGTATGGAGGAAGCGAAACCTGGACGCCATCTTGAGAACCTGCTGGCTGCGCAGAAGAAGGTCGAACGAGTCTGGGGCGGATAGCTCCCTGTACGTCTTGTGGTGAGCTTGGAGGTCTGGGTATCAACCCGGGAAGGGGTTGTCCGCCGGAAACGAGATCGGGCATGAAATTTGCGCCCGAGCCAGGGTAGTTGATTTCCATTTCCCTCTGAAGTCGTCGTTCATATTTCTCGATATCCCGAGCTGGGGGGTAATATCTTGATGACTCTTGGTTCTCCTTGAAATCCTTCTTTGCTTCCTCGCTGAAACCTCGAAATAGCATGTCAAGCCAGTTGTGTACCGTGTTATGGGGTCTGTTGCTCTTTTTTCCCATCTTGATGGTTCGGTGATCCGATGCTCTTTCAGAGCCGTGGTTTGTGATATTAGTGGTGAGCCAAGAGTTCTCTGTGAGAAAGGTTTACTCCTCGACTTAATTGTGCCTTGGGGGAGGAACCGAAGAAGTGGAATGAAACTTGAAATTTATGTCGCCGCTGAGGGAGTAATTCGTTACTAGTGCTGTTAATCACCAAGGAGTAAGCATCTTTCTGTTGCATCATATAGACAACATAAAGTTCAATAGACTTCAAGTGACTTGGGCCAGCAGCTGCTGTCATTCAAAGCCTGTTAGTGATCTTCGCATTCCTGGTAAGCACGACCCTTGAACACTACACTAGAGCAATAGCCAGCAAATCACGGGATATGTGGAACTGGGAGAAATGTCTTGCACAAGGAAAGCAAGACTTCCGAATTTGATAGGTTTAGTTTGATCCAAGAACTACTTGATTGCCTTGTGATCTAACATACTCCTTACTTCACGGAAAGCGGACCCGAGTAGTAGGAGGAAGTACAGACCGAAGCTGGGTCGGGAACCTCAGTCCCTCGACATATGTCCCTTGAGGGTTCCCTAACGGAGCAAACACTGTTGGCACTCTTGTCGAGCATGTCTGTGAGCCTCCACTGACCGGTCCACACGGTCGTTTGGAAGTGGTTTCTGTAACCCCCCGCTGGGGCAGGGTAGATAGGAGGGTAACTCATCTGGGTTTTCCCTTTGTTTAGCGTTAATTGCGGGCTAGGGTGTTCTAATTTAACAATCACTCTTTGTGTGTTGATTGGTAGAAATGAGTTTGTTTTGGTAATCGTGCGTCAGGACTTGCACTAAATCCCCTACGTCCCTGCGGGTTTAGTGCGTATCAGCGATACGGTCAAAAATCAGCGATACGGTCATTTTTTTAGAACACTAATTTTCGGAATTTTGGTGAAAATCAAAGAAAAATATTTTATAGTTTATATAGAGTTTGTACTATAATTAATAATTGAAATTCTCTTACTTTTACATCGCATGTGCATGCAGTATAAAATGCTGGAAATATTACACACTTTACCTCATCGGCGACCCCCCCAAAATGCTTCGATTCTAAGAAATCAATTAATTACACAACCACCATGTCTTAATTCGTGTACCCAATAATTGTCTCCTTCCCATTAGTAGCTAATCTAACTATATTACCAAAGCCATTATTATAAAATGAAGGGGAAGGGGGGAGTGGCTTGACAAAACCAAGCTCTCTACCTAGCATTTATCATTATGCGCAAATATGCGTCGCCTGGTGGGTGGACGCGCTCTCTCCCAGAATCTTATTAGCCATCCCCCGCACTCTCTTGAGGTTAATATTATGGCCTAAACAGATCAAAAAATCAATAAACTGCTTTAGGGCATTTTCCTGATTACGATAAAGGGCCTTGTTGAAGCCCCCTTTGGTGTTTTGTGGTAATCGGCCAGCGAGCCGCGCTTTCCAGAGGCGTAATTTGACCCTGAATTAACGCGCAATCGCAGATTTTTGACGTGTGGGTTCCTGGCATAGAAATCGGAGGCCTGGGCCATCCTTTTCTCTTCTTCTGGGTCGAATTTGGCCATGGTGTTGATATTTAATTAATTAAAATCGATATAATGGTAAAAAAAAAGACCGTATCGCTGATTTTTGACCGTATCGCTGATACGCACTAAACCCGCAGGGACGTAGGGGATTTAGTGCAAGTCCTGACGCACGATTAGATAAAGTAGATAATTTCAAATTCGGCGTCGTGCAAGCGAAGTTACATACGAAGGCGACGGGCGAAAAAAACCGGCCACCTGCCAAATCGCGAGGAACACCAAAATCGCTACCTGTGGAAAATCACACTAAGGTTCAATACAACATCTAAACTCTTTACTTTTTAATTTGTATAATAGAAAAGAAGCAGATCTATCTTTTACAACAATTTTGCTGGAATTAAATTCAAATTACAATTACGACAAATTTTTTATCGCATGGCTAAGATTGCGCAAATTCTCGCTTAAGGGATTTGGACGGTTTTTTTCGCCCGTCGCCTTCGTAAGCAAGCACGAGGTGCTTGAGAAGGCAGTAGCTAGCCTAGGTAGACTCAAGGAGATAACTTCAGTAATCAGGAGTCTCTATCGTTCGAATACCATTTGGACATTGAAAATAAATGCGAGTATTTGAATTCAGAGGAACCTATATATCGGAAGAAATTTTGTCTTGACAAGTCCTGCAGAAGAAAGCAACGATTTCTGTTATTAATTGGGTGTTTTGGTGTTTTGCCATTCATCGGCCTCTCATTTGACTCATCTCTGAGAGTATCTCAGCAGTTCTGTTCCACTGCCACCACCGATACCATTCCGCCCCTCTGGGTTGCTGATTGTGCCACGAGTCTGTCCCCATCCAATCTGATCTCGTCTTCCCTCCATGCGTATATCATTTGCATCCTCACCCAGCGCATCCCGTGGCATAAAATTGGCAGCAGGAGGAACCGAAGGTGCTTCAGTCTTGTATGCCGGAGGTCGCTCTATGCCGTGCTCGTCTCCGTGCTCGGGGGGGGGGGGGAAACTTGGATGTGGAGATGTAGGTTGGCGGCTTTGTACCTCCTCCGGCTATGTATAGTGCTGTTTGTGGGGATGCGGAAGCAGGAGCGGTGATCTGTTGTGGAGGTCTTCGCGGTCTTTGAGGTATTGCACGTTCTTGGTTCTCAGTCCAAACGGCGAAGTCGCGGACAGCTACCCCGGTGGGAGGTTGTTGGATCGAGTTTTCTCTAGACAACCTGTGTGTAGCGATTCTGCGTTCAAAGGGTCTAGACGGAGCAACTCGGCTTACGCTTGCTCGGGGGTTTGTTCTGGTGGAGTAAAAAGAGCCAACGGAAGGAGCTCCAGATGCTTGTTTTGCATGATTTGTCGAAGTCAATCTGCTCGACGCATTTGATTGTCAGGTTGGTTCTGCTGCCGGGCCAGGTGGTGGAACTAGATGGCCCAGTTGAGAAAGAGCTATTTGGGTGTCTGTTCTCTCATACCCCATCTTAGCTTGACCCTCGGGATGAACTGGTGCAACGAAATCTTGAGTGTGATGTGAGATCGTTGGTCCTCTGATGGTCTGGGAAGCGACGACATCGTCACAGAGATCGAACAACTTCTCCTTCCTTTCATCTCGGCGTGTATCTGATTCCAGGCAATTCAGAATTATTGCCAGAACTGGCGGAGCTTTTCGGACCTCCTGGAGCCATTTCCAGCGTTCGTCCTTTGAGGGCGATGAATTTATGCGTACGAGACTCGAATTGGCATGTTCAGATGCAGAAACTCGATCACGCAGGTCCTGCAAACCGAGACCGAACTCATCGCCATCGGGGCTTTATACAAGGCTATTAATTTCCGCAACTTTCGGTCCACTAACTCGAACCATAGAGTCCTGCTGATATCTACGTCACCGAACTTCTCTCTTCCACTGCTCCCACGCTGCAGTTGATGCACGCTGGCCTTCCTGATACTGTTTCTCCGTCTCGTAATACCTTCGAGGAGTCTATCAGTGATATTAGAGCTGCTGCTGCTGCTGGTTGGATAGGGAGCTTACATCCATAGGCTCATCGGAACTTCTTCTTCTTAGGAACGGTTCCCCATGACACTTTCCGTACCTTCCACAACGGGTGACCAGATGAAAATCCATTTCGCGCCAGATGGAAGCTTGAGTGAAAGGGGAGTGGAGTCGTTGGTGAGCCCCTTAGCTGGGTGGATGCTGTGATAGTTTTGAACCAGAGAAGACTGAACAAGTGAGGTAGGAACGACACTTGATCCCTTCACATGAAAGGGTGGATTAGATGCACCATACAATCAGATTTACGGATGACTCAATAATCGAAAACTGATGGGAAGCACTGACTCCCATAGTCATTTTATTTGTGAACTGTATTGAAGAGAACTAGCAGAAAGAAAAACCTTCAGTCGAGAGCGAATTTCACTTACTCAACCAATAAAGAAAGGAATTGTTTAAGGATTCAGGAAATCCGAATTTATTGTTAGATTACCAGGCCAGTTCACAAACTTGGATGGACTTGACCAAATCCTCTACCCCCAGGTGTCTGACGCCTTGCAATGCTGTCTAACGCACCGACCATGACCCAGCAACCGATCCCAAGTCTCTGCAAATGTGTCGTGAATCATCGTTCCGTGAGGAGTAAAATATCGCTGATGCTCCTTAAATGCTACCAGAATGTGACAACAAAAGCTCCCAATAAACAGCAGGGTGGTGATGCACCACTGGGTATCGCAGAACGGGAGACAAAATGTGGATCGCTATGCGAATCTTCCTCGCTTTCCACCCCCACCAAAGCCATCCTTGCCCAAATTTCCAATATCGAAAAATTCTCCAAAGTTGATCTTGCGTTTCTGCCCCGCACCTCTGCCTATCGAAGCCGTATTCCTGGAATTGATCCGTGCTGAGTGGTTATTGTGTCTTGTTCGTGAAGGCCGGGTAATTGTGATGCCCGACGACGCAGTATTTGAAGCGTGTGACGTGACAGAGCCGTCATGACTTTGAGCTCGAGCATTGTCTGCAATTTCGAGGTCTGACAGGATAATATCTGCATCCTGAGGATACGAATGCGATGATCGGAATGTGAAAGTGCTTTGGGGAGGAACAAAATTGACAGGTCCCTCTTCGGTAATTGGCGTGATGACTGTAGGTGGCGGCGCAGATTCTGTTCGTGCTGGAGATGCTGTCCTGGCCGGCCTCGATGCAGAAGATAATCGAGTGGCACTTTGTGATCTTTGAAGGATGGGGGATGATCCTCGCTCTAGCTTCTCCGAATTCTCATCGTCGCTCTCCATGTGCTGAGATATCGAGTCTCGACCGTCCAGTCTTTCTGTGGCCCATCGTCGAATCCTCCATCCTTCCCCATCACTCAAACCAATGTCTTCTTTGTCTAGGAACGCCAGGAGTTCATCTAACGCATCTTGGTAGCCTTCTGCTCGTGCCCTTCCCTGATCTGCTGCGGCGCTTTTATAGAGGTTCGTGACGGACAAGGCAGCGGCCTTGAAGGCTGTAAGAAGCTGCTCGGAAGGCTCTCCCATCTGCTGCTTGGCTGGAGTAGTGCCGGGAAGAGATGTATTCAGACTCCTCATGGAGTCCATGCTTGTTGTGTTTGTGGTGATCGACCGTAACCAAGGTCTGTCGGCAGGGCTTGTCGGAAGCCTGCAGGTCAAAGATCCGGTTGTAGCAGTCTTGCGATGGCCCAGGCGAGGTGGGTATAATGGATTGAACAAAGGAGCCAAGAAGCCCAAATACTATGGCTATTGAAGCTGAGACCAGATTTTGTTGTATCGGTGTGTCTGGGTGAATAAGATTGGTGTTGTTCACCCCGCAGCATTTCCTTCCACAAACGACTTCCGCTACGGTTGCGCTAAGCCCTTTTTAGGCGACATCGCTCTTCCCTTAACGTTTATGTCGACGCGTTCCAAAAAGAACCTCTCCTTCTAAGTTCTTCAACACCCGTCCACAACGCCATTCCCTGGACAGTATTCTATCACCAACGCGATCGGGTCATTGCACCTAGCTACTGGGAACATTCTTGAGGCAGCATAAGGCTCCCTCCTTTGTGCTCTTACTCCCCTCCTGGGTTGGAGTCTGACAACATGGCTCCACGCTCATCTCGCGCAAGTGGCGCCGATACCGATACCTCTATGGCGGATGAACCCATTCGACAGCTTCCAGTTGACCCAATGGTGAGTAGTACAAAGTCTCTTGCCCTATTTGAATTGTCCCAGAACTTTTGGAACTATTACCTGAGACTCATTGGGCGGGTGTACAGACATGGACCACTAACATTCACCCATAGGATGTCGACGAGACTCCAGATTTTACAGAAGACTCCGATACCAATCCAAACACCACCGCCAGCAGTGTTGTCGGTGAGCCTCTCAACACCGACGGGCGCAAGCGACGTTCCGAGGCAACCCAACTCCGTAGAAGTGTTTTTGGAAAAAAACACGATATTCTTGGCGAATCTAAGGTACGTTCCGGAATATTTGCCAGCCCATGGCCTTGCCGGAACAATCTCTGACAGACTCCCAGGAAGATGACTCCATCAGACGTTTTCGATATCTCCTTGGCTTAACCGACCTCTTTCGACATTTCATCGAGACAAACCCCAATCCACGCATTAAGGAAATCATGATTGAGATCGATCGCCAGAATGCGGAAGCTGAAAAGGCTAAGAAAGGCCGTGATAGACAAGGAGGAGCTGCGAATGAGAGACGTCGCAGAACCGAGGCTGAGGAAGATGCAGAGCTGCTGAAGGACGAGAAAGCTGGTGGCTCTGCCGAGACAGTATTCCGAGATTCCCCAGGATTCATCAAAGGTGGTGAGATGCGTGATTACCAAGTTGCTGGTCTCAACTGGCTCATATCTTTGCATGAGAATGGTATTTCTGGTATTCTCGCAGACGAAATGGGTTTGGGAAAGACTCTACAGACAATTGCCTTCCTTGGATACTTGCGACATATCATGGGTATCACAGGCCCGCATCTCATTACCGTCCCAAAGTCGACACTTGACAACTGGAAGAGAGAATTTGCGAAATGGACCCCAGAGGTCAATGTTCTGGTCCTCCAGGGAGCCAAGGATGAGCGTCACAATTTGATTAACGAGCGTCTTATCGATGAGAAGTTCGATGTCTGCATTACGAGTTACGAGATGATTCTGCGAGAAAAGGCACATTTGAAAAAATTTGCTTGGGAGTACATTATAATTGACGAGGCAAGTTGCGTCTTTAGGCGGTTAGGTACAATATTCTAACTCTTTCAAGGCCCATCGCATCAAGAACGAGGAATCGTCTCTTGCGCAAGTTATCCGCTTGTTCAATTCTAGAAATCGTCTGTTGATTACGGGCACGCCTCTTCAGAACAATCTCCACGAACTCTGGGCCTTGCTCAATTTCCTCCTTCCTGATGTTTTCGGTGATGCTGAGGCTTTCGATCAGTGGTTCTCAGGTCAAGGAGAAGACCAGGATACTGTCGTCAAGCAACTGCATCGTGTGCTTCGTCCCTTCTTGCTCCGACGTGTCAAGAGCGACGTTGAGAAGAGTTTGCTTCCTAAGAAGGAAATCAACCTGTATATCGGCATGTCTGAAATGCAAGTTAAGTGGTATAAGAAGATCTTGGAGAAGGATATCGACGCTGTCAATGGAGCAGGCGGAAAGCGCGAATCGAAGACGAGACTTCTCAACATCGTTATGCAGCTTCGAAAGTGTTGCAACCACCCTTACCTCTTCGAAGGCGCCGAGCCTGGACCTCCATACACCACCGATGAGCACCTCGTTGTCAACGCAGGCAAGATGGTCATGCTCGATAGACTTCTTGTCCGACTAAAGAAGCAAGGAAGCCGAGTTCTGATCTTCTCTCAGATGAGTAGATTGTTGGACATTCTTGAGGATTATTGTGTCTTCAGAGAGTTCAAGTACTGTCGAATCGATGGTGGTACAGCTCACGAAGACCGTATTTCAGCAATTGACGAGTACAACAAACCAGACTCGGAGAAGTTCATCTTCCTTTTGACGACTCGAGCTGGTGGTCTTGGAATCAATTTGACCAGCGCCGATATTGTCGTCCTGTATGACAGCGATTGGAACCCGCAGGCGGATTTGCAAGCTATGGATCGTGCTCATCGCATTGGTCAGACTAAGCAAGTCGTCGTTTACCGATTTGTCACAGAAAACGCCATCGAGGAGAAGGTGTTGGAGCGTGCTGCTCAGAAGCTTCGTCTTGACCAGCTGGTCATTCAACAAGGTCGTGCACAGATCGCTGCAAAGGCAGCCGCCAACAAGGATGAGCTGCTCAACATGATCCAACACGGTGCCGAGAAGGTCTTCAATTCCAAGGGAGGAACCGGCGCTCTCGCGGAGAAGGGTGCTGAGCTTAATGATGATGATATTGATGAGATTCTCAAGCACGGAGAGAAGCGTACTGCCGAGCTCAACGCCCGTTATGAGAAGCTCGGTATCGATGACTTGCAGAAGTTTACTTCCGAATCTGCTTACGAGTGGAACGGCCAAGATTTCACTAGCAAAAAGAAGGAGATCGGTATTAACTGGATCAACCCTGCCAAACGTGAGCGGAAGGAGCAGTCATACTCCATGGACAAATACTACAAGCAGGCTTTGTCGACTGGCGGTCGCACCGCTGACACAAAGCCAAAGGCTCCCCGAGCACCAAAGCAAATCACTGTCCACGACTATCAATTCTTCCCTGGTATGTTGCGGGATCTTCAGGATCGCGAAACTGCCTACCACCGCAAGGAAATCGGCTACAAGGTTCCCCTTCCTGAAGGACCAGATGATGACTTGTCAGATCGCGAAGCTGAACGTGCGTTGGACCAAGCAGAGATTGACAATGCTACACCACTCACCGAGGAGGAGCAAGAGGAGAAGCAGCAACTCTCTCAGCAAGGATTTGCTGATTGGAATCGCAGAGACTTCCAGCAATTCATTAACGGTTCTGCAAAGTACGGCCGAAAGGACTACGAGCAAATTGCCGACGAGGTCGACAGCAAGACTCCTGAAGAGATCAAAGCTTATGCAAAAGTTTTCTGGCAGCGATACACTGAAATTGCTGATTACAGCAAATATATCAGCTTGATTGAGGCTGGAGAAGAGAAGACCAGGAAGATGGAGCATCAGCGAAAAATGCTGCGTAAGAAGATGCAGCAATACCGTGTTCCTCTTCAGCAGCTGAAGATCAACTATTCGGTCTCTACAACAAACAAGAAGGTCTATACCGAGGAGGAAGACCGATTCTTGCTTGTCTTGCTTGACAAATATGGTGTCGACAGCGAAGGAATTTTCGAACGCATTCGTGATGACATTCGCGACAGCCCACTCTTCCGCTTCGACTGGTTCTTCCTTAGCCGAACCCCGATCGAGATCAGCAGAAGATGTACCACATTGCTCACGACTGTTGCACGAGAGTTCGAGGATGCATCTGCTCCGAAAGGTGCGAATGGCACTACCAATGGTAAAGGCAAGAGAGAGCCGGATGATGATGAGAATGATGAAGATAGCGTTCTTGGAATGGCACCGGCAAAGAAGAAGTCTAAGAATGGTGTAAAGGTATATCAGAACAATCAAGATTGTGATCTAATAACTAACTCCTACCAGAACAAGGCACTTGATAACATCAAGTCTGGTGCAGGCAGCAAGGCGACTTCCGCTGCTCCTTCTTCCAGAGCGTCAAGTGTCATGTCAACCGCATCGAGCCCCGCACCTGTCTCGAAGGGCAAAACAAAGGGCAAAAAGAAGTGATGAGTGTGCTTATTATGACCGCTTTCTTTTCTCCATGTAATGGTCAAAACGGTGGGAAAGGGGCGTAAATAAGAATTTCTGGCATCATTGTATGGCGTATTAGAGGTTGTGAGGTGGAACCGTTGATTTGGGTCGTACCGACGGGAAACTCTACATTGAATTGCTCTCGTATTGCTGATAGAGGGAAAGAGAAAAATGCCATGTTTTTCATAATGCCTTAGTGCCATGGAGTGCCGGTGCGGAACTACTAGATGACTTCTCTGATTCACAATTCATCTAAAGCATCTTTCGAAGTGTCCACCGCTTCTTGTCTCTAAAACTATCTATTTTTTGATCTTGATGAATCACGATGAAAATAGGGGTTGGACCAATCCGGGTTGGATGACTAATGCTTGATGCCAATCACGTCCCCAAAAAGCAACTGGTAACGAACTCAAGCTCTCCAACGTCACACAACCTAATTTATACATCTCCAAACCATACATGAAAACCTACCAACTCCTCACGACAACACCTAGACATTCCACATTCTCAAATCCTCAACGATTGCAGTGCAGAAGAACGTTTATGATGACGACGAGATTATCCAAGGAGCCGAGACGGTTCGCTCCGCTTGGGGCAGGGATTGATAAGGGGACTGAGGGGCTGCCGAGGCTGAAGGGGATTGTGTTTGATGTTGATGGGACTTTGTGGTGAGTTTGATTTGTCTTTGCTTTGTTTTGGGGGTTTGTTTCCGAAAGGTACTGTGGTGGAGAGGTTGTGAGAGCGGCACGGTTTTTATATTGGATGATGATGGCCCTGAGGAGCTGGCCAGTGCCATCTCAACTCCATGCTATTGTTCGGTTCTGTGACTCAGATGCTTCAGATTCTGTGGTGGCAATATTGCATGTCACTGGGGAAAGATCTACGGCGTTAACCAAAGCACGCGACTTGAGTGCGTGGTATAAATTTGTCTTACGAGGATTCGTTGTAAGCAAAAGGAAGTCCTGTGAACTTGGCCATGGAGGAGTCCATGAGCATAAATTCTTGGAGCACGAGATGTCATGAATATTTCAAGTATACTAAGGATGAAGTAGCCATTCATATCGCTGCTTGTTGCAAGTGCTAGTCACAAGTAGAATTCAGAGTCCTATCTGAGGTTTATAGATTTCAAAATATAACTTACTTGTTTTAATTTCTGTACTTAGGATCCCCCATTAATTTCATTCACATTTGGTCCTTATTGATTCATGGAGCTTCGACTGACTGGATCACTTCATCCGTCACGCGCAAGCGCGCCTACAATGCTTGCCACAGTAATGTACGTCCAGGATTGGTCGATCGAGTACTGGAGCTGGCTATAACCCCCGAAAGAATGATAACCTGGGTCCATAATGCAGGTGGGCTATCAGAGCAAGTGTTTTAACCCTTTTTTGTTTAGTACACTTCAGAGGCTCAATCCTGAAACTTTGTTTCGAACATTATGCTCAGCTATTACCTTCATCTACATGAAACAACGCCCAAAGTGTTACCCCTTATTATTCTCATCAACTGACTTCTTTTCCCCTCCTATTTGGCCTCACATGTCCTACCATCCCTTATCTTGAACCGCGTACATTACCCCTTTACAGAACCTGAAGCTAACATATGTGACCAGCTTACCACAGAATTACATGTTTCAGTAAGCAAGAAGTCCAGATGGGAATTCTTCACTCAATTTGGTTAAAGTCCTTTTTCGGAGAGGAAAACTGCTGACTCCTTTACCTAGATTAATGAGACAAGCACTGGGCATTGACAAGTCTGTGGATATCCTCGATCACTGCCATTCGCTCTCTCCAGATGAAGAAGCCGCTGCCCTCGAGAAAATTCGAGCTATAGAACGAGAGGCTATGGTATCTCAACAACCACAACCCGGCATCGTCCCTTTAATGGAGTACCTAGACTCTCGAAAGATCCCACGCGGTATTTGCACAAGGAATTTTGACGCCCCTGTAAATCACTTATTGACGAAGTTCTTACCATCCTTTGAGTTCTCTCCTGGTATGCCAAACTACCGTCTATAATTTATTTCGCAGCTGTTTTAACAGAGAAAGTTGTGACCAGAGATTTCAAACCCCCGAAACCATCGCCAGCGGGGATCCTACACATTGCAAAATCCTGGGGCTTCACGAAGGAGGAGAACGGCGAGGAAGTTGGCGATGCAGGGAACTTCATTATGGTGGGGTAAGTCAGCGTCCCCATGACGTCCCTCTTTCGTTCCATTTCTTCATACTCAGTGTAGCGGAGAAGAGACTATAAGCAACTGCCACCTATATACATCTCAAGAAATAGTAATAATGATAAGGATAAGTGTTGACGCCACCACAGGGATTCGATAGACGACATGACGGCTGGGTTCAGGGCCGGTGCCGCGACGGTGCTGCTTGCGAACGAGGTTAATGTGCATCTGGCACAGCATGAGCATACTGACCTGGTCATTTCGAGATTGGTTGAGTTGGTGAGTATTCTGGAGGAGGGCTTTGTGGGGCAGATTGGGAAGGGGGATGAGGAGAGTGATACGAAGGCTAGGGCGGCGGGCGCGCTGAGGGATGGGAAGGGAGAGAGCAGTGCGGTTTAGGGATGAGGATTATCGCTGCTGTAGAAGTTCCAACGTTGAATTCCATAGACGTTTTCAGGGTGGCTTGGGATATTGATTCCATGGACTCGATCAGCCAAGCATTTTGATCTTGACATTGTATCAAGGTTCGGGAGAGATTTCACATATCAACAGCCAAGATGAAGCAGAAGGGATCACAAGTAGAATCGTAAAGTTTGCTTGTCTAAAACGCCTGAAGCACCGCCGTACTTTCATTTAAGACTTCCATACTTCCTCTTTTTCAGAGGTTCAGATTGCCCATTCGAATTGCAAAAGTGACATGCATGATACAAAAGAAAAGGTGGAATCAAACATATGGTGCGCCAAGATATGCATCATGGGTGATAGCGGTCTCGAGAAAAGAAGAGGAGGATGAGAAGAATATGCAGAAGCGAGGTTGCTGGGCTTATTGACCTGTACCACTCGCTGGATAGCCAGATCCGTACAGACCATTTCCAAATGTTGCTTGTCGCCGACTCTCCTTCTTCAAATCCGAATCCTCCTTTCGAGGGACGGGAGGCGGGGGTAATGGTCCCGCTGGAGGTGCGGGTCGCATTGGAAGTGTCGTTGTAGAGAAGGTGGCAGCGCCAGCACTTGAGGGTCCATTGGAAGCTTGGTCGGGTGCGTTTAGGGTTGTGACTTTAGGAACAGAATTGGTGGTAGACACTCTTGGTGGAAGTCCAGGGTGGAAAGGAGCACCTCCTGCACGCCCAATGCTACCATTCTTGGTTGGTGAACGATCAGTGTACTGCGGTGATGTGATTGCGGATCGCACGTCACCTCCACCAATTGGAATATCGCCGGAGGTTGGTGTTGGCAGAGAGTAATCTGGAGAGTTTGTGGCGTAAGGTCCCGTTGGCGAGTCGCCAGAGCGAAGTAATTGTTGAGTAGATGGAGATAGTTGCGGTGCAAGATGAGATTTTCGGTTATCTCTCTCGATCAAGCCTACAGCCCACTCCTTCAAGTCAACAGGTGTACGCTTGGCAGCTTGTACGAAGGGTTCTCGCTCCTGTGAGAAGGTTAGAACAGTTTATTAGGCCTCTTCAGTTGATACTTACATAAAGTTCTTGTGGGGTTGGTCGCTCCTCCGGTGCTTTCGCCATACACTTTTGTATCATGTCCTCTAGAATTTGCGGGAAGGCCTCACTCTTTGGAAGCTTCGGTGCTGGCTCGTACACAATTTGCTGCAAGAGATCCAGAATGCCAGATGGTGCTCCATCGCCGTCCGAAAGGTGCTCGCTTGCATCGAAGGGAAATTTGCCAATAGCCAGCTCCATAATGGCAAGACCGAAACTCCAGACATCTGACTTGACCGTGTATTTTTGGCCTTGAATTCTCTCGGGCGCCATGTATGTCGACGTTCCAACGAAAGTGTCTGCTACAGAGTTAACCAACTCGCCGGATACTCCAAAATCACAGAGCTTTATTTGCCCCTTGGAGTTTACCAAGATATTCGATGGCTTGATGTCTCGGTGCATGATGTGATGCTTGGTATAGAGGTAGGTGAGTCCACCGAGAGTTGCTTCTGCGATCTTGCCCAACACATCCACCCGGACTGGACCAAACTGGCGTGAAATTCTATCCAACGAACTAGGAATAGTTAGCAGACACTCTTCATCCAGCTCCAAAATTCTTACCCAACGTCCATATATTCCATACACATGATAACATCGTTGTTGTCACTCAGGAAAGCTCCGTAGAAGTTCACAATGAATTCCGAGTTGGTATCGTGCATGATCTGCAGCTCCCGAACAATCCGACGGCGCATCTCTTTCTTGGCCTCAACGTGGATGATCTAGAAGAATACCAGTTAGGCTTTGCCACGACCCCGAAGTCTGCCTCTGTGCTGCCACTAACCTTTCTTGCCATGATGGTTCCCGTCGCCATATGTCGAACCTTACTGACAGTGCCTCCGTTTCCGTGTCCCAGGTCTTTCAAGACCTCCAAATCCTCCCTCTTCAGGTCCAGCTTGTACTCGATCCCGATCTCTAGTTGTGCGGTCTGCCTTGCATTCTCACCACTGTTGCCGCCAGGGATCTGTAGATCGCTCTCAGAAGGTGCGACTGTTCGCGGCGCTGGTGCAGCTAAAGCGAGCCCTTTCACATTTTTACGCTTCAGCGTGCGAACTGAACCGATGGCTTCCGACATTGTGACGAGTTGCTGCGAGCTGTGCCCGGCACTCGAGGCGGTAAGATGTCGAGAGTCGCGGGCGGAGTGCTGTAGCTTTTATGGCGCCAGCAAGTGAGGGGAGGCAATGTTGGAGGATAGCAGGTGATACGGAGGCAATATCGAGAGAGCATAGACCCCTGAGCAATCTTATCGGAATCTCTTCTGGGCCTGGTAAGTATACGCAGGGTTGCAGAGGTAGTTGCAGAATTTACAGTCAACTGTCAGGGTCGAGATTCTGGTCGACCAACAGCAGCGGATTGGCGTTCGGCGCTACTTCAAGAACGTGGGGAAGCGCGCTGCTTTGTGGAACGAGGGCAGGGAACGAGGGCAGGTAAGAAGGCAAGGCAGGCAAGGCAGGCTCAGGTGAAAGACAATTCTCGAGTTCAATGTTCGCAAGGTTGGAAGATATTTTGGAAAGGGGACAGACAGGGAGCCGCATGGACTGGAGTTACAAACACGTCTGTCTCATGGTTTTAAGGTTTCTACATGGGGACTGGGCGTGAGTGAGTGCTGGAGGCCCGCCTAAGCTTGCTTGCGTAAGGTACGCATCCTTGACTGTGGATTCGTGGATTCGTGGATTCGTCGTCGCAAGGCTCGACTCTCGAGAGACGAGCATCAGCGATCCGGAAGCTCCCACACAAGGCCTTCTAGAAGCAAGCTATTTGAGGATTCATGCATCAGGGCCGCGTGGGCGATGATGTGATGGTGATGGTGCTGGTGCTGGTGCTAATGAAGGCTAGATTGAAGCTCAAGTCACTGGCCATTACCAGTACCACATTAGGTGCAGAAGAGCGGCTGCTTGCCGCGCGGGATCGATCTCACCAGCTGTTGGCAGCACCTCCAGCCCAGCCCCTCTCCGAGAAAGCGGCACGGCTTTTCCATGTGCTTACTTACTGTATCCAAGTTGGACGTTCGTTTGGATTGCGGATTGTGATATTCTAAAATGTCGAGACACCAGAATGGAGAGAGCTTTGGAGATTTGGCAAGGTGACAATGCGACAATGCGGTGATCCGTAGTAAGGGGGATTGCTCGAGTGATCCAACTTGGCTTGATCGAAGAACACGAGCGACTACCGCTCTTCTGTTCACCTCAGGGCAGGCTGAAGGAATTCATATCACGTGCAACACCCCTGGTCGGCAACGACCACCAGACCAGACGCGGAAGTGAGGATCGCGAAATTTATAGCCGTCAGTAGCATCACCATCACCATCCTAGGCAACGGTCACCATTCACCCACCACCTCAACTGCTGCCGGTTCCCAGACCCCGCTTCCTCGAGAGTACTTAATTGTCTCCTCTCCCCCTCTTCCCCATTCCTGAACCATCTTCCTTCCACCACAAGATGAGCGGCACAATGCGAGATCTGATCCAAGGAGAGGCCGACGTTGACGACGAAGAGAATGATGAGTCCTTCGACGAGGACACCGGCGAACCTATTTCTGGCAAATCGCGTATCAATGGGGAGCTGGACGACTCGAGCGAAGAGGAGGAAGATGACGATGATGAGGAGGCTGCTCGCGCGGTAGGCCCCCTAGGAAGTCATTTCTATGCGCCTTTTGCTGACACCTTACCAGGTTCGCGAGGGCTTTATCATCGATGACGAAGACGAGGAGCCGGAGGAACGAGAGCGCCGTCGTCGAAAAGACAAGAAACGAAGACGGGCTGAGCGCGAGGAGGAAGAAGCAGTGTTGGACGAGGAAGATTTGGATCTCATTGGAGAGGCAAACCCTGAATGGGAAAGGAAAACCGCAGCACAGGTATGCGCCATTGGGGAACAGTGGATACATTCAGTCTAACCCCCCATCTAGCCAAAACTCAAGCGCCTTAAGCGTGGACATCGAGACGATGGCGAACAACATCGAGAGCGTGGCCTGGACGAGATCTTCTCAGATGATGAGGAACTTGATGCGCCGCATGAGTTCGAACGCGGATTTGCCCGACCAGATCACCACCGAGTTGACGAGTTCGCGGACTTCATCGAGGAAGACGAATTAGAAGATGAAGACGAGAGGCAGAGACATCAGGAGGAGATGGAGGTTGCCCGTCCACGAGAGAGAGGATATGTTGGCGGAGCAGAAGCAACTGGCCTTGATAAGGATGCCTTGGACGACATGGAGGCCATATTTGGGAATGGGGAAGACTACGACTGGGCTTTGGCCCTTGAGGATGAGGCAGAGGCCAGGGAGGCTGGTGATCATAATCTGGAACTGAAGGATGTCTTCGAGCCGTCACAACTTTCAGAGAAGCTTCTCACGGATGAGGACAACCAGATTCGATGGGCAGACGAGCCAGAACGATTCCAGCTGGACCGATTACCATATAAGAATCTCCAAATCACTGATGATCAATTCAAGGAGGAAGCTCGTTGGATTACCAGCCTTATCTGGCCAAAGAAGCAACTGCACAGCGATCTTCAGGGCCCTTTTACAAGAGCGATTGGCAAAGTTTTGGAATTCTTCGTAGTCGACGAGGTGGAGGTCCCATATGTCTTCCAACATCGCAAAGACTACCTCATCCATGCTACCAGGCTTCGGGATAACAATAACGCTGACCAGGATGAGATCGTTGTCAGTGCCGAGAAGCTGTTGAACCAGGACGATCTCTGGCGTGTACTCGAGCTTGATTTGAAGTTTCGGGCTCTGATCGAAAAACGAAATGTTCTGGAGAAGACCTACGATAACTTGAAATTAGCTGCTGGTGTGGGAGACCCGACTGTCGAGGCTATGCTTCCCATTGCGGTCACCATGGAAGAACTACAAGATATTCAAGACTACATCTACTTTCAACATTCCACAGAGATCAAGGACTTAGCTGCCACGAACGGTGAGTTAAAAGAGAAGCGACGGCCCGGAGGCAAATCCACGATTTTTGATCGCATCAGGAGAGGGAAAGCATACCATCTTGTTCGAGCATATGGTATAACTCCTGATCAAGTCGCTCAAAACGCCTTACGAGAAGGCAGAAAACAGTACACCGAAGATTCATCTCTCACGCCAATCGATCTCGCCGACACATTGATCTCTGATAGCGAATTCAATACTGGCGATGGGGTCTTGCTTGCTGCACGCCAGATGTTCGCCGAGGAGCTGTTCGTTAACCCCCGTATGCGAAAGCATTTCCGTATGAGCTACTACATAATGGGAGTTATCAATTGTCACAGAACTGAAAAGGGTCTTCGGAAGATTGACGAGCAACATCCGTACTATGAGCTCAAGTACCTCAAAAACCAGACTTTTAGCGACATTGCCAACAAGCCTGAGATATTCTTGAAGATGTTGAAGGCCGAGGAAGAAGGGCTTCTAGAGGTTAAGGTTTCACTACAGAGCGAACGAGAGTTTCGAAAGCAGCTCTTTGCTGAATTTGCATCCGATAACTTCAGCGAACTTGCCGATGCTTGGAATGACGAACGCCAGAAGGTTCTTGATATTGCGTTTGAAAAGCTTGAGCGGGTTATCACTAAGGGTGTTAAGGAGAGCATGAGGACTGAATGTCAAGATTCCATCCTCAAAATCTGCCGAGAAGAATACTCGAAAAAGCTCGATCAAGCACCCTACAAACCGAAAGGCATGATTCTCGGTACGATTCCTCGAGTGTTGGCATTATCAAATGGCAATGGCGATCCCAATCGCGACGCAGTCTGCTGGGCCTGGGTAGAAGAAGATGGGAGAGTATTGGAGCACGGCAAATTTGACAATCTCTCTCGTGATGAGAGGTCCAGAGAAGCTTTTGTCGAATTGGTTCAAAGAAGGAAGCCAGACGTGCTTGGTATTGGTGGTTTCTCAGTTGAGACACACAAGCTCATCACCAGCATTCGCGATTTGGTCGCGGAGAAGGACCTGAGAGGGGCGGACTTCGAAGATCCAGATTCCGGCGAAGATCGGAGCGAACCACTTGAGATTGTAGTGGTCAACGATGAAGTTGCTCGACTGTACAAAGATAGCCCGCGTGCTGCCATCGATCATCCCACCTTCACTTCACTTACCCGATATTGCGTTGCTTTGGCTAAGTACTTGCAAAATCCAATGAAGGAGTATGCTGCACTTGGGAAAGATATAGTCTCGTTGTCGTTTCACCCATGCCAGCAACTCCTCCCTGAAGATAAGCTTCGGAAGCAGCTGGATACCGCCATGGTTGACATGGTCAATCTATGTGGTGTTGACATCAACGAAGCCATAGCCGACGCATATACAGCGACCTTGCTACCATTTGTCTGCGGTCTTGGACCAAGAAAGGCAACTGCTGTTCTCAAGACAATCAATGCTAATGGTGGTGTTGTGAACACTCGAGACGAGCTTGTGGGTGACCCTGACAGCGGAAAACTCCCTGTCGTTGGACCGAGAGTGTGGAATAATTGCGCCAGTTTCCTGTCCATCGAGTACGACAGCTCTTCGCCAACATCAGACTACCTTGACAATACTCGAGTGCATCCAGAAGATTACGAATTGGGCCGTAAGATGGCTGCTGATGCTTTAGAATTGGATGAAGAAGATGTGAAGGCTGAGGTTGATGAAGGCGGCCCTGGTGCTATTGTTCGCAAACTTATCAAGGATGACGAACAAGAGAAGGTTAACGATCTGATCTTAGAAGAGTACGCTGAGCAGCTCGAGCGGAACTACAATCAACGCAAACGAGCAACTCTTGAGACAATCCGTGCGGAACTCCAACAACCTTACGAAGAACTGAGGAGAAACTTCTCCATTTTGTCCGAAGATGAGATCTTCACGATGCTCACTGGAGAAACTCGAGAATCTCTATGCGAGGGAATGATTGTTTCAGTCAACATTCGAGTGGCAAAGGAGGACTTTGTCATCGCGAAGCTGGATTCAGGTATCGAAGGCCGGGTTGAGCCGCATGAAGGTTCAGACCTGCCTGACATACCACTCAACCGTATCTTCCAGATGGGACAGACTGCCCAGGCTAAGCTTCTTGAACTTGACAGACGAAACTTCTCTGCGAGGCTCTCTCTTCGCGAGGAGGCGCTGCGGGTCCCGTTCAGAAGACGAGTCGATCACGATCCCGGTACTTGGGACGCGGTCCAGGAACACAAGGACAAGGAGGAGCTTCGAGAGAAGGACAAGGCGACTGGTCGAACTCAACGTGTTGTCAAGCATCCTCTTTTCAAACCTTTCAATTCAACACAGGCAGAAGAGTATCTCGGTTCGCAGGCCCCTGGCGATGCTGTGATTCGCCCTTCATCCAAAGGCAACGATCATCTTGCCATTACCTGGAAAGTCGCTGACGGTATCTATCAACACATCGATGTCCTCGAATTGCAAAAAGAGAATGAATTTTCTGTTGGGCGTCAGTTACGAATTGGCGGGAAGTACAATTACAGCGATCTCGACGAATTGATTGTCGATCACGTCAAAGCCATGGCGAAGAAAGTGGATGAATTGATGCAGCACGAGAAGTATCAAAATGGCAGCAAGGCTGATACAGGTAAGAAAAGCCTACTCTTGCTCCTTTGCGGCGTGGCTGACAATTACTTTACAGAGAAATGGTTGACTACATATACGGAAGCCAACCCAAAGCGCTCTGTATATGCTTTCTGCCTGGATCCACGACATCCTGGGTACTTCTACCTTTGCTTCAAGGCTGGACAAGGCGCGAAGGTCAACGCCTGGCCGGTGCGAGTGGTGCCCAATGCTTTCGAGCTGTTGAAGAGTCCTTATCCCGATATGAAGGCCCTGTGCAATGGCTTCAAATTGCGGATGATGAGTAGTGACCCGAATCGGCCTCGTTGAGATGGAAGGGAAGATCTTTATGAATGGGAGGAGTTATAGACTGGTATCACAGACATTTCCGCCCCTTGTACTAAAAGTATCGGAGAACAGGAAATCATGGCGAGCATTTTAAGGGGTAAAATCGGTTCCAGGCGGCTACGCTTCTAGAAGCATACCGGCTGAAGTCCATAGCATTGATCTACGTGGCGATGAATAAAATTCTCCATCTTTTCTTCGGACTAAATGCGCTTCCCTGGTGCTATCCTTGCTGGTGCAAGGGTTCACGTCAGCCCGGCCAATATGAAGGCACAAATTCCTTGCGCAGTCAGCAAACAGCCCAAAATACGCAAGGCTGAGCATTCCAGGTTGCCGGCGTTGTAAGATGTTCCGGACCAGCCTGCGCTGAAACCACGTTTTCCATTTGTGCCATCCTCTGGCCCTCCCTTCCCTTTCCCTCCTTCACCCTCCTTACTTTCATGCTTCAAATCTTCAAATCCATCCAATATATCTAAACTCTTCTCCAACTTCCTTCTTTACGCATTCCGCCATCTGGAAACACCACACCGCCACACCTTATTTTCATTAGCCTTCTGTGGCGTCGCCGAGCTGACAACCTAAATAAACAGCGACGTCTAAGCAGGGCTGCGCGAACGAATTTAGGGGACCGACCATCTCTGTACGTCAGAAATAGTAAACAGAAGCTGAATACACCTTGAGAGAGCATTTGTAAAGTCCGCCGCCACTTGCGCCCTCCGTGGCTCCTTCGCATGACTGCGCCCAGACTTCCTCAAGGCAACAACTCATCCGGGATCCGAGGGTTGCGCGCAAAACATTTCCTGGACGACAGAGAACGCGCCAGCTGTCAATGATCGTTGGAACCGCTGCGAAATGGCCGGCTTGGAGCAATTAGAGATTCATAGCAAGGTAGGCGGGTTGCTGCGAGTGCTGGAAGACAGACAGGGAAGCTAATGGACCATAGTCGTACATTGTTCGTTGGGTCAAAATTGAGGAAGGCCATACGATATCCTGGAATGTTCAACCTCACAAGAAGTCGATGTAAGAAAAGCTATCTAGATGCTAGAGTATATGCTGATTGCATGCCAGAAACTTTGGAATATTCAAGCATCCTGGAGGGAGTAGCACCGGAACCGCACAGCATCTAGACGATGCTACTGCCTCCCTTATTCATCTCGATGCTGGTGTCGACAAGTTAAGACGCCCCTCAAATGCTACGAAGAACGACGAGTCTACGGCCCAGGAACAGTTGAGAGCGAAAGGCTTCATTTCGATACAATGGTATGGCAAATACGATGCGGACAAGGTGTCGACGGGGACATTTTCTGTTACGAAAGGACAAGGTGGAATGTACGGCCTCGTATTTGACAATACCTTTTCGAAACAATTTTCGAAATCTGCTACTTTCGTCCTTCTCACATATCCTTCCAATGCACCTCCACACACCACGCATCAGTTGTCCAACCTCGCATCTTCAATGAGCACAACAGGGATAGGGAATGCAAGCAAAGGAGTAAGCCCTCATTTGGGACCGTCAGCTTCGGATTCGGTCGACAGCCTACAAAGTCACCTTGGACTTGGGACTGGTGGCAGCAGGGGCGGTTCTGTTCTGGGGAGGAACGGGAGCGACAATGGACTTGCTACATACCATGTGGGAATCCTGTCAAAACGCCGGCGGAAACGAGGGCAAGGCTATGCTAGACGTTTCTTCTCACTGGATTTCGCATCGTGCACTCTATCATATTATTACAGCCGTAACTCATCCGCGCTCAGAGGTGCGATTCCTCTGAGCTTAGCTGCTATTGCTGCGGACGAGAGAAGGAGAGAAATAAGCATCGATTCGGGGGCCGAAGTGTGGCATTTGAAGGCTGGCAATGCAAAGGATTTTGATGAGTGGACTAGAGCTCTAGAAAAGGCAAGCAAGAGTGCTCGAGGACTGGAGCCCGAGTCTGCCCCGGATTCCCCTGAGCAACGGTTAAGGGTCAGAACGACTGGATTACAAGCTCCAAGTTCGACTCGAGAAGAAGAGCGAGAATGGGAGCAGGTTGAATCACTTGTGAGCAGGATTGTAGGAACTCGAGATGCTGTCCGTCGACTCTCGAAGGACACCGCTCCTGGAGCCACAAAGAGGCTTGCACTTGCAGGATTGGGACTTTCGACAGGAAGTAGCCCCAGTATCGATGAGGGTAGCGATTACTTCGCAACGCCCCCTGAAAAGAGACCATTTTGGAAGAGGAAAGTCAGCACACCTTCAACACCGCAACTGGTCCAGCGAGGTATCTCGTCACAGCTTGCAGTTCCTGCACCCGCAACCGTAACGACGATTACCGCTAATGGGAGTGTCACGCCCTCGTCACGAAGAGGTAGGCACTCTTCTCAGCTTGACGAACCCAGTATGCATGAGCACTGTGCTGCGTTACTCAAGGACCTGGATGACGTTCTCAACGATTTCTCGACATTGCTATCCAATAGTAAACGTCGAAGGATGCCTGCCCCTGTTTCTGCTACCAGGAACAGCATGGATTCAACCTCAACCGGCGAATTCTATGATGCCGAGGCTGGGGATGGTGAGCGCTCGCAAGTGTTTGTGATCGATCGCCAGAGTGAGGAAGACACTCAGCTGTCAGAAGCGGATGATGAATTTGTGACCGACGCTTCCTCAATATCTTCTCACGAGGAGGATTCGTCCGCTCATCTCCAAGGCTCAGCAGCACTTTTCCCTCTCAAACCAAAGTCATTAGATCCCCTTCCCATTACCACGTCCATCAAACGAAGGAAAATCGTGCCTCCAGCAACTACAATGCCTCCTAGCTTGATCGGTCATCTCCGCAAAAATGTTGGGAAAGATCTCAGCACTCTCAGTATGCCTGTCAGCGCCAACGAACCCACTTCACTCCTCCAACGTATCGCCGAACAATGCGAATACTCCCAACTGCTCGACACAGCCGCCTCCCATAAAGTGCCAACGCAGCGTATCCTCCATGTTGCCGCCTTCGCCGTCTCACAATTCAGTATCAACCGTGCAAAGGAACGAGCCATCCGCAAGCCCTTCAATCCCATGCTAGGGGAAACGTTCGAACTTGTAAGGACAGAAAAGGAAGTACCAGGTGGATTTAGACTCCTGGTAGAAAAGGTATCTCACCGTCCCGTCAGAATGGCCATCCAAGCCGACTCAGCACGTTGGTCATTAAGTCAATCTCCCGCGCCAACGCAGAAGTTTTGGGGGAAGAGTGTGGAGCTCATTACCGAGGGCCGCGTGAGGTTAAACTTGCGGTTGCTCGATGGGAGCGATGAATTCTACAGCTGGAACCTCGCCACAGTTTTCTTACGGAACGTAGTCATGGGCGAGAAATATGTCGAGCCCGTCGGCAGCATGACTATCACAAATGAAACCACTGGCGCAAAAGCCACCATCGAATTCAAGCAAAAGGGGATGTTCAGCGGGAGAAGCGAAGATGTGCAGATCGAGAGTTACAATCCCGACGGTGTGCATACTGGCGTTGGCTTGACTGGAACCTGGACCACGAATCTCCGGAGCCTGGAAGCTGGAAAGGCTGCAGGAGCGGAGATCTGGCATGTTGGTGATCTGGTCGAGAACGCTGCGCAGACGTATGGTCTTACGACTTTCGCTGCTGGTCTCAATGAAATCACGGAGCTGGAAAAGGGAAAGCTACCTCCGACGGACTGTAGATTGAGACCTGATCAGCGGGCAGCGGAGATGGGTGATCTGGACACTGCAGAGACGTGGAAGGCGACACTGGAAGCTTCACAGAGAGTTAGGAGGAAGGAGGCTGAGGAAAGGGGTCAGCCGCATATGCCGAGGTGGTTTGTGAGGGTGGAGGGCGGGGATGATGGTGAGGAGGTGTGGAAATTGAAAGGTGGGAGAGACGGTTACTGGGAAGAACGACAAAGAGGAAAGTGGACAGGCGTCGAGAATATCCTGGCTGGGTAGCTGAGTGACAGGTGATGATGATCATTTTGCTTGTTTAGCGATACACATTCTTGAATCTTTGACAGGGCTCGTGAGGCGTTATGGAGAAGCGAGGGAAAAATAACGGGTTGCGGTTTGGATTAGACAGCGCGTTTGGAGTAATGAATTGGATTGCCGTTGACTCTCGGTCCATATTTAATCATCGAATCTTCTTTGTGACAAGTTCTTTTGGTGTGTTTAGATCTTGGCAAATGCAAACCGCAAAGTTCTTGCTGGGCCCCTATTTTCACAGTCTGGAAGCGAAAGCTGCTGCTGACTCAGCTCCAGCTCTCCCATCCCACTAAAAATCCTTGGCGATTTCAGTCCGTTTCCAAAACCTTTTCCAAAGTCAGAGCAAGCAAAACAGAAGAACTCGGGTTCTTTCCTTGTGAGTGGAATCACCTGCACAAGATTGAAAGTCATTGACGAGGTTCATCAGACACAACAATTGCAAGCCATGCCGCTCTCCAAGTTCGATGGCCTGGAGCTACCCGCTTCAGCGGACTTTCATGTCCACCTGAGGGATGGGCCTCTCATGAAAGCAGTCGTTCCTACGGTTAGACGGGGAGGCGTCAATACTGTTTATGTAAGCTCGCTGATCATGGCCTCTCACAGATGATTCTGATTCTGAGATTCAGGCCATGCCGAACTTGGTCCCACCTCTCACTTCGGCCTCTGATGCTATGGCGTATAAGCAACGCCTGCAACAAGAGGATCCAAGTATCAACTATCTGATGACGTTGTATCTTCATGAGAAGATTACTCCAGCAGTCGTCAAGGGAGCGAAGGCTCAAGGAATCGTGGGAATCAAGTCGTATCCTGCTGGTGTCACGACCAACTCGAGTTCTGGGGTTCTTGACTATGAAGTTTTTTATCCTGTGTTTCGGGCGATGGAACAATGTGGCATGGTTCTGAATTTGCATGGAGAGTGTCCTAGTGACCATGGAAAGAACATTACGATTCTCAATGGTAAGGCCTATCTCATAACATGTTGCTGTTTTCTTCTCCGAGATCTCAGAGCTCGTGCACTTCACAGGAACTTCATGCATCCTCGTCTTGGGAGCTTGGATTTGAGCTCCTGGGTTCTCTCTTGACATTCAAAAACGCTCCATGCTAATTGTATCCAGCGGAGTCATCCTTTCTCCCGACGCTCAAGAGCCTGCATGCCCAATTTCCCAAGGTTAATTGCCACCCCTTCGAATAAGGACAGCTTCTGTCCACTGAGAGAAAGATTTCTGACTTCGATCTTCATAGCTCAAAATTGTCTTGGAACATTGCACGACCCGTGAAGCTGTAGAAGCAGTCAATGAATGCGGCCCTAACGTTGTTGGAACTATCACAGCACACCATCTATACCTCGTAGTCGATGATTGGGCAGATGATCCATTCTGCTACTGGTATGTCCCTCCCATAGCCCTCGCACATCTCTCTCAGATCCTCGCATCGAAAACCGTCATGTTCCTCCGTTCAAGAGCAAGCTGACCCCACGAAGCAAACCAGTGGCCAAGTGGCCAAGTGACAGAGAAGCGCTCATCCTAGCTGCAGTCAGTGGCACCGGCAAATTCTTCTTCGGCAGCGACAGTGGTAAGCTTACTCCATAACGAATTGCTGTTTTCTTCTGTAGAAGCTGAGAGCTTTGGAGCTTTACGGGAGCCGGCATACGCATTCCTCTCTCTCGAGCCGGGCTTCTCAGCTCCTGAGCTCTCTTCAAAAATTCAGCAAAACTCCATACTAATTCGATGACAGCACCACACGATATGACAGCAAAGAAAGGTGGACGAGGAAAGACAGCAGCAGGGGTCTTTACGCAGCCATACACCACGCAGCTTGTGCTTGGAGCTCTGGAGCAAGCTATTGAGCGGAAGGTCATCACGGAAGAAGAGGTGACGGAGGAGATTCTGACGGGCTTTCTGGGCGGCTATGGGAGGAACTTCTATGGGATTAGTGATAGCAGTAATGAGAAGATTGTGTTGAGGAAGGGAGGTGAGGTTATTCAAGAATCGGTTACTGGGGTGGGAGTTGAGGTTGTTCCTTTTCGGAGAGGGCAGAGCACTTGGAGCATTGAATGGAAGTAGCACATCACAGCAATGCACAAATGCTAGGAAACTTCACTCTTTTCATACCTCTATCACCTTTTTAGTTCGCTGGTCCAAGGATCTTTATGATCAAGAGGACAACCAGTCAAAGAGGACCGCATGAAAGACCGCTAGGGTCATGAAAATTCTCTCTCGAAAAACGCCCTGAAAATATGCAGCAAAGCCATCTAAAAACGCCACACCATCATGCAGTCTATTATCCACCAAGGCGAAAAAATGGCACACCCAATCGAGCGTATCTGCAAAGCACAAAAGCAAGCAAGCACCCAAGAGTGACGCCAAATCTTCTCCAACCAGACCAATCGTGTGAACGCCGGCAATGCTTATGAGAATGGGCAAACAAATGAAACAAACACCAGTTTTTTTTGTAAGGAAAAAAAGAAAGAAGCAGAGATTTTCGCCGCTGAAGGAACAATTTGTGCGGGATAACGGCGACCATCAAGGTCGAACGTTGTGAAGCGACATATTTGATATCCATGGTCTGAAAGTCATGAATCATGAGTCATGTCGTTGTAATGGAAGTTGCAATGCATAATTGAAAAGAAAGTCGTAATGAATGCAGAGAGAGGCAGATATCTTAGATACCAGGCCAGCTGCAAAGAAGGGCGACGGGCGACGGGCGACGGGCGACAGTGAAGGAGATGTGGCGGCTATGTCAGTACAGAGCGCTTTCATCCAGACAAAAGAGCTATGCAAAGTCGAGCTACTTGCAGCTTCGATCTTCAGGGTCGATTCATTGTTGATGGGGATTTTGGGTAGGGCCTGGAGGACCGCCACGTCCACGATATGTGACTTGGTCATCATCTTCTTCCTCGCCCTCCTCAATCTTTAGAGAGGCAAAGGGGTTTGTATGCGAGAATGAATGTCCACTCTGACCGGGAGGGGGAGCGATAGGTCCGTATCCACCTCGCATAATCGCTGAGGAATTGTTAGCAAGAAAGTCATTGATGTGGCTGCAGATGGGCTTACGAGTGTTAGGAACTGTTGTTCGCATGCTTGGTCCCGGAGAAGGCGAGACCGTAGCTGCATATCCGGGGTCGGCCTGAGCGGCCTCCAAGCGACGCCATGGGCCATTCAAACGATTGGTAGACGGGCCAGGAAGAGCAGGTGGAGCAAGTGGTGATTGTATGTTGACGCCGTACTCCCGTCGGTACCAATTAGGGAGACCGTGGTTCAAACCTAGGGAGAGTTGAGTCTCACGATCCATTGGCATCTCGTGGCGATACTTGCACCCCATCTGGGTGAACGCACACGTGCCCTCGTGGATCCACTTGTCGCAGTATATCTTCTCACGACGTGGGCGGTGAGGAAATTGAGGATGCGGAGGGTGTTGAGGGTGCTGAGGGTGCGGAGTGTGCTGAGCCATCGGGGCAACTGGACCAGTAGGGTGGGCAGCTACGATGGCATCAATCTGTGCCTGGAAGTGGTCAGTAATTACGTGTTATGTTAACGTAGATAGTGCAAAGAATGCAGCAAGGTGTATTTGCCCTCACCTGGGTGGCATCGTTCGGATCATGGCAACTCGGGCTAGAGGCGTGGGCGCCCCGAGGACGATTGGCTGGCAATGCATTGATAACCTATTGATTGTGAGCTCATCTCCATTTACTCGAAGTGAAAAACGATAGGACTTACGGAGCTCGGGATCATGGGCTCGGGGCCAACGCGATGCGACGGGTCGGCCTGACGAGGAGATGGGAGGATAATCAAGCCCTCTGGACCTTGACCTCGAGGGACATTTTGAATGTCATTCACCTCATCCGCACGGATTAGACGAGTATAAGAACCATCCTCACGCTGGATACCGTAGGCGTAGGCGACTTCGAGCTGCTCCCGAGTGGGATATGTGTTGCCGGGCACAACGGAGCTCAAGGGAACTGAACCCCCGCCGGTCATCTCCGAGTTGCTGCGGGGGCGAGGCTGAGAAGGACCGTAGCTGGCCATCTCTGGTGCGCGAGGATCGTACGGTTCTTGAAAGTGGCCACCATACTGAGAACCGAATTGTGAACCCTGCTGATAACCGGTTTGGGCAGCATACTGACCGCCGTACTGACCGCCATACGGGGCACCATACTGGCCAGGGGCGTTATGGTAAGTGCTGGTCATGCTTGGAGTCTCCTGACTATAAGTCATCGTGCCTGGGGCTACCGATGAGCGGCCACTCGTATCGTTGCTCGGACGAGCCGAACCTTGTCGTTCACCACGGTCCCGACAAGGTTGGTAGGACATCCTCGATCTTTTGGGTGAGGAGGATCTGGACCTCGGATTTTCGTCTTCAATAGAAGTTAGCAGGCATATCATCTCAGTGTCTCGAGATCCGGTATAAGCTGAAGTATTGGTCGGAGAACCAGGAGAAAGTGGAGGCGAAGCAAAAGAAATCCCGTTGGTTGACATGATTATGCCCAATAAGAGATGAAATAGATAAAATCGGAGAAATGAACAGTCAGGAGGAGAAAAAGGAGGTGGCACGAACAAGCTATCTAGTAGTGTTTTTGAAGTCTATAAAGACTTTTTTTTGGAAGATACTGTTTGCGACAAATCCAGATTAGCCAAACCTGACATACAAATCGAGATGGAAAGGGCCTTACAATGGTCGGTATCAAACCTGACAGGTTTATGTACGGCTCGTCTGCCTAAGGGCCGTTTGTTTGCAATGTTCTGGTTGGACAGGCGTGTCTCGCGAGGCCGGTTTGCTGCAGCGTTTGATGGGTTCCTGCACGTGACAGCTATTAGCTTTGAAAACACACAGAGACCAACAAAACGAGCGGAAGATGAACTTACGGGTTGTTTGTTGTGAGCGAGATTCCTTTGGATGCTTTAGCAGATCCTAGAATTTTGTCCATTAGCAAGACTCAATTTTTTGGTGGGTGTGTCGTGCAGCAGGGGAGGAGAAAGTAAACAAAGGAAAAGGGGTCGGTCAGCCAACAAGCCAACAAGCCAACACTTTAGCAGAAGATTGGAAAGTCAAGCTCTTGCAAGTTCCAGCTTCGAAATCTAACTGCACCGGTGACGGCGACTCGCCATAGGGGTAAGGTGAGCAAAGCATCAATAATAAGGGGAAAGTGACAGCAATAGCAATGCAATGACGGCAGGAACCCAAAATTGTGCAGAACAGTAGACTGTACATGCCCAAGAGAGGTAACAAACTATCCTGCTTTTGCAGAAGCTCATAAATCTACTCTTGTAGAAACTCAAGTCCCTTTGAGTCGCAGGGAGTTGAGGGAGGAGTGGTGAGATAGAGTGAGAAGGCAACGCCGCCCCGACCGACTGAGCGAGACGTGACCATGAGGACCTCAGCAACGTAAATCCTAAAGCCGTGCAAGACAGTAGAGTTTACATTCTAGATGGAGGTAACAGAGCTGGCGCTTTCGCGAAGGCTCTTGAGTTGGAGTGGAAGGAAGAGTTGGGGGAAGAGTCGACCTCCTTCGAGGGAGACTGAAATTTTTGCCTCGAGGGAAGGCACTTACGGTCTTGTATGCGCTGCACAGCAGCTCGAGATAAATATTGGCAAAAGACTCGTAAAACTATCGTATCTAAAGCTCATGCAACCTGGTGGGTGCGGAGGAAGGTTGTTGTCGAAAGGGAAGGGGTGTTGTGTTGTATTGTGGTGTTGGTTCGAAAGAAAGAAAATGTGCGAGAACCCGAAGCGAAGTCCAGATTTATGGTCGTGGCTCGCAGCCTCGTCCACTGCCTACTCGTGCGATTCGGGAATTCACCTAGAATGGAATGCAATCAGATGAACCTTTGCCGGGTGTGCGCCGCAGAGCAAGCTTGAATTGTTCTTGCCAAGTGCCGGATTTGGACTTACAGCGGGCAGCCTTGTCCACCTGTGATTCACTAGCTTTGCAAAAGCTCCACAGAGCCAGATAGATGATTGCTAAAGAGAACAGAAGGATAGGTGAGCGGGACCGCAACCAGGAAAGTGAGCGGGGATCGTTTTGAAGAAAAGTAAGCTGGGCTGCAAAGACTAAAGCATTGACAATGCAAATTCTTGTAGAACAAGTTTAGTAATCTTGAGCCAAGAAAGACCAGAAACAACAGTGCTGATATCTAGGAGATTTGGTATGGCTTAAGGACACTGAAGGGTGAACGGTGTGAAAGTGGTGGGCTTGGGAACTGTTGTCGAAGCGAAGATCCTTTGAAAATGTGAATTGCAGAAACATGGCAACCACTCCGTATTTTGCCGAATGCTTTGCTGACAGAGAGCTCGGGTCACTCACTAGCCGGTTTCCATGGGACTGAGAAAGGCAGCGGAATGACTGAAGAGAGCGGGGGCTATGTCGGGTGCGAAGCTGAACACCTCTGCCACTAGACTTGGAGGTTGATCCGAAGATTCGAAGCGGAAGCTGAAATTGAATCTGATGCCGGAGAAGGCGTGGAGTGCGGCGGAAACTGTGACCTGGAATTTGTCAGCTCGATATTCAGGATAAAGCCATCTTCCCAGCACACATCCATCTCCTTCTATTATATATACCAAAGAGACTTGATTTGAGAACATGATTAACGTAAGGGAAGAGTATGGGAGTGCACGGATAAGGTCTGTCACAACTCCTCGCATTTTCTTCAACGTATTCCCCATAAAGGAGCTTTTGAAAAGAAATATATATCTCTCAAACGTTGTGACCTACTCGTTTGCTATAGAAGATAGAAGTGGCAATTCAAGAAAATATATCATTCAAGGATGAGCCACAAATACTCATTTGCACAGAGGAAGAGTATAGAAAGTCACCGAAGACACTGTATAAGGCAAGCACGTTGTTTCAAGCACGTAGATCAGTTGAAGATCGTGGCCTTCCTTCTTCAAGTCTACGCCATGAGGGATGATATTCTCGTATACCTGCTCATTTTTTGTTGCGACTCACTCCATGTCAGAGGATTATTTCCATGTCAGGAATTTCTGGGAAAGTACAACAAATCGGTTGACTTGGAATTGAGGTCCTTTCCAAAGACGTCTGGTCAAAGCCTGAGGATCGCGCGGGGTGCGAGCAGAAGGTGGTTTTGGCTCGATAGCGACGGGCTCATGTTCTGCATTCTTCCAAGATTTACCTGGATAAAAGCAGATTAGAAAGTAGCCTTGCATGTTGAGCAAAGGCGAAGAGGGCCCAACTTAGCTGGTTCCGTTCTGAATAGACCTTTACTGCGCAGTTATCAGCCTCTTGGAGAGCGGGTTTTCCAATAGATGTTCCCACCCGGGCAGACTGAATGGTTGAATAGTTTCAACAATTCGTTGACGATAGGTAGTATAGTATGTTGAGGTTTAGGTTCCTTGGTCTTGAGAGTGGTCTACGATTGGCAAACCCCATAAGCAGGAAGGTCCGAGCTAAACAGCGTACCGGATAGCATCATCTCTTGGCTTCAAAAATCAATATAATAAATATCACTGCTCTCTGGTAGATCTCTGGAATATGTCCATGGCATCTGGAGGCGGTTGAGCTTTGTAGATGAATCGGTCATCGAAGCAAGACAGGAGCTTTGGTAGAAAGCTCAGGTGTTGACATCGCGCACTTAAGTGTACCTGATTGCACCGTTTCGAGTGATACCCAAGCAAGACTCCCCTATTCTTGAGATAATTCTTGCCAAGTGCTTCGTGGTGTGTCGCTTGCTGGCGGCTTATGAAGCTGCGAAGGCGTATCCTCTGAGCCGCAACAGAGAGACTAGTGGAATATTGTGGCGAGATGTAGATGAAGTCTCGTCAAGTCCCAGCTTGCGAACCAGCTGGATAGAAGGTGTACACGATAAGAAGTCGCAAACTTGGCCTGCCCTAGTAGTCACTCGGTATGGGAAATGACAGATGTTTCACGACTCACTCATGCTGTTCGCCTTTATTCACGATTCTCAATGCCCGTGTTGGTTTACAGAAGCGTCGTCAATGGCTATGATGTATTTCCCTTTGCCATATTTCGCTTTGTTTGCCTTGTTCGTAGACGGTCCACTGTCGTGGGCACAACCAAGGATGCGCCGATGCTGAAGGTTACGCGTAGTGAGAAATAAGCTATCAGAATCGTCAGCACGCACTCCCTTTCCGAGAAGATACAATTTTACAGACCTGTCAAGAGATAGTTCGATGGCTTTCAAGAATTTGTTGAGTTGCTCGTGTTGATGGTCGCGGATACTGACGAGTCCTAGGAATGCAAGGATCTGGACAAGAAGTGGTCAGAATTGTTCGAACTCAAATTTGATCATCTTTACAGTACAGACCTCCGTATACAAACTTTCAAAGACTAGACAGCTCCTCTTGCGTCCCCTGTGTCATTGATAGTATTGCCATGAGGTCCAATGGCTATCGGGAGCAGGTTTTGTGGCCGGGTGAGAAGCAGGGAGAATCAACCAGGGCATTCTGTTTCCAGTTCGAATCGCCTTCAAAGGCAATTGAGGGAGGGGTCCTTTCGGTCCTAACAGTTAGCTTTATTCGTCTTGTTGATGATTACGTCCAATGGGTGGGGTGGGAAGACGAGCAAATCAGAGCCTGTTCCCCCTCAAAGTCGAGAAGGCCAGGAGCTGTCACGCCTAGAGACTGTCAGCTCCCTCAGATGCCATGAAAGGTTTTTTTTTTTTTTTTTTTTGAGGATTACCGGTCTCTTTGGATGCTTGTACGACATCTTGTTAAGCTGCTACCGTCCGATGATGTCGCCTGTGAGCCGATGAGTCGGTGACGCCAGACACCTCTCTCCGCTCCTTCTACAGCTAGTTCTTTCGCCGAGGGTATTGTCCTACGAGTAATCGACAAAGCTTTATGCTGTCGTGAAAACTGAGAATTGAGGTTGACGATTTCGTTGAATATGTGGTCGAGATCAGGGGCTTGAGGTGGTTCAGCAAGCGTTGTGGCCCAGATTGCGGAGGCACCCCCGCAACGAATCCGCTGCCACCTCATTTCCCTGTGAACATCATCTGCCACATATTCCAAAGTTGAGATCTTGCCAGAACTTTCCTTGCTTCCGTAGCTGGCTGGGATCATCGACTGCAAAGATAGGATATCCCATCTATCTATCTCTAGGTAGGGATTCTCGAGAACCCCACAATGCTTCGGGCTATTCACGGGTGCTCCGATCCGGAGGGAGGACCCGCGCAAGCTAAAGCGAAGAGGAACTGGCCGATTCCGACGCCGCCTTGAAGGAGCTTCTCTAAAGTGACGGAACTGATTTCCTCCTTCGGCCACAAGCAACCAATAATGAATTAACTTTCAGTTGGCAAGCGGGGTAGAAACGCGGTACAATAACCTTAGTGCGTAGGTTCAACGTGAAAGTGCAATGCATTCTATTTTCACGTGAGACAACGAGCAAGAGTCTTTCAAATGGGTCTCTGGAGCTCATCCAGAAATACTCTGGCATTCCCAGCGAGTGAGCATCCTAATAGGCTTCTAGATCTGGACATATAGATTGAGGGGGTTTGAGCATGTTTGGGGCTTTGCAGTGGATCAAAATGTGGATTTCGTGCCTTGGCAATGCAGACATGCTTCCCGACTGCTTGTCCAAAGTTTCGCATACTTTGGAGACCTTAAGAGTGCTACGGAGACGCTGTCAGAGATACCAACAATCTATCAAACATGCTCACGCTAGAAAATTTGCGACCTTGGCCAAGAAAGCGTTCTAGGGTAAGATATTTTTCGGGGTACGTTTCCCGCAGGACTTCAACCATTTTCCTTCCTTCACCAGTCTTTTCTGTCAAGAAAGCGTATCACCAAAAGTTCAGCAAATATGCTTTCAGTTATCCAGCGACACATTCAAGAAGCATCTAATACCTCTCTTCTGGAGCCGCATTGGGGATATGTCAATCGAGTTCTCCCTTGTACTAATGATGTTGGGTCTTGTGAATACTTGGTAAGTGCTGGGGGGGCCATGAATAATTTCTCTACATTACATTGTCCCAGTTCTCTCGAAACAATCTGTGTTGAGCAATTGCTGACTTCACCGTTACCTAGGATTCCGTGTACTGGATGCACGATGTCTCCATGCTTTATACCTTCATTCTTTGGGCGGCTATTGGCTTCACGTTGATAGTTATTTTCGCTCTCCGTGTTTCAGAGCCGTGGCCCAGCTGGAAGAAGACGCAAGATGGGCATGGGGATCAAATCATTCGCCGGCCAGCCAGCCTACATTACAGGTCTTGGAGAGCAGTTCGAGCTACATTCAGAAAGTGGATTTTGCCCGAAGCGTTCGTTGCTTTCTTTGGAAATGTTACCAGACTGCAACTTCTCGTTCTCGCGATCTTGCTAGGTTACCTTTTGATATTTTCGTAAGTATCTGAGATATTAATTTCCTCTTTCTTGAACATTAAGTTCGTACAATGGTTACGACTGACACCTAGATAGCTTTGTAGGAATAGTTTACAAGACGTGGATTACCCCAGTCAAGAACTCGACTCTACACAATACTCGAACTAGGCTTGGAGGTTTCGCTGATCGTGTTGGGGCACTTGCTTATGCTTTGACTCCTTTGACCATAGCCTTATCATCTCGAGAGTCTATTCTCACTCTCATCACTGGCATTCCGTATCAATCCTTCAACTTTCTGCACCGCTGGTTAGGGCGAATCATTCTCATTCAGTCTTTCCTCCACACGCTGGGATGGACACTCATCGAAGGCCGTTTCTACCAACCCCAGCCTACCACATTCAAAAATTTCATCAATGAGACCTATATTGTCTGGGGCTGCGTTGCCATATTTTTCATCACATTTCTGTATATTTTCAGTTTGAGATGGGCCATTGCGCTTACAGGGTACGAGGTTTTCAGAAAGGCCCATTATGTTGTTGCCGGTAAGTTCTGCTCATTCATATCCCCTCCTCTGGAAAGCGCTACATATTCATAATTGTATTTCACAACAGCACCAACTGAATGTTCTGTAGGACTCTATCTTGGGGCATGCTGGGCGCATTGGAGCCATCTAGCTTGTTGGATGATCGCATCACTTGGAATTTTTGGGCTGGATAGAGGAATAAGATTGTTCCGAACGGCCATGATACATAGCGGACATGGAGGGGGTACAAAGGGTCTGTAACCTCCCACTTGTTCGTTTGAATCATGAGACTAATTAAAAATGTTAGGATTCGGATTCCACTGTGTTCAATTGAGCCTACGTTATTTCCACGACGAGGATGGTGGTGTGATCCGTCTCAAATTGCAGGACACTCGCAAATCATGGGCGGTTGGTCAGCATTACTTCTTGACCTTTCCAGCCCTCACAATATGGCAATCACATCCGTTCACAGTTGCTTCCGTTCCAGGACAGCATCACTTCATCATCCGCTGCAGAAAAGGGGAAACTAGCCGACTCAAGAGGTTGGCGACTCAGACATCGACGACTTCCGAAGGGGTCCCTACCTTGAACCAAACTCCAGTCGTACTCTGTGGCCCTTATGGGACGGCCCTGCTTACCTCGAAGTCTCAACCAACGAATATTCTTGCCATCGCTGGTGGAACGGGTGTATCGCTTACACTGCCACTTGTGCTCGCTGCTACAGCTGCGCCTGATTTTGCCGAAGTCGCTGTAGACTTTGTTTGGATCATACGTCGACAGAGCAACCTGCAATGGATTGCAAGCGAGCTGGATGGACTGAAACGACGTGCTTCTTCGGGCGCCATCAATTTCCGAGTCCATGTATATGTCACACAAGTAATGGACGATACGTTCACAGCTCAAAATTTAGAAAAGTGCTTGCTTGGAGTATCAAGTAAACCAGCATCGGAGGCTTCAAACGGGGAGCGTCGGATTGACGAGCTGGACTTTAACATTACCTACACCAATTCCGAACATCCTTCCCTTTGTAACATCGTTTCCGAATTTAAAGACAGTCGTTCAAGTTCTGCATTTCGCACAAGGGTGATTGGTAGTGGTCCCGCAAGCATGGGACATGACTTGAGAGCAGCTGTGGCTAAATGGAATGACGGACCGAAAGTATTGAGGGACGAGAAGCTTTGGGACATGTCATTGGATTGGGATGATAGGATGGGCTGAACACAATGCAGAACGCTTTTTACCATTAACTCTTACATTAATTTAGTTAGTCATATCTTATAAAAAGTTTTCAGAGCCTCCGGTCTGGATCCACTTCCTTCCTTCTTTTTTTAACACATGGATGGACTCTTTCGAGCCGTTTGAAGATTTAGGAATGTACTTATAATTTCATTTCCTTGTTAGTGCTGTGAGTTCGGAGCTGCTTGAGATCTTCAAGGTAGTTTACACATAGCACTGATCCTCGTAAGCACTTACTGGCCATAAGCCTTTCCAGAATCGATACCAGCTCGAGCGAGATTGTGTTCCTGAAAAGGATATTTTTAACATCTGAAACATCCTCTTTTTGAAAAATAATCAATCTTCTGATATAAATTCTGAAATAGGTTAGCGCAATATCGGCGTTAAAACAAGCGCGTCATTAATCCTTGTTAAACACGGCATCGCGATGAGTGGCTTCACGATGACTTCAACCAACAGCGCTGCACCATAGGTTCTTGACCGTGTAGAACTATTGTGACGCGGATCAAGTCCTTAATAAGGATCTTTGGCATAGCCCATTCCGCAGCAAGCGTGTCTCGTCAACGACCCTAGCGACCCGCCGACCTATGACCCACCTACATGCTGTTTCTCACTCAAGCACCATGATACAGAAGCGGGCTTTCGTTGGAATCTGTTAGGATAGCTGTAGTTGGGTATTTGGTCTTGTACAAACAGTTCTTGATCTCCGCTGACGGCTGCTGCAGGGAAAGCTCTGTATTTACTTAGAGTCGCGTAGTCGCGCGTCGCGAAGCCACCATGGCCACCAAGAAACAAATCCCAGACTCGGACGCATCTGAAGATTTAGAGACCGAGAATGTCCATACACCCGAGCCTAGAGACGAAGAAGAGAAGAAAGACGCTTCCCCGCCACAATCGACACTTTCACACCGATTTCGAGAATCGCCGCAAAAGCGCTCCGAAGATCGCAAGAGAGAGAAGAACTCGGATGACTCTATTGCAGTTATGGTGCCGGCTCCTGAGCGGCCGTGGGAATATCAACCATATCGTGGCGACACAACAGTTGACTCTGTTATTGAACTCAAGGTCATGGATGATAGGGAGTGGTACACGATCGATTATGAGGATGGCAAGAGAGAACTTGTGAGTGTACTTTCATATCACTTTCCGGCCGAAGTGCTTCCAGTTTGGCCTTGCGTTATGTTTGTTGTCCCCCCTGTGTCACTGTTTCTGGCGGTGAGCTTCGACGAAGTTGTATCCGGAGGTTTCGGATCAGGTGCTGCTTATTTGCTTTCCCTGAGAAGGCGCACCGCCAAAGCAGGACATTGGGGGCTTAACAGTGGTAATTGCCAGTCTCATACTCCAGGAAGCCATTGTGTTCTAGTTGAGGATGCAAAAGCGGAGCAACATTCTCAAAGACATAAAGGGTGATCCGAGGAAGTTTTCGCGCAGTTTCTTCACCTTTGCGCAAGTTACCCCTTATTTGGATTAGGGATTCTGTAGCCTTTGTATGCTCAATTATACAGGGGCTTTGCACTTGTGCCTGCAATTGTATTCCCTTGTGTTGTCATCTTTGGAAAGAAGAATCCACTGCTCGTAACGGTCTGTTTACAAACCTGTGGCGCGTAAGCGATCCCTGAGTGCTCGGATCTTAGCGAGGTTATTCTTCCACCCCCTTGCACCTTCCTTCCTTCTTCAACCTTCCCCAACCTCTTTTAGTCTCCGCCTGTATCCTTCCTTCCACGGCATCATATGTTTCACGTCAACGTCTTCTCAGCCTTGAGCAGAGCAGCCTCTTAACAGCTATTTCTGCTCCAGCAAAGTCAGTTGTACCCAAAGAGCGCCATCCTCCTGCTTGCGTTTGACGGTTGAAATACCTTCGTCACTCTTTTCATATTGTTCGTAAACCCATCACCTTCACCCCTCCTTTTATTCGTTGACGCGTCATGTCACCTTTCAATATCCACATCTGGATCGCATGTCGTCTTCAATACTACATTCTTCAATTGAGGCATTACCTCCTCAGATCTTTCCTTCCTTCCTTGAATATTTTGTTGATATTTGCATACAGGTCCCTCTTGAGAAGCTTCTCAGCCTTCGAAACGGCCCAAACGCGCTGGATATCTTCGAAATTGGAGAAGAAGATATTGAGGATTCGCAAGACAACAGCCATTCGAGTTTCGAGCGCGGTATGTCTTCCTCTGCTGGCAAGCGAAATCGGACTACAGCAGCAAGAACTAGCTTTGTTTCTAGCTCTGTCATACCTGTGGACTTCGGCGATGACGACCTTTCTGGAGAAGACGACACAATTGTCAAAAAACGCCGCCTCGGGAAAGGAAAAATCTCGGTTTTGACAAACCGAAGTAGTCGCCAAGGGTCACGCCAGAGTAGTAGGCTTAGCAGCCGTCCTCAGTCTCGCGCCAACAACGGCGATGAGAGTTCTGACGACTCTGACCTGGAACCACCAACGAGTCGGGGCATGCAGCCAACCCGTGGTAGTCGGTTCGCAACACGTTCTTCTGGACGAAACACGCGATCATCCACCGCAAAACCCATCATCAAGTTGCTTACAAAACCTTCCAAGACCATTGACGATAATGAATCCGATGAATTGGCTCGAGACGTGCCCGAAGACAGCGACGGTTCCCACATCGTCTATCGGCAACGTAGCCAGAAGAAGACAACCAAAGGTCGGCAAAGCAGATCCGAATCGAAGGGGAAACATGGTAGAGGTCGCCGAATTGTTGATGATGAGTCTTCTTCATCTCCAGAGCGAGCCACTCGCCGGTCTGGCCGTGAAAGAGTCGTCAAAAACATGAGGGAGCGTGACATGGAAGAGGAAATCTATGCCGATGAAGTCGCTACCAACAATGCACCTAAAGTCATCAGCATACGAGAAATCTTCCAGCCAGTCCCCAAAGACTCGCCTTTCCGCCTTTTGCACAACCAGGATTGTGATGTATGCGGAGGCACCGGAACACATTCCAACAAAGGCCCTAGTCCTCTGATATTCTGCCAAGGATGCTCCACCTCAATTCACAAGGTATGCTTGGGATACCGCAGTGGAAGAGATCATATGGTCACCAAAGTCGGCCAGGAAAATTTTGTCATGCAATGCCGTCGATGCATTGGTGTCGTGGCAAAGAAGGATCGATTTGCCCCACGACTCGATATCTGTCAAGGCTGCAATCAGGAGGGGCCAGCCTGTGCGGCTTTCTCGCCAAAGAGGACTGCCAAGCAAGAGGAAAAGCTACGAGAGGAGAACGCTGGAGATGACCCGGTCACGGAAGTCTCGGAAACTTTGATAAATAATTCCAAGAACGTCTTATTTCGGTGTACTTCTTGTGCACGCACTTATCACTTTAATCATCTACCACCCTTGTCGAAGTCTTCCAAGACACCAGAGGACGTTGATGAACTTCGCCAAGAACGCTTCGAAGAGTACTCACAAGGATGGCAATGCAAGGAATGCCTGGAGGTTCCGGCAAAAATTGATGCTCTTGTTGCATGGAGACCCGTGGATCGGGATTCTTACGTCACTGGCCAGACACTCGAAGACTTTACTGAGGACGAGAAGGAGTACCTGATTAAGTGGGAAGGGAAGTCACACTTTAAATGTTTATGGATGCCTGGTGCTTGGGTATGGGGTGTCACTGTTGCGATTATGCGGAACGCTTTCCTGAAACGAGACGAAGGGATCAATCTGCTTCCGAAATGGACTTCCGAGGAAGCAATCCCCGAGGAATTTCTACGTATGGAGATCGTTTTCGATGTCAGCTACGTGAAAGGCTTCCGTCCCAAATCAGAGTCGGCGGACAAGGCAGCGATCAACATGGTAGACGAGGTTCTGGTCAAGTTTCAAGGACTTGGTTATGATGATGCAGTCTGGGAGGAGCCTCCAAAGCCAGATGATGAAGATCGATGGAGTGATTTTGTGGCAGCCTACAATGAGTATGTTGTCGGCCAATACTTCAAAAATCTCCCAGCAGCGGCCATGAAGGAGCGCGTGGATGACTTTCGATCATTACATTTTGCAAAGAAGGTCGAACTGAAGAAACAGCCATCGGCTCTCACAGGGGGCGAAATGATGCCTTATCAAATGGAAGGTCTCAATTGGCTATTGTATAATTTTCATCAGAAGAAGAACGTTATCTTGGCTGATGAAATGGGACTTGGGAAGACCATCCAAATCATCTCTCTATTTGCGTCTCTCGTCAAAGGCAATCCCAAGGTAGGTCCGCTTCCTAATCTACAAGTATCATACTGATGAGCTTAGTGCTGGCCCTTCCTTGTGGTAACTCCCAACTCGACTTGCCCAAACTGGCGCCGAGAAATCAAGAAATGGGCACCCTCACTTCGAGTTGTCACGTACTACGGTGGTAAGAAGGCGCGAGATATGGCTATGAAATACGAACTATACCCCAATGGATGCTCAGACCTGAGAGCGCATGTGGTCGTTACATCTTACGAAGGCCCTACGGATGACTCAAGTAAATCTTTCTTCCGTAAGGTGAAGTGGGCTGGAATGATTGTGGACGAGGGCCAGCGTTTGAAGAACGACGCAAATCAGCTTTACGTCGCCTTGAAGGCATTGAAGATTCCGTATCAAGTTCTTCTCACCGGTTCGTTACCTCTAATTATCCAGTTTGCACTGGCTGACACCCTCTTGAAGGCACCCCTCTGCAAAATAATAAGCGGGAGCTATTCAACCTACTCCAATTCCTGGATAAATCCATGAATGCTGCCGAATTGGATGAGAAGTATGAGGAATTAACGAAGGAGAACCTACCGGAGCTTCACGAGCTTATTCGACCATTTTTCTTAAGGCAAGTTACACCACCGTCACGAATGACTCTCGCTGACTTCAATTTAAGGAGAACCAAGCTTCAGGTCCTGAAATTCCTGCCGCCGATGGCGCAAGTCATCCTGCCAGTGACGATGAGTTTAGTACAGAAGAAGCTTTACAAGTCTATCCTCGCCAAGAATCCAGAGCTTATACGGTCCATATTTGGGCAGAGTAAAGCTGCTCTTCGACCGGCTGAGCGAGGAAATTTGAACAATATCCTCATGCAGCTACGTAAATGTCTTTGCCACCCCTTCGTTTACAGCCAGGCAATTGAGGAACGAACGGTCGGCGAAGCAGCTCTCCATCGAAACCTTGTTGATGCATCTTCTAAATTTCAACTACTAGAGATCATGCTACCGAAATTGCGAGAACTAGGTCATCGAGTCTTGATATTTAGCCAGTTTCTCGACCAGCTGGACTTGGTGGAGGATTTTTTGAATGGACTTGATCTGCCTTTTCAACGGTTGGATGGTCGGATTGGTGCATTAGAGAAGCAGAAGAGAATCGATCAGTTCAACGCGGCTGATTCGCCGCTCTTCGCCTTCTTACTTTCAACTAGAGCTGGAGGTGTTGGCATCAACCTTGCGACAGCTGACACAGTTATTATCATGGTATGTTCCCTACAGATTTTGAATAGCTCCAAACTGACCTTGGATATAGGACCCCGACTTCAATGTAATTGGCAATCACCACATCTACGAAATCTGCTGACTTTTCTAGCCTCACCAAGATATACAAGCTCTTTCCCGCGCTCATCGAATCGGTCAAAAGAACAAGGTCTTAGTCTTTCAACTCATGACTAAGGATACTGCTGAAGAAAAAATTGTCCAAATTGGCCGCAAGAAAATGGCCCTCGATCAAGCCCTTATCGAGAGCATGGGTGCCGAAGACGATGCTGGTGTTGACCTGGAGTCCATCCTCAAACACGGGGCTGAAGCATTATTCAACGACGATGATCGGAACGATATTCATTACGATTCTGCTTCCGTTGACAAGCTCCTCGACCGAACCAAGGTCGAAAATATCAACCCTAATGAAGAAACGACCGCAGAATCTCAATTCTCTTTCGCGAGGGTTTGGGCCAATGACAAAGGCACTCTAATAGAAGATCTAGGTGATGCAGATGCCGAACCATCCGTCCCGAACTTCTCAGTCTGGGACAAAATTTTGAAGCAACGTGAAGCAGATGCGGCAGCTGAAGCCGCCAGAAACATGCAAACGTTTGGCCGTGGAAAGAGAGCACGCCAGGTCAGTCTTGTTTAATCTCTCTTGTGGAATTACGCTAATGCAATGAAAGATGGTCGACTACAAGAAGAACGTAGACCTCGACGACGACATGCTAGACTCCTCGCCTTTGAAGCTACCAAACAAAGGCCGCCCCGATGAGTCGGCAAGTGACATAGATTTCGCTGCTGGAGATACTGATGGAGATGACGATTCTGACGGTGGAGAAATGGTGGATCCGCGAGAGTTACAGCCACCACAGGAGCGCTCAAGAAGCTCAATCACCACACCGCCAAAAGGTAAATCACCCGTGAAGAAAGTCACCTCTTCGCAACCAAAAGGCTCTTCTCTTAAAAAGCCTGCAACGGTTATTCCGATCAAAAAGCAGCAAGTTTCTGCCAAAAAGATCTCCGTTCCTCCAAAAGTTCTAAACAAATCTACGCACACTGCTCCGGCTTCGTCGAACAAGACAGTTGGTTCGAAGAAGCCGGAAAAAGTCAACGCCCAGAACCTTCCTCAGAAGATCAAGAATGGCGAAAAAGTCAAGCCAGGAATCCCGGCCAAGTCTTCAGAAGTCAAGGAGAAAGCTCCTACTGCAAACAGTATTCCGAAGCCCGCAGCCAGCAAAGGCACGAAAATAATGCAACCGAAGAAGCAGGAGGCTACTCCTATCAAGCAAATAGTCCCCTCAGCTTCTTCAGCAGCAAACAATACCAACTTGGGCAATAGAAAGACTAAACCTCTTCCAGCCAAGCCAGCAAATGCGGTTAAGGTCAACCCCAGTCTCAGCGAGCACTCCGTTCCAGCAAAGACTCTTCATATCTCCGCAAATGTCAAGCCTGACGCTGCTCCGAAGACAGCCAGTGCTGGGAACAAGGAGCCAGTGGCTTCAGAGACCACCACAGCACCTCAGACTTCAAAAAAAGCTCGGGGTTTTGCTAATTCTCCTATTACAAAATCCAATATTTCGAATCCTGCTGCGTCAAGTCTATTGAAAACCACCCTACAGATAGCTAATTCGCAACCCCAGAATATCGACCAAACTCCTCAAATCACAGCCCACAATTCAATCGAACCTTCGAAGAAAGATCCCGTCAACCCGTCCCTGGATTCCGGCACGCTCCAGACGTCAATTTCAACGAGCCTGCTAGCCACCAATTCCGTTCCAATTCAAGGTCTAGGGCCTATGAAAATGGATTTGGACAACAGTCTAGGGCAGATGCAAATCCAATCCACCAAAATGGATCTGGACAACGACCCAGACCAGGTGCAACCCCGGGCCAACAAAATGGATTTGGCAAACATGTCCAAGACCAGCGAAGCAGCCCCCCGGCTTATCCTGCGATTCTCCCTCCCGTCAAAAATGGGAGAGCTAGCAACCAAACTCAAGCAGAGCATTTCTGCAACCACTGCCAAACCAGACACGTTGCCGGACAGTGCCCACTGCAAATGATGGGTGCCGACTATTGCAAGCGGTGTGGAGTGGCCCATTTCGGATTCTCCGACAAATGTCTCCATTACTTGAGCGTCTTACAAATCCGGGTCCTGCTGGACTCCTTACGCCAGAGCAACGAGCCAAAAGCAAAGGTTGACGCAGCGCGTGTGGTCCTTAGGCGGGAACTTGCAAGAAAGTTGCAGCCGAGTAAAAAAACCCCACGTACTGGCCTTCCCTCTTAGAGTAATTACCATCGAAGGGGTCTGAAGGCAATTAAGCCTTAGATCTGCAGCAGGTCAAGCATGGCAGGATCCCGCTTCCCAGTCAATTCGTCGTCATTGGCTCTCTACAAACTCTTTCTATTCATAGTTTTCTTCTTTTTCGTCTTCGGGCCTGCAATGCTTCTTGCTGGGTATCGGAGACGATTGGCGGGATGAGCCTTCAGCTCAATCCAGATCTTGCATGGCGCAGCGTTATGAGAGACATTTTCATAGAGCGTTCAGGTTTTAGACTGATTCAGGAAGACCGGCCGGAAGTTCTCTACTCAATGCACAGATTTCTTCCATTCGAGTTATCACCCTGAAATTCCTTTTCTGACAACTTCTGCGTGCAATCCCGACCAAATACAGTAAAATGTGAAGATAAACCCCACCCCCCCTCAAGCCCCTACTTTCGTATTTGGCTGCGGGAGTACCCCCTGAATCCTTGTCGCAGTAGCGTGGGCGTGTCAGCATGCGTCAACCGCATAAAATTTTCTCGGCCATCACATCCTCAGCAACGCCCCAGGATTGAAATGCTCAACCTTGTTCGGTCTAGAACGGGGAGGAATTTGCCATCTCGCTCAATTGCGCTGCATCGATGCTATCACGTAGGCAAAGCCGGCGTGGTCCACACTGCAATCCGACAAAGTCTACGCAAATCGAAAGGACAAGGCCTCAGAGCATCGACTAAGCGGGCTCTTTCTGCAAATGACCCACGAGAAAAGTACAGAGTGCAACATGGCCTTCCCAAGTGGGTAGACCCTCCGAGGGACCGTTCTCCGAGAGACGACTATGACTACGGCCTCGAGAAGAATTCGCCAACGAAGAGGGCTGGCGGGTCTATGAATGGATGGGGCGAACGCGGAAAGACGAGTACGCGCGACTTCGAGAAGAGATCCCTAAGGGAGCAGACTACCGAGCCATGGATGGGACGGGGGAAACGTACGAAGAAAAGCACGCTTAACTTCGAGAAGAAACCGGCGAGGCAGTGGGAGATGCGAGGCAAGACGGACACAAGCGACCTACGAATTCGTCTTGGGAAGAGACTTATAACAGGCAAGGAAACAGAGGGTGGAGGGCGTGCTGAACGACCGGCACGATCTGCGGGTCCATACGAGGACTCGGTTTTCAGATACTCTGATCGACGTGAACGAGATTCAGATAATGGCTCACGACCGTTCAGAGCTAGGAATCACGAATATGAAAGGCCGGCACGATCTGGGCGGTCATACGAGGAAAGAAATTCCAAGCATTTTGGGAGACGCGAACGAGATTTAGACGATATTCCCAGGCAGTCCAGAGGTATGAAGGAACCTTCTGAGACGACGCGTGACATTCAGGGGCGAAATTCTGGAAGAGATTCTGGATCTCCATCGCCTCGTTCCTGGGAACGCCCAAGTGATGATCGGTCATACGGTTCAAGATCCCGTGATCGGCCTTCCGAACCAACAGGGGGTGACCTTTATCCATCTCTATCCTTCAAGAGAGGCTCATCCGGGTCAAAATTTGGGAACGCAAGCTCGGCAGATAGAAGACCTTCGGATAGACCTGCGCGTCAGGGCGATCCAGAACCTTTCGACCGCAGTCCAAAATACGGCAGCAAGTTCCCTAGTGCCAATGTACCGCGTGATGAGCGTTCTTCGTCCAATGGCCCGAAATTTACTCAAGTTGCCGACAATCGAATCCCTCTCTCGATACCATACACTACGCCTGCGTCCGAATTCTTATATGGAACTTCGGTCGTCGAATCAGCTTTGAGATCTCGAGGAGAGCCGCGAAGACAGCTCTACAAATTATACATTTATACGGGAGAGAACCGCAAGGATCTTGATCAAGATGCTAGGTTAGAGATATTAGCAAAGAGAAATAGTGTTGAAGTAGTCCGAGTTGGGAATGAGTGGCTTCGTGTTATGGACAAAATGAGCGGAGGGCGGCCGCACAATGGTTATATTCTGGAGGCATCGCCCCTTCCCAGACTCCCTGTCACGGGTCTTGGTCAGCTCATGACAGTGGATGGTCAGGATGGTTTCGAAGTCTCCATCGGCTACCAGTCTCGAGAAGAAGCTGCAGTCAATGGCACTTCCAACTTCGTTAAGATCCAAAGAAATCGACATGGAAGGAAGCCTTTGGTTCTCCTACTGGATAGTATTGTGGACCCTGGCAATCTCGGTGGTATACTTCGGACGGCGGCTTTCCTTGGGGTAACAGCCATCGCCATCTCAGCCCGCAACAGCGCATCTTTCACTCCAGTCGTCCTCAAAGCATCTGCAGGTGCTTCTGAAGATGTTACCCTATTTATGGTTAACCAACCTGCTGGCTTTATTGTTGATTCGAAGAATGCTGGCTGGAAAGTTTTCGCGGCTGTGGCTCCCGCTAAAAAGCATGATCCGGCTATGCCTGCCTCGATATCTACCGAACAGCTGGACGATCCACTCTCTGAAGACCCTTGTATCCTCATGCTAGGCAGTGAGGGTGAGGGCCTCCGTTGGAACCTGAGAACCAAAGCCGATGTGAACCTGTACATCGAAGGCTCGCGTCAGAGCCACAATATTGACAGCTTGAATGTCAGTGTTGCTGCTGGAATATTGTGCTGTTCCTTTTTGAAGAGAAAGAAACCTAAGGAAGCAGCCCTTATTCAACAGGAGCAGGAAGCAGATAAAAAGGTGCCCGAGACGGTCAAGCTCTTCTAGGTTCTGAGAACGACCCTACGGCACTTTATGGCCAGCTATCTTCATTTGTCATGTACGAGTAGGAATCCCGAAGGTCAACGCCACTCTTTATATCTCGACCATATATGTATGAGCAGGTAGATAAGATACCCCATGTAAAGATATATAGAATCAGATGGCTCATGAGGCTTGCAGGCCAATGTTTCTCCTTCCCTTTGGCATTGCCCAAGATTTATTTACCAGTTTCTCGAGACGCGATCTCGTAGCCGCCCATCAAGCACGTCAAGGCCACCAGACCAACGCAAAGTTGCGTACCGATGTAAGCACCCGGGCCGGTTTCACATTGGCAGCTAGGCCTACAACCTGAGCCGAGTGGATCTCAAGGTTTATCCCATCAGAATCTTCTTGGCTACGTCCAATGAAGCTTAGATATTTGGGAGAATGACTAGCTTTCTAGCCTTGAAGGTAGGCTTCACTGTAGCGAGGCCGGAGGGAAGAGGCCTTTTCAAGGGTGGGCGCTCTGCGTGACTGATCCTTTCACCAGCAACCAATTTCTGTCGTCGTGGAGAAAAGTACGCTGCATTAAAACTACATTCTCATCTTCTACAAAGCAATGATGGTTAAGAATCGAGATTAAAGTACCAATTTTGACTTCCAACTGACCAGCTTGGCCGCGGATGTTTCTTCAATAGCCCTTCTCTTCTCTCAGGTCTCTTAGCGGAGTATAAGCTTTGGGTCTAAGCTTCCACCCGATCCGACCGTCGGCCGATCACCAGGATCTGATAACCACCTTGCATAATCTGATCCGCGCTGATCCGCTCCAGATGATCTTATCTGATCTCTAGCGCGGCTTCAATCCCACCTCCAGGCCTGCTCTCTCCATTAAATGATGGCTTACGCTGCAGCGGTAGCCGTGGGAACTAAAACGCCCCGAACTCGACGAATCAGTCATCTAGTTGGGAAAATTTTTGTCTTTCTATTCTCTCCCGAGTTGCTTGGCAGTGCTACGTGTTGTTGCAATCATTATCTTTCCCGCTTTAGTTTCTGGCCTGACTTCGCTGAAGCCGAGGGATAATGGCCAATACCGTCTTCTCTCCTCTCTCCTCTAGTGACGAGGATGAGTGGAGGTGTAGAAATGCACAATAAGTCTCTGCCGCCCTCAAATTTCTTTTTCCCTTACAGTCTATCCATAAAACTAACAAGAAGCGTCCCCCTTCGCAAACTTCAGCTCATGCTCGTCTCATTTTCAAATCATTCACAATGACAGCTGTCTCCTCGAACACTGCTGCCACTGCTACCGCTACTGCAAAAGCAAAAATTGCGGCTGCTAAAGCACTGAGACAAAAGAACAATGAAAACACAGCCAAATTTCTGACCCTTGGTATGGCTGGAATAATTGCTCTTTTCGTGATCTTTCACTGGACTCGGATGTTTTACAAACGCTATGGAACTCGCCAAAGCCGCAGCTCAAGCGTTCTCAAATTTCCCATTGCTTTTACCAGGTCAGACTTTTAAAATCATCGCATAGTATTGAATAGGACTTACATGTCGAACAGGAGCTCTAGGCGCATCCTCATTCAAAAAGTTCCAGGTTTCATCTCGGCGGGTCACGCTTTGGTATTTCTTGGGTACTTGGCCACTTGTCTTAGCATTTCATTTGTCAACCTTGACTGGATGACGTTGAATAACCTTGCAAAGCGCTTGGGATGGTAATGGCCTTGTCGGCAAAGTCCTTTCATTGCTGACAGCATCTCAGGGTGGCCGTTGCTAATCTCGCTTTTGTCATTTTCCTCTCGTTGAGGAACACGCCTCTTACTTTCCTCACAGCCTATTCATATGAGCGGCTCAATGTCCTCCATCAAGTAGCAGGCTACTCAACAATAGCCTATGCAATGGCCCATGCGGTGGTGTACATCGTAGCTGTAGGTTACAAGCTCCCTCTCACCAATCAGGCCTCTTTTGAAGCTCTCCTGACTCTCCCTCTCAGTGGTCCAAGTCGGATAACCTCCACGAACTTCTATACACGGTTCAGATCTTCGGTATTACGGCGGGTTTTGCCATGCTCGTCATCCTCGGAAGCTCATTACTGCTCCGAAAGCTCCAATACGAAACTTTCTATATCATCCACATCCTCATGTCTACTCTCATCCTCATCACCGTCGGCATGCACAGACCGGATATGACGAAGAAAACTCTAGTCATTGTTACCTTCGCGGCCTCGATCTGGGTTGTGGATCGGATCTTGAGATTCGTAAAGTTCACAGTATACAGCGTCGGAAACGCAGCCACGATTACACCACTCCTTCACGGCGGGACACGTATTGTTCTTCGCAAGACTCCAATCGGGGCTGTTCCTGGCACCCACTGTTTCCTTTGGATTCCGGGGATTAGAGCAACAGAGTCTCACCCTTTTACAATCATTTCTACGAATCCTCTTGAGTTTGTAGTTGCTGCTTATGATGGCTTCACTCGCGACTTGCATGAACATGCTTTGAAGAATCCAGGCCAGGCCCTGAAGGCTTCAGTTGATGGGCCTTATGGATCAGTGCCAGACTTCACGGCATTTGACAAGGTCATCTTCATTGCTGGAGGAAGTGGTGCGTCCTTTACATGTGGCGCTGCCGTGGAAACCCTGCGAAAGTTGGGAGATTCAACAGCGACGGCTATCGAGTTCATCTGGGTTGCAAGAGAACAAGGTGTGTCCATTAAATCCGAGCTTTGATATCAGTAATTGATAGCAGGTAGAAATCATTGAATGGTTCACCAAAGAGCTAGAGCAACTACATGCCTCGCCTCTCGTGAATCTACACATCCACAATACATGCCTCTCACGACCATCAACCCTACGCAAGTCCTCGCTTTCTCTGGAAGAAGAAAAGAAGGAGTCATCAACATCCGAATTGATCCTCTCTCCAAGAGCTTCCGAAGACGTAGATATCGAAAAGGAACATGCTTCTACTTCGTCTTCTCTCTACTCCTCTCTATCAATAAATCAAGGGAGACCAGATATTGCGGCAATTATCACGGATATTGTATCGAAAGCTGATTCGTATGATAGGATTGCGGTTGTTGCTTGTGGGCCGGATGGTATGGTACACGTTGCTAGGAAGACGGTGGCGAAGAATATTTGGGTTGACGGGCCGAGCTTGGAGTTGTATTGTGAGCAGTTTGGTTGGTAGATTCTTGCAAGTGAAAATAAGGATGCTTCCAAGGCATGGGACGGATTTCAACTTATTTGATCCGGTGTTGGGTGATTCTGCACTTGACTTATAGAAAATAGAAGGCTGTCATTGGATCATTGAGTGGAGTCAAGTGTAGAACGTGATGCAAAATTCAGATGCAACTTGATGCCGTCTCTATGATACCTTGATAATCAAGGATAGTGAATCAAGTTCGCATCAAATCTACCTCATGCCCAACCTAACCGTACCATCGTGGAGCTTTTTGAAGAAGGAACAAATGTCAGGGGTGTGCAACGGATCTAGCACGAATCGACAAAAGAGTGGAGGAGCCTTCAACCACTCCAGTTGAAATTGGAGAAGGCTCTGAATCTAATAGTAAATTGTTGTACATAGAAGTACGCAAAAAATTCCGGGAAAATCAACCCAAACGACATACCACTTGCACCTGGGGCATATGCGACATCTGCCAACTGGTAATGCTCTTTCTCCACTCCGTCCTCATGATCCTCAATCTTTACTCGACTGGTGATTTTCCAACCCAGCAGGTGGTACATTCATGTAGAGTTCCAGCGGCTTCATCGATGGTTGCCTAGCCTCCCCTTGTTGCATCGACGAGCCGGGCATTTCTTGTAGTGGGTACTGTGATTGTTGCTGCTTCTTCTTCCTTCGCAGACAAAACACCACCAGCCCAAAAATGGCAGGAAGAGCTACTAATCTAACTCCAATACTGATACCAACTTTCACACCTGTTCAAAGCCCAGAGCTAGTAACGATCCCGGTCTGAGAATCGTGAGGACGTATTGGAGGGAGATCCAGAAGTTGTCGTGCTTGGATGAGATGAGGAAGGATGTCGAGGAAGCAAAACCGGTTGCTTTGTAACGGATCGAGAAACCAAAACCGTTTACTGCTTCAGTCTCCGGGTGTAGTGTTACGCGCTCGGCCGTAAGAGCAGCTACATCGGTAGCCACCGCGGTTTCGACAGCGGCGAATTGAGAAATTGCAGACCTGACCATCGAAGTTGAAGTTTGCCGCGGTGGAGCACTCATAATTACTGTGGTACCTGTATTAGATTCTGGAGAGATCAAGATAGGTCTAAGATGGGAGAGCTTACACTGGACAACATGTTGCTCGAGTTTCCGTGACCGTATCGCTGGCAGAAAGCTCGGAGCATGCTTGAGTGTAGCCTTGGGGGAAGGCGCCAGGAGAATAGTGTTGACTCAGGGATTGCCATCCCAATGGAAAGCACTGGCTTAAACTTGCTGCAGATCCACCAAAGCTATAATAGTTTCCTACCGCGATTGCACAGAAACCTGAAGTACAATTTGGAGCCGGAGTAAAGGTGATGGTTAAAGCAAACATTTTCAGAACAGGGTGGAATATCACGAACAGATGACATTTAAAAAAAAATGAGACGAAAGAACAAGATGGGAGCAAGGCTGATTAACCTGAGGATCTTGGGGGATGCTGTCATCAGAGGCTAAGTCCAATGGAGAAAATCAGTGGTGCCTGGCGAGCCGTAGAAAACAGCACTCGCTTATAATCGAGTCTTACACCCTCTCACGTAAAGGGGTAACCTTCCAGCAGGGGTTAAAACGGGACTTCCAAATTTGAATTATCCGCTGGAGTCTTAGAAGTTCCCTTCTAATCCAAGCAGATTAATAGGATTCAAATGATGGTGCTTAACTACTTTGAGAACTTTTTCGCAAGAAAGTGTATTCGGGACGAAGTCAATATCTCGGTAAAGCCTGTCGAATTAAGGGGTATGTTTTGGTCACGTGAAGAACGCTAACTTTTGGAAGAAATACACGTCGTCAGCCAGGCCATCCGTACATCTATAACTCTACTGGCCTAGCCAGGAATCTGGGGGATTTCTCACCTGGGTAATCTTCACCGAATCCCTTCTGGAAGACTTGGATTTAGGCGGTTCAGCCCCTTTTCGCTATAATTACAGGGTTTGTTGTCCTGCACGGCTTGGAAGACTTTTGTGCCTTGGTGAGACTCGGCGAGGATTTCTGACTAAAGCTATGCAAACCCCTTAGACAACACCCAAGCAGAGGTCAACATAATGTCAACATTCAATAGAGTACTTCCTCAAAACTCTTGCTCGAAGGGAACGTCAAAGCCAACTTCGAAGTAGTTTTTAATTTCAATGATACTCTTGGAGATGGGTTGACACTTCTCTGAGGATAAGACGAGGCTGGCTCACCTCCTCGATTTGATGATGCGATGCTGAGCGAGGCTCAACAGAGTTCTGTATAATTTTTCTTGCGCTGCTGTCCTATAGTTGCTTGACTGAGGCAGAACTATTGCCAAAGTCTAGTCTCTACCCTCAAGAAACCGCCATATAGATCTACATTGAGAAACTAATCCCCTACACAACTGCTTATGCTAAACCGCACATCAAGTCATGTGTTCTCAAGAAGTAGCCCTTATTTTCGTATCTAGCTAGATAGTCGATCTACTTCTTGAGCCTAGCAACCTGTTTCGAAAATCTGACAGTCTTATTCTCTTTCACTGCCATAACAATCAATTCCTCGAATAGAGTGTCAGCCTTCCTTGTCGAATTCGCATCGGCTCATATTCTCCTTCATCGACCGGCCGTACAATGGCCCGCAGAGTTCTTTCCTCGGGTATGAGCATTCGCCGAGATGTATCAGGAGATCAATGGCCGGGAGCACCCCTTCCACCTTTTGGCCGAGAGCGTTTACATCCTCGAAAAACTCTACCCTCTTGCCTCCAAGCCAGTCTGGCATTGGACATTTCTGATCCAGAGCATAGACCTCCAGCCTTTTCTCTTGTACTTTGTGTGCCTTCGAGATCCTTGCCATAATTTCATTTTGGACCTCTTCAGCGTATGCTTTGGAGGGCTCTGGCAGCCAGCTAGAAAGTAAGTTGAAGGACTTCGCGAAGTAGGTCTGTACCTCGGTCTCTGCTAAAAATTCGATTTCGCATCTCAGGGCATCAGCCACTCGTTGAGGTCTGAAGCCGGGCTGCTTTTCCTTGGTCGCAGTTGCCACTTCCAAAAGAACATCCATAGCTGTGTCCAAGCGCGAACGCGATCGGTTCCGGAATTGGTACGGTGCCTCCAAGTAAGAATGCCTGCCCAAGTAAAGAACTAGGTCAAAAGTTGCAAGCCCGTCCCAGGCATCAAACTTAATCTCCGTATCTGCGGGACGAAGTCTCCCATTTTGCTGTTCACACTCTGGTAGTCCACAACCTTTTTTTCATCTTTTTTTCCCCAATAATTATATGAGCATATTCTGCGGAGATCTCTGCTTTGATGGCGTCGGGGAAAGTGTGCACCGTCTCAAGGCCTTCAACCCAGCTCCACATTAGATCAAAAGAGTCTGGGAAGTGGGCTCCAACCTCCTTCTTTTGCTTCAAATCTTGAATCTGTTCTTCAAGCCGAACAACTTCTTGCGTTGGCATAAAGTTGGGATCCTTCTTCATCATTTTCTTGGCTAAGCCCAGAAGCAGCTTATCTGCAGGTTCGTCTGGAGGTCGGTACCCATGATATTTGTCACTATCATCGCGATGTAATGAATGTTTCCAAGAAATAGAACCTGATTGAACCCCAGTTCTAGGCTTTCCAGCACCTCTGATAATTGCTCAATCTCGGGGACGAATTTGGCCATGGCAGAGCTTGCTCTGTCGAAACGTTCATCATCCTTGGATTTCTCGTAAGCAGTGATGATCCAAGTCTTGATGGCAGTATCGCATCTTTTAGCGGCACCGGGGTGGTTTTGGATCTGTTGGCGTACGAGAGGATTGGCCTCTAGAGCCCAGGACCAGTCCTTACATTTTGTAAGGTGAGCCCAGGACGACTTACTCGCGAGCATGTTCTCTTCGATGATGAATTGGTAAAGCTCCACTAGCTTGGCCTCGAGCTCCTTGATCCTCTCATCTTTCAATTCTAATTTTGCTGCTTTGTTTGGGGTACTCTGTATGAAGCCTTCCACCAAGGAGCTGGGCCTCTCAACGGACGGAATAGTGATTGATGAAGGTGCAGCGCGCAATGGAGAAATAACCTTGGAGAACAAAAGATTGAAAGGTAGTCTCGGAAGACGCGACGAATATCGGGTTGACGAGACCTGCTGAAAATGGTGCACGGATACCCTGAAGATGTGCAAATGCACAAGTCTGTGTGCAGTACAGCGGAGACCAAGGCTAAATGCTAATGATCCTCCGAAAGACTGGAGATACAGCGTATCCCTTCGTCCGGTGAGACATTACTAGCGTGGGCAGGGGGCTCTAACTTGGCTGGCGGGGCATAGAATTATATGGCTTCAGGAATTTTATTGGGTGCCACAGCTGTGGCTGATACGCTAGTAATGTCTCACCGGACGAAGGGATAACATAATGGTCTAAAATTTGCGTGAGTAATTGGCGAAGGCCCTCTGGGTAACTAGGCTGTTTGAGTCATTTCTTATTGTTCAAGCAGCACCTCAAAACATAAGTCGACAATGCACGGAAAGGGAGTTGTGGATGTCTCATTCATCTGAAGAGTCAGCCTTATAGAAATTCTCAATTGCGACTCTGCTACTAACAGTCATGGCTCCAAGTGGGGAGGCTCTAGTGTTTGTTGCTGCTGCCAGAAAACCTTCGCTGATTCCAAAGCCTCCAACCAAGTCGACATCTCATGAATAGACTTTGCGAAAAAGGACTCAAACCCATAGTCATCAAGCTCCTTGGCATGAGCCTTCAGAGTAGCGAGTTCCTTCTCCGGCTTGAAACATAACACCTCCTCCTCCATCCTTTGAAGAATCTGCACTAGGAGGTCATCAGCCGGTCCATCACACAGCTGATCCCCACCGTCGCCACCTCCATCCAACTCCCCATAATAGTGGTTTGCTAAATGCATCATCAAATCAAATGCCAGATTCAAACTCCCATTAATGTTGGCAAGGCGTCTGATCTCGGGGACAAAATCAACCATTGCGTCGGCAATATCGACCGATGAAATACCGGTCTTTCTTCCGTTGCAGCTGCCCTCCCAGAGTGGCTCATATACTTCATCGATCCGGCGGCGAATAGAGTCGCTGAGTTTCTGAGCAGCTCCATCGTGAGCTTCTAGACGCTCGCGGATCGACGGTGGTGCTTCTAAGGCCATATCAGCTTTAAAGGAACTCTTGAAATATTCAATCATGAATGTGACAAACCAGATGCCAGGTCTTTGCTCAGAATGAATTCATGTAATTCGTAGATTTGTGCCTCGAGATCCTTCACTCGTGCTTCAGGATTCAACTTGACGTGTTTATTGGCTATGGTATCCTCGGTCTCGTCAATTTCAGAATAGATTCTTTTATGAGACCCGGGTTCGATTGAGTGAAAATCATTGCTGGAAATTTCCTGCAGAGGCATTTTGGGAGAGTTGGAGATTGGGGGGGCTCGAGGGAGGTCTATTTTGTTGGGTAGCCAGAAGACGCGTTCGCGTCGAAATTTCTAGGCACGTGATCCAGACACAGTGAAATTTTAATATTGATATTGATAATCGGACTTACGTCTTGGAGTAATAGGGGCCAATTTATTTTGGCAAGGAGGCCACGAACTCGTTGGCCACTTGGGCCATTATGATCAATCAAAAATTATGCAACGACGTCAAGGGCAGATGAGATCTCTCTTCGACTTCATCCTGCAACATTCCCGGCGATCTTCTCCCCATCCTTCCCCACCACGCCTTCCTGTCTCTCAGCCTTTGCCTGGGGAACCTCAAACATCTTGCCCAAAGCTTCAACACTCACATTCCCTCCCGAAAACACTATACCCAAATCCCAGCCTTCCTCCCCGCACTCCCTTTCCACCATTCTTCTGAAATCTTCATTGAACAATGCAGTCGCCAGACCTACCACCGCACTCGGCTCTACTATAACCTTCATCCTCTCCAGCACCAGCCTTAAAGCCTTCTTGATCTGGTCTTCAGTAACACTGAACATCTGCCTCACCAGCTTCCTCTCATAAATCACTGACCAAGGATAAGCACCCACAGGTGTTCTCAACCCATCAGCAATCGTAAGGGTCTTCACGGTCTCAATCCTCTTCCCTTGCTCAATACCCCTTTTACAATCATCTGCGCCCTCAAATGATGGCTCCGCACCGAATACAAAGATTCCCGTGCCTTCACAACTTATTGCCGTACCAGAAAGCATCCCGCCCCCACCACAAGGCGCAATGATGGCATCCAATCCCTTTATGGTTTCTCCCTTACCCTTCAGCGCAAAACTGCATTTCGGCCGTTCCTTTCCACCTTCGGCAAGCATCCTCTCAACTTGTTCTTGCAACTCAATTCCCAGAGTTCCTTGTCCAAGCATGATATCTGGATGATCATAAGGGGGAACTAATCTGGCCCCTGTCTCTTTTATAACGTCTTCAACCACTGCTTCCCGCTCTGTACTTGTGCTCCCGCTAAATATAACTCTGGCGCCGTAGCGTTTCGTAGCTGCTATTTTTGAAGGGGTGGAGATTTTGGGCATGACTATATGGGCGGGGACGCCTATCGTGCGGGCTGCGAGAGCAAGTGCTTGTGCGTGGTTGCCTGTTAGATACTCACATCAGCACAATGCTTCCATCTCAGCTAAGAAGCGCAGACTGAGGAAAGTGGACAGACCAGAACTGTGCGTAACCACTCCTCTTTCCCGCCCACCACGAGCTTCCCACCCCTCCTCCGCTATCAACCTCATCAATGCATGAAATGCACCTCTCACCTTGAACGCCCCCACTTTCTGCAGATTCTCGCACTTGAACCATAATCGAATCTTCGGTTTTGCTGGTTTTTGGCCTGCCCAAGGCGTGTCTGCTAAGTCGGAGGCTGATTGAGGTATTGATGCTAGGTCGGTAAGTGTAGCATTTGTGAGGACAGGTGTATAGTGGATGTATTCTTTGATCAGAGCATGTGCGGCGATGACTGAGTCGCGGGTGAGAGGAGGCGATTTCTTGGGATCTGCCATGTTTGTTCTCGAGCTCTGCAGTCAATCGAATATCTGAAGATATATTACTGGAGGAGAGGTGAAATCCGAGTATCCCTGGAAAAGATTAGTACTTCGGTGAAATTTTGCCGATTGCGGAGAAATCGAGTCATGGATGAATAGCACGTGCTAAGAGAAATGTCAACATCGGAGTAAGAAGGTATAAACTTTTTGGTTTTCACAATTCCAGATACCATAATTCCCTTGCGGAAGGAGTATAGTACAGTTCGCCAATTTTTGTTCCCCAATTTCAGAAATAACAGCTCCCCATATGTTCAAGCGTCAATTACTTCTGGTTCTCGGGACGGAGAGAGCTATGCATTCGTCAGTAAATGTACAGGGACATCCGAGAGATATCGTAGAACTTACCGAACAGCCTTTCCTGCTCTCCAGATCTCCAAATCACGGATCTCCTGCATCTCCTTTTCGTACTTCTCACGGTAATTGGGTTGCGAGTTGAAGGTAAGCGACCTCTCGGTCTCCTTTCCGGTCTTAACAGAGTCATAAAGATCATTGAATACCGGCTTCAGAGCATCCTTGAACTTTCCACTCCAGTCAATGGCACCACGACGAGCGGTAGTAGAGCAAGCCTCGTACATCCAGTCCATACCGTTTGCGCCAATCAATGGGTACAAACTCTGGGTAGCCTCCTCGACAGTCTCGTTGAAGGCCTCGCTGGGGCTGTGGCCTTGCTCACGGAGAACCTCATATTGTGCGAGGAACATGCCGTGGATACCGCCCATCAAGCAACCACGCTCACCATACAAGTCGGAGTAAACCTCCTTCTCGAAGGTGGTCTCGTACAAGTATCCACTGCCAACTCCAACACCGAGAGCAATTGCCTTCTCCTTGGCATGACCAGTTACGTCTTGGAAGACAGCAATGGAAGAGTTAATTCCGCGACCCTCACGGAAGAGAGTTCGCACAGTTCGGCCAGATCCCTTGGGCGCAACGAGGATGACATCGACGTCAGTTGGTACATCAACCTTGGTTTGGTCCTTGAAAACTGGGGAGAAACCGTGGGAGAAGTAGAGGGTCTGCAGAATTAGCTTCGATCAACCAAGTTCGAAATGACGACACTAACCTTTCCCTTGGTGATCTGAGGCTTGATTGCAGGCCAAGTCTCACTTTGGGCGGCATCACTGAGCAAGTTCATGATGATAGTACCCCTGGAGATAGCCTCATCGACATCGAAAAGGTTCTTTCCTGGGACCCAGCCATCTTGTTGGGCATCCTTCCATGATTGACCGTTCTTTCGCACACCGACAACAACATTGAGACCCTGATCCCGCATGTTCAACGATTGGGCGTGACCTTGCGAACCATATCCGATGATTGCCATTGTGTCATTCTTGAAGTAATCCTAACCCAGTATCAGCATGTTGATCGAAATTGCGGTGAGGGGTGAAAATACTTGGAGCTTCGCAGCAGGCCAGTCAGCTCTCTCTGGACGGATTGTTAGACATAATTCTCCAGTAGAAGCTTCTGGCACTCACCATATACATCTTCCTTGGTGCCGGCAAAATCAATTGTCTTCACACCTCGGACCTGTTGAGTTGCCGCAACAGCGCGGGCAGCAGTAGGTCTAGCTGACGCATTGAGGGCGGAAACAAAGGTGCGACGAGCTGGGGCACTTAATTGCTTTGCCAATGGCGAGCGGAGAGCTCTGGAGAATGTGCGGGAGGACATTTGAGTGATAGAGTGGAGTGGCTGTGGTTGTGTTTGTGGTAAGAGAAAAACGGTTGTGTTTATTTGTGAGGGTGACTCTTTGGCAAAAATTCAGAGCTCTGAGCCGATCACGGACCGAGACGAATTGAGCTTGGCCTGATTTTGCAATGTGGAGGCAAGCTGGGATATTGCCACGAGGAGTAATAATTCTCACAACTCTTTCAATGCAAGTCTAAATAAAGGGGACATTCTTCGGAGTAGATTAACTGTCGATCTCAAAACACCAAGGTATGCTGTGCATGAGGAATCAAATTTCTACGACGCTTCTCTGGAAGGCACGAGACCACCCTGTATTTACTCCATCTTCCGGATCCTCCAAATATGAACGCCTCATTATGCCATGAAGCTCGTATGGCTGTGCAAGTCTAGATGATGTATCTCCGATGTCCTACTAAACCCCCTTATCTGCTCATGTCTTCAAAACCCTCTCGAAGGTCTGGTTCTTGACTGCCCCACCTCCCATAGCTGACCGAACGTTGCGCTTGAAGCCCTCTCTGTTGGACCGCAAGTCCTCCGCTGCTTCTTTGTTCAGGGGATCTGAGGCATTTGGCTCGAGGAAGAGGAACTAGACCTTGTAGTTAGCATGCTTGCTTCAACAGACTTGGGGAGGTTAGAAGAGCGTGCCTGTAACCCAACAATAACGGCTTGTAGATTCAGCACCGGCTTCCAGTCTTCCCTCAAGATGTTCAGGCACACGTTGCCCTCCAGGTCGATGTTCGGGTGGTAAATCTTCTGTGTGCACTTGACCTTGGGTGCCTCATGCGGGAAACCTTGGCTGATCGCAAATGTGAAGTGAAATCTGCCACCCTTATACATGCCCTCGTCGGGCTCGATGGTGAGTGTGAAGTTGAGGGTATCGTCAGGGTCTGGGAAGTCGGTTTTCATGGTGCTGGGTAATGAGAGTTCGGAGAGATCTGGTGCGCGAAGGTCAGAGGGGAGACGATTTGAGGCGGAAACAAGATGCAATCAGACCAGACATACCTTTCTGGACTCGAAGTTGTGCCGCGGTCACCTTCTTTCTCTTGGTTCCTGCAGCAGCATCTGCGTTAGCATCCTGCTGCTGCTTCTGCTTCTGGAGGCAAGTTAGCATCTGTCATGACGGGGAACAGTAGGCACTCGATAAGAGCCTGAGTATGCCGGGGGCATGACTTACCATCGACCATATCTTCAACATCTTGTCGGTCGTATGCGAAAGGGTCTTGAGGAGGTGGTGTTATGGTGGAGGCAAAGAAAGGTCGAGGCAAAGAAGACGCGATTCCGATGGCCAAGCGTCCTTTGGTGGGCTGTGAGATGACTTGTGCAAACCACGTCACTCACCAGGCTCTCCGCAGAAAACTAAACTGAAGCAAAAGAGAACATGAAAACTCAATATCACTTCGGAAAAATAGTTAAATCCGAAGAAAGAGTGGGGTCAAGCGAGAAAGGATGCCTTTGTATTCACCCCAGGTTTCGGAGCCTAATTCAATGGAATGAGGCAAGGCTACGAGGCTGATGCTTGTGACGACTCGAGGAATACCACAGGCAGAGTATCCATGGTTGTTTGAGGAACCGGTCTACGCTAGTCCCACAAGTACTTCCTCAATTATACTTTTCAAGGAACTGAGACTTTGTTCATTAAAACGTCTCGACTTTGCTCTAAACTCCTAGAAGCCTCTCATTATTTGTAGAGATTTCGGCCCCTTGTTAATCATATTGACATTGATATGCTTTGGACCTCATTGCCAGTCATTTTGATGCCACCCCAAGCATTGGGGAATCGACAAGTACAATTCTTTTTAACAGCCAGAGTTTACTTTCCTCTTTAATTATTCTTTCAGTATCAGGCGAAACTGTTATTGGTAGAAAACCCAATTACAAGGATGGAAAGCTGGATGTCGGGTTTTATTTCCCTGGTACACTTCATTCCGAGATTGACAAACAACAGGCATTGAACTTAGCACTAGTTGACTATTAAGTGAACGAACTGGCCAAGGAGACTCTGAACATCCACACACTCATCTGACCAAAGTTGAGCTGGCCATTGCTATTCATCCTTGATATCCTATCTTAAAAGACGACATTTACTTCTCATTTTCTCAACTTGCGGCCCTTGACTACGGTTCAGCTCCTCTTGCATCCATTAAGTTAACAAAAGCTACGCTGCACACCAGGCCCGACATGTTGACATGTTAACGTGCCTCTGCTTAAGATATAGTGCAGATTATCTTTCCTTGAGAAGTATTCTTCTCCATTTCCTCATGTGCCTCAATAATCTTCTCCCAAGGGAAGACCTTATCAACATAAATCTTGAACGTCCCATCCTCAAACTGGGGCAAATAAGTTTCCAGCGTATCTCTCAACTTCCCCTGGTAATCAAGGTCTCTGCTTCTCAAACTGCTTCCCACGAAAGTAATTCTCTTCCGAACAAAAGCACCAATATCAACACCATTCGGTAGCTTGGTTCCAGACATCGCTCCCAAGTGGACAATAGTTCCATCTCGAGCCGCGACGTCGAGGTTTCCTTGGAAGTAGTTCGCGCCGACAAAGTCGACGACGACATCAACTCCTTTGCCATCGGTAGCTTTCAGGATCTCCTCCGACCAATTCTGCGTTTTGTAGTTGAAGCCAGCAGTAGCACCAAGCTCTTTCACACAGAAATCGATCTTCTCCTGAGATCCAGCAGTTACATAGATTTTGCTCGCACCGCCGATTTTCGACAATTGTATTCCAGAAATGGAGACGCTGGAGGCGCCTGCATGCCAGAGGATGCTCTTCCCTTTTTCGAAACTACCGACTAGGTACATGGCTTGGGTGGCTGTGATCCAAGTCTATTTCTACATTAGCTCACTCATGTGAAACACCAGGACAGATTCAAACGCCACTAACTTCCGGAACTCCCGCCGCCTCATCCCAATTCAGGTGATGAGGTTTGTGGAGAAGCATGTGAGTGCTCACTGCAATGAATTCCGCATAGGCACCGCCATACCTATAAAATAAGATTGAAGTCAGTGTGCTTGGCTCGGAAAATATGGGAATGAAGCAAGGAGCATGCTCCCATGACAGGTCTTCCTCGAACAAGTCCCAATTTTACAACTCGCTCATACCCAATGAAAAGACAAAAATTCTCAAAGGACAAACTTACGCCAATCCAAACACTTCATCCCCCACCTTAAACCCATCCTTACACCCCTCCCCCAAACTCTCAACGATACCACTAAACTCCACGCCAAGTGTCTTCGGTGCCTGAGGAGGAACAGGGTACTGGCCATTTCTCTGCAAAAGATCCATACGGTTTAGACCGAAAGCTTTAATTTTTACAATGGCTTCACCTTTGGATGGGGTAGGTTTGGGGATGTCAGTGATGTAAAGGGCTGTGGCGGCGCCTTTGCCGGTTTTGATATCTGGGTGTGTTGGTAGCTTGTTTCGGGGATTGTGGAAAGAGGGGAAATATACCAACTGCTCGCATTGTTGAACTCATTTCTGTCGATCTGTCTTTGATTGATTAAGGGAGAGAGGGAAATTGACTTTTGGGGAGGGAGAGAGCTGGTCGACCGGGAAACCCGGAAAGAGGATATGGGGCAAAAGCTTTAAAATCAAAGTTCTGTGCTCGATATAGCCTGAATTTGCCAGAAAGTAAGCCTTTTAGATCTTAGGGCTATCAGCAATTTCCCTGATGTGAGAATCAGTATCAGTATCCGCCAGCTTATGTTATTTCCTTCCTGGAGATAATCGAGTTTGTCGTTCGCGCCAAATTCATGACGATAGCGGGGTAACCCTGGCTGACAAATCATCTTCAGGAGCTTTTCCGCTAAAATGAGGGGCAGACTTCGAAGCCATACTTCCCCAGCAATCAAGGTCTCACATGTCAGTAAAATGTGTTCAATATGAAGTCTATTCGTTGATCATAGAATAGCTAGATCTTGCGGCCATTCCATTCTTGCCAGCCTTTTAATGACGAACCAGAACGCCTCAAGATGCAACAAACCACACGACAACACTTTACATTTGCCCTTGAGCTTTTGCCTGTCTTTCAACCTCGTACGTGAAGTCGAAATAACCTTTGTCGAACTGGTGAACTCGGACATAGCCATCCTCTCCTCCACTTGCGTAACTCTTTCCGGTTGGGTCGACGGCAACGGAATCTGTAGAATGATTAAAGACTACTCGGGATGTGTCAAGGTTCAGAGGAACTCACTCAAGGGACCGAAATGGCCTCTGACTCGACCAATCTCTTCCGCGAATACCTTGTGATAGAATCTAGCCTCAAATTTTCCTTGTCGAGCTATTTTGATAAGTTAGAGCGTGTTTTGAAAGGCAAACAAAGATGAAAAGGCGTGCTTGGATGAATAGAAATATCAAGGAGAAAAGCGGCTTGGCATCACATACCGTCGGTTTGAGTAACGCCCATCGCATCTTGTCCACCACCGAGAATGACAAAGTCTTTCTTGGGGGTAATTGAGGCGCTGTTCAGCGGTGTGTCTGCCACATAAGTCTTCATAACTTCAAGGTCTTGGGCGTTGATGAGCTATGGAAATAGGGTTAGTCAAAGCCATGATATCAAAAAGTCGGCAGGACGCTACCTTCGCGGTCTTGTCCTTCGATGCAGTAATGAAGTAGGTCCGATCAGCAGACCACTGGAGATCCGTAATGGGCATGTCTGGCTCGTGAATCTGGGTGTTGTCAAGTTGCTCTCCAGTCTAGCTCTTATCAGCAGATATTCCTCAATACCAATCAAGGGCCGCCGTACCTTCGCATCATATTGGGAGACAGTCCCGTCCTCATGGCCAGCAATGATGTACTTCGACAAATAACTCCATCCGGCCACAGTAGCTTTCGACTCCTCGCAAGTAATGGTCAAGACCTTTTCATCAGACTGCTCCGCCTCAGGGTCCAGATTAATGTCCATTACTTCGATCGTTCCCAGGAAACCCATTCGCTTTTCGGTAACGGCCAACAGTTGTGAACCATCCTCGTTGAACTCGACTCTCTTGACCGCAGTGTTGAATTCCCAGACCTTCAAGCACTTCCCGCTCCTGATCTCCCATAATCTGACCGTATTATCTGCTGCGCCACTTGCGATCAATGTACTTGTTGGATCTACATCCACCGTCCAGAGGGCTCCTTGGTGGCCGTGATATGTCCCCAGTCTCTCGCCATTATGGGCGAACCAGGCGCAGATGTGCTGATCTTTCGCGGTCGAGAAGATTATATCGCCGTCTCTGTTGTACCTAGAAGAGCATCAGTATGAAGCAGTTGCATGGAGTCCTCGATTGTGCGCACTTGATCTGAGTCAAAGCTCGCTCCTGTGCGGGTGTTAGCATGTTTATGGATTCAATATGTGCTGCCAACTCTTACATGTCCTTGCAGTAATATTGGCCTCATGTTTGCGACTCAATATTTGGTGATGTCGCGATAAGAAATGCGCGAAGTGCTTCGTTTTAAAAAGTTCGCGTCGTTGCCTCTCGTCAGTATCAAAATGTGTGTGGAGGAATTCAGCCAATGAGAATCGAGCGCTAGAACAGTACTGGATCGGACCTCTCACTCGAGAAGAAAAAAAGCGCTCTCAATCTGGCCATTGAGGATGGAACGGCGCCCGAGTGCTTCTGGATCTACCGGAAGAGTTTTGATTTATATGCAACCATGAGCCCATGGCCAATTCGTATATTTTTGGTTCTTCCTCGCTTGTACTGAAAAGGGAGTCATTTAGTGACACGTCCAAGTGCTGGGTCCACCACTCAGCGCGCTCACATCACACCGACAGAGGAAACCTTCACCACACCCCGCCGCAGGATGCTCATGTTGCTGCGGCGTTACAGCAGCTCACTGTCAGGGTCATCTCTCCATATGCGATCGGTTGCCCACCTCCCTCAAACGTCCCTGTTCGCCGCAAAAGGGATCACTGTTCCTCGGTCCTCGTGCGCCCGGAAGCCCTTAAGATCTTTTTTCAGTGGCTCAGCCTTGTCCGGTGTGGCTGCCAGGCACAGCTCCAAATCGCGGGGCCGAATTCTGCATCGGTGTCGATCAGCTCTCATCCACCCCACCTGTATCACCGCTCCGTCTTCCTTTTCCTCCTCCCCATACACCTCCCAACAGCGGGCTTTCTCAAGCACTCCAATCGCAATGACGGCCACCAAGATTGATGGCACTGCCATTGCGAAGAAGATCCGTGAGAAGCTTCATGCCGAAATCGTCGAGACCCAGAAGACCAATCCAAGATACAAGCCTTCCCTCAAGATCATCCAAGGTGACTTAAGCATCCACTGTTTAGACATCGTCACTAATATTCGAAACCACAGTCGGCGATAGATCAGACTCGAGTATGTACATATACTTTAGTTAAGTATAATAATCGGCTGACGGCATTTAGCAACCTATGTTCGCATGAAATTAAAGGCAGCCCATGAGGTCGGTACTATATTCTACAAGGTACTACTGTTATACTAATAACCGCTATAGGCAAGCATCGACTGCGAACTCCTCCATTACCCCGATACGGTCACCGAAGCCGAACTTGTCGAAGAGATTACCCGTCTGAACTATGATCCAACGGTCCACGGCATTCTTGTCCAGCTTCCAATTCCTGGACACATCTCCGAATATGAAGTGACCTCGGCTGTTGCAGATGAGAAGGACGTTGATGGTTTTGGTGCGAACAACATTGGAGAGCTTGCCAAACGTGGGGGCCGACCTCTTTTCACCCCTTGTACGCCCAAGGGTGTCATGGTCTTGTTACAAGAAAGTGGCGTAAACCTCAAGGGAAAGAATGCTGTGGTTCTGGGGCGCAGTGATATTGTAGGAAGCCCCGTCAGCTATCTCCTGAAGAACGCCGATGCAACAGTCACCGTGTGCCACTCCAAAACCGAGGGACTGGAAGATTACATTAAGCAAGCAGACGTCTTAGTGGCAGCCATTGGGAAACCAAGCTTTGTCAAAGGGGAGTGGCTGAAGCCGGGCGCTGTCGTTATCGACGTGGGGACCAATTACCTACTTGACGAAACCAAGAAGTCGGGCCAGAGACTTGTCGGTGATGTTGACTTTGCGTCCGCTTCCGAAGTGGCCTCACATATCACTCCAGTTCCCGGTGGAGTTGGGCCAATGACTGTCGCCATGCTTCTGCAGAATGTTGTAGACTCGGCAACGATGTACTTTGAGCGACAAAAGGCTCGGGCTATTCTGCCCCTACCTCTCAAGTTGCAGAGTCCCGTCCCCTCAGATATTGCCATTTCCCGAGCTCAACATCCAAAGCAGATCACCCGTGTTGCCAAGGAAGTTGGGATTGCTGGCCATGAGCTGGAGCCATATGGTGCTTATAAGGCCAAGGTAGATCTGGGCCTACTCAAGCGCCTTGAGCACCGCCGCAATGGACGATATGTTGTTGTCACTGGCATCACACCCACGCCGCTCGGTGAGGGCAAATCAACAACGACCATGGGAATCACACAAGCAATCGGAGCCCACTTGAACCGAATTGCATTTGCAAATGTTCGCCAGCCGAGTCAAGGACCAACCTTTGGAATTAAGGGAGGGGCTGCTGGAGGAGGCTACAGTCAAGTGATTCCGATGGATGAATTCAATCTCCATCTAACGGGTGATATTCATGCGATTACTGCTGCAAACAATCTCCTAGCAGCTGCTATTGAGACCAGGATGTTCCACGAGAACACTCAGAAAGACGCAGCTCTTTACAAGCGTCTTGTGCCTGCCAAGAAGGGCAAGCGCGAGTTCCAGCCGATCATGTTTCGACGTCTGAAGAAGCTTGGGATCACGAAGACGAACCCTGATGAGCTCACGGAGGACGAGATTCATCGGTTCGCCCGACTAGACATTGATCCATCTACCATTACTTGGAGGCGAGTGCTTGATGTCAATGACCGCCATTTGAGAGGTATCACTATTGGTACTGCTCCCACTGAGAAGGGACAGACCCGGGAGACCGGGTTTGATATTTCTGTGGCCAGCGAGTGTATGGCTATCCTTGCTCTTAGCAACGATCTCGATGATATGAGAGAACGCTTGGGTAGGATGGTTATCGGATCTTCTAAGAGTGGTGATCCTGTTACCTGCGACGACCTTGGAGCGGGTGGTGCACTTACAGCCCTGATGAAAGATGCCATCAAGCCCAATTTGATGCAGACTTTGGAAGGAACTCCTGTGTTCGTTCACGCTGGCCCTTTCGCAAACATTAGTATTGGTGCTAGTTCAGTATTGGCTGACAAACTTGCTCTGAAGCTTGCTGGTACTGAAGCTGATGAGGACCACAGCACGAAGGCCGGATTTGTTATCACTGAGGCCGGCTTCGACTTCACTATGGGAGGAGAGCGATTCTTCAACATCAAATGCAGGTCTTCAGGACTCATCCCTGATGTTGTCGTTATTGTGGCTACTGTCAGAGCACTCAAGGTTCATGGTGGCGGGCCTCCTATTGCTCCTGGTGCACCCCTCCACCAAGTCTACCGAGAAGAGAACGTTGAGATCCTTCGAAAGGGTTGTGTTAATCTGAGGAAGCATATCTCCAACGCTAGATCTTTTGGCGTGCCAGTCGTCGTTGCTATCAACAAATTCGAGACTGACACCGCGGCTGAAATCGAGGTCATCCGAGAGGAGGCTATCGCTGCCGGTGCTGAAGATGCGATCCCAGCCAACCACTGGGCTGAAGGTGGAAAGGGAGCTGTCGACCTCGCCAAGGGTGTCATTGCAGCAAGTGAGAAAGAGAAGAACTTCAAGCTTCTGTATACTCTGGATGGAGATGTCCAGACCCGCATTGAGGCTATTGGCAAGCAAATGTATGGAGCTGCTAAGGTTGAATTCAGCGAGATTTCGCAGAAAAAGGTGGATACGTATACGAAACAGGGCTTTGGCAATTTGCCAATCTGCATTGCTAAGACGCAATACTCACTTTCTCATGATCCGGATCTCAAGGGAGCCCCAACTGGCTTCACTGTTCCGATCAGAGATGTGCGACTGGCTGCTGGTGCTGGCTATCTGTAAGCCGATTTCAACTTCGATCTTGAGTAATTACTAACATTTGGCAGTTATGCTTTGGCTGCCGATATCCAGACCATCCCAGGTCTACCCACAGCTCCAGGCTATCTCAATGTCGACGTAGATACTGAGACTGGAGAAATCGATGGTCTCTTCTAGGCGATAGGATGAAATATCACTCTCTCTCTCTTGAATCCCTTGATTTACATATTGCTTGTTCAACAGCATTTGGCGGCAAAAGCACATTCAACGTGCGTCTATGCATCTTTCAACAGCGGCGTTACAGATAATTGGCGGAAAGTCAAAAGTCTATAGATTTATCCTTTCCTGATCAACCCAGGGCTTAGAACGATGAAATGAAAACGAATTTTTCTGGTTCCTAGTTCTCGCAAATCCACTATATTTTGTACCAAGCCATCTCAAATTCCCAGAAGCAAGGCCTTCACCTCAAGCTTTCGCCCTCTTCTCAATCTCAATGAACTCTCTGACCTGATCATCGATACAAGTCTTAAGATCCTTGAACGTCATCCCCAATTCCTTCTTTATCTTGCTGTTATCAACTTTATACCTATCCACTGGATCGCCAGCCTCGCCCTCCGGAACCAATGCTTTTTTCTCAGGAAAGTCCTCTCGGATAATATCGCAAACCTGCTGATATGTATAGCCCCCAGCCGTACAGAAATACCTCTGTCCCGCCGACTCATGCGTCTCATATGCCCTGACATGCGCCTCCCCCACATCCCTCACGTCGCAAAACGCATAGTATTGCGTCTTCGGGACCGCCTTCTCTGAGCCATTCATCAGGCGATAAATATCCGCCGAGCTGGTATTCAAATGCTCCAAACTCGAGATGGTGTGAAACGCAGGTCCATAAACCATGGGCGGACATATCGTCGCCAGCTGAAAATTCGGCTTGTTTTTCGCAACGAAGTCCCATGCTGCTCTCTCGGCCAAAGTCTTAGAGGCCAAGTAGGCTATTTCTCCAGAGGCGGAGGAAGAGGCGGCTTCCTCGTAGGTCACGGGGTTCCAGTCGTTTTCGGTGTAGGTGTATCCTGGCCGCGGGTTCTTGTTCATGTCGATGATGGATGCGAAGGAGGAGGTTATGATTACACGCTTTACGTTGGGAGCGTGGTTTTGGATGGATGTCAAAACTGACATTGTTCCCTTGATTGCCGGGTCCAGAAGATCTCGCTCGTTGTTTTCGACCTTCATTTGGAAGGGGGAGGCTGTGTGGATTACCTGCGCAGCATTCAATATCAATTTGTGGTTTGGGGAAATGATATGAGAGACGAGGACTCACTCCATCAACACCTTTCACGGCTTCATCGTGACCACCTGGTGTAGCTACATCGGGCACAATGGCAAATGAGATCTGAGAGAGATATTTGGCGTGTGACTTTTTTATCTTCTCAGCGCTTGAGTCACTCCGAACTGTGGTTTTGACGTTGTAGCCTCGAGAGAGGAAGGAATTCAGGATATGCGCGGCGACGAAACCAGAACCGCCTGTGACTAGAACCGTTTTGCCCTTTCCTGAAGATTCCATGGTTTTGTCCCCGTGGGCGACGTCTTGGACTTTGGACTTGATGGTTTCCATTCTGTTTGAAGTTGGAATCTGGAAGCTTTCACTCGAATTGGGGATATGAGGCTTAGTTAAGAAGATCAATTAGTCGGACTTCGTCAAATGCACTAAACATCATCTCCGGAAAATGCATGACGTTGGACCGGTCCGCCTTTTTGATAATGGTCGGACTTAATGTCACTCCTAAGGGGCCGGCACCATGGGAGAGAGGATAACGCCGACTATTATCTTTTCACCATATCCACAAAGCCATGGCATGTTGTTTTGAGAACCAATGATACAGAAGTAACTCGCAAGTGCATCAGAACATGTGAATATTGACTTTCGGGGCTGTTTTTTGCCCAATCGGAAACTTCGGACAAAAGCAACTTTCTGTAGTCAGTCTGTTGGCCACTTGTGATTTGTGGTGGAGAGAAAGGAGTATCGGAGTCGTACTGCGGGGGACCTCAAGTGGTAAGTGGTGAGGTAGTTGTCATATGAAGAGATGTGTTGCATGATGCGTCTTGATGACAAACGTGGAGTCTTTCCCGTGAGGAAGTGATTGGCTTCACTATCAGTCTACCACTAACCACTAAGGACTTCTTGGGAGCTCCTTCGTCAATGTGTGCGGATCTTTGGAGTGGACTTCTGCCGATGTCAACTTTGAGCATCGAACCTCTCTCAGGGATAACTGGCCGACCAGAAATTGATGTTCAATGGGGTTGTTCCTTGGCTGTCTCCATCAATTTGTGGACCAAGACTATTATTGGAGTCAAAAATTTATCCACACAATAAGGGCCTTAGGGGCACACGAAGGCAAGCGTCAAACCAAAAGACGCCTTCCGAATTGAACTCAAACATCAACACCAAAGGAACCTCCCAGTAATCGTAATAATAACACCGACCCGAAACTTCTCATTCTCCTCGTCCCTTGTAGTTGCCCATCTTCTCGATCGAGCTCATGATGCCGCTTCTATATCCCAACCCGCTTCCTGGTCTTCCACCCTGAGCACTACCACTCCTGCTCCTCTCATGGCTGCTTCCTGCAGGCGCACCAAAACCTCCCCTACCAATACGGCTCTCTGCTGGAACAGTACTGGAAATACTCGAAGGGGCTCGTAATCCCGAAGCCCGTGAGATGCTTCCCCGGAGATTTTCGACTGTACACGGTTGTCTCTGTTGCTGGGGCTCACTCGATGGCAGATTGGCCGGGACATTGTCCATGTTTGCCAGCATGTCATCGAAAGCTGCAACCAATGGAATCATCTCGTCGACTGCCGCAACCAATTTGCCCTTCTCGACCCTCTCTTCAGCCAAAAGTTTTCGAAGTTCCGAGTTATCATGTTTTAAACTCTTCACCTCTTGTGTCAAGCCTTCCAACTCAGCTTGCAGCTCCTTTGTTTTCGCATCTCTGGTAACTTGCTTCTCCAGACTATCTGTGACTTCGAGAGGATTCTTAGGGTCAACTTTGGTCATGGTTGTGTCCCGTCCGAGCTTGAGCTCTTCGTTTTCCTTGGTGAGATCCTCGACCTGGGTTTCTAATTCCTTGACCTTCTTGTCCCATCTCTTCTCGTAGCTCTTCTTTAGGGCAGCGACCTTGGTCTCATGCTTGTCTTTGTACAATGAGTGAAGTTCCCTCGAGACTTTCTCAACTGCAAGCTCGACAGCTCGGCCTCCGCAATGGCATTCATCTGATTTGGCTCCGTTGGTCTCTGCAGTTGGGCCAACCTTGCCTGCTTTCATGGCTGCCATCTTGCTTTCAGCCTCCTGGGCCATTATCTCAGCAGCCTCTCTCCTCCGCTCACTCTCTTCCAATCGACCCTCGAGTTCATCTCTCTCCCGTTCTCCATGGACGATCTCCTCCTTAACATTTCTCAAAACTGCCTCCATCTCGCGACCTCTCTTCTCCCATTCCTCCTTATCAGCAGCTAGCTGCTCCTTGAGATTCCGCTCCTCTCGAACTTGCTCCAAGCTTTCACCTACACGCTTCTCAGCATCACCCACAGCTGTCTTGAGAGACTGAACCTCAGCTTCTTTTCCACTCAAGGAAGCCTTTAAGCTACTGATCTCGGACAGGAAGTTGGATTTCAAAGTCTCAAGTTCTCGCGGTGTAATTGAAGGCATGCTTCTTGGGGTCGGCGCAGGAGGAATGTCGAAATCAAGGAGGTTTGACATTGTATGTCGATTTACCGAAGGTGTCGTTGCCCATGACTTATCGGTCGTTGTCGAGCCTTTTGTGGGAGATTGTCGAGCCTGTCTGACAGGAGATTGATTACTGCGCCCAGTAAAGCCATTGAATTGCTCGGTGAAGTCTAAAATCAAATTTGTAGTGTTTCCTTCGTCCTTGCTCTGGCCGCGTTTGTGACCTCGAGGAGTGGGAGATGGAGAGCGATTATTCATTGGCCGTCGAGCTGTTGCTGGTGTGTTCATCTGACTACGCCTTGGTGTAGGACCCATTCCAGGATACTTTGTAGGGCTGTGTCCAATCTTTGCGAACATTGTCATATCTGGCACGGCAGAAAATGTACTGTATGTGCTGACCATGGTATCGTCAAAATTGGGCTCATCACATCCAGGACCCTTCAAACTGGTCAATGTATCGTCTGCAGGATGGTCTTCATTGGTATCGCTGTCGCCGTCCTCCAGAATCTCTATCGCCTTCGTGAGGCCTTCATTCTCTCGAATTACATCTTGAATGTCTAAAGTCTTTTCGACAGGGCGCTTCTCTGGCGAAGAAGGCTTGACTGGAAATCTCTTCTCTGGAGAAGACAATTTTCGCGGGCTTCTAATCGTCTCAAGCGTTTTATGCGGTGATTGCGCCTTCGGCGACGGTGTCGTGCGACTCTTCAGCATCTTCAATGGCGATATCAGGTCGCGTTCGACGGGACTTTTGGTTGCGAGTCGGGAAACCTTGCCCGGTGATGTGTTTTCCGAGTTCTCTGTGGCGTCTGGAACATTCGCTACAAAAGGGGAACTTGGAGGTCCATCGGTATCGGTGTCCGTGTCGGTATCAGTGAATGTTTGGGAGGTGCAGCGGACTTCGTATTCTTGGCTGAGGATCTTGTTAGGAGTTGCAGAGTTGAGAACTGCTTCTCCGGTATTAGACAATGGAGAGCCCATACCAATTGTCGATGATACCTGATTCCAGACCCCACGTATCATTGTCCGATGTGTTGTGGTTGATTTAGTGAGCTTTTGTTGTCTTTGACTGACGTTGGTGTTGAAGAAGTAAATAAACAATCACGGAGTTTCAGGTTTGTTGACTTTTCATGTTTACGCCTCAGGCCTCAACAATTGTTCCACTTATTTGGTACATCGTAATTTTTTCAAGCTGGGAGAGTAATGCTGCAAAGTACTCGTCGTGAATTCTTTTTCTCGTAAGTCCATAACTTCTGTAGTGGTTACAGAAATCGAATTATGCTACCGACCATGCAATATGCTTCCAGTCCACGCTCCCAATGCTTCCATTTCCTTTCCATGCTTTCATCCCAGACCCCAACCAAGCAGCCATCCGTTGACATGAACCCAACCAGAAACTTGCATAATGACTTAGAAATACACACGACCCCGAGACATTACGCCAGATCATGAGGCGAAAACTCTCCGATACGAGTCTCGGAAAGCTCGTTAGGTCTCAGATCCGGACGACTCACGCTGTTTGTCTTCTTGAACATTCCGTAAACGCTCTGCTGCCGTTTTGCAGCGACCTTGAGATTCTGAAATTGAGCCTCCGGTAGCCTCTTCCCAGTTTTTAGACTCTCAAGTACCCTGCATAGGAATGTGAGAAGGTCTCCCATAGGCTGACCAAGAAACTTGCTTACCATTCAACACCAACATACTTCACTCCACAACCTCCTACTCTTCGTATTTCTTTCTCAATTTTTGTACCTGACAGTCCACCACCAGCTCCAATTCCTGCAGCCCCAGATGGCTTACCCAAAATGACATGGGTAACTTGCTTCCTTCCAAGATGCAACGACATCCTCGCACCATTTTCGGCCAGGACATGCTTGAGTTTGTGGTCCGATATTGATGGATAAGTGCTGCCATTGACATAGATCACAAGTCCATCAAAAATCCCCTTCTTTCGATTCAACTTCTCTTCTTCTTTCAAATCGTCTTCCTTTTTCCTTTGGGCCATCACCTTCTCTTCTTTGGTCATGGTCACTATGTTGTGTATTAGCATTCCACCAAAGACAATCATGTACATTCAAGATACCTTACTCTTGCTTTCCCCCGTAAGCATATCCTCCACGGATATCTTTGCCCTTTCCCTGACATCTTTGGGTATCAACGCCTTGGCTTTCTCGTCCCAGTTCTCAGAACCAGCCCCAACTTGGTCTGAAATTCGCGGGCCGCCGGTCCCACCACTTTTGAATTGATAGGAGAGTTTGCTTGCCCGTGATTGCCTCCATCCTGTTGAGCCTCCTAGACGGTTCTCCGCTCGCTGGTGCCCCGTTGAAGAGCTATTCCACGCATCAAAATATGCTCCAAATTTGGGCTCGGCAGCCGCGGGAGCAGAGGACTCTGGCGGCGGCATTTTTCTCAGCCTCATCGTATTACCTCTCGGGTCAGCTCCAAGCTTTTTGTGTCATGGTTGAATGGAGGTGAAGAGGTCGTTGATATCGTTGATCTCTGGCCGGGAAGACGACGCGATTTAACAAACAGATGGTGGGGTGGGGTGGGGTGGGGCATCTCTGGGGTTAACGAGGAAACGGGGATGACGCGTTCCAGATTAATTCGAAGAACGAAGTCACGTGGGCGAACACGAACGCTCTTTGCTTCTGAAAGCCGACTTTGCCACCTTGGATGCAAGTACCACCAAGTATCTTAGCCTCTCGATTTTGGCACTGCCGAAGACTCTCAGACGATCCGTACACACCCTTGAGGCCGAGAAAGGAGGGGGTCGAGCACATGCTTCCCTCTTGAGCCGCCCGCCCGGCCACCCACTCTCACAGCATCATCCGATCGAGCCACTGTCCGTTCCCTTCGCTCACAACAGCAAAAAAGCTCCGAATCTCTATCCAAGACGAAGGTCACTGTTGTTACATCTTCAGCAAAAAAGTATAATGGCCTTCAATTTCCATGGACCAAGGGCGACAAGAGATGCACAGGGCTATGCAAGAACCCGCCCGCCTCGCAGCTTCTTGCAGCAGAATGCACCATCGTTGTCAGATCGAGGCATTTTTAACGCACGACATACATGCGTGGGATCAAGCAGCTAAGGCTGCCCTTTGCTGCATGTGGCGGCCGAGTTCCTCCCCTCAACCCACCCAAAATCCTTCCCGATGCCTGCGAGGCAAGCAAGCAGCATGAAGATCCAGCCCTCCTGCGAGATCTCGAATAAGCCTCGATGGATGTTGTACATGGTCATTTGAGACCATCATGCAGGAGCAATATAAATATGGGTTGAGTTTGCATGTTTTGGGACACGAGGGTGTACAGCTTCGTCAGTGAGCTCTGGGGCCAACTCGGATGACCCATGTGATGATCACGAGAACAACGACTGGTGAAAACGGGAGTAGCCGCGTTGCCCATTGCACGTCCAGCCGCCCCATGTAGAGCAAGGCCTTGGTGGGGACCATCTGCCCTTCTGCTGTCGTGACAATATGGGGATGGCCTGGGCTGGGTTCAGAAAGCATCGAGGCGATATCACAAGCAACATCTAATAATGATGGGTGGTCAGACTTCAGACTGGCCCGAGAGGACGCTGGTGGACTACTTGCTAGGTTGGAAATCCTCCAGGAAGCTGGGGAGGTGGTTCTATGTTTGGCTCCGTCCAACCTCCTCCAGGTCTCTCGATCCTTGCGGGCTGAGTTCAACTTTCGCGAGAAAGCTCAACTCGGGAGCACATCCATGATCTGACCTGACTACTGACCTGAACTGACCTGACCTGATCTGACATGGAGGATGGTGAGGCCGATATCAGGAGTGACTTCGTTTCCGTCAACAGGCTTTTCCCGATGTTTGGATTGAGGGAGGTTGGCGAATGAGGAGGCCGCGGGGGGACGAGGAAGGGCGGTGAAGGGACGCTAGTGACACGCTCCACGCCATCAAAATCAAAATCCAGCCCTCGCAAAACGGTCACTGGACGCCCGGAAACATCGCCAAAATCCTGCCTCCACCACCTTGCCCCAATCCCATCCTCTCCCAGCAACCTGGTCTTCGACGAGACTCGCTCAACCGCAGATGGCGCGAGCACTGACGGACAATCGTCTTCTGTACTGTACTGTACACTGTACAACTCCCGAACCATCACGGGAAGAGTTGAGATGTCGTGCGTTATATTTCCGACAGCATAATTGGCCGCCACGGGTCTCAGCCAGAGACGTGCACATCCCTGCCATATGAAGACGGACCGTAACGACCGTTATCCGCGCGCAGCTTCAGTGCTTCACGCTTTCGCTGATCCGCCCTACGGATTTTACATCTTCAACGCCTCCGCTCGCCGCGCTGCGCCCATGCTACACCGTTTCCCTCTGCTCTCCACTGGACGGATGTCGTGGCTTTGCTCTCCACTGCTACGATGGCTTGCTCGGCAGCTCTCAAAAGTCAAATCAAACCCCACATGCTGCGAGGCTGCGCTGCTCGCTGCTCGCTGCTCGCTGCTCCATGCTCCGTGCTCGATGCTCGATGCTTGATCGATATCGTTTCCCTGTCCGCAAAAAGAGAGCGTGGTGGGGTTCGGCGAGTAGCGGGGCTGCTGCACCGCGTATAAAAATGCTTGGCGCGGATAGGCTAAACACCGACCCAAGACGCAGAGAAGCCCTGGGTGGCCGCCATGGTCGCGAGGAGGGTGGCTCGAAGACGTGGTGGTCGTTGATTGGGGTGACCCTACAAAGCCACCAGCTTTGGGGCGATCGGCGCCTGCAATGAGGGGTCGTGATAAGCTGATAGGCTGTGCTGGGAGATGGGGACTCGGACGAGACGGCTTCGAAATTTCAATTGCCCTTCTACCACGCTCTCGCGGCGTCCGCTGGGCATCTCAATTTCACACCCATTTACTCTCACGGAATGACAGCATCCAGCATCCACTTGGCTGCCCTCGCCTGAGGCCGCGGTTGACAAGCGCATGAAACAAGCTAAGGACCCTTGTTGCGCCATCGCAGCTGTTGAGGCCGGTTCCGCCGCTGATTGGAGAGGTTTTTGATGCAAGTAGCCGCTCTGCATATGCACATGCAAGTGCTCTGGCGCACAGCAAGGGCCATGTCTCTCAAGGAGCTGCAGGGACCGGTGCCGGGAGTGGAGAGCGTGAGCGATGGGCGAAGAATATCGAGAGAGGAGGCAGGGTTCTGGAAGCGGTGAACTCGCGAGAAATACGTGGGTCACGTACTACCAATGATTTTGCAAGACGACGAGTAAGACAAGCGGTTCATAGAGAATATCTCTTGATTGAGCAGACAGAAACATGGTGCGATTTCGACCGACCTGGGTGCGGGCTGGATATCAAAGAAAGTCGAGTACGTCCGGAGGGGACGAGATTGTGGGCTTCTGTTCTTCCATTTGGAAAACCATGCTGTCTCGGGGAGCCGCAGGTCACCAGCGCCATGCCGGGAGGATCTCCAATACTTCCGCCCGCAGATCACGGGATTTTCTGGGAGACCTTCAGGAATCAACATGAGAGCTCATGCGTCCATTGTATCTCCGCGAGGCGAGATCAGAGTGTAACGCAGGACCGTCAGCATCCTCAGTCCGAGAAGAAGATCCCCGGAACGGAATCTATCATGTGCGCCTCAAAACTATCAGTACTCAGATATCCAGAGCTAAGTTTGCTTCCAATTTCAGGATCTTCTCAAGGGATGCTTGATGACGCAAAAATCGAGAGAGTCAGAGGTACCAGATGAGACACGAGGCTCATCGAGGATACCAGCTGGAAACCAACGACGGCGAAACCAACTGTGGTTTGTTCAACTTCTTTTTCTCAATCTCGGAGACTTGCTTAAATCCATCCAACGGGATTTCGCGCACGATGTTCCTTGCGTAGTGGCGAGGCGGAAGGCGTCAAGTTCGAGGCTCGAACAAGGGGGGAAGTTGATGAGTCGAGATATCTTCATCCGCAGCACATTGTAACAATTGCGCCGAATGGAAGAACCCCTTTAAAGACCGAAGCAATCACCGTCTGGATCCAGGCGAATAGAGGGATGGCGTTAACCGTTTGAGAAAGTTCCATTACGGGTCAAAATGGCAGCGCTCTCCAGCCAGTCCCCTTCGACCACGAATGTCGAGGGCGTGACAACGCCAGTTTTCGGGTTGTCACAAGGCTCTTAGTCGAAATACGATATCAAAACCTGAGACAAGGCGGAAATCAGCGCAAACATGGCACGCCTCAACTGCTGTTGGCAATCTCGACAGTCCAGAGAATATTTTCATCTTACCTCAGCATACGTGTTTGATACGTTGGTGGTCATCCATTGTTTCTCGGGCCATCCAGAAGACTAACCCCAACGAAACCAAAATAATCTCCATGTGAGAAATGCCGCCGATCTGACTTGCACGTCGCTCCGAACCCTGACCTGCAACCCTGGTCTGTACTTCGATACATGACCACTCAGCAGCAAACAACAGCAGGCAGAAAAAAACTGTGGACTTCCATGATGCCACATCGGGATGGGATTTCAACCGTTTTTTTCCCAATTACTGCACGTGTTGTTCTATGCACACTTCTCAAGACTTCCACCCGCCTTCTCTGCTCGCCATGCTGCTGCCACAGCGTGTCTCCGTCTGCACAAAGTACAGGGGAGCGAGTGAGATCCCACCACACCAGCAAGAAGCGTTGCAGCTTCAGCAAGCAGACGAGCAGCTTGAATTTTGAGGGCGAGGCCCCGCATCCACTGCCAGCCCCCAATATTTGCAGGATGGGAGGTTGCCTGCCCATTTTTTGAAGATTGAGGCCTGTCTTTGCGTTGACCTGGGAGGTCGGAGAGGCTTGTAAATGGATACCAGGTGCTGCAGGGGTGGTGGGTAAGCCTGCCCACCCAGGCCCCCCTCGTCGATTTAGAATTTCGCAAAAATACCCTTCAACATTTGATACGCGGGCGTTAAAAAGAACGCTGTCGATTCGGCTGGGCCGACCGGCTCCATCCTAATCTCAGTACAGAGGGAAAAAACTCAACTGTACCGAGGTTTTCTGAAGTTTGAAAACGGGCGATTCCAATTCTACCCTTGCAAAGAGACAAAAAGGGATAGAGGCCCGAGGTGAGCCTATGGGGCTGCGGAGTGATGCCCAAATCAACATCGGCTTGGTCTGAGGATGACTTTCTCTCCCTCTGGCACCTTTCGGTTTCCCGAAAGCATAAAAATATCAGTTGATCCTGGTTAGTCGTGGGCGTCACCTAGCTTCTATCCACTTGATCTAGTGTTGAACGGGACCTTTTGACATGACATACATACGTACATTTCATGCCGGCTTGCCTGCCTGCCTTACCGATCAAGCATGATCTGCCTGTGGAGGGGATCCGTTTTTGGCCAGAACCTCAACTTGTAGCTGCACTCCGGACTTTTGCCAACAAAACCTTCATCTAGCTCGCATAAGGCGGTTCAGCATTCTGCACAGTGCGGCAGGACGAAGGCAATCGGAGAATTCTGTGGCCCTACCTATTGTCCGGCTCGTGCACAGCGCGCTGCCATCTGGCTTGATCGCTGCACTGCACTCTGCAGACGGGATCTTCTGCAAGCTTCGCCTCTCGCTCGTCATTGCACCCCATCCGGAGTGCACATACAAACAGCAGTCCACCTGCAGTGCCAGTACGCCAATTCCATGTTCATGGAGAAGAATTAGAGTGGTAGCCAAGGTGCATGTACCTATTTCAGATGAAACCACACAAGGCCGAACCATATGCTTCCTCACTCGACCAGACGACTGCAGAGGATGGGAGCAAAGAATCTGCAAGATCGCATTGCGCGTGGGATAGGGCCAGACAGCCGCATCCACTTCCCTACCACCATCACCCCCGTTTCGGAGAAACCTATGACGATTCCCGTGGCTGGCCTTGCCGTTTTTGACCATTGAATCCTATGATTTCAGCATGCACAACCATTAAGACACATGATTATTCATTAACTACCTCTATAGAGATGTACGAAGGCGAAGATTGAGAGGACCGTAGCTGCAGTGGCATCAGTACCGTGCGGTGAGAAGGGAGGAGGTCCAGGATTTCCATCGATCTCCATTCTCGCTATCAGTCAATCGGCGTCAGGCTGAATCTGGTCCGGATCCGCGCTGGCCAGAACTCTTCAACCCCTTCCATTTTTTGGCGCCGCCTGCTCCCCTGCAACCTCACACGGCTTCTGGTTGCTGACAACGTTGCTGCTCCCCAGTACGCGGAATTGGCGCTGAAGCTATTCCACCAAACTAGAGGCTTAGCCTGATGTCCCTTACTCGTTGCCTTTGTAAGCGCGGGTATGTGGCTCGTCGTCCAGAATAGCAGTGCCGCTGCAACTGCTGCAGCCAGGCGCAACCGAAGCCGCCAGAGCAAAGGTTGAAGTTTGGAGATTGAAGCTTCGTCCCGCAGCTGCTGGAGCCACGGGGTTTTCTGGTGTCATTGTCAGGATTCTTGGGTGGGACCGGTGGGTACTACTGGGCGGGTTTCAGTGGCCAAGGCGCTGAGCGACTAGATGATTAACCATTTAAGGTGGATGTTACTACGGAAAGTAGTCCGGTAGCGCGCTGGAACGTGGGTTGGGAGTGGATCGTAGGTTGCTGGCCCCAGCTCCAACGTAAATTTGGACAGAGACCCCGCCACGGGTTGCGGTTACAAAGCTGCGTTGTCGACGAGGAAGAGAGGGAGGGGAAGAGGAAGAGGCAGAGCTGGACTACCAGACTGATAGCACGGCACGCCGGAACTCCCCACTTTTCCAGAAGGGCGAGCAGAGGTAGAGAGCATTTTCGCGGGCCTGAGCCAGATCAGATCACCCTGCCAGCCTTCCTCAGCCACTGGTTATTCGTGGATCAGCGTTGTTGGTCTTGACTCTTGAGTCTTGACCTGGTGTTCCGTTCCAGAAATCACCTCCCTCGCTCCCCCAGCCGCCTTCCTCTTCGGCTCCCTGGGTTTGCCCGCACGGCGCCGAGCAAGCAGCAAGCAGCAAGGAAAACAGCCTCAACAACCGAATTCGCAGCGGAGAAGCCAGGACAGCCAGCGAGAAGTCACAGAACCTGGCCGAGCAGAACTGGTACAGCACACGGACGTCGGACACCAGCCTCAGACGCCCTCGAACTCTTCTTTACAGGCTCGGCGCTCGCTGCTCTTCAAACGGGCAGCGTATGGCCAGCAAGCAGCAGCCCATCCAGTCAGCGGCGGGGGGGGGGGGCTGGATCCTCACCCAACAACGATACTCCGTCCTGTACCTCCCGCACGAAGGTACCCGGAAGGGGAAGAGGCCTGTCCTGGCCGCCCTCCACTGCGGGCGCTCGTTTAGCACACGGCGCACGCCCAGGCCTAGCGTGCAACAGGGAGCAGCTTTTGGCGCGACCACTGGTCGGCCTGCTGGGAAAATCGGTGGGCGGCGTGGGTCGTGGGAGCGCGACTGCTGCCGGTGCTGGAGCCGGAGCTGGCTGGAGCTGGAGCTGGGGAGCTTTGAGCTGGAGCTGGGAGTTTGCGCAGAGGACAGCGCTCCCTCCTTTGAACTTCTTAGCGTGGTGCTAGGGCCAAAAGGCGCGATTCTCGCTCAACCCCTCCCCTCTCCCTTCCCTCCCCTCCCCTCCCCTCCCTGATCCCTCCCACCAGTCCTCTCTCTCTGTTCTGCTGCTCTGCTCGGTCGCTGGTTGCTCAGGCGTCCCCCCGGCTCACGCCCCTGCTCCACCAGAAAACAATCCCAGCAGAACAGAGAGCTCCCCTTCCCCCCCCCCCCCCCCCCCCCCCCCCCCCCCCCCCCCCCCCCCCCCCCCCCCCCCCCCCCCCCCCCCCCCCCCCCCCCCCCCCCCCCCCCCCCCCCCCCCCCCCCCCCCCCCCCCCCCCCCGGTCCCGTCGATGCTCTCGCTCTGCCACCTGCTCGTCCCGCTATCCACACGCCCGCCTGCCACTGGCTCGTCGCTGTTATCCTGATCTCGACCTTTACTTGCCCTCCTCCACCCAACCTCTTCTCTCTCTTCCGCGCCGTCTCCAGATCCACCTACCTCTCCCTTCCTTCTCGCGCGCTCTCTCCCGACCTCTCGACTTTTCCTTGGTAGGAGGTGCAGGTTGCAAAAAAAGGTATGTGCTAGCTGCCCACGCCTTGCTCGACTGTTTCTCTTGCGATCCCTCTCACAGTCCTCTTTTCTGCTGCAGCGCTGACTGTTGGTTGTACCTGCATTAGAGGTGGCAGAAGTTCACCAATTCTCCAAACCAACTTTCACATACCATCCTCTCTCCACATCCTTCCGGACCCCCAGTTGCTGTGGCGCCGACGATTGTTCACGAGCGTAACGACTTCCCACGAAACTTTTGCATCCTCGAATCGAAGCACGGATCAGATCTTTTCGAAGCGACAATAAGCACAAGCATACCTGCAGCTTCGCGTAACCATCAACCAACCTGTCGTGGAGCTTCAATTGCATCTCAATTGGATTGACAGACTTTTTCTCAAGTCTCCTCTTAACGACCTTCTACGAGCCAAACGTCTTGCTTTCGAGTCTTTTGCAGTTTTAACGAAGTCACTGTTCGGTCTATGCATCTATTTTGTCCATCACGATAAATAAACGACCATCCTGCGCGTTCGTTGTAAAAGCACAGTTGCCCAGTGCTGATCATTTCAAAATACGATTGCATCGATTTCATGCCCAAGCATCCAATTCCTCAGCACCCAGCATCTGCTCCGTCGACCATCACGCAGTACCCAGCTGTCCGAATTGCCACACCATCAACCCATCTTGCACGGTTTGATCCTAGAGGCTTCTAGTCTTTGCCTACGCTCACGAACTTTTCGTTGAGCTTTCCGATACCTCGTCCTCCTAGGACTTGATCTCTCAAACCGAAAAGCTGGATCTCCCGTCGATCTCGCAAGTGCAAACCCGGGGACCTACAGACGTACCATTTTTCAATCATCACGCCCTTCAACGACCGCTGTATGTGAATGATAGGCTGCCTTCTCTGCCTTTGCCACAGCCGCAACAGGCATACTCATCCGGTACTTCGTCACCCCGGGTTGGTTCTCTTGGTTCCCTTGGATCTTCTTCGATTCTGAACGGTAGTTCGCACTCGTCCTACACGACTGCCTCATCGTCGAACGGGCCAAAGACACCCTCTCCGACCTTACCCGCCAACACTGGACTTCCTGTATCCTTATCGCAGACATCCTATAGCCACACTTCTCCTTCTGGTCCAGCATACTCCTACAGCCAAGATTCGTATTCAAATATGAATCACGGTGGTACTCAGGATATGTATTACCCTTCACATATGTCAACTGGCCAACCGCCACCACCACAAACAGTCACATCAGGAGGTATGGGTCATTACCCCCAGCATCAACAACAACCCCCATTACTGCAACCGGGCCCAGCACAATACCCACCTACCCCTGCTCAATACGGTCAATACAACTACACAAACGGATTGACATCACCTCAATCGACGGGCCATCAAGTTCCCGGTTCAATAGGCCAGCAAAATGTATTGCCTTTGCCAGCCATGTCAGCGGGTCAACCAATGCCTGGTCAAGGTTATGGGGCGCAACAAGGATTCGACACGACTGGTCAAGTAGCTCCTCCTGGGATGAAGCCCAGGGTTACTGCGACCCTATGGGAAGATGAAGGCAGCTTGTGTTTTCAAGTCGAAGCAAAGGGAGTTTGTGTTGCTCGAAGAGAGGGTATGACGGCATTTTCATTTAGATTCGAAACGCACTGACTGACAATTACAGACAATCACATGATTAATGGCACAAAGCTTTTGAATGTGGCAGGAATGACCCGAGGGCGAAGAGACGGCATTCTCAAGAGTGAAAAAATGAGACATGTGGTCAAAATTGGGCCCATGCACCTGAAAGGCGTTTGGTGAGCTTTGAAAGAGAATTGTGGGAGAAGATCGCAAAACTAACCAATTGACAGGATTCCCTTCGAGCGCGCACTGGACTTTGCGAACAAGGAGAAGATCACAGAATTGTTGTACCCTCTTTTTGTTCATAATATCGGTGCGCTTCTGTATCATCCGACCAACCAGACGCGGACAAATGCCGTGATGGCAGCTGCAGAGCGGAGAAAACAAGAGCAAAACCAAATGCGGAATACGCAGGCACCTGGACTGCCGTCTCTGCATCAGCATCACCATCATTCGATGAACAACTCAATTGGTGGTCACCTCCCCGGACCCCAGCATTCTCTCGCCCCTCACCCGAGCGTTGGGCGCCCGAGCATCGACCGAGCGCACACTTTTCCGACTCCCCCAACCAGCGCATCTAGTGTGATGGGCAACATGGGCAGCTCCGATGGAAGCTTTCAGTGGGGACCGCAAGGAGGAATGGGAAGCGTTCAAGGTACAAATCCCCTGTCTATCGACACGGGTTTAAGCAACGCACGCTCAATGCCTACCACTCCAGCGACGACCCCTCCGGGGACCCAAATCCAAAGCATGCAGCAGTATCAACAGGGTACGCAGCAGCCCTACGATGCATCACGGCAAATGTATTCTGCACCCCCTTCTCAACAAAACGCTTATCCTCAATCGGCGCCAGACCCGAACATGGCACGCTACCAGCCGAATTCGTACATCAAGAACGAAATGGGCCCGCCCTCAGCGAGAGCACCAGGCGCTGAAGCCGAGCACCACGATTCGAAAGATTCAAATGGTATGCTCCACCATAGTCAAGGACAAAGTCAAGTTGGTCATGGTCATGAAGATGAAGCAGATCACGAGCATGAGGCGGAGTACACTCATGGGAATCCTGCAAGTTATGATGCCAATCGTGGATCATACAGCTACACCAACGGGCCAGCAGTTGGATCCTTGCCGGGAGAGCATCCCCACTTGTCTCCAGAAATGACCGGTTCTCCAAACCACCCAGCATCCGGACGTGCTACCCCACGCACGGCCTCTGCCCCTCAACCGTATTACGCCCAACAAGGCGGATATAGCACGCCTCCGCGGGTCCAGCCACCCTCCAGTAATCTGTATAATGTAATGAGCAGTGAGCGTGGAACCGCGAATGGCAACGCTGGGGGTGATGTCTATGCTTCGCAGTCGGATCTGGGAAACTCGATACCCAACGGATATGCGTCTCAGCCAGTCATGAACGGGGCAAGCAACAAGCGTGGCCGTGATGACGATGATGATGCTCGACCATCCAGCAGAGGCCCGGGAGGTGATATTGATTTGAAACGGCGGAAGACGGGACGTGAAGGATCTGTGTCAGGCCCCCAAACATACGAGGCTGCTCCTCTGAATCGAAATCGAGCGAGCATCACCCAACGACGCCGATAGCCAGTCTCGACGCTCTAAGCCAGACTTTCTGCACATTCTTCTTCGGACCGGACCACCTTACCTGGAATCCGAGCCATTCGCCATCTATTTATGGCTTAGGCCTACGAACATACAAAACCCTCCATCACCACACTCTTTGATAAGACAAAATTTCCTTGCACTTTACGATTGTTCTTGTATTGGCTGAAACACCACACTCGGCATATTGTTCTACTTCAGATGACGACGGCTTTACGACTTTCATTTCTTGGACCTGTCAAGATGGTGCTTCACGTGCCATTTGCATGGATGATGAATTTACGCTTTGCAAAAGGAGGGCGATAAATTTTTTTCCTCCCGAATATACACAAATGCAAGCGGGGGGAGTACTTTGCAAAACCAACCAACGTTGCCACCGAACTCCGAGCCTCACGTTCCTATTATGATCCTTAGGCGTGGGGTGGGTTGGGGATTGGCACTGGGCTCAGACAGCACTTGAACACTGTCGAAACTACAATTATGTTTTTCCTTGAGTCTTTACATTGATGACGACCTTTATGACTTTCACACTTTATTTTTTCGAAGCAACTTGGCTGGAATATGGAAATGGAATGGAATGTTGCGGTTTAGCTTCTCTTATGTAACCCAACGACTTTACGAGAGAATAAAAGCTATTGTGTTGATTCTACCTTACAGAAAGAAACAATGCAGCATTGTTTCCAAACCTCATTTCTTCCTCTCTTAACAAGTGACAGCGGTTTCTGATCTTCATTCTCAAAACGAAACTTGAATCAAAAAAAATCAATTCCTCATTCAGTCCGGTTCCAATCGGATTGGGGAAACGGGTGAAAAGAAGTGATTACACAACATCAGTCATACACTGCATTCGTTTCGCAGCTCCTGTCTCCGGGGCTTGGCTGCACCTCTTTTGGGCGCTTGCTTCCTTCCGTCCCACTACCATACTTACTTAACCTTTCCCCTTCCCTTCCCATCCGTCCGAAAATAGGGAAAGGCTTTTGCTGAAACGAACGTTCTGACGGTCTGGTTTTTTTTGGGGGGGGGGGGGATAGAGAAATGGAAGTTTGGATGAGCTTGAGGTGCGTGTTGTTTTGAGAGATGTTTGTGCGGGGTGAGGTGCAGGCAGCATGGATGGAGCTTGATTTGAGGATGATTGCCCCTCTGGTTCGAAACTTGACCTTGGGGATGGAACTTGGGGGGCAGTTCATAGTGAGGAGCTTTGTTCGAGATCTCTGATGAGCTAGCTGACTGAAGGCTATGATCTCTGGCTCTACTCATAATGCAGACTTAAGTCGATTTCCGACAGCCGTTGCTCAGAATTTCGGTCTTCTCAATTGAAATGTATTTCGTTCTCTCTTTATCTCTGCTGTTGATTGGTGAACGAGTGAGAGTTCAGAACTACTTCGTATCTCTTCCTCATAATTCCTTCTTGAGTCTTGACCATCTCCTTCTTTCTTCCTCTTGCAGGAAATCTTCTCTAAGAACGCCAAATTCCCTTTCCTTTCCAACGCCAGAGAATCAAATCAACGCCAGTTGCGTGGCTCCGGTCAATGGGAAGCCAGCTTTTCGGTACTCCTACAGCTGTCCTGCGATTCGTATCTGTTGGTTGGTTGGGCTTCATTCAAGGAACTCCTCAATCAACCATGTAAACCAGAAACGCAACTCTCCACCTGCCCGGAACTTGCAACACACCTTCCATCATCCTCCCCTCCTCGACTCGGTTGACTGCTTCCTCAAGACACCGCCTACCACCCTCCGCTCTCCCCACCTCTCTTCCCCAGACCTCCCCATTCTCATCAAGACTCCTTAGCTCCTTCTCCGCAGCAGCTAGTTCGGGAACGGTGTACACAAGTCCAAGTACAATTCCTTCGAGAGATGAATCGCCGACGAAATCAGAGATTCGCAGCGTCTGGACGCGAGATTGAGGGGATCTGAGAGGTGCGTGGGCTTTTAGGAGGGTCGAGATGTGAGGCCAGGCGTGTGGTGGGATTTGGGAAACTGGGGAGGTGTGTTGGGGTGGTTCGTGGGGTTGAAAGAGGCATTGTGGTTCTAAAAGAGGGATTGATGGTGAGATGGTGTTTGGCAGGCGGAGGGTTGCTTTCCAAGGTCAGTCTTTTTGCGTTGGTAGATAAAGCAGTTGTATGGAAGCTGGCCAGGAAGTTGATGCAGTGAAGGCACCTGGAGATCTCATGCACTCGTCTGGCGAGGACTTATGAGACGAACGATCCTCTGAACTTCTTGCATTTCGAAATATGGGAGCAATTGGGCAGCAATAGGGATTGCTGGACAGACAAGCAACGCAACTCAACACAAGAATTCAAAACTTACGAAGGATATCTCCAATACTTCTACACCACACAGTGGTGATTCCAACCGCCAACATCAAAAAATTAAGCTGTAACATTCTTTTCCTGCCAGCACCTCGCCAGGAGGTATGAATCTTTGCAATATGAAAATGAAAGCGTCCTACTCTTGACTTCAAATCCCAAGAAACGAACGATTACAACGAAAATGAAGTGAAGAAGTACATGGGACATCGGCATCTTTAACGCTGACTTCAGCCTTGGCAGGAACCCACTCCACATTTTCTGACACGGTCTCAAAGCATAAGCACGAGCCACATTCCTCAAAACATCGTGAGCACAGGAGCTAATGGTTGAGTGCGAGAATGAGGGTCGGTCGTGAGGTGACGAGCTGTGAAGCGGATGCTGTGTCAGATGTTGCAAGGGTGGTGTTTGTGCCACTTGGTGGTGCTTGGCGTTTGAGAACATTGCGATTCTGTGGAGGATAGCCCGAAAATAGGATGATGGATTGGTGGGAGAAACATCCAAGACTTTTGGGTGGGACAGGAGGTGCGAGGGAGGAGTGGTCGCTTCTTGAATCCACGGATTTGCACGGGGATCGGAGTTTTTACTTCAGGGGCTTACATGTCTCTGATGATGAGGCTCGTGAACTTCGTCATGGATTGCGTGTGTCGTTTTTGATTTGGAGATGAGACAGTGTTGGAGATCTTTGTCGACCAGGGAGAAGTAAAAATATCGATGTTTGTAAGTCGAGCCTTCCATTTTAAGATGGAAGCTTCTCTGCGATCCACCAACTTCTCAAAAAGTAGACTTAACACTCGTGAGAGCTTTTGCAAGTTAATCTTGGCATCTCAGGCACCCGAGAGAAATTCGGCGATTTGAGATACAGAGGAAAGGGCTTCAACTGCTCACATAGGAAGTAAAAGTTCTTTGGAGATCACCTGACCACGGATTTCCCGTAAGTATCATCCTAGCTCGTGGGCTTGATCAAGGACTGGAAGAAGTCAAAGGGAACTTGTTCGTAAATCATCCATATAAGTCCCATTCACTTAGCAATCCGTGATATAAGCCGAACGCCATACCCAATTCTCAAGCTCAATGAGTCTTCAACCAAGCCAACATTTGATCAAACGCTTCAGCTTGTGCTGTCTTGATCTCCGCATCCTCGTACTCTCCAACAACTCCAAATCCATGCGGAACACCCGAATATGTCTTGAATTCGTTCTCAACATTATGCTCCTTCAGATACTTCTCACCATATTCTCGAACCTCTTCATCAAAAAGCTGATCATTCTCCACGCAAATGAAAGCCAATGGTGACTTGGTACCCTCAAAATCCTCCTTCCCTACCAAAGTCGCATGAGCAATAGCTCCAGTTTTGATGTAAGGTCCTTTCTTTACTACGCCAGCCTCTTCGTCCTTAACTTGTTGGCCCCATGCAACGGTATCTGGCTTCTCGCCAGCAAGAAGCAAAGTCATTCTTCCACCGAAGCAATAACCTACAGAATATATTCCACCTCCATTCGCAACGGCATCGGCAAACTCGTCCTTGGCCGCATCAATGACTTTGTGAAGGATTGGAAGAACTTTTTCTGGGGTTTGTCTGGCCAACCACATGTCGATCAAGAATGACTTGGAGGTATCCGCCAACCGCATCTTAACTTGCTCAATCCACGATGGGTCCTTCTCCTCTTCATATGTAGCAGAGCCGGGTATAGGATCGTTGTTGAACATGTCTGGCAGCACGACGAGATAGCCCTCCCTGGCATAGAGATCAGCCTGTATTTGACTGTTCTCTGAGTGAAGTCCCGTCCCGCTGGACAAGTAGAGCAGCAGCTTCGATGGTGCATGAGGATAGTTGGCAGGTTTCGAAATATAGCAATCAATTCCTCCGAGCTGGGTCATCTCTCCACTGGGTCCTGCGCCAAAAGCTGAAGCAAGTCAGCACAAGCTGTTCCTGAGAGCCCACCCCTAGCAATGAGTTTCTGGAAATACTGACGAGTCGGTCTGTCGGTCACGCAGTGTTCCTGAGGATTGTCAGTATAAGCTGTTGGTAACACAGGTTTCCACGCACACCAAGGCTGGCACCCTTTTGTGCAGGAGTATCCCCAGGAATCAAGGTTGCTGTCGTCTCCTCTGTGGCATCGCTCTCAGGAGCCTTCGTCGCGATTTCGGGATCAGCCATGTTTGCGTTTGATGATCGTATTGATCGTGATGATGGGGGGTTCCAATGTTCCAATCGAGCTGGAGCTTCGAAGGTGGCGTTGAGGGGGTGTAGGTATCCAAATATAGTTAGCCAAGCGAGAAAACCACTTTAACGCCCCTCCTTTCCTCGACGCGTTTTCCTTCCTCCAAGCGCGTCGTCAACACCAACTTTCCAATTTTCCAACAGAACAAGACCACCTTAACGGGACACTTCGCAATGGCGGACGCGGCAAGATCTCAGATTACCCAAGGCGCTCTTAAGTATGCTCAAACGTTCCCCAGTGAAATTCTCTACTAAGTGCAAGCAGTGCTATTTTCAATGACCCGGACAGGCTCCAGAGAGATTTCCCAGTACCAGTATGCCAATGTGTCCAGGTAAAGACTCTTGCATCAACGACGGAGGGCCAGCCGGAGCGCTATCGACTTGTCTTGAGTGATGTCAGCAACTTTGTACAGAGCATGCTTGCAACTCGTAAGTCAGCAGAGGAATCTTGGGGAACCGCGTTAACAAGTTTTTAGAGGCCAATCATGTTGTGCATGATGGAAAGCTAAAGAAGGGATGCTTTGTTCGACTCAAGTCTTACCAGGCGAATGCTGTCAAAGGCAAGAAGTACGTGAGATGATTGCAATCTCGATGGTATCCCACTGACCAAACCAGAATTTTGATCATCCTAGATATCGAAGTCATTGAAAGCCTTGGCGAAATGGAGAAGATCGGAGAGCCTGTTGCTCTGACAGACAAAGAAATAGAAGAAGACGTCAAGCCGGCAAATACAACCATTGCAGGAGATGGTTTCTACGGAAACAAGGTACACCAGCAACCAGCTGCACAAGACCGACCACTTCCATCGCGTGGCGCCCCTACCAGTTCTTCGTCGCATGCCACCATATATCCTATAGAAGGCCTCTCCCCGTATGCACACAAGTGGACAATCAAAGCCCGAGTCTCACACAAATCTGATATCAGAACTTGGCACAAACCGAATAGTGAGGGAAAGTTGTTCAGCGTGAACCTCCTTGATGAAAGTGGCGAAATTAAGGCAACGGGATTCAACGAGCAGTGTGACCAATTCTACGAGCTATTCCAGGAAGGCTCGGTCTATTACATCTCCAATCCATGCCGAGTCCAACTCGCAAAGAAACAATTCTCGAATCTTCCAAATGACTACGAACTCACGTTTGAGCGAGACACCGTGGTTGAGAAATGTGAAGATGCAACGGAAGTACCGCAAGTCCGATACAACTTCACCAACATCGGCGCGCTTCAGGAGATTGAGAAAGACTCAACGATTGATATAATTGGAGTCTTGAAGGATGTCGCCGAAGTTACTCAGATTGTATCGAAGACAACCCAAAAGCCTTTCGACAAGCGTGAGCTCACATTGGTTGATGATAGTGGCTACTCCGTTAGACTCACAATCTGGGGCAAGACAGCCACAGCTTTTGATGCAAGCCCGGAGGCTATCGTCGCATTCAAGGGAACTAAGGTCGGCGATTTTGGAGGTCGGAGTCTTAGCTTATTGTCTTCTGGCTCTATGGCAATTGATCCTGATATTCCAGAGGCTCATAAGCTAAAGGGATGGTATGACTCTCAAGGAAGAATGGACAGCTTTGCCTCCCACTCCAACATGGCAGGTGCTGGAGCCGCAGGTGGACAAAAGGACCCGTTGAAAACTGTTGCCCAAGTCAAAGAAGAGCAGCTCGGAATGTCATTGGAAAATCCCGACTATTTCTCCACGAAAAGCACCATTGTCCACATCAAGCAGGAGACCTTCTCCTATCCAGCATGCTTAAGTGAGGGTTGCAACAAGAAAGTCACTGATATGGGAGACGGCACTTGGCGTTGCGAGAAGTGCGATATCAATCATCCAAGACCAGAACATAGATACATCATGCAATTGAATGTCAATGACCACACTGGTCAGTTGTGGTTAAGCTGCTTCGACGACGTTGGACGTCTGGTCATGGGCATGACTGCCGATCAACTCATGGAATTGAAGGAGAATGATACTGCGGCTATGGAGACTGCTTTCGAAGAAGCTAACTGCAAGACGTTCACTTTCAAGATCAGAGCAAAGACGGACAGTTTCCAAGATCAGCAAAGGTACCATCTCTCGGTTTCAATTAGCTAAAAACTATACTGACATCCCAATAGAGTCCGATACCAGGTCATAGGTGCCAACCCAATCAACTTCACTGTCGAAGCTCACAAGCTTGCGGATCTCATAAAGTTGTACAATATTGACTGAAGAGATCATTAACAATTCTTTCTGATTGTCATTTGATCATCGTGGCGTGGGCCTGGATGTGGTGTTCGATGTTTCGCGCGAGTGACTCGGCTGACATGGCTTTATGCAGGATGTAGGTTATGGGCAGGATGAGGGATATTTGCATGATGGATGCCGTGTCTCATTGATATGGCATCGGCGTTCGTGGATGTAGTTATGGCATGAATAAATGAAGTAATTTTGACAGAAACGATTTCACCTCTATGTGAAATCAAGCATTAAGTTCAAAGTTTTGATTCTATCTCGTTTGAAATTTGAATCACAGAAAACTTTGAACTTGTGTCTGGGGAAGCTCATTTATTGCGTTCTATTCTGGCAATGTTATCGCTGAAAATCGGTCTCGTCTTTTATGATTTGCTTCTACCATAGAATCAAACCTTATCGACGCCAGCCTCTCGAATGCAGCCAGTCCACCGGCCCATGCAGTACGCCTGCTCTCATTCATGAGAAAAGCTAGTCCCATGCTGAGACAGAGCAAGCCTCCTTCATTTCAGAATACATTCCTTTCTTCCTGGTTGACACGCCGCCAGTCCGGCGCACACCTTCATTTATCATGACTTTTCGTTTCGCATGTTTCCATTTCGGTGAGGAATTCAGTAGAGGCCGCCCATGATATCCTCATCCTCGACATCACCGCCCCAGTCCATATCTGGTCCCGAAATACCCTGATCTCCCGTGCTACCTTGTCTGGCGTTCTTCCTTTGCTTCTGTATGAACTTGATGTAGTCCTTGTCGTGGGTCAGCATCCGATCCGTCTGCTTGATCTCCTTAGTTAAGGCATGAATACGCTCAGTTGCTGCTCCCAACTCTGTCTGCATCTCAACTTCTGTCAAAACCGGTCCACTAACAGCAAATGTGACTACGGAAGGTTGGCCTGGTGAGGTGCTCATAGTGGCATGTAATTCGCCCTGGTTGATCATTTCCTGGACAAGTTTCTCTCCGGCTTGAGGTGATGGCAACTTGTTTCCCGTCTCGGCGCTCATGGTCTGGCCGACAATTTCTGGGATGGAGATTTTGCTGTAAATATTGGCCAAGTTCCTAATCTGGAATTTTTGGTATGCTGCCAGAACGTGGAGGACCAAGCCAGTATTGCAATCATTTTGCCAGACAGTTAAGCCTTGATCTGCTTCAGCCTTGAGTCTCGAAGCTGTGCCGCTCTCAAAGATTTGCGCGAAGGTCTCGTACGGCTTGGCGAGGGTGTGATACTGCTTTGCCGCGTTGGAGCTCGTCGATCTGGGTAAGTTGAGCAGTTTGCCCTCCTGCAAGAGACCAACGAGAACCCATTTCTTGTAGGCTTCCGCCATAATCTTGCTTACGGATCCCTCCTTCGCAGGATAGGTGACAGCATTCTCCAAGCATTGCAAGGCGCCTTCCCAGTTTCTCAGGCCAATAAAGACCATTCCACTGTACAAGAAATACTCCAAAACATCTTGATACTTGAGCTTCTGTGTAAGGCCAGAAGCTGGTGTAATGTATTGCATTGGATTGAGGCTCATGTCGCAAATGTATTTTGGCCTCGGTTGGTTGGTGGTTCCGGGGAAATAGAGAATGAGCTTCTCAATCACTGGTACAACAGGATTGTAGCTGTGTGAATCCAAGGCCAACCTCACCAAGGCCAAATGAGAAGTAGTGAGTATGGTTCCTGTCGGGTCCAGTCTCAGAAGAGCCTCTCTAATGGGCGCAAGGGCAACCCAAGGCTAGATATTGTCAATTATAACCGCACATTCACGAAGCGGCGAACGAACCTGTCTGTTTGTGACCGCAATGCTCGCAACTGCCTCTAAAATGTCCGACAGCTGGTCACCAAGATATCTGATCTGTCGGGGATCGAATGTGCCAAGAAATGTAGTCATCTTCCCCCATATCTTCTCCATGTCCACACCTTTTGTGCCCTTCTTCAGCGCTGAGATATTGGCAAGTAGGATAAAAGTGTATGGGACAGTGTTCAAGGCGGGATTGATGACCTTTGGTTTCTGTTAGCTGATTGTTTCCAGTAATAATCTATTGTTGCTCACGTCTAAAACATTCTCACCACCCGAGGTTTGCTGAAGGAGCTTGCTGTCGGCTAGCTTTCGCACATAATCGATCTGCTCTCGAATGCCTTGATCATAGGCGTAATCTGAAATGGGATTTGGAGGCGGCGGATGGGGAGGGAATGAGAGGAGGTTGGGAAGAAGGTTATCCATCTTGACGGTGGAGAGAAGGCGGTGGTTGGAGAGATCGTGTGCTTGTTCGTGAATCTGAGTAGCAGTTGCTGCGAGCTTCAGCTTGCGGAACTTCGCCCAGACACTTGCTGCTGAAAGAGGTTCCCCCAAACAAAATAACGCGACAGGTTGCTGTGAAGGAATAAACGGTAATTATGGGACAAAGTCGAAGTTGTAAGTGGGAAAGAGGTTGTTATAAAGAAGAAGCTCAAGGCTGCAATGAGCTCGATTATCATTCGCGAACTTCCCCACGACGGAGACAAGTCGGCCCGTTGAGACCTTAGCGCCTGATATAACGACGACGATTTGTGTAATCTCACCCCTCCTCTAAATTTCAAATCACTTGACTCACCATCTTAAAGCAAAGAATTAAGGCAATCATGTCTTTAACCAATGCTTTGCCTGCAGATGCTGCAAGAGCAGCTAAGTCAGCCTCACACATTCTGGCAACACTCCCAACTGCTGCTAGGAACAATGCTTTGACCGCTATCCACTCTGCTCTTTCTGCGTCAAAGGAGGAGATTCTAGCTGCCAATGCGCGTGACTTAACGCTGGCAAAGAAGGCTGCTGAAGATGGGGAACTGAGCTTGAGTATAGTGTCACGGCTAGACCTTAGCAAGAAAGGAAAATGGGAGGATATGCTCAAGGGAATTTTGGACGTGAGGGAGCTAGAAGATCCTGGTACGCCCCCCTATTCAGTGTAAACATATTCCTAACTTGGGACCTGTGAAGTTGGGAAAGCCACCCTACGAACAAAGCTGGATGATGGACTCGAGCTTGAGCGAGTGTCCTGTCCGATAGGAGTGCTCTTGATTATTTTCGAAGCCCGTCCTGAAGTCATTGCCAACATCGCATCTCTTGCTATCAAGTCAGGCAATGCTGCTATATTGAAAGGTATGGCCCAATTAATTCGCAGGAACATCATTCCTAACAGAGTTCAAGGTGGAAAAGAGTCAACAGAATCATTTGTTGCAATTTCAAAAGTCATTTCCGCCGCTCTACAATCAACAGAAGTTCCGAACACAGCCATCCAGCTCGTCACAACACGAGATGTGATCCCTCAACTACTTGGACTAGATCAATATATCGACTTGGTCATTCCCAGAGGCTCGAATGAGCTTGTCCGGTATATCAAATCATCCACAAAGATCCCAGTTCTCGGTCACGCGGATGGACTCTGCTCGATTTATCTCGAGCATACCGCCGATCCGAAAATGGCTGTCAAAGTTGTGGTTGATTCGAAGACATCATATCCTGCAGCATGCAATAGCGTTGAAACATTGTTAGTTGAAGAAGCTGCATTGGAAACTGTTCTTCCAGCCGTTGCAGAAGCCTTGCTGGAGAAAGGGGTTTCGCTGCGCTGTGATCCGACGAGTAAGAAGGCTCTTACGGCCAAGCTTTCAGCGCATTCATCGGTTATTCTGCAGGATGCTGATGAAAGCGATTTCGACACCGAACATCTTTCTCTGGTATTAGCCATCAAAACAGTCTCCACTATCACCGAAGCAATCTCCCACATCAACTTCCACGGCTCCCACCACACAGACGCCATACTGACCTCTTCTTCACCTCTCGCTGAACAATTCATGTCCAGCGTAGACTCTGCAGGTGTATTCTGGAACACTTCAACAAGAATGGCAGATGGAATGCGGTTTGGTTTTGGGACAGAGGTGGGCATTAGCACCAACAAAATCCACGCTCGTGGACCGGTTGGTCTAGAGGGCCTGATGATTTACAAGTATAAGATTCGAGGGGGAGGGCATGTATCGCTGGAATATGGAGAATCGGGAGGTCAAAAGTCATTTAAGCATGAAAAGTTGGCGCTTTGAGATTCAATGTTGCTTTGTAATAATGCACGATGTATTCTCACATTAGTTCCCCTTGCAGCGTAATCCACTGCCCCTCTGAAGGAAGATCGTCCGGACAAGGAAACTTCTCAGAGCTTGTGGAAAGATCATTTCTCTCTTGAATAACTTCACTACAATGAGCCAGCTACAGTAGGCACGATGTCTATGCCCAAATCCTGCAGAGAACAGCGCTCCTATTTCACTGTTTACTCTTCGCTCTTAAGCGAGCAATAGATGGCTCGCAAAACAACCACCTCCGCACCCGCAAAAAAGTTGATAACCTCAAACACATCAAAGTAGACAGTATTAAAAGGAATATGTTAACGTTATATATATCAATAGAAAAAAATATTCAGAGCAAGCAGCAAAATAGCAAAACTCAAGTGAAGCCACTTCGAAATGTGAAGTCGAGTCAAGTCTTTTTGTGCCTGGAGGTGAGGGCTTCGACCATATTTACATTGGAACGATCCTGGCAAGTCTTGGCGCTCTCACTTCCTTCTTAACCAATTGGTCCTCATCCTTATTAGTTCAGAATCAATGCCCGCGCTGGTACGCACTTGGCTGCATTCTAATATCAAGGTGGGTCCACCACTTCGGATGAGCACGTGATTGGCGGGAATGGCTCCCTTATTGTCGATGCCGAGGCAGCGTCCCTTCTTCACCTTCTTTGACCTGGGTTGGCTCATCTTTACCCCTTGTGAGCATGGGCCGATTGGGGTTTATATATTTCAAAGTTCAGCAAAATAGAGGAGGAGTGCTGAATTCGGCTGGATTCGGCATTTCTGATGGCTCATCATTTGCTGCTATCTTGTCCTCTGTAGCATTACTCGTACTTGTTGTTTAATTTGCCAACTTTCAAAAAGATTTTGGGTTTAAGTATTTATTCAACAGTTCAAAGTACATCATGCTTGAAAACTCTAAATCCTGTTTTATCGAAACGCAAGAAAAACTTGGGATTATCCATGCTATGCACTACTAAGCATCTTCGAAGTAGAAGCATATCCCAGCACCTTCAGTTTCAAGATGTCGATAATAATTTTCGGCCAATGTCCTCGATATAAATTCATTGCCACTCCGCCGCCATCTACGGCCGAACACACAACACTTACAATTGTTCTCGCCGGGACGAAGGCCTATTTCTCTTCAGTTTCTCGCTTCTCCTTGTACTAAGTTGGACTCACCACTCTTAAAATCTCCCGACGGCCCAGCAGTAGGACACTTATGATCTGCCCATTCGCAATAGCTATACCCATCGCCATGGTCTGGATCACAGGTATTCGCATAATACAGGGAGACTATATCCCAGCCTTGTGACATTCGTGTCATAGAATTAAAGCTGAGGAAGCAGATTAGTTGTGCCGAAGAATCGCCAAGGGTCTCATATATTCCATTTCTGGGTTTCGGCAAGAAAGGGGCGGGCAGCAAGAGGGTCACCTGGTTGTCCGGTGGTGTTAATTTAGCCTAGGTTAATTGCTTTTTCATGTATAATCAAGCAAAGAAATTCCTCACAAGAACGGATGCTAGGCAAGGAACGAGGTTCAAGTACAACATGAATATCTGCTCAACGGGCGTTGATGCTGGAATATGGTTTCATTCAATCAATACCCGATCCCGAGTCCAAACACCGAATCGATTCAAACAGGGGATACATTCTGCTCAGCGCATCGGGTATTCAATTTCTACGCCAAACAATCCATCAATACAACAGCATTACACGCTCTCCATTTTGCCCATCCCACCCCCAGAAAACAGTCTAAACGCCGAGATGTATAATGCAGAGGCCACGCACTGATGCAGCATTAATTTTCACGGTACGCCCGACCTCCATGCATTTCTCCACAAGCCCCGCTCCACGAACCTGAATTCCCCAGAGGTTGTGGTGGCTGAATAAACGCAATGCTCGCTGGAATGCTTTGAGTTGAGGAGAACGAGAGTTTCTTAACGACGTGAGAAGCAGCACATGATTCCTGAGCGTCCAAGGAACCACAAGCAACCCATGAATCGGATGACAGAGAGGATGGCAGTCGCGTAAAGGAGGATCGTGAAAAACTTTTGGGTACGAACGGCTGCAGTTTCCTAGGGATTGTTAGTAGGCTTTCTTTGTGGAGAGGAGTGGTACTCACCCCGAAACCAAACTTGTCGATACTGTCGCTTGTGATCAATACTGCCAAGATAGTATTCGAGAAGATCCAAGTGATCAAAAGCTTCGTTCTGAAGGACTTATAAGAGTCCTCAAGCGTCCTCTTCTCGTCTTCCACGACTGGTACGTAAGGCTTCAGTGCCCGCTTAACCGTTGCTTCAAACTGGCTGTCGATATCCTCTTGAGGTCTATCGATTTCTTCAATCTCTGCGGAATTACCATCTGCCTTTGTTGTCTTCGCGGAAGGAAGAGCATCTGCCTTATCAGAACCCTTAGTACCCCACGAAACATCGTGCCAATTGCTGAAGGCATAGACCATGAGGATATTGATGTAGGAAGACATGAGCAGCAAGTATTGGCCGAAGGAAGTGAACATGTGCCATGGGTCGAGGTACAGGAAGGAGGCCACGAAATAGAGACCGAATGTAGCCAAGAGAGCAATGATAATGATTCCACCAGAGGCTCCAGAGTTTCCGAAAAAGCTCTTGAAGAAGTCATCCACACTGTCGGTCTGAATGGAAGATCCAGAGATGCCGCGAATAGCCAAATACATCGACAGAACGATCAGGTAAGCGTTGATGACACCGAAGACCATGAACGATATAATGTAAGTAGCCTTTGAACCTTTGGGTCTGTTTCCAAGTGCGAGGACAAACTGCACGAGGAGAAATGCCAGGTACAAATACTTAAGAACGGTGTTGACGATTGGAGTTGCGGTATCACCAAATGGCCATCCGTGATGCTCCGCGCTGGTCGAGGAAGCGGGAGTCGGATTTCCAACAAGATCCATGATAACAGTAGTCGTCAGATAGAAAGATGCCAACATGAACCACGACAGAAAGACGGTGAAGATGTTGTATATCAGTTGGATGTGGAAGAAGAACATTCGGATGATGTTGTGACCGCTCTTGTACCTGCAAATGGTTAGTTTTGAAATTAAACACAATTGCTGTTGACTTACATTCTGCCGAAATGCATGATAGAGTACATGCTTGCCGCAAATGAACCGTTCAACCACCTTCTACGTTGGCCAATGAATTCAGAGGCTCCCTCGGGAACGTCTGTCTCGCCTTTCGCGGCCTTGATATATGTCAAGTGCCATTTCGAACCGGCCTTCGCAACCAACTCGAAACACAGAATTCTGTCCTCGGCCAAGAACATGTTCTTCTTGAAAATGTTCATGCCCTCGATTCCTTTCTTGCCGAGCTTCTTGGACAGTGTATGATCTCCGTGGAAATACTGCTCCAGAGGTCGACCCATAATAGCACGGAAACGGTAGGCTGAGAAAGCCCCGGGCAACACACTGACGTATCCGAATGAGCTCTCCAAAGGTTTATCGAGAATGTTGCTGATCTTGTACTCGAAGTTCTGCGCGGCAACCAAAGGGTTGAACAATTTGCGGCCACCGCCCAACATGGCGTGAATTTCACCGCAAGCTCCTCCGAGATCTTTGTCATTGTAGAAACCTTCCCAGAGTGAGAGTAACGATTTTGGTCCGGGCTTCGTTCCTGCGTCAAGAAGAATGCAGACTTCAGGATTCAGAAGACGGCCAAACGCATTGAATAGCCATCGATGAGAGTTGATCTTCTTGCTGTTCTTCTGCTTCAGGCAGAACATCATCTGGACAGGAGGTAAGGTATTACTGCTGTCGTCTTGGGGGCGGATCAACTGCTGATTCGCAGTGACCGACAACTGTGTAGTGTACTCGAAAATGTGTGCAACTGTCTCTTTCCCGTCAACATCCTTCTTCATGACTCCATCTTGGTATACACCAATTGTTGCCAGAAGGTCCAGTGTATCCTTGTCGCAAGGATCGATTCCGTCAAAAACCAGGCACACAACAATCTTTTGCCAGGCTGGGCCCCCAACATTCCAGAAATCGGACTTCTTCAGGTTTACGATATCCCGGATATTTTGCATAACACCATGCAGCGTTCGAGCAGTCAACTGCTTGTCCTCGTTGTAGTAGGTAATGGCAATCAGTAGTTCCGTGTGGCGGTTGTACATTGCGGGGCGTAGATTGTAGCCGTTCTTGAGTGTAAATTCGTCAGGATCGCAGGTGGCTGCTGTGTACCTCATAGTCGTGAATTCCTCACTCCCACCCTCGAGGTCTTGCCTGTACTTAGCCTGGATGGCGTTTTTGATGGCCGATGGAACTGGATGATCAACACTCAGGACAGCGCCTTGTACGAGCTTCACCTTTCTGGTTGCGTAACGTTTGAGCCCTCCAGCATTTGGAGCTTGTCTCTGCCGCCATGCTTCGGTGGAGTTTGTCTCGGCCCTGGAGTATGGGGAATCTGATCTTTGATGTGCATTATCCTCTAGCTGGTGACCATATGTTGCGCCTTCGTCATATTCGCTGCTGTATGGAGGTGCAATACCCCCAGCAGGGAGGGCGTAAGATTCCGTTAAACTGTAACTTGACACAGGTCTGGCTGGCGGGGTACCGTGGAGAGTTCTCGCTTGGGCGTCGTAGGGGTCCGCAAACGGCACATTTGGTTGTTGGTGTAGAAGTGGTATATTTCCGTCTTCATCGTCTTGATGAGGGGGTATGTGGTACTGAGATTCTCAGGTCAGACAATGAATGGGAAGTTGCAGGAAGGATTGGTCGACTTACGCCGCCTCCGGGAGGAAGGTCCTGCAGTTTGTGCTCCTGGTATCCGCCATTGCCGGGATGCGCCATAATGACTGCGTTTATTAATTGTTTTTCGAGTGCTCGAGGAATGAGAGATGGTTCCTAGGTCTGCGGATTGCAGTGTTGAAAAATGGATGTTTTGGACGTTGGGAACTGGAATGTGAAATTTGACCCCTGGCAACCGTGACGCAATGAACGTGACAGAGGGAGCGATCGGCAGTGCAGAAGGAAAACAGGAAGGGGCGTCCAGGCGCTGTATGGAAGGTCTTGTAGGAAGAAGAGAAAAAAGAGGAAATTTGGGAGTTTTCAAGGAAACGTCAACGGGTTGAGATCGGCACGCAAAGGAGAGCCATGGAGGTGGAGCGTTTAGTTTGGTTGCGTGTCGTGTTGTGTCTCGCGCTCGCTTCCCATGAAGCTTTACTTAGTACATGCATGCATGTCACTTGCTTTTACGAAGTCGCACAAAGAGACCAAAACCAATTGACCCCTGCTGCTCAATGCCGATCGACTTGATTCACCTGATTCACGTCCCTCTCTTGCGCTGTTCTCCGGCAAACTTTGCTGAACGTTCTGATGGCCCTCTTCTATTTGCTCTGTGCAGCGGGCGGACGTTGGTTTTGGTGGCGCTTGTCCCTGGGCTCCAGGATTGAGGGGCCGATGACAGGTCTGGAGTAATTGGCTGATCAAGGATTTAAAACAAGCCAGCCGAGAGCATGTTTCACGAGCAGCAAGCCACTTGACGCGCCTCCTACCAAGTGACAAGAGTGACGAAAGTGACAGAGCGAAGTCTGGCGAGAATGTGTATTGCTGTAGCTCGGGACAGTTCACATTTGATCCAAGTCTGTTTTCTAAGTTTCTCACTCACAGTTACTTTACGCGAGTTGCCGTCGATCTTCACAAAATGCTCTGCCGGGGCTTGCTCTTTACGGAGTAGTGAGAGCTTGTCTTGGCTGTGGAGGCGGGTCTAAAAATAAATACTTGCCGTAGCGTTCGTATCGCTGCGGCTGTGTTGCGAAGAATCAATGGGGGGCAAACTTGTGCCAGCGAAAAAAAGGCGAGAGTTGGAGCTAGGAAGCGTGGATTACTTCAGCGGGGAAATGTTCGGTGCAACCGTCGTAGGGGGGGTGTTGGCAGGATGTTGTAACGGCCCAACATCCTTCAATCTTTCAGGGGTATCACGTGATCACAAAGAAGGGTTGAGTTCGTCGTTGAGGGCCGTGGAACTGAGTCTCTTTCCTGTCTCTGGTGTGTGTGGTGTCCTGTTCGGCCATCACCGTCCACTGTCTACAATTTGCTGGCAATATAACATCTCCAGTAGGGTTTGCCCCGTGGTTGATGCCAAGTTGCCAACCTGCAAGAATTCCCTGCTATGAACAGCAGAAGGTGACTTGGGGACGCCGGCAACACTGCAGAAAGGCCAAAGATTTGTGCCCACTCACAACTCTGTACGTAAGATGTCCAAGAATGCTTCCAAAAGTCAAGTATCTCAGATGAAGCAATACCTATACAGTATCCTTCGTGATGACGGCATTCGATATTGAACCCCCGAGCCTCTCCCCCTCCCAATTCCGGGAGAAGTATTGGAATCTCACCAGCAGTGTTACTCCACTGTTCCCGATCCTGGAGGGTATTTGGAGGCAGCCAGTCTTTCGCCTGGATACGATTGGCCTTTCAATCCCAATCCATCACGAAGACAGCCCCGGAGGCAGATCTAGCCTGTCGCTGGGTCGTATTCCAGTCGGCCAGTCAAGATGGTTTCGTTTGATGGTTCGATCTCCAAAACTCTGCGCGGCTGTGTTCCTGAGAGTGAGACTTTGTGTTTTGGGCGTGGCGTAGCCCCTCACTTCATTTCAGCAATCACTAAAGTTACAAAAACCAAAGATATGATATCGAGCAGCCCCAAATGCCCAGGAATGCTCGCTCAACACTGGATTTACGTTAAGCTTAGGGAATTTAACAGGTATCTTCTCTGCACCGCTCAATTGATCGAGGAGCGCAGGAATCAATATATCTCGTACCCGCTGATTGGCCTGATTGGCCGCAGCGCCCGCCCCCTAATCAAAAGGGCGCTGGTCTAGGCCCGGAAGATCCTAGCCCTGAGAAACACCAGTGCAGTGTGCACCACCTTCCGAAGAGATCTCGAATGCTCAGCTGAGACGATCTTCTCCATTCCAACATCCCTCCACGATCCAGCCCAACGACTTCTCGACGTTTACCCTCGCCGCCGGTCTCACAGCCTCATAGTCGATGTCGATGTTGTCCTGACGGTTGCAGACACAACCCCAACGCCGGAGCTCGCTCTCTACCACGCTCGTTATCGAACCGTTCATGCGACCGTAGCCTACGACTCCTTTGACTACCGGCCACACACAGCATTCGAACAATTCTTTTCTTTTGCCATCGACTGTTGCATTGGAGATCCTGCGGTCACTGTATCAGCGATATAGACCAGTCACCGGCCACGTCGTTCTTCGCTTTCAATCTCCTTTACGATACCCCGAGGTCAGCAGTAGATAACACGAGCCCCAATAATCGCCATTATATTCCAGCCTTTGGCGAGCATCAATTCCCACAAAGAACCGAGTACATCAGAGCCTTGATTGCCAGCTACTTTGATTGACGACCAATCCGTCAAAATGGCTTACAACTATGGATCGAGTTCGTGAAACAGCTGCCCTCAACGTTTGTCTAATCCTGCTGACTGCGGTATCTAGTGTCTTTCGACCATCTTTTCAGACGATGTGTTGGATGTGACTACACAACGACACCATCTTGCCCTCAAAATCCAAGTTGTGACGAGCAGGGCAAGCAATGTGCATTCGTTCCGCCGACATGCACCTCATGCCAAAAAGTAGAATGCGTAGAGTCAGCTGCGGCGACCGCGACATTAACCCCAACAGCAAAAGCGAATCCAGGACCCAATGTGGGAGCGATTGCTGGAGGCGTGATTGGGGGAGTCGTTGTGATTGCCACTCTCACCTACCTGGTGTGGAGATTCTGTATCAAGACCAAAAGACAACAGTACGAGCAAGAGAATTGGGTTGAAGATGACGAGACACTGCCTGTGGAGAAGGATTTCACAATGAGAAGGGATGCCAGGGCTTCGACACACACAGTCGCTTCAATCGCCTCTACGGTTTTGACCCGCGCCTCAAACATTATTCAAATTGCCTATATTCCCGGCGTGACGAATCGATCTGCGCCATCAACACCTGGCCTACTTGTGCCCCCTGTTCCTCCGATTCCAATTGCGTTATCATCCAACAACAGCACGCCGAGATACGAGCAAGAGCACTTTTTTATGCCTGGCGATCTGCGAGATTCCACCTACTCTGGTATCAGTGACCGAACCTCATACGCCAGGACCAGCGTTGCATCCACCATCTATGGCAAGAACGCAATAGTGTCCCCTGTTCCTGCACAGACTGTAATCAGAGGGAAACCAGCCTTGGTCAGCGTCAAATCCAATGGTGCCAGTTCTTCTGGTGAACTCACACCTCCGGTCCCAAGCGTCGATTACGGCAAGTATGGTGTGAACGGGCCTCCAAGTCCGGCATTCAGTGTCGGTTCCACATTCTTGAACAACGCCAATACTGCCACACAAGTACGACCTCAAGTCGTTCGAGTTATCAGCGGGCCTAGTAAGAAGCGTTCTACATCAGAGACTATTTCCGAAGACGAGGCCGCTTCCCATCGAAGCCTTGTCCCCCGCGACTCGAACGCAATTACCATAATCGATGACACTCCTGCTCTGGAACAAGGACCTTTCGGCGATCATCCTGATGGACGGCATACAAGCAGTAGCACACTTAGTGCCGTGATAGAAGAGGCGACAAAGAAAACACAGGGTGGTATTCAGGGATCGAAAAAGGAAAGCACCCCATTTGGGGATGAGCATGAAGTTAAAGAGTGATGAAGCTCTAGACTCGCCCTTATCATAGGGCGGTATGCCGTGGTCCCGGTCTGGCTTCCCGAGACATGACTTTGAAAGATTCTTATGTTCATATTCAAAATTTCTTCGAGCAAATAGGGTGGCGCAAACTGGAAATCTGGTGATATCCTCCGGGTTTCTGATTATATGGATGGATGAAAGGGAGGCAGGTTCTTTATCACCGTTCAATTCAATGGGAGATGATTCAGTGCATGGTGGCAAAAACTCCTTACTCAACGTGACATCGGTGATCCACAGTCTCCATCAGAGGCTCCATGAAAGATTTCGATCCAGTGTCCCCTCCTCCCAGCCATTCAGATGCTTGAGAATAGATAGATGAATTGACCTTTGTACGACAATGAGAAATTTGAGGTCCCTATGTGAAGTTTCCATAACCAGTTGTTCTAGAGACCCGTATGTAGTTGGCGGCCTCACTTTTCTTATTTCCAAATTGGTTCGCATTTTCCAGTCTCTCCACAACCTGGTCTTTCCATGTTTCCAAGGCTCCATCCACGCCATACCCAGACTGTTGGAGCCCAAGATCTGGGGAAGGCCAGTTGCTCCGAAGTGCCACCATTCGATGGCACATAACGTCGGCAGCGGTCCTATCAGCCACTGTTTTGAAGAGTCTCCTGCTGCCTGATAGGGAGGATAAAACCTCTGAATGCACGGTCTGTTCCTGTGAGATTATCCGCACTGTGAGCCATTGGAGGGGAAGCTGCACTATGTCAGCACAGGACCCTGTGCTCTTTTCTGTCCACATAGTGATGAGATCAAATAAACTGACTTTGGCCGCTGGACTTGGAAAGCCGCACCTCTCTCTATATCTATTCTTGTCTGGCCTGAGACTCACGTCAATACCGCCCCCACCACGTGACTGTTCTTTGTGGTCCAGACGCCGACACACAGCCAGGTGAGCCGTGTTTGACCGATACTCGATTCGTCCCGGAAGGCGAAAACTTCCCACGGGAATCTTTCGGGCCTGGCTGCCTGGCGCGAATCTGTGAACTCATGTTTGGTGAGTGGAGCTGGGCCTTGGGAAGCTCGCCGCTTTTGCAGGACATTAGCGCAATTTTTTAGCGAGGGCAAGGACAGAGGCAGAGTATTGAAGTATTGACATGCAAACCAACCCAACATCATACATAAACCCAAGACGCCCTAGCTGTGCCCTCCTGCTCCTTGGGCAACTGTCGCTGGCCCCTGTTCCCATACCAGAGCACTCGCATTCAGAGCTCACGGCTGTCCACAGACTTGCGCTTCGGGCAGCTCCCAGACCTTCCCCACTGCCAGACCTCACCACTCAACCCCCAACTTCAACAACACTCCGAATTGCCGCGACCTCGAGCTCTGATCTACATCCCCAACTTCGAGGGAAAAGCCCGAGCCGTCTCTTACGCAGCTCTTAAGCTCCTCCACTAAGGCAACGCCAGCTGTTCTCTGCGCAGGAAGTACCAGGCGGCCATAACTTGCTATCGCGGCCGTCGTATCGACCTACTAAGTCTCTCCGCCAAAACGGAAGTCCGAGCTTTGCTGCCAGAGTCCAGAATCAAAACTCCACCGCAGATCCAGCCGCTCTACTGAATAGTACGGATTGCTGCCTCGTCCGATTGATTCTTCGTCTCTCGATTTCTGCTTCTTCGACCACGGCCGCCACTATCTGCTCGACACCCACACACCCTCGCAACATCCCACAATATGGCGGGTAAGATGGTGCTGTACAAGCTGGTGGTGCTGGGAGACGGAGGCGTTGGGAAAACAGCCTTGACTATACAATTAACTCTACAACATTTTGTTGAGACTGTAAGCAATCCTTGAAGTCGTCAAGCCCCTTGACGCTACTCAGAGCTCAAGGATTAAGCTCACGTTTTTCCGTAGTACGATCCCACTATCGAAGACTCGTACAGAAAACAGGTTGTGATAGATGGGCAATCTTGCATGCTGGAAGTTCTCGATACTGCTGGCCAGGAAGAATATACTGCTTTGAGAGACCAATGGATCCGCGACGGTGAAGGCTTCGTCCTAGTGTACAGCATTTCCTCGAGATCGTCCTTCACACGAATTCAACGGTTTCACAACCAGATTCAACGGGTAAAGGAATCCTCAGCATCTTCACCCTCTTATCCTGGATCACCCATATCAGCCGCGTCACCCTCGGCACCAGTTCCCATTATGCTGGTCGGGAATAAAAGTGACAGAGTTACAGAGCGTGAGGTTTCTACACAGGAAGGACATGCGTTGGCACGAGAGCTTGGCTGTGAATTTGTTGAAGCATCAGCAAAGAATTGCATCAATGTAGAAAAGGCATTCTACGATGTAGTGAGGCAGTTGCGCCGCCAACGGATGCAAAATAATGTCAGGTCAATGCAGGGTCAGGGGAAAGGGACCAGGATGAATACTGGAGAAGGGCCAATGCGGGACGAGTCACGAAAATATCGGCCCAAGGATAAGAAGAAATGCACCATATTATGAGGGAGATATTTCAGAGCTGAATTAAGAATTCTGGCTCACAGGGCTTGCACGACGTTTTCTATTTGGGGTAGAGGGTTTCTTCCGGGCCTCCTCGCTCAATACCCCTTCTTCCTTCACAGCGTTGTTCGAATTTCAACCCGACTCGGCGAACGGAGTACCAAAAGAGAGGCATACGGCGTATATTCATTGGACGACGAAATTCTGCTTCATATCTGAGAGGGGGGCCGCGTTGTGCAAAATCTGCCCCGAAAGCAAGCGGGGAAATGGGGGGTGTTCTCTGGCGCTATCACATATATTTTTCGGAAATCGGTATCTCGTTGCGAGCTTCTCATGGTTTCTACAAACTCAACATCAAATCTTTGCTTTCTCTCTGCTGCTACTACACAGTTACTCCTACAATTCTGAAAGTCCATATTTGGTAAATCCCCATCGAAAGGGAATGGCGCGGTTGGCTTGGTTGATTGGGTGGTTGGTTGGATAGATTGCCTTGGCTTGGTTGGGGTTGCATGGTTGGATGGACGGCATCTGCAGAGAATGGATGGAAGGGGAGCCAGGGAAGGAGGGGAGGAAGAGAGGAGAGGAAAAGGAATGGAATGAGCCCTTGTTTAGAAGAAGGTTCTGTCTGTCTGCTTGTCTTGTCTCGTCTCTTCTTGTGAGCATTGAGCAAGATGGGGAGAAATCTTGGAATGGGAAGAAACCTCCCAATACAATTCATTTTAGCCAAAACACCCATCTATCTATCTATCTACATTATCTTCTTCAATGCTGAATTCCTTCCAGCCTCGCCTTACCGGTTACGAATCTACGATGAAAGGCAAACTCCACTCCCACTCCCACTTCCGTGGTACAGGAACGGGTACTAAACCTGCGTACTTCTATCTATCAACAAGTCCACAACGCGCGCCTCTCCCAAGCCTCCTTGTCTCTTGCCTCTTTTACCTCGCAAATTTCCGCGTCTGGCATCATCTCGCAGGAGATAAGATCCAAAAAAAAAACTTCTTTCCACGTCTCTTCTAGAACGAAATTTTTGGCTGTTCCTGATACGTGCGCTCGTCTTTTTTTTTTGGAGAACCCCCCGCCCCGCCCCCACGCTGACACCGGACTTAGTCCCTCACTCTCCTGATAGGGGCGGTAGGGTAAGGTACAGTACAGTACAGTACAGCACAGCAAGCGCGGGGGAGAACGGGTCCTGGCGCTAAAAGAGATACTCACGGAGAGACCGATGATAGGGACTTAGGTACCGGCATTGGTTTGGATGGGGAGGAGGGGGGGTAGCGCACCTGCCTTTCGTGGTGAGAGCATGTGTCTAGAACGTGCCCCAAGTGTTACAAGGAAGAGAGATAGGAAAGTGAGGGGAATGGAAGGGAAGGAAGGGTTGAAACAGACAAGGCTCTGCTATCATCGTACTACGGTCTGGGGATCAGTCCTTGGAGTATCTGCACTTTGTTTGGGATCGTGGGATTCTTTGGTTTCCGTTCCTGGGATTGGAGACGAAACGTCTGGGCTCAGGAGGGCAGGGCATGGAGGAAAACACGTGCTCTGGATCATTGGGAAAGGGGGGGCATCGCTCTCTCCACATCTCACGTTTTCTTGGAATCCCTCAAGCAGGGTCAGGCAAACACCGTGCCTCAAGATCCCAATTGCACTGGTTATGTTTTCCCAAAAACGAAACAGAGGATTCGCGGTGAAAGGACCGGCTTTACAACGGTGTGAGAGAGGCCAATGGGGACTGGGGTTTTTGCATCTGGGGACGTGAGACACCTGCCTTTCTGGCTCTGGCTCTGGATTGTCAGGTTGTGGGGAGTGGAGGCAGGGACCACACGTGCCTCGTTGCTGCTTCGACGTGATGACTACTGTAACGATCCAATTCAATCTCTGGGAAAGGGATTGAAAGGTGTGCCAATTGGAGGGTTCGTAAGACTGTGATGTAGATCTAGAGATGAGGGATTTCGGGGTTGAAGCGTGTCTGACTACGGCACAGGCCCGGCACGCTTCCGCGATCGACTGAGGTCGGTATCCCACGCCGAGAGGGTGAGACGGGAAGGAAGGAGGGGCGGCGCTATGTCGTAGGTGCCGACGTAATGGGCCCCCAAACGCGGAACGGTACGAATCCGGAGGGCCCGCCGGCATCTCCTTTTTTGACATCTGTGGGGGGGTTCAGGGCTTGCAGGAAGAGGGTGGTTTGCGTCAATGGGAGGGGAGGGTTGGCGCGGTGGTGACGGAATGGGCGTCTTTGAGGGAAGCTGTGAAATCTGTGAATGCGGGAGAGAGATGATCCCGTTCCCCCCGTGCTGTGTCCCGGTGGGACGGCAAGCCAGCATTCGGGTGTCCCACGGTCGATTGGCATCGCGGCTGCTGCTGTGGTCTCTGGATTGGCATCTTCCCGGGAGTGAGGCCGAAGTAGGTTTGATCGGCATATTTATGTGATAAGGGCTTGTATCAGAACCCGGAGAAGAAAACTGGTGTTCAGAAAGTGAAGTGTGCTTTCTGGGCACCTCGGTGTACGGAGTACTTTAAGCGTCTCTGTGTACTGTCCATGAAATATATATTGACAAATGTATGAAATGTCAAAAGTGGACAAAGCCTCGGGCCTCGAAAATCAACGGCTGGTACTTGTCAATCGGCCGTCTGTTGGTAAATCAAACTCCGTGCAGATGTTGGAATCGCTCATATCTAGTAAGGAGCAGCGCCGTGGTTGGAGGATAAAAATGGCCAAAATGGGTGCGGCAAGCATGTCAGACGCGTGGACCATGAGGCTGTCAGGAATCAAACTGTTTCGGAGTGTAATAGCATGTATTGTATTACAAGGTTTATTCTGGAGTTGAGTTTTCATTTTTGCAAAAATGGTTGTCAACTTGGAGGGTGGCCTATGGCCCATGTTTGAGAGGCATTTTCGTCAAAGGCTTCTGTTTCTGAGCAATCGGAGGGGTCCATAAGTAGCGCCGAGGTGTGTGTTGGATCTCCGATGAAAAGGCATAAGACAGCAGATCCAGATGACCGATCAGATCTCAGTCGATGCCATCGTAATATGACGAGATTGGGGCAACTTTTGAATCAGGCCATATGATCTAGGCCATATAATATCTTAGAAACCACAGCAGGATCACTCCAGAGGCCCAGGAACCCCACCACTCCAGACGGGAAAAGCAACGCCGCAAGCTTGGGAGCAGGGCGAGAGCGCGCTTCTTGAAGTGTCGACCCGAATACACCCATGATGCATTGCGACCTTGCAGCAGTATCGGCCTTCCTGCTTGCGTGCAAAAAGCGGCGGTCCTGCCAGCCCAAGGTCCAAATTCTGGCCGCATGTAGAGGATTGCATTCCTTCTGCGGAGCTAGTCTGCCACGTGATCCCCGCGTAGGCACCCATTTCTGCACTGCAACTGCATTCAGGGTCTGGTAGTGGCAGAGGCAGAGGCAGTGGCAGAAGTGGCACTGGGCCGGCATCTTTTCGTCGCTTGGCTCTCCCGCGTCCCGCAGGGGGAAAGGGGGCGAGCTAGGAGAGGCTGTGCCACCACACAACAGACAGCATTCGGGATTCGTACATACAGTTGGTGGTCGTTTCAGAAGGAATAAAACGGGCATGCACGTGTGGACGCTCAGTTGAGGACCGAGGAACGACCGAGGTATTCTCCTGTTCTGATACTTGCTGTGTAGATGTTGGAGGTATCTTTGCTCGCGGAGTAGGACAGGACTGCCTCTTCCTCGACACAACTTTTAAGCTTGAAGGGACTTCATTCGTGGGCTCGGTAGGTTGGGCCGAGGAGGCTGGACTTGGAGACGGCCCGGAATGGAGAGCCGAGCGACGTTAGATGCGGTGTCCCGTCCTTCAGACGCAGGCTGCATGCAGATGGAGGCACGGAGATGGTCCATGTGGTGGGAAACTCGACAGGCGATTCGATATTATCAAGTATCGGTGTGCTGGGCCAAGCCAAGGCTGACGAGAGGGCGGGGAAAGACATATTGTGAAACTTTGGGCGAAGTCGACCTTGTCTCTTCAGAAAACGTGTATTATCTCGCAGTAGACAAAAAAAGTGGCACTGGATGTCCCAAGTCAAATTGGACTAATTCAGGTATTCTCCCATACAATATGCCTTTGAGATTTGGTATCTTCTTAGTCTACCTTTTCGAATATCTTGGGAATCCTGAGTTCCTTAGTTCCTTAAGCTCCTATTGCAAAGTCCAGCTAAACATCCAACTTGGAGTTAGGACATAAAATGAGTGCCGTATTTTCTGTCCACCGCGAAAGCGTGTTTTGCGCACCGGTGATGCTGTACCCAAACACAAGTATTACATTTTGCAGTCCTGGAAACCTGCAGGTACGACTACCGATATGCCAAAATTAATTTTTCTTCCCACCGGGGAACCTTTCCATGCCCCTTTGATATGCAACGTGATAACCTGACCACATGCTAGAAACCGTGGAAATGCACATGAAAATCGCGAAAATGCTCAAGCAACTGGCTGAGTGTCTGAGATTCGTCCCCCACCTTCTTCGATATCAACAGGGTGTTTATCAAGGGCTTCAAACCACTGGATGGTACTTCCGATTAGGAAACACCATGACCCCCAGAACGTGGCAAGTGAACCTTGGTAAACGCAGCCACTATTCGCAGCTCCAAATCCAAGGGCTCCGCAGAGCGTGAAGCCGACCCCCTTTCTTCGGTCAGCATGTGAAAAGGGGGCGAGGGTGAAACTTCTTACTCCTATCAAATTCCACACTCCAATGTGCCAGCCCAAAACCTTGGGGGCGGGTAAGTACCATTTCTGTTGTGTTTCTAACATGAATAGTGTGCCTGAAATGATGAAGCCAGTACCTCCAACGACTTGTGGTGCCCAATAAGCGCCGTTCTGAGCAGCCACTGTAGTAAGTCGATCATAAATCGGAGGCAGAGCTGTGAAGCCTGAGATCCACTAATAAGGGCTTAGCATCCTAAACGACGCTCGGTCAAGAAACACTCCGATAAATAGCATGCAAACATAGCTGATATCGCTAATGGTAATAGAATGGAAAGCCCGCGGATACCGGGAGAGAAATTGAAGAAAGTTGCTGGGGAAAAGGCAACATTCTACTTTATTGCACCGGTAGTTGACTGAATGAGACTTCCCACATTGTATAAGGCTGTGTAGGCTGCAATGAGACCAAAGAAAGAACAGGATGCTACTCACGAAAATGGTAGCTCCAATCATCTGAGCGAGGCAAGCCAGAAATCCAACCTCCTTGAAGTAGTGCGTCCTAAGCTCATCCCAACTAGGAAACCAGGTCCAAGTGCTCGCAGACTTTGAAGCTGGTCGATCATGTACCATGTTAACATCCAGAGGAGGTTTACCTGCATAGATTTAGCATATAACCGGTACCTGATTCAATATCTCAAACCTTCAACAGCCTTTCCCTTGCCCACAAGATTTTTGTTGTTCTTATGATGATGTGTGCACCCGTCCGGTGTCAATCTGGATGAAGGCGAGTTAGAATTACTTTGACTAAGAATTTTGAATATGGGACACAGAGAGTTTGTTTTCCGTAAATGTTCCAGAACCAGTGGGACATTTGGAAGGTGCGAGACCTGATGCTCACGAACTCGCGGGCCATTTAAATCTGGGAAGGAAAACTCGACTAACCGTATAAGTCCATTCTCCTCCAGCACTTCCTCCAAGGCCCATCCAAAGCAATCCGCTCTATTCTCATTGACCGCCTCAATCATCAACAATATGCTCCCGAACTCAAAAATCGTCGCACCGATAAACGCCGTGATCCCCCCAGCATTTGCAATTTCCCCTGGGAACTCAGTCGAAGGATCTTGCAATGGTAGCCAGACAAAAAATGCATTGATGCACCATATAACCGATCCGAATGTGAAGATTATAGCGACCAGGTACGAGACATCCCAATAAGGGTATGTGCTGAACATCCGCCATATTCCCTTCAGCGTTTCCTTGGCCGTACTCGTGGATGGAGGGGTTAGATATTTGCCTTTTTCCGCTGTGGGAGTTACGACAATGGCGTGGCGACCTGCAAACACGAAGATGTTAATTAAGAATTGTGCTTCTAGAAAAGGAGACTTGCCTTTGCGGTTATCTCGGGTCCGGTACAGTCTCTGGACTTCCTCCGCTCCCAGCTCATCATTCTTCTTCGCCAATGGCTCTCCTGGTTTTGGCAGATCATTCGACTTGCCTGGTGTCCCCTCTGAACTTGAATCCTCCCCGGGGGGCTTCCAACTCAGCGGATATCGTCTCGACGTCGGATTCAGGAACGTGAAGGGACCGAATTCCGCCCCTTTTGCATGGTGGTGGTGAGCCATGACAAATTGGTATCGCGGACCAAATTCCGGTGGATCTTAGGCCTTTAGTCCAAACGCTCCAACGTGGTTGAGTTGATTTAGACTTGGGATGGTCTGGCGTTTTGGGTGGTGTTATTTTTTGGGGGCAGAATGCCATGACGCAGATTCTGCCAAGAAATGCTTTGTTTACGAAATTATGGGGCCACTAAGGTTCCTGGTAGTGGGCCGCATGAGCCGAGACAGGGGAAGCGGGGAAACGAATCGTAAGGCTTGTGCCGAGCGCACCTTCAAGAACACCATCTCACGATCTTGATCTGTGTTTACCATAATTGAGTTCACATTGGTCATATTATGATAGGAACAAGTACAACATCAACATTTATAGCTTTATAGAGATCGTACTTGCTCAAAGAACGTCTTCGTACCTGGGAGTCGGAATGGCTTCAGAGTATGATATCATCAAAACCCCTCCAAAGGGCCTCACATTTGACGTTTTTGGTACTGTGGTAGACTGGAGGAAGACCGTTACATCCACACTCATACACAGCGCCCTTGACAAGACCACTTCATCCTCGCGATCCGCAAATCTCTCTCCACCAATTCGAACACGATTATCACAGCTCACGGATGAAGACTGGGGTGGCTTTGCTCAAGAATGGAGAAATAGTTACAAGAAGTTTGTGAGCACTTTCATGCCAGGTGAAACGGAGTGGAGAGATATTGATACGCATCATCACCTTGCTCTTATTGCTCTCCTCAAGAAGTGGGAGCTTGAGGGTCTCTACAGCGATGAAGAGGTCAAGGATTTGAGTCTCATCTGGCATTATCTCGATCCATGGATAGACTCTTCCACTGGGTTGCAGAAGTTGGGGACTAAGTTCATCACGTCGACATTATCAAATGGCAATCAATCACTGCTGAAAGATTTGGATCAGCATGGAAATTTAGGCTTCAAAAAGTTGCAATCATCGGCAGACTTCAAGGCGTACAAGCCGCATCCAAGTGTGTATAAGGGCGCAGCGAAGGCATTGGAGTTGGAGCCGGGAGAGGTTGCGATGGTTGCTGCACATCTTAATGATTTGAAGGCTGCAAGAGGCTATGGGTTCCGGACAATCTATGTAGAGCGTAGGCAAGAGGAAGATTGGAGCCCGGAGCAGGAGGAATATAAGGAGGCAAAGACCTGGGTTGACATGTGGATTACGGAGCGCGAAGATGGTTTCTTAGAAGTGGCAAGGAGGTTTGGGATTAAGTGAAGGTTGAAGCTCAATCAAAATTTAAGATGTCCGGCTCAATATCTTTGAATGCACATCAATGAGTGAGACATTGAAGTGCGAGAGATTACCAGAACATGTAACAGGGAAAGACTTTGGACGTACGAGAATTATAGAATTCATTTGACATTCGAATATGGCGGGGAAAGACCAATTGAAAAGTTGGGTTAAGTTGAAAAAGAGTTTTATAAGGGAGACAGGTTGTCCTAAGCTGTCCTTAGAAAATGGCGGCTCTCATTCATGAGAAAGTCTAGCAGTAGTTAGGATACTGAGACAGAAAATGATGTAACATTCCAAGTGTCCTGGGCACATCAAAGTCACAACACGCTCAAGTGTTCAGGGATTCATTCGGACTGCCTTTGAAAAATAAAACCCGGAAAGGTCCTCAAGCCTTTGGGAGTATCGAAACTATGGGTCCTTCGACTTCGAGAGAGGACTTGAGTGTAGAAAGTTACAAACATCCCAATTCTCCCAGAACCGAGCCATGTACGCTCTGATACATTGTATTTTTCCTTCACTTCCCACAGCGAGACGTGTCTAGACTAGACAGGGTGGGAGAATTAGTCGATTGAGGCTGCTGTGGTTATTTCGAGGAAGTACTGTATGCATGATTAAATGGCTATTTTCATTCAGGCCCTGCGAACAAAAAGGAGGGGGAGAGATCTCAATGCCACCCGATATTAAGGACTGCCTTTACCAGGAAGTTGGCGGGGAAATCCGAAACACTCACCAGGGACGGAAATACCAACGACCAATCTGAGCAATCTGCGGGGTGGCTTCTGGGGCTGTGATAGGGGTGTAGGGGGGGGAGGAATTTGTAACGCACTGCTGTGCAGCTAAAGTCTGAAAGGCCTGTAGGCAGGTTATGGGGATTTGAAATGCTCGAGATAGACAATCGTGCTGCACATGATGAGAGACATCAGCACGGCGGCTGCACGTCGTCAGAATGGTCAGGCTTGCGGGGGCAGGACGTCAAGATGCCAACGATACCACGGACGGTGTCCCGAAGGAGTGTCCCCCTACAGGAATCCCACGAAAATGCGGCCGTTGTGACGACTTGATGAGGCGTCGTGGGGGACCGGGGAGATGGTTATTTCCAACAGTGTGCTTTGACAGCAGAAAACACGAGTAACTTTGGAGCCGGGCTGGCTCGCTCATCTATGCGGCGCACCCATCTGGTCCAGGTTCAAGATTCGGGAGTGCCATGCGAGGAGGTTCATGCTATATGTGCTTGGATTCAACAACTCGCAATTCTTCCTCAGGTGAAGAATCACAAAGAATTAGCCAAAGCTTGTTGGATGTGCCGTACTCCAAAGTGTGCCGGCGTCTGGCAGTGGCAATGGGCAAAAAGAGGTCCAAGCTGATGATGAGAGAGCATGTGTGAAGTCAACTCTGCTGCACGCTTGACCTCTGCAGCCCAAGAATCCGGATGAAGTTCCGCAGACCCTGCTCGTTCAACATAAACGTGATTGCCCGCTGTAAATACCCCAGTCGGAAGCACACGACCGCACATCACACACATCGGCCCAAGCCACTTTCACACTCGCTTGCAAGGCCACTGCCTCGTTGCCAACTGAGGCTTGACAGTTGAGACTGCCCGTCCGCCTCCCGCCCGTTCGTAACATTTCATCTCGGGAGAAACACGTCCTCCAATCTTGACTTTCCAAGCTTCCAGCTGCAAGGTTTGCTCGATTTGTTCCGAGTCCCATCTGCTGGATTCGTGACGGTCCACGGATGCATACAAGTACAACGTACGTAGTACACACTTCACCAACGGGGCTTCAACAAGGGACCCGCAAAGTTAGACCACTTCCGGGACGGCCCAGGCGAGTTTCCATCCCAAAGAATTTCCGAAACCAAGGGCTAGGCCTGGTTGGGACAAGCTGCTCTCGCGGCTTGTGTTTAAAGTTCTGCTCATTTTGATTTGCCTGCACCAGCGCCATCACGGGCTGCCATCTGAACAATGCTTTGTGCGGCCACGACTCAGGTCGCAGAGCTGCACGGGGACAACGAGACCACCCCCAAGGTTGGCCCGCCGTTGGCTCATGGGGGGAAAAACGACAGCCTATGGTTGCTAAATCACAGGAAAAGCAAACGTTGGAGCATGCTGACTGGTGGAACTGTGCCCTGATCAGCCGGTTGACGGGTCTTTCTGCTTTTTCTCACCGTGCCATTCTCGCCATCGGCATCGATCCGAAGCCTTGCAATTTGAAGGATCAATCAGCACCCAGTCACGCCCCCGGGCAGCCATTCCAACGTCACAGCCCGGTGTTCTCCTGGGTCTCTGGCTGCAGTTGAGGTCAGTCGAACAGCACCAGACGAACCGGACGAGAGCATCGCTGAGTTGTGCTGTGCTGTGCTGTGCTGTGCGGCCGTGCCAAATCACTCGCATTATCTGCTGCCGCATCGGATTCTCTTCACATTAGAATGGCTCTCTCTCGCTGGACTGCGGGCAGGCTGCACGTCCGGCGCAGTGCACGTTCGTGCAGACAAAGAGAAGCGGATTGGATTCTGATCCAAGCTTCAAGGAGCCGGCCTGGTCTGCGGGCGAACCCCCTCCCGCGCACCCTGCTCCCTGCTCCCTGCTCTCCAGCACCCCTGAGCTGCTAACCCGTTCCAACGTTCTAATCAAAACTGTCCAGTCGAAGTCCCCGTAGTGCGCTCCCCGCCGTCAGACCCCGGGGACTCCTTTTAGGTTTTACCTAAAGCATCCCCATGGCGTTTTTCCACTGGCCCGATAGCAATGGCACGCCAAAAGTCCGTGGGTTCTCAAGAACTTGCCGATCTTCATTGCTTCATTTTGTTTGCTCTCCTCACTGTCCGGTGCCATTGAGCGCGTTTCTCCTTCTCGACGACGTGTTTCTGTCTTGTGCTGTGCTTTGCTGCTCTTTGCGTTGCGTGGGACGACGACTACGACACTAACTGCTCCGCAAGCCCCAGACGGCCAGCGACATACATTTGACGAACTCCTCCGCCATAACAGTTTTGCTTTTCTGAACGCGAAATCTGATGTACGGGTAAGCCATTCGCGCTCTCTTCACAACATTGACACCAAGATCCAAGTCCGGACCAGCCATTGACCACTGTCAATGTCATCCCAAAGACACGAGGATACAAAAGGTCACCTACTCGAAACAATGTTAATTCTTTTTGAATAGTAAACATACGAGAGACACGAGCCACCCAAACCTCCGCTACAACTTCCGCCTGTCTTTTCAAATCATTCTCATATATTTCTATTTGTGCTGTCTCAATTGCTGGCACGAGACAGCCTCAAAGAGAGCCTTGCATCTCCTCAAACGCGCCATTTCTGCAGTCCCGCGAGAGACTCGATTTCGATATGAATGACAAGAGACGTTCCTAGACTTCCCACCTGCAAATAGAGGGCCTCGATAGAAGAAAACATTTGATATGGAATAGCTGTTCGGCATACAACTCGTGGAACCGACCCCGGATCATTCCTCTATGGCATATATGTTGGTGTCTTAAAAGGTATGCCAAGCCTCGTGGTCAATGCTTGCTCACCTCACCCACCACAACCCAAATATTCGGGCCTCGTGAGTCCAGCTGATATCGTGGACAGTCTTAGTTTGCTATTATCAAACTCCTTCTAAAATAGAACTCTCCTTTTCTTCCTTGCAGCTAGGCGGTGAGTTTTTCTGGAAACAAACTTCCACGCCGCATATCCGCTCAAGGTACCCTTGGCTAAATAAAACTTACAACTGATTTATGTCCAAGCGTAGTCAAGCAATAGCTTTGTTTTCAAACGCCAACTCTAGTCTTCAGACCTGATTTAAGCAAGCAAAAGCCGTAAGAAAACGGGTCCGAGGACGGATTTCCTGGGATCACCGCCGCAACATCGGACCGCGGCCATTGGCCTCTTCGAACAATTCCTCCTGCATACTTCGGTGATCTTCGTTAGTGTCTTGTGCTTGATGGAGAGTCTCCCGAGGTGTTAGAACATCTTTCTGGAGGTGACGGTTTGACTGTCAAACAATTTTCGCAATGGCTGGCGCGTGGGAGACGGAAGACGAGTATGCTGCGGCAGCAGCAGCTTCCCTTCCCACCCCAACGGATACGCCCTATAGAACCCCTTCACGCGGCTCCAGGCGATCATCACGGCAGAAATCGGTCTCTCCAGGGCCATCCTCGTCACCTCCCCCTCCTCCACCCGGTGAAAAGAATCGAAGAAATTCCAAGGATGTGACGAATGATGAAAGGTAAGTCCAGTAGGCTATTTATATGCGACATTTTGTACTGACGTTCAAAAGCATCTCAATTCTCGATCCCCGACGCTTCACCCCCACACTACATGCCAACTTAGTCTCCGAAATTTTGGCGCTCCGTAGGGATCAGGAGGAGAAGACGAAGTTGATCGAGAATTTGGAGTCCGAATTGCATAACACAAGAGGAGAACACGAGCAATTGGAAGCAACTCTTGTCGTCACTGCCAAGGAAAGTCGCTCGTTGAAGCGTCAATTGGCTTTGCTGGAAGGAGGAACATCATCCGCTCTCTCAGAACTTGCGAGGGAACGTGACGAAGCTGTCGATCTCAACACCGAAATCAAACGGCGTTTAGAGACTGCCCAAAAGAAGATTCGAAGCCAGGAAGAGGACTCGGACCGTGTCCACGAGCAGTGGGCTCGGGACAAGGACAATTGGGAGGAGGAAAAAAGAAAATATGAGCGCAAAATTCATGTGACAGAGGGTCGTCTGAAGACTGTCCTGGAAGAAGTCGCTGCATACCAAGCCAGCCACCTAAATGGCCACGAGGAACACCAGGCCGAGGATATTTCCCGAGATCCAGTCCATGGGAATGGTAGCGATGCTGGGAGCATTCGGACAATGAGCATGACAAATAGTATTCGATTTTCGATGCTGAACGGTCCAAATGGATATGGAGGAACGAAGCTCAATGGTGTGAGCCTTGCAGACGAGCTGGACCTCGATGATGAAGAGGATCAAACTGATCATGATCGCCCCGAGAGCGTCCTCTCTTTCCTGCATAACAGAAATCAGAGCCGTGAGAGTGTAATGTCGAAGCACCACCGCCGCAACCAGAGCATCGAAAGCCTCATGCGGCCGGGCAGTGTGGCACGTGGTCGAATGTTGGCCAACCAAGCAGTTCTCGAAAGACTCGAGGGCGGCATCATGGAGGATGATGAGACTCCGGTTTTGACTTCGAAAGTCGAATATGTTGATGCCGGTATCCAGTTTTCGCCTCCGCCATCGCCCAAATTGGAAGCAACTGATGTACCCTCGGCGATCGAGCCAATGCCAGTCAATGGCTCGGTCCATGCTGGAAAGATCGAGCGACAACAATTTGAGACTGCTCCTCGAGAGTGGGAGATCGAGGCTAATCAACGAAGAAAACGCGTACATGCTAATCCCCCTCTGATAATTGAGCCACCAACGACTTCGATGGTGTCTGCAGCATCTCAAACCTTGGAAGATCCTTTGAGTCCTCCCAGGACTCCTATATCACCAACCAGGGCCCCCCCTCCACCACCTTTTATAGATATCCGAGAAATGATATCAATTTCCACGCAAACCGATGTCGTTCCCGAGCTGCAGTCACCCAAACGAGCCGCACCCCCTCCGCCCATCCCAATTCCATCAATTCAGTTACACCCGCCCAATTCCGCTCCCGCAACCCCGAAAGAACCCCTACTACCTCAGCACTTCAAAGATGCGGGTTGCCAGGTTTCCATGCAGGTACCCATCCCTTCAAGGTCAATCTCCGTGCAAACAGAGGAGATCCGTGTCGCCCAGCGAATCAATTTACTCCCACCACATCTTCAACCTTCTGCAATATCGTCCAAGCCCCCCTCCCCCGAACCAACGGCTGAGGAAGTCAAACGATTCTCCCCTATCCCCGGTAACCTGCCGCCTCGAAATCCCAGACGGGTGAAGAGTCGGCAGAGTTTGGAGCAAGAGATTCCGTCATCTCCACCTCAAATGCCAACAAGTGATACTCAAGATGCTTATCCTGGTAACAATGACGATGGGCCATTGGCGAAGGGTAAAGGCTCCATCAGGCGTCCTCATCGAATCAGCAGCTTATTTGCTGGATTTGACAATGGTAGTTCTGACGATGCTGAGGATTTCGCTGATGCGGATCTGAGCGACAATGATTACAGGACACCACTGTCGGCACCAAAGCCTCCTGCTCCACGGAAGACCACTAGACGCATTTCATCAGGACCAACATCGGTTCCCGAGCATGTGGAACTTTCCGAAATCTCGAGACCCTTGCCAGGGAAGACCTCGATGAGGAACATGCATGAGGCAAACGGCGAGTACACCTTGCCGGAAGTGCAATCACTGCCGCCAAGAGGTCAAATGAAGTCTGCCGTCCGTCAACTTGACAAGCCACTCACACTTGTCACAAACAATAGTAAACCCAATGGCATACGCCGTGCTGCCATCATACAAAGTGGTGTTGCCGCTCACCAGGGCCGTCCTCGAAGCCCCAGCTTGCCAGATCTAGTGAAGGAGCCTCCATTCCCAATTCCAACCAGAGCGAGTTCAAGAAGACCTCCAATCAGTGCTAGTGCCCCTAGTGACGGCAACAGGAGCCCAACCTGGGGACGCGGATCAGGAAGAGGTCATTATCGAGCAAACAGTATCCGAAAGGTCAGATCTGCGGCTGCAATTGGTCGAGGTGGTCGAGCTTCTCGTCGCCGCGGCAGTCGATCGCCGCCACCAATGTCGGCATCCACTGAAGCTCCCGAGAGTCCCCAACTCCCTCCTATGCCCAGCAATGAGATCACCACTCCCGGATACATGAAAGAGACTGGGAGCAGCCGATACAAGACCCATCACAGACAACAGCCATCAGGGAATACTGCCAATACAACCAATACTGGCAGTGGATCGGTTGGAAGCAACACCAACGCAACGAGTGTTGTGGATGCTATTGCTCAAACCATGGTTGGCGAGTGGATGTTCAAGTATGTCAGACGACGGAAGTCGTTTGGTGTTGCTGATTCCAACGGTATGGACGGTGATAATGCCAACGGTGTTCGCCACAAGCGCTGGGTCTGGTTGGCACCCTATGAGAGAGCTGTGATGTGGAGCAGCAAGCAGCCAACATCTGGGTCCGCCTTGATGGGGAAATCGGGTCGAAAACGTGAGTGTTCCAAGTCTAGCTCGAATTCCCATATTGACTTTGATAGTGACCATCCAATCCGTCTTGGATGTCAAGGATGACAATCCCCCTCCCAAAGGCTCAGCACCCCTCTTCAATCGATCTATCTTGATCTTGACTCCCGCACGCGCTCTCAAATTCACAGCCACCTCTCCAGAACGCCACTACATCTGGCTGACAGCCCTCTCCTTCCTCGCCCACTCATCCCAAGCCGTCCCTGAAATCGTCCAAGCCCCTCTCCCAATCCCACAACCCACCATCCCGGACTTTGAGATCAGACAACCAAACCGTCTCCGCAAGAACGGAATCAGAGACTCCATCCGCGTGGCAAAAGGGAAGACTGCAGCAGCACGATCAGGACCAACAAGTGTGCACTCCGGCCAAGATCAATCCATCCGTGAAGTCGAGTCCTTCTACTCAGCTCAGACCGACAGCCATCGTGACATTGCAGCCGATCCCCCAATCGTGCCACGCTTCTCAGAACGCGGTCATGGCCCACCATTGCCCCCAATGCATGGTCGAAAACGCAGCAACACCGGCTCACGCGTTCCGCCTCCTCTATCATTCCGCGGATTCTCTGGTCCAGCATCCAGCGGTCACGCACCAACATCCAGTACAGCGGGCTTGAGCGTAGGAACCACAGGCTCATCCGATATCTACAACCAATCCCAGCCTTCATCGTCGATCGCTGGGTATAACGCGATGTCCGTCTCTGGTCGCTCATCAATCCGTACTTCAGACGCGAGCAATCGCCCTGGAGCCGTAGTGAACAACTTCTTCGACGCCGTTGGGACGGTCAGAATGGAAGCCTTCATCAGCCCCTTGGGAATGTCCCGTTTCGACGACTTCCCAGATGAACAAGACGAGATGGATTTCGTTGGCATGCAAAGACGACGGAGTCGAGAGCGAAGGAGGCGAAGCAGGAACCGGGATAGTTATTACTCGTCGCGTGGTAGACCGAGCGATGATTTCTTTGGCACTGCTGGAAGCAGAACGGAGGGTGAGGGGGAGTACGCCCAGTTTGAAAGCGGGCATTTCGGTCATGATCCGTTTCGAGGATTCTGATCGTTGAACGTGGAGAAGATGTGTCGGTTTTCCTTTCTTTGTGGTATGAATTGCGGATGAACGGCTCCGAGGCAGGTGAACGGCGTTAACACGAATCGGCTCGCGCCTGGTCGTTGCTTGCATGATTTTTTTGCGTTTGTTCATATGGGAGGCTGGCTGAAACGGAGTAATGTCTACCTGGCTCCGCGCCATTTTCCTTGGATCATCTGTCTACCACCAAGAACAATCGTCGTTCGATTTGCTTTGCTTACTGTTTTCTTGCTTGAGGGGGGTTGGGTTTGTATTTGGAAAAGGGAGAGAAGCTGCTGTCAATTTGGAGAGCAAAAATGTGGAGGGTGTATTTAATTTCTGGTTGTTAGCGAGGATACTGGATACCCATGGTTGTTCGCTCGCGGATTGGTGTACTTACTAGGCTTGGAGTGTATTGAAATGAATGGCAATGATATGACCAAAGCGTGTCTTCATTTTTGACCGCCGTGATGGTGCTCACCTCAAATTCTCGTAGCAAAACTCTCAGAAAATCATAGGCGCCGAAATAGGAGACCCTTCACCTATTCCGCTGAGCTTTCACATCTATAACCCACTTTTGGCACATGCTCACAAGGAGGAACACGAGCAAACCCAGGTGAACGAAGGTCTGAAGGGGACGCTATCTTTAATGCTCGGTGTGGGCATCGCGTCTGCTTTATTCTGCGATGAGCGGAATGTCGCCGGATGGTTCCGCGAAGAATCAAGGGATAGAGGGGTGTCATCATTTGAGCCAGATGCATTTGATGGAGTGACAACAAAGGACAGTATAACAGCAAAGTTGATGGGATGACTTTGAGGGATCTTTAGGGCGGAGGAAACTTGGGCTCAGGGTCCCGAAAAGTTGAGCCCGAATTCGAAAAGGCATGTCAAGCCAGTCAGAGTCACCAGCGCTAGTCAGCCTTCTCCATTCGTATATCGTCGAGGTGTGCCAATAATTTGCAGAAGGAGTAAGGGGTAAGAGCCCGTTCGGCCAGACACCTGCCCTCGTAATGCCCTAAATGCCCTTGCCTGCCCTGCAAACAAATTACAAGGCAGGGCAGGCAATATAATTACTGCCCCTGTACCGGGAAAAAGGGCAGGTGTCTGGCCGAACGGGCTCTTGCTAATGCTCATTGCCCCCGCCCTGGCTTTAAAAGGAAAGCTGATTACTCCTAGCGATGAACATGGGGAAGCAAAGGGATCTGATGCTGAGGATATATTGCAACTTCATCCACCAGTAGGGCTCCTATCGGATCGAATCAAATCGAATTTTTTATAAGTTCGATTCGAGCGAATATTCGATAATTCGATCGAATATTCGATTCGATCGAACTTTAGTCACGTGTAAACTAAAATAGAACTAAAATAGAACTCACTTCACTTAATTAGCTTCATAAAAATGGACTTAATTAGCTTTATAAAAAATCACTTAATTAGCTTTATAAATATTACTTAATTAGCTTAATAAAAAAATTTCTCACATGCAAAATCTTCTCTTAATTATTAAGCACTATACCAAGACCTCTTTTCAGCCACCAAACCCCTTAATTAGGGCCCTGAAATAGCGTAAGTGGAGCCCCTGAAGCGTATTTATAGGAGGATATACTAATTAGAGTAGTATGCCGTCTACTCCTAAGCAAAACACACCTCTCCGGCACTCACTTCGCCATTCCTCGATACAGCCAGAAGAAGAAGAGTCAATTATCCTCGATTATACTCCTTTACAAACCTCCAAGTCCACTCGAAACTCGAATATTCCTCCTCCCCGAACCCCTGAAACACGGAAGCGTAAACTCGATTTCAAGTCACTCCATAATTATGGTTTCCAAGGTCCTCCAAAGCCTATATCGCCGAAGCTAGCTCCTCCTGCAAAGAAAGCACGTGTTATAGCTATTAAAGACTCTCAAGCTTCCTCTCAAGCACTCTCGATCCCTAATAATAATAATAGAGATGAGGATATACTTAAAGAGAAGAAGAGATAGCCAAATGCAAGTGGAAAGCGTGCTTGGTAGTGGAAATACTACTTAGTTAAGACACTTATGACTAAGTACGATAAGGGAAAGGGGAAGACTAAGGAACGGGTTTTTGACGAATAATACGATTGCAATCTCTGTAAGAACTTTACTCGCAAAGTATCGAAACTTAGTAGAGCAACGAGTGCTTTAAGTGCACATATTGAGGTTAACCATAAGCGTATAAAAGACGATGGAATTAATGAATAACAAGGTATATAAACCGACCTTGCGAAGTTCGTAAAAGGAAAGGAGGAGAAGATCGAATTTGAGGACGCTATGGTTAATTGGATTATCGACGCTTGTCAAGCCTTTATAACGACTGAGAATGAGAAGTTCAGGACTATGATTCGCTCTACTGGATATACCAAGGAGATTATTAGGGCAGACGCAATTTCCAACCGCATTCACGATCGAGTTCAGGCTAGTGAGATGGATATAATCGACCTTCTGGAGCGTACTTGTAGTATAGTTGTAATCTCATTCGATGGCTGGTCAAGTACGAATAATCTCTCAATGTTTGCTATAAATGGCAAGTGGGCAGGCCCTGATATGAAGATATATCAAGCATGCTTAGATTTTATCGAAATTAACGGTGCTTATTCTGGAAAGAACTTAGCATAGCTAGTCTATAAGAGATGCAAGAAACTCGGGATCCTCCATAAGATTATTAGTCTTACGGGAGATAATGCAAAGAATAACGATACTTGCGCTCGTCATTTGCATAAAATAATGTCTTATATTTATGACGATTACTTGGATCCAATGCCTCTTCATAATCAATCTATGAGATTCAAGGGAGAGCAGAGTTTGATTGATTATATGGCTCACGTGGATAACTTGGTAGTAAAGGCGATTCTCAAGGACCTAGGCTCTAGTACGCATAAAGACGCTTGCGACTTCCTTAATAGAGTCAAACAGCTTGGTTGGAACAAGATTACGATACCAGGAGCCGCCGGAGATATTGCTGTCTTGCGAATTATCGTACTTTGGATAAATCACTCTCCTTAACGCATTTAAGAATGGAAGAATATGCCGGGAGTTACCAAGATTATCCCGTATAACGTCAATACTCGGTGGAACTATACTCTTACTATATTGGAGATAGCTCTTGAGCATCGTACTGCACTCCAATTATGGATCAAGGATCACGAAGAGCTATTACACTTGATTTTTGATACCGTACGATGGGACCGTCTGAAGCAAATTCGTAAGCTTCTCAAGCTCTTTAAGGACCATACGCTATACGTCTCACGTATAGAACCAACCCTCTATCGCCTTCCAGATCTCTACTTAAAGCTAGACAAGCTCTTGCAATCAATTATTAAAAAACAAGGGAAATATGCAAGCTACGATAAGACTCTGATTGCAGCAGCTAGTAAGGGGCTAGAAACCTTTAATGGATACTATACTGCAATAAAGGAGAACGATATGTATTGGATTGCATATATTCTTAATCCATGAGTCAAGACAAAATGGCTACAGAAAAATCACCAAAATGCTAACGAGATTATCGCTCGTATTAAGACCTTCTTGAAAGACGCTTATTACCCTGAATAGTAACTACCTGATCGGCCTCTTAATAATAAAGAGAAGATCGAATTGAGTATGGAAATGGACTTCTTGCAAGAGTACGGTTCAGCTATTACGAATGAAGATAATATTAAACGATATTTCAATACTTCACAAGTCAATTTTGTATTTAATGAGAAGGAGTGTCAAGTCAAGTGGGTACTTAATTAGTGGGCAGCTCATAAGCAGGAATATCCTCTTATGTTTGCAGTTACACGCGATTATCTTCCAATTTCCGGGGCAGAAGTAGATGTTGAAAGACTCTTTAATATCGCTAGGGATATTTTAGGGCTTCGTCGAATGGCTATGAGTTCGGGCACTTTGAGGGCTTTGATTTTATTAAAGGACTACATACGTAGGGAGGCAGCTGGCCAAGTCTAATTATGGTAGAGAAATATAGTGGAGCAAGTAAATCACGTGTTTGATACCCCTAATGTCTGAATAGCTTCAAAAAAAATCGAAATATGATATAAAAATCACTGAGAGTATATGTGAAAAAATAGCTCTATATGACTAATCATCACGTGGAAAATTCGATCGAACTATCAAATATTCGATCGAATCCTGTAAAAAAGTTCGATTCGACGGAAATTCGATCGGATTCGATCGAATCGAACTAATTCGATAATTCGATAGGAGCCCTATCCACCAGGCCAGCATTCCCCGACCTCTTGAACTTAGCAAGAAAAAGAGGTCAACGCTAACAAGTGAGCTCCGGGTATTGAAGGAATTACCTCCTCTCTCTTTTCCCTTTTTTTGTCAACAACACTCCTTGGTGTTGCTTCCGCTTCTGAGGATCCTCGACCTCGAGCGTAATGCCCCTTCTTCACCATGACCTCGATTCATAGGCTTCATTATGCTAAGTATGACCAGTGGATCGACCGAGTGCTCTCGTTACTTCATGTTAAGATTGGCAATGGAAAAGGGAATGGGGAAGAACAGTGAGAAAAGTCGTTACAACAAGAAAGAGATCGGATGAGATTTTCAAATCACACAAGATTGGAGCTCTGCAGGTCCCTCGTCCTCCCGAATCCAGAGGTTGCAAGGGCAAAAGTCGCGAGACCAGGAAGCAAAGAAGGTGGTTGGCTGTCAAAATCCCAACATCTGGGCTTGAAGCAATTGGTAGAGCGCTGCTGATGCTGCTGAACCGCGAGACGGTAATAAATTCTCGATCTGACGACACTAGTGCTGTACCGTCCTGTTTCGGAAGCTATTTCGCCAATGTATCGGACAGTGAATCATGTTGTGGTCTTGCAAATACCTGCAGGTGAAGTTCGAATAACAGCTAATAGTCTTGCTCCTGTGTCTGTTGGTCAAGGATCCTGGGAGCCCATTTTGAAACCTAAGAGCATTTAACTTTCCTAATCGAGTAATAAAGAAACGTTCACATGTACCAAGGCAATTTGT